CAGTGGCGTACGGATGTTCGAATGTGTACAGTCCGTGGTTGCTCAACCGTTATCATAGAGCTAATAGTAATCGCCACGTCGAAATTTTGATTATCCGCAGCCGGCCCGGGTAGGGGAACATTTGCGTCACGTTTCTGCCAATCCACCGGCTATGTAGACGCCCCGGTCTACTAGACGTCCCGGCTCGGACCGTTCGTATTTTACGCGAAGAAGCCTGAACACCGCACGCGAGGAATGGCAGGGCTGACTTCGGATGGCGTTTCCGAATCTCGGATGGCATTGGTAGTCGGAAAGAGGGCTGGCTTCTCACTGTTCGCCATCCTATTTTTTTTAGGTAAGGTAGAGTAGAGTGCGTAGGTAAGAAGGTAGTTACGTGATGCCGACTCCCGCCCTTATTTTCCGATGCTCATGCGTAATCTATAGGTATCCCCAATCATCCCACACGGCTGATGAAGAGAAGTATGCTAGGTGCGTAGGGATATCAACGGCTGGGATCGTACGACCGAGAAGGGCATGTAGAGTACCGACTCACCTCGCTGGAGCCCGGAATCCCTGCGCGACGGTGAGGTTCTGTCACTTTTCGAAATTTACTTCGGCAGCGTCCCCGTGCTTGCATGCCCCCCACCTTAACCGTCGCGATTGATAACAGTCGTATGGCTGGAAACTGAGGGTTCACACATGAACCCCCACCCACGGATACAGAGAAGTCCGAGGTGCTGAATGAGACTTCTGGTCATTCGTTTACTTCCCGCGGTTACAGCGCTTGTGCATAACACCCGGCGCCCCTGCCTGCCGTCCCAGGACCTCCCTCATTGGGGCCCGCCGGTGAGTCGTGACTGTGGAGTCTGTCCGCCACAGAAGCGCGCTGCAGTGCAAACTATGCATAGTCCCACGGACGGCCTGCGAATCCTCAATGGTGCAGCCAATCGGTGTCAGCCACTGCCGGCATTCGTACTTGGACTCTCCCCACCCCCTCCGCTTCACCGACGATACATGCCCAAGTAGGCCTACCGCGACGGCAAAGGCCCCTTCCCCCGCTTGCTTCCTAGACACGTCAGACCTAGAGTAGAGGCAGGCCAGGCGGGTGTTCCGTCGCCCTTACAAACGGCTGGACGGAGGCTTCCCCTAGGCACATACATACCGAGCATACATGTTGGTTATTCGACTTCCTCTTTCCCGCCCCCAGGCTTCAATACTAGGTCACTCACTCCTAGTTGCCGGGTCCCCAGCAAAGCCGAGTCTAACTGCCACCACCACAGCCGTGCTTGAAATTGTGGCATTCCGATTGGCGAACACACACCGCACCCCACGGAGGTGCACGGCTTTCCCAATCCCTGTGTATGCGCAAAATGCAATGCGATGCGAAAATTGTGTGTGGTGCCTCGTTTATGAGGATGTAGGTAGGACGCAGGTCGTACATACACACGGCAGACGTGGATGGGGGGGAGAGGGGGGCGGGGATACACATAAGTTACGAATATGATGCGGCCGGTACCCAACTCGCCTTAACTATCGGAGCTCCCTCATCTCGTTGACAGTGCACTACCGCTACTATACTATCCCGAAGCACCACAGAAACGAAAGAAAAAAAAGATGTCCGCAATTGAAGTTGACCCCGCTGTTGTGAGTTACTACCTACCTCCTACGTGAATGACATCCCACTCTTTGACGTCGACAGCGCTGTTGATGTGGCTCGCGAACTAACTGTCTAGCTCGCAAACCACGACGACGAAGACTATGCGAGCTCCGGCTACGACACGGACACGACGAGTCTGACCTCTTCGGTGACGAAATACATCTTCGAGAATGGTTCGTCGTTTTCGATGCCACGATGCTTTCGAGGAGGATGTAATCGTGTTAGACTAACGGAGCACCTCACCACCGACCAGGCCGTCGCTACCATGCCTACTTCGGCGTCGACAAAAACCTGATGCCTACGGACGAGAAGGAACAGGACCGGATGGATCTGCATCACGAGATCATGCTGTGCCTGCTCGATCGAAAGCTGCACACGGCACCACTGGAGAACCCGCAGCGGATCCTCGATGTGGGAACGGGGACGGGGATTTGGGCTATCGATATGGCGGATTCGCATCCTTCGGCCGTGGTTACGGGGATAGATCTGAGTCCGATTCAGCCTTCTTGGTAGGCCCTTCGTCTGTTGAGCGGGTGTGCCAGAATGGATAGCTAGCTAACCCGGCAGCTGTAGGGTTCCGCCGAACTGGTATGGCCGCTATACCTCTTCCACCTCCTACACAAAGGAAAAAACACCCTAACATGACAGCGCAGTAAATTCGAAGTCGACGATGTCGAAAAGCCCTGGATGTACAAACCGGTACGTACCTAGTCGCCGTCCTCCTTCACCCCTCCCCCGCGAACCCTCCAGCTGACGACCCGTGACGCAGGACACCTTCGACTTCATCCACAGCCGCAACCTCGCGCAGTCTATCAGCAAATGGCCCGAGCTAATGAAAGACATGTACCGGTGCACGAAGCCGGGCGGGTACGTCGAGCTCGCGGAGACGGAAGTCTCAGTATTCTGCGACGACGGGAGCATGAAAGACTCCAACGGGCTGAAGCGCACATTGGACCTTCTCACCTCGGCAGTCGTCAAGATGGGCCGACCCCCACCAACGCCGGAGGTGCTCACCGCGCGGCTCGCCGACGCCGGGTTCACGGATATCCACTGCATCACGGTCAAGCAGCCGGTCGGCCCGTGGCCGAAGGACAGGGTCATGAAGCAGGTGGGCGCGATGGCGCTGATGACGTGCGAGACCGGCATCGAGGCCTATGCGCTCGCGGCGATAACGAGGATCCATGGCATGCCGACGGATGAGGCTACGCAGCTGTGTAAAGACGGCTTGAAAGATGCCAGGAATAAGAATTATCACATGTATTGCAAGTTGTGAGTCTGCTGATATCATATCCTCCCCTTCCCCCCCCCCCCCCACCTTCCCCGCCAAATGACGAGTATGATGAGGACTAACTAACTGTCGTGGCAGCCACGTCGCGTATGGAAAGAAGCCGGAGGCTTCTGAGGACTAACCTAGGTCCTAGTATAGGCTTGTAGTGTTGGCCCGTAGGCGCCGCCTAGTTAGTGGCAATCTGGACTCTGCATGCAGTTCACCATCGAGTTCGTGCCTTATGTACTCTTGTTCACCAACGTAGCGTTCTTTTCTGCTTTTTTCGTTCTGGATGTGAGTTCTTTTGTTCGTGACGTGTGGGGGGTGCGGACATCCCGTGGCAGAGTGGGGGTGAGGTCATCCCATATATACTTGAGGCGTGCATGTCTTGCCCCCCGCATGCCGCCGCCTGTGCTGTGTATTCTTCGGCGACAATAATATCGAGTAATTGAATGACTACCCGTATTGATGGATGTCACGGGCGCAATACCATTCGTATTCATGTCACAAATTTTGTTGGATCATCAATTGCTGGCGACCTGTCTACCGTAGATCATGGCAGTAACACTCCGGTTCCCATCTGTCAACTGTCCAACCCGACTTTCGTCAAGCGGCCCGACGTGGCTTCCCCTGCCCTCCGCCTGACCTTTCCCACGGATCATACACGTAATAGCGCAGCAAGGAAATCATAAAGCTAGGAAAACAACGTCCGCTCTTCACTCCGCCTCCTCCCCTGCCTCCCCATCACAAGATTCTAGGTGTGAGAAGGAACCGTGGGAGCAACCCCACTCCGTTAAAATCCAACAACGCCCTTTCCCGCTCCCCGAGCTGCCATTCGGACGTCTCACCTGCGTCTTCCTCATACATAGAGGTCCGGGATCCCCCCGCGCAGTGTCCACAACAATGGTGGCGAAAAAATTCCAGGATGGCCTAGCCTGGCCTGGCTGCATCGCTCGTCTCCTTCCCAATATCTTCCGCAGTGCGGGCCCTTCCATTCAGGAGCAGCCCCATCCGCATCTGTATCTTGATTCTTGTAAATAGCGACACAATCCGCACCCAGCGTCAGGGCGGCTCGTCGCCTACCGGAGATACTGGCCGGTGGGACACCGTCTTCAACTGGCACATAGGCCCTCGAGGTCAGGCGCTTCGGAGTCTGGGCTGGGCTGGGCTTGGATCCGGTTCCTGGCTAGGTTTCCGGCTGTGACACCGTCTTCAACTGGCACATAGGCCCTCGAGGTCAGGCGCTTCGGAGTCTGGGCTGGGCTGGGCTTGGATCCGGTTCCTGGCTGTCTTTCCGGCTGTGTCGGTACTTTTCCATGGTGACTTTCGCGTCTGTCCGGGCCTTGGCTTGGATTCCTTCCACTTGGCCTATGCGATGCCATGATTCAGATACGCGAGCGAGAGGACGGCAGCGGCCTGGTTCCGCAATGGCTGTGGTCCTTCCACTTTGCGGGCGGTCAAGATTTCTGAGAACAAGGTCGACAGGACGAGTGAGAAGTAAGTGATCTACAAATATAACGCGATTCAACCGAGCCTCCCATAACCCATAAAACAAATAGCCCACCCCGAACTCCAATGCAACGCAAAAGACCAAATATGTACAAGGTAATCTAATATCTATCTAACTGCCACCCATAGATCTCGGGGACGCGGGCATATTCCCATCCCCCTCCCAAACCTCCTCACGGCTCTGCACCTCATTATGTTTCCGCACTGCATACCCTGCGACGATATCCGTCCTGAATGCGTCGCGACTGGCATCTGTCGATTCCCCACTACTCCTAAAGCTCCCCTCGTGAATGGAATCCGGCAGAACACCGAGATGCCTTGGATCGAAGCCGAGCCCTAGCGTAACGAGTTCCCGCTCCTCGCCGGGCGAGACGGGCAGTGGTGGCAGTTCCGCCTCCAGGTCGGTTGTTCCGACGGCGGTGGTGGGCGGCGGTGTCTTGCGATAGCGGATGTGGAGGTATAGCGACGGGATGGTAGTAAGGATCAGGGCGAGGGCAAGCTCCGTGTCGACCAGGATTTCGGGGAGAAGTTTCGCGTTCGCGGGGGAGACGATCTCTAGTGTGATGACAGCGTGGATGATGCTGATAATCACTACCCCCGACGATAATACGAGCAGCATGGCCACAGGCCGTTTCTGCGTCAACGTGCGCCATATGAACACTGGAATCGCCATGACTATAACCTCCGTCAGCTACGGTTCGGGGAGTTCGCCGGGGTCGTGTGTGTGGGGATGTTACCGATGATGTAGCTGCTCACGTTTAGCGCCGAGTACGCGGCCACCTCCGCGGTGTCGCCGCAGTATTCATCATCCCATTCCCGCCACGGCCGGCAAACAAATAGCTGGATCAACACCGCCGACAAGAAGGAGGCGGCAAGGTACACTCCGAGCACGCCCACGACCAACAGTCGCAGGCCGAGTTGCGGGTACAGACTGGTGACCGAGACCTTGAACGCCCACAAAGCGGCGGGCGCCATGAACCCGGCGGATATCACCGCGCCAGAGGATTCATCCCTGTATCGACCGAGCGCGAAGGTGGCGGCGTAAAAGAACAGGCCGATGGTGGCCCAGAAGGTGCTGGCGCGAGAGACGACCCGCCGGCGGCCGGGGAGAAGATCGAGGAGGGAGCGAGCGATGTGGAAGAGCGCGGCGAGGATGAAGAGAGTAGTCTGTATCGCAAGGTGGGTGGAGGCCGTTGGCATGGTTTCTTTCGACTGGATGTGGGGCGTTGCGGTGCGGTGGTGAGCATTGTCTTGAGCTTCGGGTCCCAACGTTAACGTTCAGTCATTCATCCAGGCGGCGGACGGGGGAGCCGTCTTGTCGAGTAGTTTAAGTGGTTTTTTTTGGCTTCGGTCAATAGGGGCGGGCGAGGGATGGAGTAATGTTTCCTGTTGAGTGCATGCCTGCGTGCTTTGGTTTGGTTTGCGTGCCTGCCTGGTTCGCTCGTATGTAAGTGACGAAAGTAAAGTGAATATGAAGGTAAGACTTCGTCGGGGGGAGGGGAAGGGGAAGGGGGGAGGGGAAGGGGAAGGGGGAAGGGGAAGGGGGAGCTAGAAGAAGAAGAGAAGAAGAAGAGAAGAAGAAAAGAGGGGTGGGGTGTGCAGTTGCAGGAAGGTGGTGTGTGCGAGAGTGTGTGTTGCCGCCATGGGTTTATGAACGGGCGTCTTTCCCTCACTCCCCCCTCTCCGCTACTCCATTTACACCACTACCGGCCACTGTTCAGTCGTCAGCTCTCGCTCTGTCATTCGCGTGTGGTCACTAGCCAGTTGCCATGTCCGTCACTTGCTGCGACGCAACTCCCTTCCACAGGATTCACCATGGAGACGCCGCCGTTGGAGTGCGCCACACGTGTTCTGCAGGGTTCGAATGGTTCGCTCGGAGTCCGTGTGTTCGGTGTGTTGAGTTCAGTGAGGGTTGAGTGGTGAGTGGTGAGTTTCCGCAGTGAATCCGTAGTGAGTGTCCTGGGATGGTGGTGGGCCGGCTTCGCTCGATGGGTGCATATGCATGCATGAGACACGACATGGGGTATATAGGCGGGGTGACGTGAGATTTTCGTTCGAGAATTATTCCTTTTGCGGCAAGTGAGGGGAATTTGCAGCACTCGTTCCGTTCCGTTTGGCGGGTGGGGGAGGGAGGGACGGGATGGGGGGAAAGGAAGGGCGGGGGGAACACAGGCTGGATCTGGCCCTGGCCGTTTGATGATGGGCGGTTGCCAGTTGGGGCCAATGGTGGTTGCTTCGGACCGAGCTCTAGACACGCACGGCTGCTCACTCGGCGGGTGCGGCTCGTGGTGGTTGGTCGCTGGGACCGGGATTAGACGGGTGGTCGGCATGTGGACGTGCCGCTTGCTGCATGACGGCCAAACGGTCAACTCCTGCAGGTGGATGCCTGTACTCCACATCGGTATGCTAGATACTGTGCTCTCGAGTACTCTCCAGTCTGTGGCCTGGACGCACATCAGAGTGTCCAGCTGCGTCTGCATGGGCTTCTATTCCATCTTCCACAGCGAATGCAGTGAATGCAGTTATGTCTTGCACTCGTGCGTGTGATGATTCGCGATCCACCGATTGAGTGAATCTATTCCATCCCCAACCGCATCGGGCGCGACATTCGTGAGTGTGCGCCCGTCAGATCCACGGCAGCCGTGTGCATCATACGCCCATCAATTTCACCACATGAATGATTTCCACTCGGTCGGAAAGCAGACTCGGCCACTTGGCCCGGTTGCGGTTGGTGGCCGTGATGACAGCGCCCATGGAAGCATGTTACTCGGTGATGGTCCCAGCCATTGCAGAAACAACTGTCCGCCTCTTAGTAGTTGTAGTAATGAAAACATATCTGTCTCAAGCCCCCACCACCGAATCAAGAACACTCAAGCCCGCACATATTCTTCATCACAGGAACCCAGCCAAGCACCAGCCATCTCACGCTACCTTCCGTGCAAACCTCCCATGCAAACCTCCCATTATGTACGACGCCCATTACCGCCACCACGGTCACTGGAACCGGCGCCGCTTGCGGCCTGACTGGTAATCATATTACTGGCAGCCCGAGTCCTACCAGATCGCTTGGCCGTCGATGCAGCATGCTAGTCTTGGACTCCCGGATCTCACCCTGTCACGATCGGCGTCGGCGAGCGCACGAACCTCCACTGGCATCCAGGCCCCATCCATTAGAGACGTTTGTCGTCTTCGTGCATGGCGAGTGGCTTCCTTCCGCAGCTCGAGTTTTCCCTATCCATCGCCAGAAGTGTTCCCCGTCTCCAGTAGACCGTCGGTGCTGTGGAATACGCCGGATACCGTACTGGTGCGCTGTCATCTCCCTTCAATATCTCGCCTGCCCACCCTGCATACATCGGTATTGCTTTCATACCGCCTGCGGGAACGCCAGCAGGACTCGCCATTGGTGAATTTCGTGGTGGAAATATCGCAGCCGGACCCACCGTCGCTGACGCCCAGGTACGGCGCGCCATCCATCCTCTCGTTGTAGTCTGACAGACCGAGCGCACGCGGCTCGTGTGATCATTGTCCGTGTTGGACACCAGGAGGAGTGAGATATGCCCCCCGTTCAGGAGCTAGCACGGCGCCATCAACGGTACAATCATCCATGTTCTGTGGTTACACTCCCAGCAGCGCCGTGCTGGGTGCGAGTGAGTGAGTGACCGAGGCCGGGTCCTAGCCAGCACAACTTCGCGGTTGACCCTCAAAGGTAGCGTTCGTTGACATATGGAAGGAAAGTGTTCCCCCTACGATCACCGAACCGAGATACCAGGGAGGACGACGTCGAAGCACGGCTGTCGTACTCTAAGCAATCGGCGTGTGAATGCTGGTTTCCCATCAGCGAGATCCAGCACGGTTACGTCCGCAGAGAGGGAGGACAAACAAACGAACACTAGTTATCGGCAGATTCGGCTGGGAACCGCTCGCCCCGTTTCCTCTCGCACATCAGCGCGCTTCTCTCGCCCCCGCCGGGAGCCCCGACGAACACAGGTGGCCACATAACACTAAGAGACCGTGAAGGCCTCCACCTTAAATTCCAGAATGATAGCGTGATAGCCTGTGAGACCCAATCGATACACACAGAGAAACTATCTCGTCGAGGAGATACCTAGGAGACACAGTGACAACGCGTCGCTGCGTGTTACGGCGAGGGGGTTGAGGGGTTGAGAGGTTATTTACTTTGCTTTCGACCACGAAGCGTATTCCATGTCGAACGAGGGAGGAGGTGGAGGTGGATATGTAGATACTCTACTCCAGATCGTGTCGAAGTCGCGAAAGGAGAACGCAGTCAGAGTCCAGGTCTGACCCTGTGCGAGAAAGATGCAGCACAGAAGGGGACTTTGGCCATGGTAAAGCTGTGTTTTTGGACTCCGTGGTAGAGACGGATTTCGGCTGCGGAGTGAGCTTGGACGGTCGGACTTAGAAGTGGGGCTTTCGGACCAGTTGTCGGAGTGAGGGGACGTCGGAGGTACGGTACTCTACATAAGCGGGCCCTTCTCTCTAGGCCGCAACGGCGCCCACACGCATGTGCGCGGATTTAGAGTGTGTGCCTTGCCCCGCCGGAACTCTACGTCGTCCACATAGATGCCACCTCACCACCAACGCAATGGTCTGAAGTCTGCTGCAGCCTATGTGGTCTGACCGACGGAGATAACCCACCGGAGTAGAATGCTCGGGGATACCCTCTCGTATTCGCCCGCCAGGATTTTATGTACGAATCATCACGACCCATCAGCCCTCCGGCTTCCCCACATATGTATGTAAGTCATGTCCTTGCGTGGTCCCGAAGCCGCTGCAGCCTGCCGGGTCGAGCAAGAGATGCGCAGATGCGAAAAGCAACCGGTTACATACATACAACTGCAACTTTCGTTTGCTGTGGGCGGGCGGCGGTGGGCGGCGATGTGGTCCCGAAGTGTGGGGGTGGTGGGCCCCAAGCGTGCAACATACCGGTACATACCCGTGTGTCGATTGTCGGCCCGGTAGATATACTCGAGACTCGAGAGTCAACAAGACCTCCAGGATATTTAAATAGCATTATCGGAGCGGGGGGGCGTTTTGTATCTCCCCACGTATCTCAGCGTCCTCTACTCTAGATTGGGTACGTAGCCGGGTCAGGGTGGGTGCGGGCGCGGGTATGTACCTGCTAAAATCCCACAGAGAGATCTCGCCGTCGGGTAGGGATGAGCTAGTTAGCAAGAAAGGGCCTGGGCGCCGGGGCGCTGGGGCTGCTCCACACATCCGAGACGACGGTCAACTGTCAAAGCAACCCTGGTAATCCGGAGATGTAGCGTCGTGCGATGTCTCACCCCCCGAGTCGCCTCTCGCCCCTCGTTCGCACCCTCGCCCACCCCACCAGCCCACCTCGGCTCTCCAGGATGACGGCGATACGGGCTCGCATATGTAACTGAGCAGTTAATCCTATGTACAACTAGGGAGGCAACGCCCTGCCCAAAGCGTGGATTTCAGTTGTTTTTTTCCCCCTCCGCGACGCATTCTGCCCCCAAATCATGGACGGTTTACAGGTCAGTACCCTACCGCCTATTAGCCCGACTTGGTGAATCATCTTCTAACAACAGTAGGCATTCCGGCTGGCCAAAGGAGCAGTTAACGATGGACGAACGTCTCAGTTTGGGTACCGGATCTTCCAACTACAGAAGCTATTCAAGCTGCTCCAGGAGAACGAGAAGGAGCTTATTGCTGCGATTGCTGCAGGTTGGTGGAATCCCACCAAGCTTTGTTTTGCCCTGTTAGTGAATGACAGGAGAGAAGATACGTCACGAGAAGTCGAGGACGTAATCCGCAAACCGTTCCGATATTGCGTCGACGCCAGCCAGCGGCTGTTCAAGCTGTACAAGCTCAGTGCGCCTCGCAGCCTCGAGGAGGCCGGATCACAGGTAGCGTTGATTGTCGGACACGAGTCAGGTTAGCTCCGCTTTGTTCCACCGGGCTAACTATCACCTCCCCGGACTATGTAGTCATGGCTTACGATGTTCCGTCCAGACCCACTATCCTCTCTCCTGATCCCCTTGATCTTCGCCATCGAAGCCGGCAGCAGCGCGCTCCTCGCCCCCTCACCGGGGCGGACCAGCTCGCTGCTCGCCTCGCTGCTCCCCCGCTACCTTGACCGTGAAGCCTACATAGTCATCTCCACGCACACGGAATCGGCGGCGTTCCAGCAGCTAGCGGTGAACACCGTCATCACCACCGGCCGCCGGCTGAGCATCCCACAACGGCAGATCGCGCGCGAAGTCGGTCCGAATATCATCTGCATCCTCGACACGGGCGTTGACCTCGCCCTCGCGGCCGCGGGGATAAAGTCGCAGACCGGGCTTTGCTCGCCGGCCGCGATATTGTGTCTCCCCTCACTCTGTTCGGAGCTTGCTTCGCTGCTTGGAAGGTCCGCGGTCGAGAAGGTGGAGCAGCCGCTGCACGCGAAGAAGAAGACGCTTGGAATTGGCGGGATCATACCCACGACCTCGACCGAAGAGGCGCTCTTGATTCTCGACGGCGTCGAGATAAACCGGTTCACGTATTTGGGCACGCAGGCGTATGGCGAGTACATGCTCAAATTCCTGCCGGCGGTAAGGGTCGGGCTGGTCAATAGTGTGCGTGGAGCGTACTACGACGATATCTCGGCGGATGACTTCTTGTGCAGGCGGAGTGTTGTCAGCGAGAAGAGGCTGGAGAGCGGTGGGAGGAAGAGGAGGCCGGTGGGCGTAATGCCCGATCTGAAGATTAAGCATACCACTAATTTTGGGTTCTTTGATCAGGGGGCGCTGTTGGGGTTGGGGACGGTGGTGGGGACGGTGGTGTGCGGTGCGGCGCTGGCGGGATATAAGTTGTGGTCGAATTAGGGACTCGGCGAGGGAATGGGAATTGTTTACTTCTTTGGTATCATGTATCGTAGTTTATTTGGCTGTGTGTTATCTTGCTCGGACTTGAGTTCTGGAGAAGTTCGACTTCATCTCCATGTGCATATGACCCAGGGCACCAGTGATAATCGTATGTACTGATCCAGTTTTCCATTGTGAACTCCTTTAATTCCATATATGTACCAAAACGACAAATCCTCCCGCTCGACCGCCAGTATGTAGTTATTCCAAAATCCACCTCTTCCTCCACATTCCCCTCCAGCCAGCCAGCCTTGTCTTCTACAACGGATCCTGCACCGCCTTCTTATACGTCCAAATGTGATCACCAAACACCTTCTGTCCCGTGCCAGTCCAAATACGATTCACCGTCTAGGTATTCCGTCAGCCTTGCAGTCTCAAAACCCGGAAAGCATCACACCCACCCCAATAGCATTGACGCCTCTAAAGACGATTCCAATAAGCGCGCTGACCACGAGGTTACTTCCGTTGGGCCTGAAACTTGCGTCCGTTTGCACCGCAGGATTCGGCGGATTGCCCTGCGAGTAGTCCCAGCTGTAGTCATTCCCTGCTGGCAGGAGTGTCGGATCGTCAGGTCGGTCCTCGGGCGTGGCGTACCGCCATGTTTGCACTGGCAGGGCGTCGCCGTGCAGGCGTAGGACGAGAGGATTGGGCTCGAATGTTGAGGTAGAGGTGTCCCGTGAGGTCGCGTGGGAGGGCATGTTTGTTGTTTGCGATGGACGACGGGGGGGTGTTCGGGTTTGAAATGGTGGAGGTATATGTACAATACAGCTGGGCTGGGCTGGGGGCGACATCGGCTGCAACTCCGACCGACCGACCGGCTGGGTGGGGAGGGGGGATGAGCCGGGGTGGGCTGGGCTGCCCCACGCCGGGAGGTGGCATGGATATTGATTAACGGACTTAGCGTCAGCCGATGGATAGATGGAGGGATGGAGGGACAGATATCAGGCGCGATTTTACCACTTCTCGATTCTCGACATACAAAACTGAACGGTAGCAATTGAAATGGCACCGACGACTAAGAGACCGACGCCGCTCATCTTTGTCTCCCATGGCTCCACGATGATGCTCGGCGAGCAGAGTGTGGTCTCCGATGACTGGGAGCGACAGGGACGGAATGCAGAGAGGCGGGGGATCAAGGGCATTGTTATTCTGGTCCGTTCATATTCATCATCTTCTTTCTTTCTCTCTATCTCTATGTCTCTCTCAGACGATCAGAAGAAGAATATTGACACTGTATAGGGGGCGCACTGGGAGTTTCCCGGAGAAAACCTCGTCCACGTATCGATCAAAAAGAATCCGGGCATGAATCCGATCGCGTGGGTCGCTCCTCAAAAGTACATCAATTTCCAGCTCAACTGCGACGAAGCACTTGGCCGGCGGGTGTGGAAGATACTCGAGGAGGGGGGTGTCGACGTCGTGCTCAACGACAAGGTAGGCCGACAGATATCCACCAAAGCATGAATACCGCTGACTCGAACCAGGACGACTGGGTGCACGACTCAGTGATCCCACTGAAATGGATGTTCCCGCAAGCGTGTCCGCCGACGACGCTGATCTCGCTCAACACGAAGTACAATCCAACCTTCCACGCGCGGCTGGGGCAGATCCTCTCAGTGCTCCGCGACGACGACATCCTGCTGCTAGGCACAGGCGGCGCCGTGCACAATCTGTACCGCAACCGCTGGCCGAACATAATCATCTACCGCAACAACTTTGCGCAGCCCGTGCCGCCAAAGAAGTGGGCGCTCGAGTTCCGGCAGGCGTTTGTCGACGTCATGACGAAGAGCCCGGAGGCCGACGAAGACGGCAGCGTTAAGGTCAAAGAGGGGGCCACCAGGCTGATGCATCATCCGCTGTTTAGGGATGCGCATGGAACGGACGATCACTACATGTCTGTGTGCTTTATTGCGGGGGCTGCAAGAGAAGGCGAGAAGGGTGCTAGGACGAGTGAGGTCTGGGAGTTGGAGAATATGTGTAACGCGCAGTTTCAGATCGGGGAGTGGTAGAGCATGGAACTGAATTTCATTTCATCGAATTACAATCACTCGTACAAAGTGATTGCGACCAGGCTGAGCTGAGCTCTTTTTTGCGTGGTCAAGATGGGTCCGAGTGGTCGCTGCAATGGAAGGCTGTCATCGTCATACTACTAGTACCTCGTATCTACGCACGCCAAGACAAGTCGTCGGGTTGTGGGGGAAGGGTCCTACACCCCACCACAGGCCGTTAAACTAATGCAAGGCCCGTTTACCGGACACAATCACTTACCATCACTCGGGGCAGCTCGGAGATGCTGGGGTGGTAGGTGCGGAGATAGCCATTGAACTCGAGTTATGCTACATAAACCCTTATTTCTACGACGTGATCCCCGCTGGACATCCTGCGGGGTAATTTAGGCATTCTCGGGACGGTCAGCAATACCGGTATGTAGCTGCAGCTCGAGTTTGTGGGGCCGAATGAACAATGCTGGCCGCGCCGTGCCACGGTGGGGCAGCCGGAATGCGGGCAGCAACGTCGGTGAATTCATTGTTTCATGCATATTCGTGTGGGCGGGCCGTGCCCGCCGGTTCTCAAACCCGCGCCCACATAGGTACCTATGCATGTCCATTGTCCACACGACCCGGCAAAGCCTGTCCACTGTCGGCTCTGTTGTCTTCGTTTCTGGGATTGACTGGCTGTCTGTACTACCTGTTCACATCGATACGAGTGGACTTCACGTGTCTAGGCTATGGATTGGTGGTGATGTCGAACTGGTGACCGCTATATAAGAATCACTGTTCTTCACTCGCACTTGAATCACCGCTCAGGAGCGAAATACAGTTTACCTATGTACTACGATCTCTACCCCCCGGGGAGCTGGCAGGAAATAAAGGGTGCCATGGTCTAGTAAGGCCGTATGCGACGATAATTAATGTTCTCTCTCTCGGTACCGATGTACTGCCCCCGGGTGCGGACAGCGGGGATCACCGGTTTTCTAACGGCTATGATGATCTACTAGGTATGATTGAATGCAATGATGATTAAAGCAAAAAAGAAGACCTACGTACTGTATCATTTCAGTGTCAGGGTCTATACGTAGAGCACGCTATGATAAAGTGCTAAGTCACGTCTGATCGGTGGACAAGAGCCATAGCTCCCGTAAAGTATGTTATAAGTTGGCTTGAGTCATTATCTGTCATTATTTGTTCCATGGTATTCCAATTACTCCGTCGTCTCCACCTGTGCCGCCGCCGCTTCCGCGGCCTTCCTCTGCTCCCTCGTCACAACCACTTTCTCGAACATAATATCCGTCCTCAACGTGTACTTCGTACCACCTGTGACCTCCTCACCACTATGCACGAGCATACGCTGCTGAAATATGAGGATCCTTCCGAGCTTCGGTTCGACATCGAGCCACCGTTTCTTGTTGGGTGTGTAGAACCTCGTGGCTCCGCCTTCAAGTCCATTGCCGTCGTTCAGATATAGATGTATCGTTATGAAACTCTTCGTTGTAGGCTCAGAGCCGTCGTCAGAACCGGCAACGTCCTGTAGGCCGTCGCAGTGCGGCTTGAAGTACTGACTGGGCCCATACTTGAGGAAGCGGAGGCGGTGGTTGAGCCTTCATCGAACGTGGATATATATCAGCCATGTATCCGGGGCAGACAAAAACGTTCTCCATAACGCGATGTTGGAAGCTTACTTCGCCAGCCTCCAGAACCCAGTTTCGCCTCTAGCCGCACTCCATTTCTGCCCCGCCTTCCCCGTGATATCGACGAACTTGTTGTCGGGCCCGATCTCTGCAACCTCATGCAGGAACGGTTGTATGCGCTCAAATATCTTGGCAGCAGTTACCGGATCGTCGCGCATGATCCTCTCGCTATTGCGGAAAGCTTGGGAGACTGCATGAACCGGCGCGTATTCCCCCCCCGAGATGGGAGCCCGGTTTTTTCCCGGCTGCTCGCGCGGGGCATTGGCTGGTTTCCAGGGCTCCTCGCTTTCCGCGAGCGCGATGAGGTCGACGCATTCGCTGGCCGTGAACACATCTTCGAGGATTAGGGCGAAGAAGGTGTCGTATGGCCCGGCGATGGCACTGGTGGAGAAGTCGATCGGGATGCAGGTTATTGAAGACATTGTTGTTATTGCGGATCGCGGATTGGGATTTGGAATGTGGTGGCGCTTTATGGGATGGGAGTCTTGACTCCTGAGGGAGTCATCGTGGTTGATCGGCGCCGAGAACACGTGAGGGATGCATGGGTCGGGCTATTTATAAATGCCCGTGAATCAGTTGTACGTTGTTGGGTCACAGTGCAATGGTGGGCACTGGAGGCCTGATTACTTAGTACAGAAAACATCTACTACAGCACTACTAGAAGCCGATTACAACGGTACAACCTGACGCCTGACTTCGGATCTACACCCATTATCCTGAATATCGGCTGGTGTCCCCGACTTGTGGTTCGAGTTTTCCTCATCCTTGCGACGCTAGACATCCGATTGCTGTTCGATTCTGCGTGTGAGGGTGACAGGTTTAATCCCCCCCGCTGGGTCTCTGAGCATCATTCCTGCATCCTCACCACCGGCTGACGCCCTCAGCCCTACGTAAAGAAGTTGTATCCCCCACATTTCCAGCGGATGTACATTTTTTGCAGTGAATGAAGTTGGCTGGATCTGGATTGGCGGGGATGTGTTGATAACGAGTGATATCAGAAGCATTCTCGCGAACTTGAACAGAAGTTACCTAGAGCAACCAGTGTCAATGTTCAAGTGAACCCCCCGCTGGATCTCTGAGCATCACTTCTAAATCATCCCTGCCGGCTGACGTTCCCGCATTGGCATATTGTACGTCCTAGTAGAATATTCAGAAGTGATGAAGGCAACAACGATATGGATTCCAGCTTGAGCTCAGATTTAGGCTCAGGGTCAGACTCAAGCTCGGGCCCCAACACTTATCCAAACGGAATACCTTTTCACCAGTTCGAACGGAAATATTCGATCTTTCAGCTCTACTGTCAGTTTGTAGGCCATCCATAAGGCTAAACGCGATCAACTGAACCTACGTAGGTAGGTAGGTATGCCCTTCTAGATCCACTAAATATCACTCGATGTTTGGACGACAGTCGACTAGTGGGCTACCGTCCTCTGCGCAAGCTTTCTGGCGAAGGTCATGAAGGAGACGAAGAGAAGAGAAGAGAGGTGGTCAATAACGGAGCTGTTCGCTGATGAGCGGTGCAGTGAGGCAATCCTAGAGTTTCTGGGAACGACGGAGGTGTGGAGGAAAGCACCAGCAGACCTGGACGAGGATGAGGAGGAGGCGAGCATCGCATCGGGAGCAGAGCAAGAGTGTCCAGCAGGATACTGCGTCTGTGGTCGGTGCGAGGAAGTGGGAGAGTAGGATACGCGGTGATAGGTTTTGGAGCGGAAGCGGATGACGGGGAAGAGAGGCGAGGAGCAGCAGGAGGAGCGGGCATGTGGGCCCATACCAATCTTTACTGTCGATATACCATGTCTTTGCTTGTGTCGGCCCGAGGCGGATGGGGCAGGGGAAGTGGGGCGCCGCATCGGACTGGTCGGTCCCGGGGGGGTTTTCACCTCGACTGGCCAGGGCGGACAGGAAACGGAGGTCGTGGGTTCGCCATAGTCTAGATAGGCTGCATGCGAAATAAAACAGGAAGATATCTCTCTCTCTCTCTCCTCTGCGCAAGAGGCCTGCTGGCGCCCTCCACCCTGTTTCCCGCCTACTTAGGAAGTTTTAGTATTAGTGCGCTGGAGGCAGCCTCGGTGATGCAATCCAAGCCTGGAAACCGGGGCGACCCACTACCTACTTGCATCCGCATGAGAAACGGCTTGGCAATTGGGTCCCGTGCTCGCGGCGATCTCGCCATCTTGATCATGGCAAGTCCAGTAGATAAATGTGGAGAACTTGCATTCCTCATTCCTCGACAGTCGAGTGATATATTGAAACATGGCGAGTCAACTTGTTGCAATTGACGATTCCGCACAGCAGCAGTTCGCCGTCCGATTGGTGCCTCATGTGAAATCATGAATAAGGACCCCCTCAGACCTCCCAGGAGTACCCGTATCGGGGAAGTGCTTCTTTCTATTTGTGCCTCGGTGGCATCGCACTGGAGTCTTGTTGCCGGATGATTGGCTTTGTTGGATTCAGCCTTCAGGCCGTTCCGAATAGATCTACTCTAGACCCACATGCCCCCCTCTTTGCTACCTCACCGCTCACGGAGACTATCCTACGATAGTAAGCCACCTCTGGAGTCAAGCAGCCGCCTCCCATCTACCATACTGTACATCGAAACCCTAAACCTGGTTGAATCGATCACGATCCTTATCACCGATTTCCTATCCTCGACTCCGTCGTTCGGCTCGTACCTTTTCTCGGTCATGTTTGTGGCATCGCTGGCGGGGCCGTGAAAAACTGGGGTGCCGGCGGAGAAACCGAGATGAGATGTGGGTAGGTATAGAACGGATTGCCAGCACCACCCCTGGTCACAGCGGAAACCGAACATGAGACATGGTTGGTTCGATTTTGAGCCTGCAGAGAGAGAGAGTGGAAAAAAAAACGTGACAACAACTAAACCGAGACAAGCCACGCCTATCGATTGCATTCTTTTCGTTTGTGTGTTTGCCGCAGATAGCGATGCAAATCCCGCACCGCAAACGCGCGCAGAAATCCGAAGCAACCGGATCCACCGCTGTTCGTCTCAGTGGTCGACAACCCACACGCTTGGATGGATAGTCTCTTCGAAATGCCCGTCGATGTATGGAGCGCAGAGACGGTGGATTGAGGCAGACTCACGTTCGGACTGCTCCACGGTAGTTCGAGGCCGCATATAGAGTCGATAAGAGAAGCTATGGAAGAGTAAGCATGAGGATTCCAGCCTCTAGGACGAGATCGGAGAATTCGGATGGTACTTTATAAAAGTCCGATATCGGTTGAGGTAACCGGTGGTAGCGAACTTGGAATCTGGATGAACCCACGAAGGGAAGCTCCGATCGAGAACCCTGCTACGCCTTGCGAAAACCGTAACTACATAACTATATCCTATCGAAGTGCAGGATCCTGAGAAAGCGCAGCGAATTAAGCTTACTCTAACCACATGTTCTGCCATACACTAATTTCCATGTCGAGAAGTGGCGGTTGCATGTTTTTATACACAGTCTTTTTTCCTTTTGGTTCGCCATAGATGGTCTAAAAAGGCTGTGTGTAAAATACTGGTACGGTAAGTTGGTGCTCTCTCTCATCATATCCTCTGACCCCTCGTATTCAAACCGCCTATGAAGCGACCAGGTCATCCGTTAGGTACGACGCTGGCATAACCTGGTGCACGACTTGGAGTTCTAGTTCGAGATACGGCCGTCGGACTTCTACGTTGCCCTGCTTTGATCGACCAGGTCGAGGGCTCAGAGGCTTTCTCCAAGGCTTTCACCATCTGTTCTCCTCCTAATACTCGGGGCTCAGGAGCTGGAGTCGCATGACTGACGTGTGGAGTAGTTGGTGATGTCTAGTCGTGGTCGGCTTACACATCCATCCCCAATCAACAACCATACGAACCAACACAACCCCCGCAAACTGAGATTTATATTTTGCGACGCGAATGGTATTCACTCCAAAATTCTAGTGCTTTTCTCTACAAGTAGGAGGGATATGAATTCCGAGACTATTGACCGAATTAGCGGACGAAATACCAAGAGGCGACTAATACATAGAGTTCTTTTTCTTTTAAAAAAAGTCATTTTGGTAGAGAATAAGCGACACACGAGTCAGAGGTGGGTTGTCAGAACCCCTTCAGGCTCGACCACGGTACCTAGAGTGGAATGAGTGGTCGCTCAAGAGCCACTCCGGTACCAATTTTCGTTCACCATTTCCCGACCGGCGCAAACTCTTCTTGTAGCAGGTATTTGACTATTTGGGGGTGATTGGTAGAGATAAGTTTCTTCAGGTAACGTGGAGGTGATCGCCGGATTGAGGTGTCGACTATGAAGAACGCTCTGCTTGGCGCTATGTCTTGGACTTTGCATGTTGCTAGCTTAGAATCACACCCAGAGGTCTGGCTGATTCGCCATATCTTGGGCACTTTGTATGTGTTGGGCTCAGAATTGCACCCGCAGGCCTGACTGTGCACTCCGATTCAAACCTTAAGGATTGATTCCCTCCTACATCACTTGATTCTCCCCTTGTGCGTCTACACCTAACCGCTTGCACAGTGAGGTGGCACTTTTTATGAATCATTCACGGACATTGTGCTTTTACTCACTCTGCATTCCTCAGCTTGTCTCACAATTTACAACGACCGCCTAGAGTCCCTAATTAGCGAAGGCTGCTACTATCAAAGCCGATCATTACCAATCACCACGACTACCTCTCATCAACCCTTCGCCACCGCACCCATAGTAATTGATTTCACACTTCAGGTGGGCGGAAAAAAACAGCCATGGTTTTGCCATGATTTTATACAGGTCGAAAGCAGAGATGGAAGAAAAAAAAAACCGCGGTCACAAACCAATTTGAATTTTGGGTCGAACTCTGGCGTTTCCGGTAGGAAGTTTTGAATTCATCAGGCTTAAGCTAGGTTATGCCCGCTTTGACAATTGTGGAGTACCACATTTTCCCCTGGGAACCTGCTTGTTGACTACTATTCTGCGGTGTGGGCGGTGTGTGCAGCCGATGTGTTGTGTACATGTCGAGTAATTACTACCTATGTGGATGGAGGTCGTTTTGGTACGATTGGACGTCTGTAACAGGCTGCCGTCTGTGATTTCTGCATGCAAATTTGAGACATCAGCCCCCGCCTACGATCCAGCTAGCAGCTGAGGGGTTGCAAGACTCGAAAACACAGAGGGCCTACATATTTAACAGGCTCGGCGCCAACTACTACGGACGCAAAGTGGATTGCCCAGCATTCGTCCTACGCCCAGCGCATTCCGAACGACGGCCCTCTAGTTAGCGATTCCCTAGAACTACCAGCACCGCACCAATGTCATCGAACATGATCGCTCTCCTCTTGGTCCTCTCAAGCGTCTTGGGTCTGGCTCTCGGAGCTCCTATCGAGGATTGGCAACCGCCGCTGGGCAACCTATCGGCATTGCAAACAACTGTAGCTCCGCCTTGGGTATCCAGTCATCCTACGCGCGGAACCTTCGAGATACTGTACAGCTGTAGCTTCACGCTTCTCCTCTGCATTTACACTGCCCTTCACCTGAACGTGCCGCCGCCGGACGACAAGAAACGCCACTATTATCTACGGAAGGCCAAGTGGGCCTTGACCGCGCTTTTTGGACCCGAAGTGATCCTGTACGCGGCTTGGGACCAATGGTGTGACGCGAGAGAGTTTTCCAAAAGCTTCAACTATATCAAGAAGGCCCCAGAACAGAAACCCCAGGTAAAGAAAGTCACGGCGGCAGATGATGCCGCGGCGGCGGAGGTGGCCAGGTATGAGAAGGACACGGAAGGGGAAGCCACGGTAGAGGAAACCACACAGCCGAGCAGCCCCGAGCCTTCGAAAGGTGATTCTTGCGGCGAGGTCTCGATCAGCGAGAAACAAGGCACCGTCCCGACTGTATATCATGTCGATGAAGTTGTAGGTGCCCCCCCCCCCACACAGCACAGACTTCGGCCGCAGTGAGCTAACCCCGAAGAGAACGAGGATAGGGTCCTCACCTTGGCGGAGGGATTTTATGCTGGGATGGGAGGATATGTCGTCGATGTCACGGAAACCAAAAAGATCGGCGATCTTGAGCCTGGAAGATACACACTCTCGCGCCAATGGATCATCGCCCTCGCAGAGATACTAAAGTACAACTTTCCCATTGCCAGCCGACAGACGATCGAGGACAAGAGCAAGGCAAACTTGCTTGCCAAGATTCTCGTCTGTTTCCAAGTTTCGTTCCTGGTCATGCAGGTGGGTTCTATCTCGACGGGTTCCCAGATGCATGTTGCTGATTATGCTGCGCTGTCAGTCACTTGCCAGGAAGGTCCACGGATATCCTCTGACACTGTTGGAACTGCACACGCTGGTTCATGTGATATGCGCATTCGCGATGTACGGACTTTGGTTCAGAAAACCTCTCGAGATTTACGAGCCGACGGTGGTTGAGCTCAGCGGGGAAGTCATCGCCAGATTCAATGCTACTACAACCTCCGGCATGAATATTATAGAGCACCCGCTGCATAAGTCCGCACAAAACATCGGAGCCATGAAGACAGCCGGCGGTCACGTCTGGTTCCTCGGATGTGCGGTTCATGGGGCCGTCCACCTGACGGCCTGGAACTACATCTTCCCGACCGAAATTGAGCGCTATCTCTGGAAAGGTATGTACGGTGCCCGTGCACAGCGTTTCTCCCGTCCCGGTTGGATGCTGAGCTGATTTGGATCGTATATAGTTGCATGCCTCATCGCTGTCTCTGGCTTTCTGGTCACCCCTGCGTGGCTACTCATCGGCACCGAAGGCGACGAGGATACCGGTGCCGCATTACACACCTTCATTTTCCAAGGCGTACGAAAGCTGTGGGAAAAGTCTGTATACTGTTGGAACAATGCATTCGAGAGCCCCACTAGGTTTTCACGGGCTGTCTTTTACTTTACCCAGTGGATCGGAGTCATCATCACACCGCTCTTCTTCGTTGCCCGGATACTTATAGTGATCCTGGCTTTCACTAGCCTAAGATCTGTCCCAGCGGGGGTTTACGCCGACGTTCCATGGACACAGTACTTTCCCCATGTATGACGTTCCGGCTTCATCCTTTCACCACTGTTCCTGTTTCCTTCACCTCTCTCCTTTCTACATACCGTGTGGTCTTTCCTTACATGATGTATCTAACCGTCGGTGTTTTTGGTGGAACGATCTGTGGAACACATTCGCGTTGGCCGGTGCTGGCTCCCAAACATGGCATTGAGTGGCTTCGGCCGCTGCTGCTCGTCATCGAACCGTGACTCTGCTCGGCGATGCATGCGCAGGAATGACAAAGCAAGCACGTATTCTCACTCGCTTGCTTCCCGCTTGCTCACCGGAAAACCACCGTCGAACAATAGGCGGGAACGGACTGCTACGGAAGGGGCGTGGAAATCTCCATTACACAGATGGTGGAAATCTCTGTTAGGCACCACATAAACCTCTACGCTGCTGCAACAAAGGCGGTTTCGCTACAACGTCGGCTACATTTTTGAGTCCGCGAACCAAGAGCGGGCTGTTCGCGCAGCCCCACAATCAATGATACAAAAGAGATTTTGACGCGTCGGTAGTTTATATTGCACCTCAAGGAATCATGCCCTGTCGTCCGATCCTCGTTTGGAGCACTATTTCTCGAGTTATGCACAAAATTGTGGTGGTGGTGAGGTGACCTGGTGGTAGCGGCACATATCGAACCTTGTCAAACACCCGATTATTGTCACCCTCAGTCCAGGAGCATCACCAGATATTGCTTCGGAGGTCTTTCTTATCGCGTGGCAGCTCCATCCTACCAGCGACGGGCCGCCCCCTTGGTACCGCTATTCCCCTGAAATGACTCGAGGCATGCGAGGACGCCCAGTGCTGGTGGTGTAATCGGTCTAAGCACGCGTGGAACATGGCAGAGCTCTTTGCGGATCAGAGGTGCAGGGAGGCGATACTGTGATAGTTATCTACAAACTCCAGATGTGGATAGTTGTAACTTTCAAGACCTAATAAGGTCGAATTCAATGGTGATGAAACCAAAAACGAAAGTGACACCGAGCCGGTTCCTAGAACTGCTCGGTGTGATGAGATCAGCGCATTTTCTGGGGGTGAAGACATTCCCCAAGAGGGTTATGTCAAAGAAGACACGGTCGTATGGTCCTGCGATAGGACTGGTGGAGAAATCAATCGGACACAGATCATTGGGACACTATCCGTAATGAGAATTAGGGATTGGAATTTAGAATGCGTGGCGCTTTATGGGAGTAAGATCAAGCTTTTATGCAACTCAACATACTCGTGAGTCGCGATGAGAAGTTATTGAATGTGGGACGCTACCGTAAACACGTGATGATGCCGAACTACATTGTATGATTGTCTCCTGTTGGTGGGCAATAGTTATGTACAGTACTGAAGTGGGTAGACACCTACCATCTAGAGTAGAGTAGAGTCCAAAGGGCAAAAATTTGTCCAATGTCCGGCCTTTACATTAAAAATATGCCGATACCGGTGAAGGTAGAACTCGATTACAACTGTACACACCACCTGGCGAGTAACCTCAGATTTACAGCCATAATCCTGCCTGATTGCCTGTTGGCACACCCCCTCATGGTTTTGAGTCTTCCACATGTTTCAACACGTCAAGACATTTGATTGCAGTCCTTTTCCTTCATGGAATGCCAACTAATCCGTCCCGCCAATCCGTTCCCTCTTTATCGGCTCCCACTCCATCCACTCTCTTCTCCTTATCTTTCTCCTCCCGACCGTCTCCCTTCCTATCCGTCGCCCACGGCACCCCCGAACTTCGGTCGTCCGGTGCCTGCTTATCCGCGCTTTTTTGATGCTTACCAGGTTTCATGGAATTATACAGGTGAGAGGCATCCATAAACAACTCGCCTGGGTATGGAAAGCCCATCAACGGTGGCGATGAAGCTTGCGGGGAATGGTAGAGAGGGTTCGGCATTTTCGAGCGAGAAGTGGCCCGAGAGTCATCATCGCGTTTAGAGAGACGCTCCACTAACAGCAGCAGAATTGGTCAGTCTTTTTCCGCTAAACCTCTAGGAAAGAGCCTACACACTGGTTTTTGAAATATAACTGTCAAGTGAAAGATGACTGTCAAGCTCTCGCCATGCGTGGAGTTCGGGGCCGCCGCCTCCGGGATATCCACCAAACGGCGTAATCTGTTCGTCAAAAGACTCAATATTCGACACTCGGGGTTCTCCTTCCGGCGCCCTTTGAGGAAGCACCTTTAGTGCCAAGTTGAGCATATGCATGCCAACGTGTGATCGGCAGTCCCGGATAGATCCTCCAACCCCAGTCCCACAAAACAGGCACTCCCACAGAACTCCTCGCCTCCCACAGGCGTTAACAATATCTCCCACGCCCTCGGCTTTCATTTCTGGAGTATCCCCTAGATGGCTTTCAAGCACGTGTGTTTTGAAGAGTTCTTTGCGCGGAAAGACCTTATAACAATCCACACATCTCCATTCAGAGTACCACTGGTGCCCGTAAAGCTTATCATGTCTTTCCCATTCGTCCAAGGTGGTAAAAATCAGATCATGGCGGTACGGACATTCCAGATGAATGCAGCTGTAAGGCATTAGATCGCGTTGTACGTGCTCTCTATTCAGCTGATCGTTAGGAGGCTTCGCTTGAGGCTACTTTGACGGGAAACCTACTCCCACTGCTTTCTAGAATTCACTACGTTACGCTTCTGACATATGCAGCAATTAAAAGGCTTTCCGAACTCTGCTAACATGGGAGGCCAATCGTAGGTAGCTGAGTCTCGTCGTGGATTTGGGAAGCTCTTGAGGTGTTTTTCATTCTATCTTAGCTTCAGTAGGTACAATCCAGTAGATATAGTCGGAGAAACTTACGGAGATGCTGCGAATACGACTATAGGTTGGAACACTTGAGATGGCGATAGGGGAGAGTGTAGTAGATGATTTCATGGCTATTTCCAGCATAGACGTCCGCTCGGACAACCACTCTGGCCCGGGGTACCACTCTGGCCCGGGGTACCACTCTGGCCCGGGGTACCACTCTGGCCCGGGGTACAACTCTAACCGTTCCCGCCCAGACAACCGCTCCAACTCGGGCGAGGGCTCCAACTCGGACGAGGGCTCCAACTCGGACGAGGGCTCCAACTCGGACGAGGGCATCAACTCGGACGATGGGGCTACCATGGACTCGTCGAACCCGGGAACCATTAGCGGCCCAGGTAGATGCACGTCTCGCGGTTTATATACCCTATTGACCCTGTCTGGCCTGCCTGGCGAGACTTTCTCCGCCCATTTCCGAACTCTTTCATGCCGCTGCCAATTGAGATTCGCGAGTATGCGTGCCAAATCGTCGTCAAGGAGATAATTTTCTTCGATGTAATCTTCCCAGCGCCGAGCTTCCGGTATGAGAGATACTTCGCCAGCCACAGAAGATTCCGAGCTGGAACTAGTGGTACCTGAATAAAGATCGTCGATATATGGAGCGAGGTCGTACAGTGAGTCGATCGAGTGTTTGACGTCTTCCAACATTGCCCCACCCCTGTGAGTATTTTTCAGGAGGTTCTCCACATCTGGGGACAGACGATCCAGTATTCGCTGCCTCCTCAATGTCAAGTCCGGTTCGATGTCATCTAAGAACGAATAAGTAGGTAGCCGCATGCTTTAGAGATCAAAGATAGTGTTCAGACGTGGATTCAGACGCGTATGAAGAGTGTTCATCAGACAACCCAAGAGCATCACTATCATGTTGCTCATCCGTTCGTCGTTCTTGCGCACCAAGAGCTTGTCGAGGCTACCCTCGAAGTTGCCAGCCCATAACAAGAGTCGGTGTTTTTCCTCGGTCATGAGGGGCTGCTCTTTGGCTTCTGCAGAAGATATGCTGGCTCGGAACATGTCGAGACACAGGTTAAAGAGTGTTGCTATCGAGTAGTCCTTCCCGGAAGGTGACTCGGGTATGATTTCCTCCATGCGCATCGTGAATAGAGTCAAGTTAGGTGTGTGGTGCCGGGAAGTTCGAGGCTGAGTAGGTCCTCACTAGGTTGAGGAAACACCAAATTTCGGTAGAAATGAGAATTTGGTGGTGGAGTGCGATCGGTGAGGTCGTGAGGGAGGGGAGGGGGATTCCGGATTCTTCCCCAAGACCAAGTCAGTATTGAGCTATAGCGGGGAATGCGCGGTAGTTGGGGTCGTTGTGCAACATGCTGATAACTACCTACATATCTGCAAGCTTATTTGATCAGACATGTCACATAGAGTTAGGTCACCGAGCTTCAGCCTCACCAGGCCATAGCAGCGGAGGTCTGAAACCCCCCCGCAGTAACGACATACTCTACGGTGTCCGGTCGATCCTGCAGATAAGCACGCCGAAAACCTACGATCTAGAGTCAAAACGTCCTATTCTATGGCCACCTAGCACATATCCTATTGCGATTCCAGAACACACGAACTAAGATCCTGCCCCAGTCCAATACGCGCGCACGACTCGAATCTCTCGGCGATGGAACCTGCCAGCTTCACTCTTGGTGCCATAGCGCTGATCCCAGTTGCATACAAGGCCTACATCAAGTGCTCGGGATTTTTGAATGCATTGCGTTTGGATGATGGCATCTTTTCGACGTGGACGATCGATCTCTCCCTGCAGCAAGAGATATTTACGCGCGAGTGCCAGTTGTTTCTCTGCGGGATCGTCAACCCAGATATTGCCGAGCAGATGCTTGACGATGAAAAGCATCCGCAATGGAACGAGCAGGATTTCGTAGCGTGGTGTGCATCGCATATGTCGAAACCCAGAGAAGCTGCGTTACGAGCGTGCTTGGAAGTTTTGGAGACGACCTCCATCAAGTTGACGGCTGCAAAAGGGTTTAAAGGACCGGCAGCTGTTCTCAGTGGCTCACTGGAGCCATCCACAGCGGTATCTACATACCTTTTTTTATCCACCCGCGGAAAGAAAAAGTACTTATGTCACATGAATCATAAAGCTGATGAAGTTTAGGTGCGGCTGGGAGCAGCAGATTCTGGCTCATCGGGCACCTCCTTTCAAAAATATGTGGACAAAGCTCGCAGGATGAAGTGGTTGGAGGGTGGCCAAGCCGAGGTGGCCGAACTTCTTACCAAGCTCCGGGTGTACAACAAAACCCTACGGACACTAAGGAAGCAAGACAAAGAACTGAAAAAGAGACGGAGACACGGCAAAAAAGATGCTACGAATCAGCCGATCGAGATATCCTCAGAATGGCTGCCGCCCCCACTAGAAGAAAGATCTACTAGTTGGGACGCGGTCCGTGACTGTGCGCGACGTCTCAAAGAAGGGTTAGCTTTTATCCCGGAGTGTGCATGCCATAGTGTGGATCTTCGACTGGAGGGGACAACATATCTCCAGAACACTGGATCCCACGGCCGCGCAAACTTCAAACTGATGATTTCATCAAAGAATTCCGAGGGCTGCTCGGACGAAGCTCAGCCAGAGTACCTGTGTGTGCTGGTCGAGTCAGCTCCATGCGCAAGGGAGGATACGGAGGGGGCAACATCGATATTGAAGCCTTCAAGCCAGATGGCATCGAAGCGGAAACTCTTGCCGCCGTGTGATAGCATACGAGTGCAACCTCTTCCTACGCCTCCTAATGCTTCCCAATGTGTAGGGCGAAGCAGAACGATGGTCATCACTTCATCATTATCCTCTCGGCAGCAAACCGACACGATTGTTATCTCACCGTCGTCTTCGCATTCGTCGTTTCAGCTGGCGTGTGAAGACATTTCTCCCCTTGTGTCGCTCTGTACAGCCAAGATTTACTTGCCAATGCCGTCGACCCCGTCATCAAGATATCTGGGATTCCTTTCCACTCGGACCACTACCACGGAAACCCATCGTCATCTTCTTTACAAAGAAGCACTTCGAAATGAGCCCTCACAGAGGCTGGCACTCTCGGAGCTCCTGTCGAATAATGGAAATGTGCTGCACTTCGCGCGCTTGGAGCGGCTCCGTATGGCATCGATGATTTCGCTCGCCGTTCTGCATTTCGGTTCTCTTCCTCTGTCTCCATGGCTTGGGCACCGCTGGGCTAGTGACGACATCTACGTTTTCCTTAACGGTCAAGGAAAGCCGGTGGTCTCCCGTCAATGCGGCGAACCACCTTTGGCCGCGGGGACATTCGCTCCACACGTCTCCGCACTGCGGCCTACCCAAAGCCGATCCGAACGCCGCTCCCCCTGGCCACTCGCAAAGAACAGCCAGCTTTTCTCCTTGGCCTACGTGCTGACAGAGCTGGCTTACGGCAAGCCTTTCGCCGACATTGAGAGTTCTCGATCTGCATCTCCACTGCCCACCAACAACAATGATGATACCCCCGGGGACCGTAGTTACATCAAGCAGTACATCAAATTACGCGAGATTGTTGAAGACCGATTGCACGACGAGGCCGGCCGGAAGTTTGCATCCGCTGTCAGTGCCTGCTTCCATGCTAAGCTCAGCAAGAGCCACGATCTGACCGATGAGGGAACCCGGGCGGAGTACTATGAAAAGGTGGTCAAGAAGCTACAGGAGTGCGTAAAGGTTCTCGAGGAAGATTAGTGTGAGCTATGGAGGCCGGCGGTAGGGCGGTGAATACTACGGTTGACATATAGGTTAGTTCCTGAGAGTTTAGGAGGGTGTTTTTTTTGCCATGGCCACATATTGGACGTTTTTTTTTCCACAATGAAGTTTTTCCGTTCATCTACTCGTACACATACCTATGTTCAACTCTAGATCCTGTCCGTCAGTGGTATCTAGGTTCACGACTACAGCTTACTCTATTATTTGAACACCCGAGTGAGAGTTCATCGCGAGTGATACATTATGATAATCCCCTTCCCCCCACCGCCCCTTCAATATATAACCATTCTATAACCATTCCTTTTTCCCAACTAGCCAGCAGTAGCAATTCAAACTGCCATTCATCTCTCGGTCTATCCCCCCAAGCTTAACGAGGCCCTATAGTGGTTATTCCCACTCAATCCCACTTCCCCGCTCACTCTCAGAGCTTTTCATCATGGCATTCTTCACACTCAGTCGGCCTTATCCATACTCCCTTCATCGTGAGGCAGGCAGAACAGGACCCTAACGACCTGGATCCATTCACGCTGTCTCTACCAGAGTACCGTAGGTATTACAGCCACAACCACAACCGCACAATCACATCCGCTTGATTGCACATCCGCTTGATTGCACATCCGCTTGATTGCACATCCGCTTGGTTGCACATCCGCTTGATTGCACATCCGCTTGATTGCACATGAATCATGATCAATCATCCAAACAGACCATTACCATCACTCGCTCACACATAGAACCGCAATAAAATAACTAACGTACCGTAATACCTGACCCATTCCAGCCTCGCCGCAGGCCGCAACTAACCCAACAGCCTCCGTGTGCAGTAACATTCAAAGAAAAGAAAAAAAGAGAAGGGAAGGGAAAGAACAGAAAACACCTGTACACAGCCCCCCGCGCAACTACACCACACCTCGACGTAACCACCCTTCATTCTATCGCAACAATCCCAACCGAAGAGAACAGGAACCATAAAAGAAAGAGAAGAAGCCCATCACCTGACCTCCTCGTTTCCAGCGCCAATCTCGCTTCCCGTAGCCGTCGCCGGAGCCCCGCGCTTCAACGATCTACCAGCGCCATCGGCGGGAAACGCCATATCCTCGTCTTCTTCCTCCTCCTCTTCTTCTTCCTCATCATCGTCGCTAGCACTTCCCATTCCGTCATCATCGCTCCCGAAGGGTCCCGCGCCCTTGCCGGACTTGGTCATCTCATTGAGATCCCCCAGGTCCTCTGGCTTCTCGCGTAGCCAGCCCATTCGCGGACCGCTGCGGGCGCGCTCGTTGACGCGGAATCCGTAGATGCGCATCTCGTAGCGGTGGCCTTTGCCGAGTCCGGGGGCGATGTTGTTGGCAGGGACTCCGTTGATGGGGGCAAGGGTGTTATTAGCAGCGCCCTTGCGACCGCCGGCGGAGTTGAGGGTGTTGCTTGCTGTGACGTCTTTCCTGCCGTTCCCGACGATCTCGAGCTCGGGGAAGGTCATCAGGAAGAGTGTGGGGAATGTGGTGCCGAAGTAGGCGCCGTCGACGGACTGGAAGCGCGAGTTCGGCGGGATGTAGATGTCGCAGCAACTGGGGCAGAAGAGTTTGACGGTCTCAGTGCCGGGGGTGTCGGAGTAGCCGCACGGGAGGACGCGTGCCGACACGCAGTTAACGCGAGGGCAGAAGCCGAAGTGATTGGCTAAGTACTTGTCGTACATGACCTGAATACCCTGTCGTGATGTGATGAAGCGCTGGTGGATGAGACCGTACAGCATTTCGGCAGAGGTTTCTATCATAGAGTAGTCGGACGCGGTGCGAGTGTGGCCGCGCTGCCGACGGTACGAGGGGCCGGCTGGGTTCTCCGACAGCGACTCGGAGGCAGAACCAGGGGATTCGGAATCGTCTTCAGGCTCCACGTCTAGGATCATCTCAAGGGCTTCTTTGTACCTGGTTGTCAACCGCCACCAAGCGTCAGTCCCGCAGCAATTTCTCAAGCACCTTCACGCATGTCAAGGAAGAAGAGGGGGGATTACATAGGCACCACAGCGCCGAGGCCAGTCAGGTTAAAGTCATCCTCGATAAAATCTTCGGACACTTCAGCGAAGTATTCGTGACCGATCACGTTGCAGAAGCTTGCGATCCAGGATTCTTCCTCCTCCATTTCGTCGACGGATGAGATACTCGACTCCTCGGAGATGGATTCCGAGTCGTCTTGCGCGGCGGGCTGGTCTTGAACGTCGAGCGCTGCGCGGTCGCCCTGGACCTGGTCGGGTAGGTTAGGAATGGCGGCGGTGGAGGCGAGCGTGCGGGGAGCGGAGTTCGTTGTGGCCGGCAGTTTTGAACGGGTGTCGGATGAGCGAGGTTTGTGTTGGTGGTGAGGGCGATGGAGAGGTTGGGGAACGCCGGCGGCAGCGGCGGCGGAAGCGGTATTGGCGGCGGTGGTGGCGGTAGTAGCAGATGTAGTGATGGCTGGTTTTGTGGTGGTGGTTGATGTAGTTGTGGTAGTGGATGATGCTTGGGAAGACGGGGGGGTTCAGTTAGCGGCTTTTGGTTTCGGTTGGCGTTTGTTGTGCGAGCTGAGTGAGAGGAATGAAAAACAAGTCAAGACAAACGAAAAGAGAAAGGGAAAAGAAGGAGAAGAGTAGACGAGCAGCACAGGACCAGGGTCGATAGTTCTCGGGAGGAGAATACGCGGCTCAGCTGAGGAAGAGAGACGGGGGCTACGATGCGGACGACGGTGGGGCTCAATCTGCAATTGATTGCAAGCTGGCGGTTGTTTGTATTTGTTCGCTGGACGGAGCGCCAGGCAGACACGGCCGATCCCGAGCCCCGCCAAAGGGAGCACAGACAAACACGGATCACGTCGCGAACAAAGCGGTGGTTAGGATGAGGGATGATAAACATACCAGCAAAGCCCCCCTTCTCGCCCCTCACGCCACCGACCAGCGACAGCACCGGCGACAGCGGCTGCGGTTTCGCCGCCCTCCGCACAATGCCAATATCCCTCCTCACGAAGCCGGCCAGGGGTGCCGCGTACTGGCTGCTCCTCTTGTACTCGCTGCGGAAAGATTCCAGATTATAGAGCGCGTCGTCGTCCTGTTCCGCGTCTGGATCTGCCTCGAGAGGGAGGAGGGTGTTTCCGTCGTCGAGTGTGTCGGCGTCGTCGGGGAGGGGCTGGTAGGAGCTGCGGTCAGGAGGGTAGTCTTCGCGGTCGCTTGGAGCGGGTGCGAGAGGAGCCGACGTGGTGGTAGTGGGTGAAGGCATTGGCGGCGCTGGATGCGTGCCTTGACGCTGGACTGACTGTTGGCGCGGTGGGGGGATATCAGCAGACGCCTAACTCGAGCTCCCACTCTCGAGCTTGAGCGGTAATCTAGATGATGGACAGAAGTTCTGAGATCGACAGCGCGCGGCTGCTAGAGTATGCGATTAGTCCCCCTTGGAAGAAGGAGGATCCTTCGAAGTGGAGTACTGACGAACCGAGATTGCAAGGATACGGCGAGGCAGCAGAGAAACAATGGCGACGTGAGACGAGCGTGATGTTGGGCTGGAGTGCGATGTTGAGATGAGTGGGTGGGAGTGAATGGGTCTATGCTGAGCTCTGATTGTCTATTGACTTTGTCGGCCGTTGATTGCTTGCTTGTCCAATTCTCGATCGAGCTCCTACATATCATCCAGCACCAAGCAAGCCAGCGTAGTGGATCCCCCCACCACACTATCCTTTCAGCCACCACCATCAATCTCCAGCCACACGATCGTCAATTCTTCACGACGAGGATCGTCGCCACCATTTTTGTGGAGGAATGGCACCCACTACCCGCCCAAACTTAACATTGACTTCGTCGCTTCCAACGACCGGCCATCAATTATCAATAAAGCCTTTATGATTAGACTAACGACCGCCCTCCATGCTCCCTCCCATCCCGCCCAAATGCAGCTCAGTGTGGCATTCGAAACATATCCCATCTCGCCAGCAAAAATAAACCGTAACAAAAAAGGTACAAGTACTGTAAGAGCCGCAGTGCCCAACAAACAGCAAAAGTTTAGTGGGGTAGGTAGTCGATATCCCCATGAAGAAGCATCAACCGAATAACCCCATCGTCCATCATTCTTCCCCGCCCTCGACGGAGCTCGGCGGATAGACAGACAGGCGAGATATAAGAGACACAAAAAACCAAACGCATCAATCATCCAATCTACAAACCAAAGCTATAAAGACAAGTGTGTTTATTAATCAAAAATAAAAGCCCGAAGGAAAGACGGTGGTGTGCGCAGGAACTTAAGAATGCTTAAATGCGCCCATCTTCTTGATACCAAGGCCCATCCTCTCACCAGGGCCAGCATGCTTCTTCATAGCATCCTTGATCCGCTTAAGACCGGTCATCAATGAACAGGTTCTCGGGCTCCAGAAGTGCGTTTCGAATAGCTGGTTGACATAATCAGGATCCTTTCCGTCGGTCATGATCTTCATGACGGCAGCATAGTATTTGCCGTATCCAGCGATACCGGCGAGTTGCGTGAGCCACATCCAGATGTTTCGTCCGCGTTCTTCGTTGCAGATCCTAGTGGCAGCGTTTTTGCTGAAGCAGTCTGCTCCAACATCAGCATGAGAAACCAAACCAACAGGTAAAGTGAACCACTCACACATGCACTCATTATCCTGCCAGGTAGGATCGTTGGCTCCCTCGACCGGCTTAATAAAGACAGTTGCAAACCTATAAAGATTATCATGCAAGACTCCAAAGTCCTTCTTCTCCTGGTTGCTCATGCCGTCCACATGCATTCCCCAAAGATCGTGAAAGACGATGAGAAGATTCATCATCTTAACCGAAAGGGCGTAAAAAGGTACAGCTTCCTTCCAATGGACATAATGCTCGAGACAACTAGTTGCACTCAGTAAATGTACGAGAACACAACGTAAGAAGGCTTCAACTCACAAATACCACATCCTCCTACGCTGAATCATTGTTTCGGGCAACTCAACTCCGTCCCACCTCGTCAGTCTCCTCATATAAATACCAATAACGTCCTCTCCGCAAGGATTGGGGATGTAATTGAGCCCACGAAGCTTGGCCCAATACTCCATCATCTTCTTCTCCTTATTCCGGAATCCGTTCCTGAGAAGCTCGACACCGGTGTCCCTAAGATTGAACAGTTCATGCTCTTTCTTCGCCGCGAGAACTCTGTGCGGTGCGGCGTTGTAGAGCACATAGAGGTCCTCGTTCGGAGCGGCGTCAAACTGATCGGGATCCGAGTCTTCGCTTCCGGGCCTGTGCCACAACCACCTGAAGATTTGATCGAACCAGATCTTGCTCGGTTGCATCTTATCGCACTCGATCGTCCAGAGCTCCTCGTTAAGATCATCCAGCCAACCCTTGACGCAACCGAGTTCGTTTTCATTGGCACCATGGTACTTGGCAGAGTAGTGAAGCAACTTGACGACGCTGATACGCTGGTGCATCTCCTGGATTTTGATCTCGCGGAGCTTATCCTTGAGTACCGAGTTGAAGTTGACATTTGCGATATGATCCGAGAGGCTAGGTAAGCTGATCTCCTGGATTCCGAGAGCGTGGAGGAATTGGTTTCGCAAGTCGGAAATCGTTTCGCCGCTTCCGTGCAATGGCGTTGGAGTATGATTGTCGTATCCGATGGCATAGTCGGGCTCCAGCTCCTCGGGGTGATCCGAGACACTGGATTCGTTCTCGGTGACCGTAACATCATCATCGACTGGCTCATCGATTGGCTCCTCTACTACTTCCTCAGCTGCCTTCTTGGTTGACTCTTGGATAGTCTCCTCACTTGGCTGAGACGTCGGGACCTTTGCTGGACGAGAAGGCGTGCCAGAATCAAGGTAACGAGCAGGAGGAGATCGCTTAGGAGGTTCGTCCCTCATAGCAACCGGAATCCTAGAACGATAGACAAGGTTCTTATTAGACCTCGAAGCAATGCGGATCTTTCTGCGTGCCACAGCATTCCTCCAAGCATAGATATCATCATTCCTCGCAGGAGTTGACTTCTTCTCGCTAACCGGTGGTTTATTCTCCGTGGCAGTCTTTCGGAAAGGGGAGGCGGTCGGCGGTGGGAGCTTATTCTTCGTCCTGGGCTTTTCAGGGGAGAACCTGAGTGGCGGGAACTTTTGCTCATCATCCTTTTCCTTTTCTTTGCCAGTATTTCCATGATACTTCTTCAATCCAACGCTCAATGGAGTCTTCTTCCCCGTTCCGTCTCCTGCCGAATCAAGAAGTCCGACTTTCCTTGCAGGAGTAGCTTTGGCCTTCACCTCCGGACTCCTCTGGGCGTAGCTGGCGCCGGCTTCCGACATGGCAGAGTTTCCGCTACGGATAGCAAGTGAACACTCCGAGGTGGTTCCGGTGGAAGCCTTGTCGACAGGCTTTGGTGACGAGAGGACAGGCTGGGGATCCTTAAGAGTCGACTTTCCAGGAGGTAGACGATAGTAAGTGTCGACGAGCTTGCAGGGTGAAACTCTTATGATGTATATCAGCAACAGCACTCTACTCCAACACCGCATAGACCCACGGGCAAGAAATACCTGGTGATAGAAGTCCGTCTCTTCAAAGAGTCTTGTTGAGGCAAAATTGGCAGTCGCTTCGTCAAAGGATTGCGGGATCTCTCGGGGTCTGGATGGGAGATGTCAATAAACGAATGCATGCAATGGCATATAAATAGACACCACGTACAAGCTGGGATGGAGGAAGGAAACTGATTGCTTCTTGTTCCTTGGGATGTAGTGATGTGTTGTCCCCAAGGAGGCATACGGGCAATGAAGGCTTGCCTGGTGAAGGTAAAAGGGAAGACGGCCTTCGACAGACGAGAGGGAAGGGACTTGAAGGAGCTCGATGAAGATGAAAGTGGGGCGAGGAGGAGAGGAGGAGAGGAAGAATTGAAGGCTGCGGAGAAGGAAGGAGGAGGGGAGTATATGGAGACTGAGGACGGTGTTGGGAAAGTACGGGACAGAACGAGGAGGACAGAACGAGGGAGGACAGAACGAGGGAGGACAGAATGTGAGAGGGCCGAGTGCGGGAGGGCCGAATATGGGAGGGCCGACTGTGGGAGGACAGAATGGGAGGGAATGAGAGCTGCTGGCTCAATCCTACACTAGCTTTATGCATCCCGCCTCACTCGTAATTCGATCATTGTATTCACATTAGCACCGCGTACTCCGAGCGACATCAATTAAGGAGGAACCGGTTCCGCAACAGTCGTGCTCTACCTGAAGTCGAATTCTATAATGATTAAGTAAATAAAAAGTACTCCGAGCGACTGGGACGGCGTGCCAATTGATAGGCTAACTATCAAGATCCTAGGTATTTCGAGTGTAGTATACAGAATCTCAAGTACAATTTTACTGCTCGCGCTCAATCTCCCGCTTGATTCCCCTCACCAAAGCCTCCACCTGGTCGGCTGCAGTAGTTTCCTCGCTAGGCAGGATGGGCACCTTCAGGCTGTCGGCAACACCCCGGAGGGCGCCTTCGCGAAGGGCAGCCGAGAGACCGATCGCGCCTTGCGTGAATTGCGGGGATCTTAGAACCTTGGTAATGATCTGCCTCTTCTGGCCTTCACTGGCATCCTTAGGGACCAATGCCGGCGGAAGATTGGCGATCATGTTATCAATGGTCTCCAACGACACGTGATCGATCAAGCCGACAGTCTCACTTGGATCGAGGAGATCGTGAAGTGAGATAGGAGGCTCCTGCTGGCGAGCTGGCCCACCGGGAACTCTGATCTGGGAGAGGAGTGACGTGAGGTCGAACTGCGGAGCAGCGGGCCTGACAACCGATCAAGACGGACACACCGTCAGCCTTGTTATCCATCTACAAAGTGAAGTGTACATCACGCAGCTCACGGACACAAGCAACGATTCGCCTCAAAGAGAAGCAATTAAAATGCGATTCAATACTCGCCAAGTGTACAGGACCACCCCAACCAAGCGATTTCGTGTAGAGCCATGATGAAGTGATGCCAGACAGGAAACAGGAACAGAAGCCAGATGGAAGCAAAAGGAAATGAAAAACCTACGCCCTGCCACCATCCTCGCCGCCGCGTCTAGGCTGTTCACCCTCCTGCTCAATCTCGGTGCTGTCGATCGGCGCATCACCCATCTCCTCGTCGTCGGCTGCTTCCTCGCCCTGCAGGATGCTGTCGATCTTCTTTATCCAACCCTTGTCGCGCTCGCTCCAGAGACCGGGCTGATTCGGGTCTTCCGATTGCGCCTGAAGCCAGTAGAAATTGCGCTGAGAGGAAGACAAAAACTTGAGCATGAAGATGCGGCCGGTTGGACCGGTATCGTGTCGTATGAGTTTCGCATCGCCCGGGAATATTAGAAGGTCGTCTTCGGGCTCGACGGCGCCACGAGGTTTCCAGCAGAAGTGGTGCAGCAGCTCTGGGGTTTTGAAGTGGTTAGTTTGTGGGTGTAGCAGAGTGCCTGCCGCGCGGGATGGGATGGGATTGTAGTCAGTACCTTCATCGGGATTCACGTAGATGTAAAGCAGACCAGGCTCGGGGCTCGGTATGATGGTGTTGGACTGTAGGAACAAGAGTCAACTCCAGGTCGCAGCAAGTAGCATTAGATGAAGCTCACTTCCTGAATGCATTTGCCGGCCTTGATGGCGATGAGGGGTTGGGTTGCGGGCATCGTGGTGGTTGGCTAATGGATGAGTTTGTTTGATTGTTTGATGGGGGGTGGATGGCAAACACCGGCGACAAGCAGCAAGCAAGCAGAGTGACGTGCAGGTGGAGCTCTGCTTAACTTAAGTTAGCGTTGATTCGCTAAAGAGAGTTGCCCGGCCTTCGTTGTTGAACACGTGCATGGCAGGGCTCTTTTCGCCAAGTCTCATCTAACTATCTGAATGATCTTATCTTACAGAATGATCTTATCTCTAAGTATTATCTCCACCATCTAGACCTACGCCTATCACTCTATCTTATCTTCTCTCAATCGCCCACCAAGAGCTAATCCCACACCACAAATGCCACGCCAGTCACAAGCCCTAAACCGCACGCGAACAGAATTCCCCACAATCGCACAGCGACTCTGGCAACCCCCGACAATTTCATAATTCTCTATCACCAAATCACGACAAACGCCAGCGCCGACACCCAGCAAGTCCGCGACCGAACGCCAAACGACTACCCCATCCCCCACCCCAGAAATGTCGACGGCCGATATCAAGCAAATCTCCTTCGGGTCCGGAAAGCGGGAGGTCCCGCTCAAGAGGTCCTCCAAGTGGTACCCTTCGCAGGAGGATGCGGAGCCCAAGAAGGTCGGTTTTCTCTGTGCGTGATGGGTCAATCTCAGCGGATCTGTGAGAGACGAGATCGATGGTCGGAAATGGACGAGTGGCAGAAGCAGCTGTGGGGACTATGAGAGAAGAGAGAAAGAGCTTGGAAAATTGCGGGAATCACGGAGAAGAGCCTTGGTCTACAGCTTTCGAGATGCAGATAGTAAGAGGAGGGAATTCACAGAATATTCATCAGAGAAAGCGGGTTCTGCTGCTACTGTCACTCCATTGTCGATCGTCCATCTCGAGCTCCACGCAACCTAAGCTTTGGGATATCATGCTGACCTGAGCTCCCACAACAGGTCCGCAAGTCCATCAGGCCGACCACCCTCCGTCCTTCCTTGAAGCCCGGTTGCGTCCTGATCCTCCTCGCTGGTCGTTTCCGGGGCAAGCGTGTCGTTTTCCTGAAGGCTTTGACCAACGGTATCCTGCTCGTCACCGGTCCCTTCAAGGTTAACGGCGTTCCTCTTCGCCGTGTCAACGCTCGTTACGTGATCGCCACCTCTACGACCGTCGACCTTGCTGGTGTTAACGTCGACAAGTTCGACGACAAGTACTTCGCTCGCGAGAAGGAGGCGAAGAAGACCAAGGAGGAGAAGCTCTTCAAGGGCGACAAGGTGACCGTACGTTGTGACCTTTCGACTCCTCATTGCAGCCAAGAGATGAAGGAGTTCTAATGTCTATTTCTACAATACAGAAGAAGGAGACCCCGGACATCCGCAAGTCCGACCAGAAGGAGGTCGATGCTGCTCTCGTCAAGAACATCGCCAAGGTTCCCGAGCTTAAGAGTTACATCGCCTCGTCCTTCTCGTTGAGCAAGGGCGACCGACCCCACTTGATGCAGTTTTAGGCTGGGGTACGGTTAATGGTTTCGTTGTTTGCTCGTTCAGCCCGCGCTTGATGGGAAATGGGTACTTCTGTTGTTGTACTGTTTCTAAATAAAACGCGGAAAATTTGGGAATGGGAACACAAAAAAGTACCTCTACTCTTTGCCGATTGGGTGTTCTGGTGGTGTTTTTTTTCTTCTGCTATATCTCTGTGTCTTTTGTTGATTTTACTGGCGAACTGGTGACAATAAACGGGGCTTCTCAGCATTCGTTGCAGGCATCCGTCCCAAGGCCTATCGCCTTCGAGTGATATTTGCACAACCACTACTCCGTTTACATGATACCTCGTCCCTGATATCCTATCCCTGAGCTGTATCTAGGCGCATTGAATCCCCAAGCGTTAGGGTAGCTGTCCGTATCGTTCAAAGACACGTGCTCTCGGTGCTCCCAGTACCCGGAGGTTGGTAAAATGTTAGGTAGACCGACTCACTCCGTTGTGACTGTTGGAATACCTGCATATCTATTGGGAAAGTTGGGACGGCCGATGGACTTGAGGAGAGTCGCGGCGGGTCCAAGACCACCCGTGCTATGCTCCCTCTGAGTCTCTGGCCCCCCGTATGGTAGAGAAGTGAGCGTCGTGACTTCGGGCATGTGGCTGCGACTCGGTATTTGTAATTGCACTGTAGGCTGAGAGAAACAAACGGTCGCAGGATGGCTCCATGGTGACAACCTGGGCGGCTCCGTGGTGACAACCTGGGCGGCTCCGTGGTGACAACCTGGTCCATTTCCGTGGCTTACCCTACCCACCGTCCAACCTTCGCACCACCCCCGACTCCGCTCCACATCACAACCAAGAATGTCGTGAACAGCCTAAATTTTCCGCAATGTGCGGAATCCTCTATTCCATTTCCTCAGCCCCCCGCTCACCCTCGGCCGACCACATTGCGCTGATCTCCCACCGCGGCCCCGACGCCATACGCACCCGTGTCGTCCACCGGAACGGACGGACGCAAAGTTTCACCTCCAGTCTCCTCTCGGTGCGCGGCTCCACCCCCATTCCACAGCCATTGGAAGATCCAACGACGGGATCAGTACTCTGCTGGAACGGCGAGGCATGGCGGATAACCGGTGTGCCACTCCCACCGGGGGAGAACGATACACTGGCGGTGTTCGAATTGCTTTTGGCGCGCGGGATAGATGGGCTTCGTGAACTTGAGGGGGAGTTTGCGTTTGTCTTCTACGATGCGCCGTTGGGCGTATGCTGGTTTGGGCGCGATTGGGCCGGGAGGAGGAGTTTGGTCATGCGGAGGGAGGAGGATACGCTGATGGTTGCGAGTGTCGGCGATGATAAGGGCGGCTGGGAAGAGATTGAGACGGGGGGTGTGTGGAGGTCTGATGTTGTTTCAGGGGAAATGATCTGGCATACGCTAGGAAAAGATGCGGAGATGGTGCGTAGCATGATGTGTGAGCGGTGGGTTGGACTGACTGACCGGAGGACAGTTATATGAGGTTCCAAAGATGAATATGGCCCTTCCTACTGTCGACGATGAGTCCGCTATCCTCAACATCGACTCTCCCGAGGTTTCATCGCTCCACGATGCGTTAGTCAAGAGCTTGCGGTTGCGTGTGAGAGATATTCAACTTCCGCCGGATACCGATCTCCACTCTCGCCTGAGGAAAGCCAGGCCTGAAGACGACGTCCGGGTTGCAATCTTATTCAGCGGCGGTGTGGATTGTACCACTATGGCTCGGATCGCACATGATATTCTTCCCCCAGACGAGCCAGTGGATCTCCTCAACGTTGCCTTCGAGAATCCTCGGATAGTAGCAGCACGGAACGCAGCAGCGAAGAAGGAGGGCACCAAAGTTGATGGCACCGATCCCGTCGAAATAGACCCCTACGCCCTTTGCCCCGATCGTACAACCGGTCTCTCTTCCTTCCACGAACTCCGCAAAACGTGTCCTACTCGGTTCTGGCGTTTCATATCCATCAATGTCCCGTACACCGAACTTCTCGCGCATCGCCCTACGGTGATCCACCTGATGCATCCACACAACACCGAAATGGACCTTTCCATCGCCCTCGCATTCTACTTCGCCGCACGCGGCCAAAGCGACGACTACACCACTCCCGCGCGGATCCTCCTCTCCGGCCTCGGTGCAGACGAGCTCTTCGGTGGCTACTCCCGGCACTCAACCGCGTTCCGTCGTGCCGGCTACCAAGGTCTCCTCGACGAGCTAAATCTCGACTTTCTCCGTCTCGGGAAACGTAACCTCGGCCGGGACGACCGCGTAGCCGCGCACTGGGCGAAAGAGATGCGGTATCCTTTCCTCGACGACAAGGTCGTGGCGTGGGCAATGCGCACACCCGTTACCGGAAAGTGTTCCTTCGGCAAGAGCGAAGATGACGGCATCGAGAACGGCAAGAAGGTGTTACGACTCCTCGCTAAGAAACTCGGTATGCCCACTGCCGCCGCGGAGGCGAAACGTGCGGTCCAATTTGGTGCACGAAGCGCAAAGACGAGTGTTGAGAGCCGGAAAACGAAAGGTACCGACGCGCTCGTCGTCTAAATACTCAGGTACTCAACTCCCGTCTTTGCATTTTTGCGGCAGGAAGAGGAGGGGAGCAATGATGATATCCAGATACTCCCGATGTCCTACGCCGTCGCAGCCACTTTGCTACAGAGAGTCTCATGGTTTACGTTTTGCCTGTAGGCACTGCTACCACTTGTAACCTGGCACAAGCGTGACCGTGGTTTATGCGGTAGCGGCGTTGGCGGCGTGTAACCTGGCTTGCTGGCGGGTGGACCGAGCTGTGGCTTAGAGAGACTGTGAGAGACTTGAAGGCAAGGCTGAGCTCGTGGTTTATAGGGATGCATTGGGGCAGAATACGGCATTGGGGAGCTTACTAATTGTGCCGGAGTAGATGTGTTGTGGATAGATGCGATGAATGCAAGCTTTTCTCCATCTGCATGTAGCTACTCGGCCAGCATGCGCCCTATGACTTCAAAGAGACAATCATCCTCATTCCCTGTTTTACAGCTTTTGTTTCAGTGATGGTGTAAATGTTGAACGATCTTGCTTCTCTCAGGCCCCGTGTACGCTTCAATGATCTCACTCGGTTTCAGTGGTCACGGTCAAGTGGATTATTATGTCCCTCGTTTAGACTTGGCGGTGAAGGGAATCTGATTATTTAAAGTCTTGGGCTCCTTTTATATCATACGCATACGATACTCCTTCGTTCCACATGTTGCCAGCTCTCTAGGCACGGAGCCGGACCGCTGGGAGCGAAAGATTTGTAGTATGTAGGACAGCAGTGGAGGAACCATGCCCTGCTATATCGGATCTGATCGGTCCAGACTAATCTCTTTGAGTAATCGTTACGTCGAGAAGATTCTGGCATTCTGGGGCCTGGAAACTTGCCTCGGCCATACGTACGAAAACTCTTAGGAGGATTATAGTTTGTCTTTCGATCTATTCAGCTGGATCTACCGGTAGCCTGTAGGCGGGTACGGTGGCCATTTCAGAGGGCGGCTGCTTTGGAAGACGAGCTCTTGATGTGACAATACAGAATTCTGCAGTTGTGCTAGGTACATCATGGCCATGTTATGGCCATGTACCGGGACCGCGGGAGCGCAGCAGAGGTTCCAAGACTAGCAAATACATTCTGGAGACGGACCTGCCCGGGGAGTGCCTAGCTCCCCGGAGGCCAGAAACCTAACGACGGAGTGCCTGAGTATGTAGCAAGCAACAGTAGTGGTCCGCAATCAGCGGTTCACCATCCGAACCCTCAACTTTGAGCTTCGGGCTTCGCCAATCTCCTCCTCGCGTGTCACCAGATACTCGTACTTTGTGTAAAAAAACTTTTGGTCAAAACGCCCAGCATCCAGAAACCAGTATAGTACTGCAATACCAAAACAATGACGCAAACCGGGCACCTGGCCTCCGTCGTCCTTAATACATACCGTACCTTCGACACCATACAAAATCCGGCGTCAAGGAAGCACAAACCTTATGCATACATACTTTATGCCCCGGACATCAGAGCCTACAACCCGCCTCGGCGTTACTTTGCGGGTAAACTGTCTGAACCCTAGGTTCCTGAGCTATGTCATCTCCGCTCCCGAGTTCCGTCGGGGATATATTAGCGGAGTCTGGCCCGGGGGGTAGAGTACAGGGAACCGCAGCCCAACGGCCCGGACACCGTAGGGGCGCCTACGTACGGTGTCCGGGCCGTTAGCTGTAACTAGTCCTGTCAGTCTCGTATGTATGTAGAAGCCAAGCGGTGGATAACGAGACTTGGCCGCTTCGTTCATGGTTTTCCTTCTTTGCAATGCATCCTTTTTTTCTCCAATCTCACTCACGGGGGGCGCGCATGACAGGACCTACCAAGTACCTAGCATTTACCCGCGAAATATACACCGGCGATATTAAGACGTACCCGCCAGAACGGGACAAGTCACTGTCGGCGTGCCTGGGCTGGGCTCTAGTTACAGAAGAACCTGGGGAAAAGAAAAAATATCTATGTAACACATCGAGTTCGCTAATGAAGGAGCGAGGAGGGGGCTGCATGCCGGGAATTTTACATACAGCTTACAGGCGCTGGGATGTAGGCGGGGGGATGTAGGGTATGTAGGTACAATTTGTAGATCTTGGGCTGGATCCATCGGTTTCACGGGCCGTCACTCTTTACATAGGACACAGAGGCACATAGACCTCGTCTCGTGCTGGAGGGAATGGAATTAGAGTATAGAGTAGAGTACTCTCTACCTGAAGGGATCTCAATGGGAGTATATAACGACCATATTCACCTCCCTCCATCTTATTCTCCTCATCAGCATCATCAGCTTCATCAGCTTCCAACGGACACTCACTCCCTCAAGCCACTTCGATTCACTCCCTTAGTTCACCATGAAGCTCACTCTCGCCGCTCTCCTGGCCCTCGCCACCGCCGTGCACTCGCACGCCACGCTGCAGTACATCAACGACAACTCTGCGGTCATCCGTCCTCCGCCCAACAACAACCCCGTCACCGATGGTATGTAGCTAGCTCCCGTCGCCTCTCCCTCTACAAGTAACACGTCCTAACAGCTTGGGAAAAATAGTTACCTCCTCCGCCATGGCTTGCAACGTCAACGGTGGCGTCACCCGTCCCACCAAGCTCGTCGTCGCTGCCGGCTCCACCGTCCAGCTGGAATGGCACCATGGAGGGCGTGACACGCAGGCGATCGATCCTTCCCACAAGGGTCCCGTGATAACCTACTTGGCCAAGGTACATTTCTCTCTCCCTCTCTCCCTCAATTCCTCCCCACTAACACCCCCCAGGTCCCCGATGTCGTTTCGGCCACCGCCCCCGAGTCTCTGAACTGGTTCAAGATCCAGCACGACGGTATGACCGTGCAGAGCGACGGCAGCCTGTACTGGGCTGTGGACAAGCTGGTGGCAGCAAAGGGAATCTACAGCGCTAAGATCCCGTCCTCGATCCCCAGCGGCGACTACCTGCTGCGGTCCGAGGTGATCGCGCTGCACGGTGCCAGCTCGGCCGGAGGCGCGCAGTTCTACATGGGATGCGCTCAGATCAGTGTTACCGGCGGTGGATCGGCCAGCCCCGCTACCGTAAAGTTGCCCGGCGCATACAAGTCCAGCGATCCCGGTGTTACTATCAACATCTACTACCCCGTGCCGTCGAGCTACACTATCCCTGGACCCGCTGTGTTCTCGGGTTAGATGGGGGTGGGAAGGGAGGAAAATGTATATTATGTGGAAGGAGGAATGGGAGTTTTGTGATGATATTGTTGAATGAATATGGACTCGAAGGAGTCATCATTCAGGTTGCGAGTGACTGTCTGTGAATGGCTGTAAAGAGCGTAGGGCTGAAACGTCGAAAAAAAACTATGGAATTATAGACGTTTGCCGTTTATTGTCTTCATCACATTGGCAATGTAATATGCTTTCGAGGCACAAAGCACACAAGGATCGTTTTAAGATCCGAGACCTCTTTGCAGATGAGCGGTGCAACCAGGGTCACTCCCGCTGCCTCTCCCCACCCCCTCCTTCGTGGCATCTCCTTTTGAAGAGGTAGAAGGCGAGACAAAGTAGGGACTCGAGGGAGCATGGGAAGCCGCATCAGGCCGCTTGACGAAAGTCGGGTTTGGCAGTAGATGGGAAACGGAGTGTGTATTGCCATGATCTAACGAGGTCGCATGTAATCAATGATTAAACAAAACAAATGCATTAGTAGTGCGCGCGTACGGCATCGCTCTCTCTTCTCTCCGCTCCTGCACTTCTCCCATTCTTCTGCCCCTGGGCTATTTGCTCTATACTCCTCCTTCTCTTCCCATGGGTTATCCGCTCTACCTACCTCTCATTAATTCCGTCGGATTTAATGCATAATTCCGTTTCCTATCAGTACTCGCCTCACACTCTGACCCCCTCAAGCTTACCAATAGGTATATGCGTAGTTCGTGTTTGGGCTTTAACTACGTCACGTTGGGTATACTAATCAGTTCGTGTTGTGGGTTTGCCGGTTGACGTCTCTCTGCGTTAAGACACGGCCTTACGGAAACTCGGTTCGTCAGGGGGGTTGAGCGGGGAGGATTGACGGGCGGAGAGGGCTGGGCGGAGAGCAATAGGGAACCGGTATCGAACTCGCGGTCAGCGGTCGGTGACAGTCAGGTGAAAATAGATATGTAATCTGTTATGATCTACTAACTAAGGTCAAATGCAATGATAATTAAACAAAAAAATACCGAAACTCGGTCGGAGCACTCGTGTACTCTGCAGATGTCTTTAGGTGGAGCTACCTATCTTTAGGAAGAGAGCATATCATACAGAGCACATGGTCGGAAGCGAAAATAAAAACTACGGTACCAGGGATTCCCGCATGGTCACCCACTGCAGTACTAACCTGGCGATACCATGCTTAACTAGGGCTGAGCGGACGGGAAGCCGTGTGTTCATGGTTCTATGACCGTAGCTATTTGATTTGTTGACTGTTGGTTTATGAGCAAAGCAGTACGCAAGAGAAGGTAGGTAGCCTATGGGAGCGAACCGCTGATGGAGTTTCGCCGGCGTTTCACGATTTGCACTAAGCAGGCACGACTCCGTATGGACAATTCCAAACTTTACGTGAAAACACTGGACTTTCAAGTTTCCGTACCACGCCGCACCAGGATATCTAGATCCTAACTCCTACATATATCTCTTCGGGTGAGTCCAGCCGCTTACTATAATTGAGACGTCATACCCTCTGCGGCTATGGCGGTTGTACGCATGCGAAGCGACCGTGTCTTCAACGTCCACCCAACCGTCAACGCGCCGAATCGAATTGAAACTAATTCTCCGAGCCTCTTACACTACATACATTCCTACATACAACCCACTTTTCGGCACCGCACTTCAAATCCGTCGGCAAGTGATCAGTGATCACCGTCGACAACGCTAGTCAGCCCGGGACAGTTCCGAAAAGCACGTGCCCCCTCCCCTCGATTTTGTAGGCAGAGTTCTCGGCAACTGCCATAAAACTCCCGGCGCCAGCTAGCTCCAATTCTTGCGGACCTTCTCGAAGCCTAGACCTGTCCACGCCGCACGGAATCAGGCCACGATGGAACTAGTAGTTGCCTGCTCTACTATAGGCTGGGCAGACGCCGCCGCGGCGCTTCGGTTGCACAGGCCCAACTCGAAGTTCCGACGACCTTGGAACTTTGCATCGAAAACCTGATAAGGCCGGATTATGCGGCGCCCTGGTTAGTTCCTACATGAGCTCTACTCGGCGCCAGCAGACGAAAAACGATGGCCGACCTGAGGCTCCCTTCTAATCCGGAACCGGCTAGATTGCCATGTAGGCCATCGAGTTACCGTATTATTCCTTCCGTGCAGTCGGAGAATAGTTACATGGGGCACATCATATGTACACAGCGATTGCGAGTTGAATCCAGTTGAGTCGAGTTGCCAATTGCCCGATGCGAATGGATTGGCGCTGGCATTCTCCCCCTTCGGACCATCTATGTACTCTACACACGCTATGGAAAAGTATGATGTGCAGCCGCATGGCTGATCACGCGGTCACTGCCTACAGCACCCACAGCACCCACTGGCCAGCCACCTCCACCTCCACCTCCAGTCCGTTCTGGTGTCCCGGCCGGACAGGCAGGGATTCGATGGATGGAGGATCCCCCCCTCCGACATGACGGGGGCTGGCTGGCTGGCTGGCTGGCTGGAAGAAACTAGGCGGCGCGGGGGGGACCTGGCCAGCGGCCAGCCACTCGGATCAACTCCGCTTCAGCTGTGTAGGAAAATCTGCCTTGCAGGTGAGTCCACTCCTGCTCCGACGGCAATCTTAGCCTGCAGCCCGCCAGACATCACCAACGCAATCCAGAACTGTGAAGCGAGGAAGGGAGCGAGGGAGGGAGGGAGGAAGGGAGCGGGGATCTCCAGCGGTGCCGAACGCAGTATTTGGGTACGTGCTGGTGCCAGCAGCTACCTACCTGTACTCTAGGTACATACAAAACTACTTGCTGTATGTAACCTGTGGATCATATAGAGTAGAGTACCGTACACGAACGTCCTGCGCGGTACCGGCGGTTGGTGGGAATTGTACGGTATGTAGGTTTCAGCCATATCTAGATGATATGTAGATCTCGCCTCACACATCAGCAGCAGCAGCATCAGCAGCAGGCAGATCGACGTCCGTCCCCCTGTGAAGGGAGTTTCAAAGCGAGACACGCAAACCCCGGGTCTAAGTAGTTAACGCGCATCCCTAGCATCATATGTAGATCCGCAAAGAAAAAAAGAAAGAAAAAAAAAAGCTTCATCGAATCCCCCCCGCAGTCCACTCGTCGCCGCTCAATTGCCCAATTGGATGGCTACAACCCTACATCTGCGCATCCGACTCGAAGACTAGGTGGAGTACTAGTAACTATCATCCGATCTGGGAGGTCCTTGCTAGACATCGATGCAAAGTGACGCAGTGCCAGAAACTACCTATGTAGGTACTATGTACTAATCACTTGTAGGCTTACGCTGAGATTGCGAGGGGACTACCTACTAACTAATAGTCGGTACGTATGTTCTAGTTAGTTACTATCGGAGGAGGAGCACCCTGGGAGTACGATATCATACGAGACATCCCCTGCCGGACAAATGGGTATAGCACATACCCAGGTAGCCGATCACGTTTTCTCACTCTGCACATCGATCCACGATCGAAGCATGAGATACGAGTTGTGGGGGGTTCGATGGGCTGCGACGCGCACGCACGCTGAGTGCTAGTGCTAGTATCTCCAGCCTCAATCGTAGCCGGGCGGGGTACGGGGGTCGGGGGTCGGATTGATAGATCACCGGCACCTACCTACCTACACACCGTACCGTACTAACTAGTACTCTAGGTACTCTACATACATACGATGATATCCAGTTCTCGAGCACTCCCCAGCCCCGACCCCGGCCCCTCGCTCGGTTGAAAGTCGAGCAAACGGGTCTGAGACAGCTGCTCGGAAGTCGGTTTTGTAGGGCGGGAATAATCGAGAGTTCCATACCGGTACATACTCCACAGATAGCTGCCGGTTCTACGGAAATGAATGGCGCCGCAGGAGATGGATAGGTGGGTTCTGCATCTCGCCAATCCCCCCCACCCCGGCCGGTACATAACCTCCCAAGGCTGTGGGGAAGAGTTGCGGAATTGTAACCCAAACGCGGTATTTCGGATATGTACTATGTACTGGTATGTAGTAGGTATGTAGTATGTAGTATGTGTGCTGCAATGCCAATCAGCTAGCTAGGAGTATGTATCCGCACAATTGCGACAAAGCTCTCCTACCTCGACGGAGGGCCATGCGGCAGCCTGAAGCAGTAACACCTCTGGCTCAGGCTGCGGTCCCTTTTACCCCACTTCCCACTCCCCACTTCCCACTTCCCACTCCCTACATACATTACAAACCACGGATAGTTATGCACACCGTGCTCTACATACACACAGCCCGCCGACCGAACCAACATCGCCAGGGACGAACCTGGACATGTATTGTACATATATACCATACATACATAAAACCGTAACTAACTAACCAGCTGCTAGTGCAGCTGCCCAATATTCCTTTCTTCCTTCCATGTTCCTTCCTTCCATCCAGCCGGATTCTATGGTACTACCTGGAAGGTATGTACCGTAGCTCCAATCGGCAGTTCACCACCGTAGCTACATACCGGTTACGACTCACCGGTATGTATGTTGCAACTTTCACTGTCTGACTATGTATCAAACCTGGGTAGTGGGAGGGGATCGTTCGAGCTTCGAGAAGAAGAACACTTCTGCAAGGAGCGGTGGGGGCCTCCTCTCGGGTGGGGGTGCACAGTGCACTTTGTCGAACGAACGGGGGATCGTCATACTTTGGAGAATTGGGGGCCGTGTTCTTGCACCTTTTTGGGGGGGCACTTCGGAAAAACCGAGGAGGCTGGAGCCTGGGGGAGAAGGAGAACTCAGGAGGAGAGTGGGGGCTGCGACAAAGGCTCGATTGACTTGCTGTCTATGTACATATCTACATACCTACGCGGTATGTACAGCAATCGCACTCTCCTAGGTACACATCATACATATGATAGATACATATCATACCCAGGTACATACCTAGATACATATCATAGCCCTGCACCGCATCAATCGGCACCCCGCGTATTCTTGCAGCTCGGAGGCTCGGACTCCCCTTAGCTACAGCCTACTGGTAGCTCGACATTATCCCCGACGTTGTAAATGCTTATCCTGTCTCTTGCACCCTGGAATAGGCATACGGTAGCCTCGTAGGTACATGGCATACGTACCTACCTACCTTTCTCCACACTCGGATGTAGAGTATCATATGTACATACCTAGATGGTTGACTCACGCGAGACCCAGACTACCAGTAGGTAGCTTCCCTTCTCCCATCCTCAATGATGGATGCCGATGACGCTCAAGCCTCCCGGGCGTCCTCCTGGAGTCCTGAACGTGGGGGAACACGTGCCCCCACGCCCCCTAATGTCTTACGGACGGTGGAGACCGTCCGCGCACTGTCCTGCGCGCATCACATCCACGGAAGTTCGTTCCATCCCCGGCATCACGAATCGCATCGCAAGCACCGGTCTCCTGGGGGGTCCATATGTATGCACACGAAGTTAGGGGCCACTGGCAATACCGACTTGCTATGGCGAAGCGCGGGGGAGCCACAGTGGCCACTGGCCAAACGCTGAAGCCGGGAATTCGATACCTACCTACTCTAGATATCGTGGCGCATCACATGATCGTAGGGCCGTAGTTAACGATAACCCATGATACGTACCGTACCCTGCGGACGTCGGATATACGGAGTAAGATATTCCCGGAGCCTGGACAGTGGAGGATCCTGTCCGTATACTATAGGTACATACTGTATATAGTAGTATACCTGGATAGGTAGTACGTGCGAGAGTCCCTGGATTCGGGAATCATCCCACCGTCTCACCCACATGCCGCGACCACCGGAGCGGGGGATACGACTGCTGTGGTTATAGATAGTATACGAGTACTCTAAAATGGCATTCCAGATCGCAGGGCCGGAGGAGGCGATACTTTACATACGGTACTCTACTCTAACTGCTCTACTCTACGACAGCTGTACGTAGCGAACCCATAGTACCGTAGACCGTAGTTAGGCACTGTAAAAAGTCCGTCCGAATCGCGGACCACTCACGGGTCCCTGTGTCGGCGTCGTCGGCATTTTCGGCGTTTTCGTGTCCGTGTCCGTCCGTCTGTCTGTCGGAAGTGTCCACTCCCATTCACCACTCCCAACCGACCGACTGACTGGAGAAGCCATCCCGGCGGCACTGACTCAATTACCTACTCTGCCCCACCCTGTTTATTCCGTCGAGTTCCGTCGAGCTCCGCTCACGCTCACGCTCATGCTCGCGACTCACGCTCACGCTCACGACTCACGCACGAGCGAACCCCCCACCAAGCCGGAATGTACCGGCGAATGACCCCCCTCCCTCCAATCCTATACAAAAGACAAAAGTAGCGTACAGCACAGTACTCGTACTCTACATATGCATAACCAACCACTCCCAAACCTTCGGACACTCTGGCCGGGCGACCAGCCAGCGCAGACGTTGTCCGGCGCCGGCGTGGCGTGGCGTGGGGTTAAACTTCGAGGTTGGGTGTCTACGTACTCTACTGCGTATGATCTCACATCCCACCCAGGCACCCACGAGCCTGGTGCATCCGGCCGATGCATATAGGAATATCAATATCAATCAATCAGGCAACCAAGCAAGCAATCAAGCAAGCAATCGATTCGCCACGAGGTGCACGTTTTTTCTCCTACTTTCCTTCTTTTCTTTTTCTTTTCTTTTTGCTTTCTTTTTACTTCTTTTTCTTTTCTTTTTCTTTTCTTTTTGCTTTCTTTTTACTTCTTTTTCTTTTCTTTTTCTTTCTTTCGTTCGTTCTTTCGGTCGGATCAGCAAGAGAACTGAAGGTGGAGACCGCAGCATGTGCGCCTGGATTGGCCCGAGGTGGGATGCACTGTACCTGGTTCCTTGTGGGGACAGGCGCGTCGGTGGCCAGCTAGGACGTTAACCACCTATCCGGGCATGCGGGGAGTGGAGGGGCGCGAGGGGGGGTTAGGAGGGGTGACGTTGACGTTGATGGTTAGTAGCTGGTTGTGGCATGCGGTGCTGCAACCGACGCCGACGCCGACGCCGACGCCGACGCCGACGCCGACTCCAACGTCGACGACGTTCGACTCAATCGGCCGCCCAAGCCCATGCCCCCCACCCATGCCCACGAAGAGACGAGACTCGAGGAACGAGATCGGTGCTTCTGCTGCCAATGATGAAACTTCAAACGCCAAAAACCATAAAATACATGGCAAAAAAGAAAACCGAGACAAGCCAGCCAGCCACCCACGCACCGACCCACCGCCCGCCCACAGACCGGACCCCAAAATCGTGCAATCGTGATCGTGAATCATGATCGTGGGGGCTCTTCGATCGATACCACCACCACAACCACTACCAGCACCATCATCGACGTCGAACGGTCCAAGCCCATGCCCAAGCTCATGCCATTAGGTATAGTGCGCGAAAAGAAAAAACAGGAACAGGAACGAAACCCGGGAAGGAAAAAAAACACCCCATCTACACCGTACCCACCGCAGCCCACCACAAGCAAGCCCGCCGCCACCAAAGCGCCACCCAGTACCCCCACCAGCGCCCCCACTGCCCCCCAGCGCCCAAACTATATACAAGAATCGTGATGCGTGAACGTGAACGTAGGAATTTCGTAGCGGTGGAAGGTGGAAAATGGATTGGTCGCCGGGATAGGTACAGGTACGGGTGCAAGGTGAACTGTGGTCTACCCCAGTAGGTAGGTGGGTAGACAGCTGCCCTGGCCGTGGCGAGGAGACGGAGGAGGAGGCGGAGGAAGCGTAGGAGGTGGTGGCGGAGGAGGCGAAGGAAGCGGCGGTGGAGGAGGAGGATGGAGGCGTAGGGGATTGACGGCTCGAACCATTAGAGGAGCGGCAAGGAGAAAGATGAACGAGTGTGTGGTGGACCGATCCCGCTCAACTGCTGAGCATGGCCGACCATTTCTGACGGAACGATTTGAAGACTGGTGCTCGAGGTTTCCGGCAGTAGACGCAACTCAGGCAGAAGTTATGGCCGCAGTCGCACGTTGTGCAATGGCTCTTCTGCCCGCACCGACAGCATGTCCAGATCATCGTGGGTGTGAAGGTGGATGTGTGTGTGTATGTGTGTTTGGGAGAGGGTGGGGGGATGTTGAATGAGTTCGGTCCGGTGATCTGGTCTGGTCTGGTCGGGGTCCGGCTTTGGTTTTGGTCGGGGACGGATTATTTATCTGTGGTCTCGTGTTCGTCTGATTCGATAACTATCGGAGTTCGGGTGGGGTGCGTAGGATCTCTTGGTGCTTGGGTCTGCCTGCCAGTTAGTTAGCGCTTGTACTCTATGTAGCGAGGGGGTGAGGGGAGGGGAGTGGACGTTGCTCGGAGAGTCGGCCAGGATTCTGCTCCCTACATACCTCTTTCACTTGTGCGCCGGCAACTACCTAGGGCTCTGGTTTGTAAGGAATATCCAAAGTTTGACGACGCTGATGAATTCTCCACAGTCAGGAGTTTCCGGAAGATGGTCCTTGGCCGACTCTTTAAATGGCGTTTGGCCCGTGATTGACTTTCGCGATTTGTGCCCCTCTCGAGAATGAGGAGAAGTGAAACCGAGGAGGAAGACCAGGAAATTTGCCACTCGGGAAGGTGCAACTTTTTTTCTTCTTCTCTTTCCCTTCTTTTTTTTTCTTCTTCTTTCGCTTTTCTCTTTTACGCGACGAACGAACGAACGGTGACGGACGGACGCTAAGGACGATGATGATGCGTGGTTGGGTTGTGACAGCTTCCTTCCAGAAAGAAAGAAAAAAAAAACCCTAGCTATTAAGGATGTGGCACCCCTCCTTCTTCTGGCACTGATGACGGACAGCGCCCAAAAGCGGTTTCGTTTGCTTTCGCTATGGGTTTATGCTTTACGCCTCTTTTGCGTTAGGCCGAGTGGTTGCCTGTATGGAGATATAGCAGCCGGGGGCGAGCACGAGTGGAGACGGCGTTCCCGTTCGGATTGGTCTCTGGCCTGGCGTGCCACTAACCGACACTTAGGGTCGTCTTGTAGGTGGCGTGCGTTGTGTATAACTTTCGGTCGGGGGGGAGCGGGGGAGCGGGGGGGAGGAGGAGGCGAGGCGCGTGTGAAGCTGGAGATTCGCACGTAAGGCGTGGGACGGTGGTGATGGGTGTATATCGGGATCACTGCAGCGTAGGAGGACGGGAATCCGAGACTTGGGCTGACTGTTTGTCTGACTGACCGACCGACTGACCGACCGACCGACTGATTGAGTGATTGAGTGATTGAGTGATTGACCGACCGACTAGTGAGTGAGTGGAGCGTGTGTTGCGTGTGTTGCGTGTGGTGGATCCTCGGAGTGACGGGAATCGCTTTGTCGGTTGTTTTTTTGTTCTGTGCGTGCACGGACTTTCCGACTTTCTGGGCTGACTTGAGTTTTTGTAGGACGGGCGAGTATGGAACGGCCGGACGGGTACTGAGGTGCATCGGATCTCTACATATACTCGCGCACGGCATGGCATGGCAGCATACATAGCAGCCTCAGCCATGACGGTGACGGTGACGGTGACGGCGGTGGTGACAGTGACGGCTCTGCTCGCTCGCTCGTCCGTCGCTCCTCGGTCGTCTCCCTAGAGTCGACGCGGTGCAGGGAAGATCCCCGTCTACGAGGGGAGGGTAGGGAAGGGAAGGAGGGGAGGGAGGGGGTGCAAAGGTAAGCAGAACACAGGCAGAGCACAGAGTGCAGGTCGCAACGGACCGACTGGGTAGATACCTACTACCTAGAGCGTCTCCTACATTAGTTGCCTGCCTGCCTGCCTAACCACCCACTTCTGATACTACGGTACTCTGCGTATGTTGCGTTTGTGGGTGCGGGGAATGCCTGGAGTGGGGGGGGTTTGGGGGGTTTGGGACCGGTCGAGGTGGAGGAGGTGCCTCGTTCGATTGCTCGCTCGCTTTCCAAGCATGTGGTCGAGCGACTACTATACATATCGGGATTCGGGAGCCACTCGGATGGCGCTTCGGAGTCTGACGGATGGCATTCGGGGGCCTGAGACTCTGACGGATGGCATTCAGTCTACTTCCTGGAGCTGAGGAGGCTGCTGGCCGTCAAGCCGATGTCCGCTAGAGCACCCAAGCACCTCAGGTCCCCGGCTGGCTCTCTGGCGTGTGCTACTGCTGCCCTCGATCGCAGTGCTGCTGCCCTGCCCCTCGATCGCGGTGGTGGGGCGGTGGACCGTGGTCATGAGATTGCGGAAGAGTAGGGAACCCCCCGCTCCCTCCGCGGGCAGCGTTACCGCAGCTGGATCTGGCTGCCACCTTCGGACGTCAAACACCATGGAGCCGGCGCCCATGGGCCATAATCAATCGTGCCTCGCAGCGGATACCACTTCGATTCGACGCGGTACGTACCTACGGGGGCTGTCGGTCCACGGCCACCTACGGTACTCTACCCGCGGTACATTGCCGTATAGTACCGCTGGACAACGTGTTTCGGGTGTTTAGTGACCGCTCGTGGCGCATACCGTAAGTACATAGTGGTGGGTATAGTACTCCACGTGCAGACTCCAGAGCTCGGCCCAAACGCTGCACGTCTTCAGGCCCGAGTTTCGACACCTCCGGAGAGCCACTACTAACTACTACTACTGCTACTACTATCTGCTAACTATTACTATATAGAGTCGAAACTAGTAACAAACTACCCGATGCACAACGACGTAGCTGCTTCTACTGAGCCTAGGTTCTTCCTGCGAGTACCGGTAGGCTTGCGAACGAACGAACGGACCGACGAACGAACGAACGAACGAAAAGCGCTTCCACGGTGCACCGCACTGCACTGCACTTGCAGTGGGGAGGGGGAGGGGGGGTTGAGCACTGTACTCTAGGTAAGTATCATATGATACACCAGGGTGTGTGTGCAGCGAGCGCCGCATCATGACCACGACCACGACCACGCCCATGCCCACCTCGACGTGTGCAGTGTACAGCCTTCCCCCTTTTCCTCCCCTCTCCCCTCCCCTCCTCTCTCCTCTTTCTTCACGATAGTAGGGCCGCATAATAACTTCCTTCCTCCGCCGGATGCCCTTGGAGTAGGTAGGTGTAGGTATACGTGTTCCTATGCAGCAGCTGCCTAGTCACCAGCGACAACCCTACCTAACACCATCACCATCGCATACACGCACGCGGGTTTGAGTTTCGGCGGAATGACGATCCTCTTGGAGGAGGAGGAGGGGGAGGGGGGGTGTCTCTCTTCGCCTGTACTCTAGAGTACTCTACCCTACTCTCCAGCTGCCTGCCTGCCTCTGCCTCTGGGATGATATCTGGAGAAGGTGTTGTGTCTCCTCCTCCTCCCCTTGCTCGTGAAGGATCGACGGTCAGCGCATCAGCACGACCATCCCGGCACCGACAATCCGTTCGACCACACCACTCCGACTGGTGGGGTGGGGCGGAGGAGTAGGAAGGAGCAGGAAGGCGGATCAGCAGGAGGAGGAGGAGGAGGGGCTTGCTGCTGCTGTGGCTGCTGGCTGGATAAGCAATCCCAATCTTGGGGGTATGAACCATACTGCTGGAACCAGGGGCGCTCAGGTAAGAAAAACAAATCATTATTCTTCCGCCCATGCCATCCGACTGCATTAGTTTTGTCGATACTCCCTTCAAGAGTCAATGGGCCAACCAGAACGGAAAAAAGGCTGCACCGGATTACCTATAAAATTTCGAAAAAATACCCAGGAAGGGGATCGCCCGCATCGCCGGCAAATGATCTTTCCTTTCCTTTCGGTATCGTATCCATCTCGCTTGGAGGTAAACTGCGAGCGTGCTGCGTGCCCCTTCCGATTGCCCGTGGAATAGGTATTTCGGGCTGCAGTGCATCATCACAGTCCAGGACTCCACGCCGCACCGAGGCCATGTGCTGCGCGATGGGGGTTATTACTGCTACTATTACTGCTACTATTACTTCTACATACCACCGCCAACAATAGTCGTACCGTAAAGTGCAATTGAAACCTGGGAGCAGCAACGCCGGGTAGGCACAGTGTTCAACTTCGAACTTCGATCCGCTGGACCGCGCAGCTTGCGGCTGACGTTCCACGACGGCACCCAATGCCATGTGCGCACTCAGCTCCTGCTCCTGCTCCTCCTGCTCCTCAACATCGATCCGGGCTGCGGTGTGAACGGGAGGCTACCTGCACCTCCCGCGTCGACGTCGTTGTCCGTGTTCTCTGCGTTCTGCGTTCTATGCGCTCCGAATGCTCACTATGTTCTGGCTGGCTGGCTGGCTGGCTGGCTGACTGGCTGTATGCCCGTCTTCATGTCGTGCACCCCGCCTCCGTGCGGACATTTCCTCCGTAGTCATCTCGTGTCTCTGTCTCTCTGTCTTCCTCCCTCCCTCCCTCTCTCTCCCTCCCTCTCTCTCTCTCCCGACACTCGGCGCCGTACGAGAGAGGCCATATAGTAGAGTGGCGTACATTACATACACCCACAGATGATATAGATCGGTGTTACACCGACCATCCCGTCGTTCATCCATTAATTCATTCATTCATTCCTCCATTCATTCATCCATATTCAAGAATCGTGATGTCTGGTCTCTCATGTCTTCTAGCGTCAAGTTACTCAACTCTAGCCGATTCAAGCTTCCGACCGTTTTTGGGCCCCACTTTCTGTTGTTCTGTTTGTTCGCTCAGACCTTCCAGAAAAGTCCTAGAAAGATGTCACGGCCGGGAAGGGAAGGGAAGGGAAGGGAAGCGGAGGGGAGGGAGGCGCCCTAAGCCCTTGGTTAAAGATCGTTCCCAGTCTAACTGCTTTTGACATGGATCGTTGGCGCTGTGAGTTGGAGAGCAGCGCAGAGCAGAGTAACCAGAGTAACCAACACACATACGCAATTCCACACCCAGTACCTGCTCCGGACTCCGGAGTCTACCCTATCACACCCAGTATCCAGAGCACATTCAGTTGCCGACTCTCCAACATACCTACCAACATACATATGGTCCCCGTTTTACGCCCCGGCCCCCGCGCTTCGTTCGCTCGTTTGGCTTGCAGACTTGCAGACTTGCAGTTGACATGTCGCAACATGTCGCAACACGTCCAGCATATCCAGCATGTCGCAACATGTTTCACATGCCAAATACATCATGCCGGTATGTAGGTGCCATACACACCTCCACCAAGCCAGCCAGCCAGCCAGACAGTCAGCTCGGACTCTTCATCACTACGAGTAGACTAGTGCGCCCGAAGGCCGACGCTGTGGCGAATCCTTTTTGTTTTTCGGTGGAAGAGCGACGACGACGACGCAATCGCGCATGTATATCTGTGTACTTATGCATGTATACATGTATGTGTGTATGCAGTGTCGGGGAACGTGGCCGGTAGGTATGTAGGGGAACGTGGCAGTAGGTATCGATGGCGAATTCAGCCCACTTCTACACTTCTCTTCTTCACTTGTCTCCACTTTGGTGATTGATCGACAACGACGACGACCATCACGACTCACGAGCGAGTACCGGTATGTATCCGTTGTCCGTGTTACCGTCCGCCCTGCCGGAGCGTCGAGTGAAGCGAAGCGAGTCGCAATGCACTTCCGGTACGGTACGGTATGCATACCCACTTACTCTACCCACGTACCCACTGACTGGCCCATGGGTGGGTGGCGCCTGGGTGGGGTGCGGCGGTGGTGGCTGATCGCTACGTGGGTGTAAAGTACTAGCCACAGCCCCCCACCACCTCACTCGTCCCTCCCCCACGTGAGTTGCGTGAGTTGCGTGGGCCGGTCGGTCGGGTTCATGGAAGGGGAAGTTTTGCTACATATGGATGGAATGGACCCGGAACATGGACAAGTCTATGTACCTACGCGGGATGGTCCCCGGACGTCAGGCGCTGGGGAAGGGCCAGCCCAGGCCATCGTTCATGACTCGACTCGGCTCGGCTCGACTCGGCTCGACTCGGCTCGATGCGGTGCATACGGATGGGAATGGGAATCGCAACTACTATCTACATACGAGAGTGGTATGATGAGCTCTAAGGTGAGGAACTGCACCGAGTGGCTACTCTACGGTACCGTATAGTAACTACTAGTACGGCTACTCAACTCCATGGTGACAAAACGGTGTATCGCACCCGCGTTCGAGTAGTTAGAGTTACTCCACCGTACTCCACCCTACATACATATCCCAGGAGCCTGAAGGATGAGGAGGAGGAGATCACCCGCCCGCCAGCCCTCTCGGGCACTCGCACCGGCTGGCAGCTGCGAAGAACTTAGAAGATGCTTACTTAGCGCTGACGGAGGAGCTCCTCCACCGGACTGGGCCCATCAGTGCAGGTGGGATGGATGGATGCTCGGCTAGCTTTGATAGGTGTACATACAAAGTCATACATAACTAATCGATTATATAGCAGCTTTGCAGCCCTTCATGGATAGTTAGTTAGGGCCTGTTCTTCGCAGCGTATGCTATTCTACTACATACGTATATATGTATGCCGCGGCGCCGTCTTGCATTTCGTTTCGGGAAAACGAGACGGAAAAACCCCCGCTGTCTACTACTACCTATGTCGGTTCTTCAGCTTCATCTGGGATTTTCCTCAGCGCTTTCGGCGGATCGTACATACATCTACATACATATGAACTTGCCTATGTAGCATCATAGTATGTACGTACCGCGTCATGAAACGGAAGCTAAATATGGTACAGTATCGAATCCCGGCCTACATACATACATAAATTCATACATACATCAGCATGCATACGTCTATCCAGCAGGTGGAGGCCAGGATCGACGGCTGGAGATATTGCGCCCTACCTATGATGAGCTGGCAACTGGTTACTGCACGGAAAGCGGTCCGGTGATACTTTGCGGTACTCGCCGCTTAAATGTGCACATGTATGTATGTAGGAGGTATGTATGTACGTCTGTACATACGTGACTTGTTCGTCTTCTTCTTCTTCTTCATCTTCAGCGGGAGACAAAAGAAACATTACTACGGTATAGTCACTGCCTTAGGATTTCACACGCCCCGTCATCCTCCTCGGAGTCTCGGGAATCTCGGAATCTCGGAATCTCGGATTTCTCTGTGAAACCTGAATGCATACCTACTGCGATATGACTCTTTACACGACAGGTAGGCACTCTATCCCACCCATCCATCTTTGGGACCGTACATGTCGTCATCACCATCGTCGCATCGTCGCATCGATCTGGGCGACAGGGTGTATATAGTATATAGCAGAGTACTTTGGTACTTACATATAGTATGTATGCATAGCATGTATAGCATGTATCTAGGTACATAGTTACCCCGGAGTCCGGTCGGTTATTGATGGTTAAATATCACCACCCAGTTGCTTCCTGTGGCCGGGAACTGCGGGGGAGGGGAAGCGCTGCTGCTGCTGCGATGGTTCGTTCAGCGGCCGCCGCACGCTCCTCACGACGGCTTGAAGTAGGTATACCATACCGAAGTACCATTCGCCGTCCGTAGGTATGTATACGCGTCGGTTCGCTACACATTGGGTCTCGCATTGGGTCTCGCATAGCTGTAACCTAGGCCGTCGGGTGGCGGCCTACGGCATCACTGAGGGGTAACTACCAACACACGCTCTGGCGTTTTTTGTTGAGGGTGGGGCCCGGGAATGATGGCTGGTGAATCCCGTCGTCAGCCTGTCGGGATCGAAGTCCGGGCTTACTGCGAAAATATGTATGTATGTACCTGGGTAACTATGTCTCTCTCTCGAGCTCTCTTCCGTTTGTACTCGCCCGGATGGATGGATGTCATGGATGGAACGATGGATGGAACGATGGATGGAGGGAACCGAAGCTTGGCCGGCCGTGAAACATGTGTCTCGTACTCGTACATATCCGAGTACCCAAGTGGTTGTGGGCGTATCCCTCCCGCGAGCTTCCATTTTTTCTTCCATTTCTCAGCTGGCCAGTGGCCCCATTGCGTTTGCACGTTCCACCGCATTTTGGTTTGGCTGCTTGGGCCCTTCTCCCCTGGCAGTCCCTGCCAGCCTCCCCTCCAATTGATGTGCCAGTGGTAGGGCGAAATGTCGCGCCGCGCCGCCACTCCGCGTTTGGAAGAATATTCTGGAATCTGGAGCTGTAACGTGGCACAATTGCTGGAAGGAAGGAAGGGGCAGAAGAAGGAAGGAAGCATGGATGGAAACGGAGTGCGATTGCACTCCGCAAAGTCCAGAAAGTCCGGAAAATCGTGGGGGCTGAATGCTACATGACCTACAGTGCATACGGTATACACATCCCCCCGCAGTCATCGCCCTGTCTTCAGCCTGAGTACTCTATGTATGATATGTAGGTAGACGTATCCAGGGCGCCGCTTGGACCTCAGCCGGCCCCGGCCCCGGCTCTATGTAGCCCATCAAGCGGATTCTGGCCCGGAATTCAAAGGCGTGTATGTAGTGCTCTATAGACCTATGTAGATCCATAGGAAAGTACATAGGTACGTACATAGGTGGGTAGGTACCCCATTATGACAGCCTGCTGCGGTGGATCATCACGCCAGCTGCGCATGAGCAGATATATTCATCGGCCCGGATTAGTTCCTCTAGCTATACATAGTAGAGTATTACCTACATAGGCAGTTACCTACTTCTCTCCATGCAATTCCCTCATGGCAAACCCATCGGTCAATCCGAAGGCGACGGCGAAAGCAGAAGCAGGCTGCAGATGCTGGCTTTTTGTTGCCACCGTGAATATGCACCCGTCAATTATTTATGCACTCAGCGCCGCCAGCGCAGATGTGATAACACCTACTATACTTACACACCTGCCACGCTTAGTTACGTTACTCTACTCGCGAGTCGCCATCGCTAGAGCAATGTGCTTTAGCGAAAGCAAAACGACAACGACAACGACAGAGACGGCGACCCGTCAATCCGGTCTGCCCTCCGGTTCCGGGTCCGGATCCGGGTCCGGGGACGCCAACTTCTTGATCGGAGAGCGAGAGCGTTCCTGAACTGGGTATGATATGAGGGGAACGAAAATGGGGGGGAAGGGGGCACCCGAAGATGACCCGATTCCCCGAGAGAGAGAGGCAAGAAATAGTCCGTCCGTTCCTTCCCGCCCGCCCCTTCCCCTAGATTGAAAATACACATGTATGTAGTTGCACATATACTCACATACGACATGTCACGATGATGCATAACTTGTCTTCTTCGTCGCATTGACCCGTCGCGTGTTCACGATCCCACCAGCTCGCTTTCGTGCGGAATTAGGCCGACTCGACTCTTGCCTACATAACTACTTATTTAGGTACATGGAGTAGTATGTATGTAGCCCATAGGAACGGCCCGGAGGAGGGCGCCCGCACACCGCCACCGCATTCTGGAGTGCTCTACGGTATCCACGACGGGCCAAGTGTCGTGTGGTGGACTGCTTCGGAATCGCACAAACCATAGGCCCGCAATTATACCCCCCCCTTCCCCTCAATTGAGTAGCCAAGTAGAGACGAGCGGTGGCGGCGGCTAACTAGTTAACAGCCTTAGCTCGCTACCTACCTTACCAGACACGAACTACGGCTGTTCGCCTCTCGATCGATGTCCGAGTTCGACGCCAGGATCGGGTGCTTCGGGTGCTTCGGCTGGGTGGGGGGAGGGGAGGGGGGGAGAGGGAGGTGTGGGTGTGGGTGTAGGTGTTCCCGCAACAGTGGATGGGGGCTACGGCTTCGGCGAGCGGAGCGAGAGCTCTGGGCGGGGAGCTTGATACGTCACAGATGCCAGCCCCCTCCCCCTGCAGGCCGGTTACCAATACTCACACGATCGCACTCGATTTCAGAATCCGTGCGAGTGATCGAATGGACATGTATCTATCTATGCCTCCTTTGTGCCTCCGCAGCTTCAGGCTATAGGAGTACTATAGATACCCACTCGATAGACTTCACTATGGCTATCGCAGGTCGAAGATTGGTGCCCTTCCTATAATTGCGCGGTAGGAGCTCGCCATAGTCTGGTAGTCTGGAAAGGCCGTACCGTATGCGACAATAAATTGTTCTCGCTCTCTCTGCCTCGAGCTCCCGGGGATCACACGGCGGTAGTCCGTCCGTCCGGCTTTCCTTCCGAACCTTCACTATACCCCCTCACACTAGCCAATTATGCGGTCCCGAGATTGGTGGGGAGCGCCTGTCTCACATTTTGCCACGCGAGCGAGCGTGCGTGCGTGGGCGGTTCTCCAGATAGATAGGTCGAGGTCGGTGCTCTGGCCCGCGTCGGGCACTGTCTGTCTGTCTCACAAAATCCACGATATGTATGTACAACCACCACCACCACCACCACTATGTATCTACTACCACCACCATCGGTTTCTCGGTTGATGGCACGCATCTATTGGTCGTGCAGTCAATGTACGACCCGGTTCGCGGGATCCACCTTCGAAACAGCAAACGCCCCATCCCGTGCCGAAGCAATGCCGGCCGGCCGATCTAGGCCCCCCCTCCTTTCCCCCTCCCCCTCGCGCTCACCCGAAAATCCGATCGCACCACTTCGAAAACGTGTTCCTGTCATCACCATCATCAGCGCCTCCTCCCCCCGGCCGCGCAGGCACAATCAGACTTCCGAGACAGAATGTCACTCACCGTGGTTTCGGCGCCACATAATTCCTCTGGTACTCGTCAATGACCTCGCGCTCCTCGCGGAACGTGTTGACCTCCTCTAGCGGCACGCGGCTCGTCCGCTTCAGCGTCTTCCACGCCACCCAGATCAACGGGAACACCGCGATCATCGTGTACGAGAACAGGAACGTCGGGATGTTCCAGTTCCCAGGGAGGAACACCTCGTACCCGCTGACGAAGCACATCACGAGCGTGCACGTGAGCGCGAAGTACGTCGTGTACGGCTGCCAGCGGGTCATGTACGGCAGCGCGGACATGGGCGTGCCTTGCGCGGCGAGCGCGCGTCGGAACCGCAGGTACGTGTACAGGATGACGGAGAAGTTGATTAGCTGCGAGGCGGTGACGAGGGAAACGAACCAGCTCAGCACGACGCTCGCCGAGTTGGACACCTGCAGGAAGGCGAGCATGGCGATGGCCAGGACCACGAGCACGCTGTAGATCGGGACTCCGCTGCGCGTGCAGCGCGCGAAGATCTTCGGCGCTTGCCCGTCCAGCGCGAGCCCGAACAGGCACCGCGAAGCGCAGTACACGTACGAGTTCCCGGCCGAGAACGCCGACGTCAGCACCAGCGCGTTGACGATGTGTGGCAAGAACGGGATCTGCAGGCGGTCCATGGCGACGACGTACGGGCTCGCGGCGGCGTCTGGCGCGCCCTCGAGGAATGCGCGTCGCATCACCGGGTCGTTGTGCGGTACCACGATCCCGACCGCTAGCGAGCCGAGCACGAAGAAACCGACTAGCCGGTACGTCACCGCTTTGAAGGCGCGCGGCATCACCACCCGCGCATTTTCGGCTTCGCCGGCGGAGATCGCGACGTAGTCCGGTCCCGCGATTGTGAAGGACGCTTGGATCAGGCACGCCACGAAGCCCATGAACCGCCCGAGGTCGCCGGTCGAGTAGTGTTCGGCGAAGGCGCCCGGGTTCTTCCAATACCGGAAGCCGTAGGCATCGCGCTGCGGGTTGCCGCCGACCATGGTGATGAAGGTGAAGGCGATCAGGCCGATGATGAGAATGAGTTTTCCGAGGGCGAGCCTGGCAGAGGTTAGTTGATGTCGTGTGTCGGAAGGATGATGCACACCAGAATTCACTCTCGCCGTAGAACTTTACCACGATCAAGTTGATGCCGCTGGAAAGGAGTCGCTGTAATGTCAAAAAACCATCACTATTTCTCCGGGGGATGCGATTCGAGGTGGAACCCACGCGTATAATGCTATGCAGATGGCAATGATGACGCCAACGTGTACCTTCTCGGAAGTCCCCCAGTATCCCAGAATCTGCGTGCACGCGACGATCTCGAACGGTACCATAGCAGCCTCCTGTAATCACCCGGTCCTTCCGTAAGCCCTTTGCGCCGTCGGGGACAATAAAGTTTCGGAGGAAGAGTGGTTACAAATATGAAAAAGTTCCAACCCGCCGCGACACCGAAGCTCTCGTCGACGAACCTCCCCGCGAACCGTACGAACGGCGAAGATATCGGCATGTATGTGACCATCTCCGACAGCGAGTTGTTGATGCAAAGGATCACCGAGCACCTGTGTGTTTTTGGTATTAGCACTCCCAGCCTAGGTACAGCATACCTACCACAGCACTCGGGCCCACAGAGCTATCATACCAGAAAGTAAACGCGATAAACAAATTCGCCGGCCCGCCCTTCATCAATGCCCGTCCGATCTGCACGTAGAGTGCTGTGCCGATGGTTCCTCCGATTCCGATGAGCTATCATACCACCACGACCACCACCATCAGCCAACTTCCCCTTCCCCCTCCTCCTCCTCCTCCCCACTCCTCCTCCGCCTTGAGGCTCCACCAGTGGAAAGTACCTGTATATGCCGCGACTTCAACTTCCGGTGCGTATTATCGTACTTAGACGGCGGCAACGACGCCTCGTCCGCGAACTCATCCTGCTTTTCCTCTTTCTCCTTCTTCTCGGCACCGCCGGGAAAGTCGTGTCCGGTCGAGGACATTGTATCGGATCGTGGGAGATTTTTCGGCTCACGTAGTCTACAGATCACATTTGCGGGATCAGCGGCGGGTTATATACGCCCCACCTCGTCCCCCTTCCCGCCTGCGCGCGGGTATCTATTATGGATCGAAGGACGCCTACCTGCAGCTTGCACGCGTTCTACATATCATACGTTGCAGATTGAATTTTATGAGATCGCCGTGCCCCACTAACTACGGTACAGGGCTAAGGGAAAGCGGGAAAACGCCGGGATATTAGGCAGGCACCAAGAGCTCTCCAGGACTCAGGAGTACATGAGTAGGTAGGCATCATACATACAATTCCCTTGGCTTGAGCTGCCAAGTTAGCTATCCATACTCTACCGGTAGTAGGTATATGTAGAGTTCTTTTCCTTTTGACTTTTATGTAGCTGTCACGGCCCTTTCTCTTCATGATCTGATACTGAACAAAAGTTGCACGTTCCCGCCTGTCTACCCGCGGGTACGGTAACACGACGTTATCGCTGCCAGGCAGCCAAACTCCGATGGCCGCGTGAATCAATTGCACATCCTCTCACTGCCGGCATGATGGCGTGCTCTCCGCGGCGAGGTATCACCATCGATACATAACCTTCCCCCAACGGCGACTCTCCTGCCTTCCTTCTCGCATCCACCCGGTGGATCGGCAAATGACGACACTTGCGAGCCGATGTCAGGGATATCCTTGCCCTCGCAACTACTACCTTGGCACAAGGCTGGCATGGCACGGTGGCACCTCGGCATCCCGAGCGAGCGCGAGAGAATCAGTGGCTGGTCCGCCGGGATGACGTATATAGCATGTGTCGAGTGGCCCGTTCGCAACTTTCAACACCTCCGTGATAACCCACCGACACCGCGGCCCCGTCTGGACTCTGCAGGTTCCCTCTCCCTCTCCATCGCCATCTCCATCGCCATCTCCGCCACCATCAATCCCATCCTCTCCATCCCCCCGGCTGGCAAACTCACTCCCAACCCCCCGCCAAGATCCGCGTATACACAACTTAAGCGATCGTCACCGCCACCTAACCGCATTCTATCGCCACTTGTCCCATCCCATACGTAGCGGATGTGTCAACTCGCAACGGGCATTAGCTCCGCTCCGCGGGGAATACCGGGGCGAGGAGGAGCGGGGGCGGGGGCGTGGGTGAAAACTCGTGCGGGTTTGGCGCGAGCCGCCAGCCAGCCAGACGGTGGTTGGTGTTTGGTGTTTGGTGGCTTGTGGTCGGTGCTCGGTGGTTGGTGGGGAAAAGTGGGCTGGCTGGTGGAAGACTTTTTATGCCCGCACAGCACACGGGGGCGTGCGCGACTTCTATGTATGCTCTAGTTGGTAGTGCGGGGGACGGGCGAGAGGAGAGGATCCGCCCGCCCGCCCGTGGATATCGTTGCTGCAGCCCGGACCGCGGGATCGGAGATGCGGACTTTTCTGCGTCCGTGTTCGCATCGGTGGCATGTGTCGAGCGGGTGGGAACTGTGATGCGATGCGTACCTACACATATGAGCCAGCGGATTTGGTATTCACTCGGGAAAAGTTTATCGTAAAGTGCGCCGTGCTGGCGTATGCCGGGAATGCGTGGTCACATCTTTAACTGGTGCTATAATTTGGACTATATGATACCTGACTGTAACTGGGCATGTACAAACACTGTTGGTGTAGGGGTAACATATTACCTTCCCATTCACCGGAATAGGATATAAGGTAATGCCGTGGGTTCGATTCCCGCACAGTGTATTTTTCTTTTACCATGGTTCCATTTTTTCTCTCTTTGTTGCATCAGAAGCCTCAACGTCGGCGGAGTCAGCGAGTCGCCTGCTCCCTTAGTCGTCTGCTTCTTCTTCTTATTCTTTCTCTCATCATCTACAGAATAGACGACCAACGTCTACATCCTCTCTCCTTGTGTGTTCTCCCTCTCGACCCGCTTCCCGGCCTGGAGAGGCATTGGCGAAAGCGCCCTCGCAAAAGAGTATGATTAGTTAACACACCAAATACTCCATTTGAGCTGCACAGCCTCGATAATGCGCTTGGTTTTGTGGTGCTTTTGTGGTGGTGGTTTTGCGAGGGCCCTTTGACAATGCCTCTCCAGGCCGACAGGCGTTCGGACGAGGAAGGGAGCATGCACAGAGGAGAGAGCGGAGATGGGAGTTGACCTTCTATTTGATAGATGATGATCTAGAGAGAAGAAGAAAACCCCACTCGACCCAGTTTAAATCCCCCGCCTCGCTCAGTTGTCGGCCCTGCCATGCCATGCCAACCAACGTTGATACATTCGTTTTCTCCTGCCGGAGGAAGTCCACCTACACTTTCTCCTCTCGCCGACAGCTCTTAAGCAGTAGTACTAAGTCAGTTACCTACTATAAAAGAGACAAGTAAAAACGTGATAAAACCGCGAAGCCGGGTGATATATCATGACTTGCAGCCGCCTACACGGCAACATCCTATCTTAGCTATCCATCGCGTGTACGCAAAGAGTGATGGATATCGGATTAGTATATGGATCCGTAAACAGTACTATTGACATCCGGGTAGCCTTCTATCCACACGCATCCTGCCAGCCACCTGTCCATGAATCGAATCGCGTTCCGCATGGACAGTGGACACCGGTGTGTGCAGCTCACTATATTCAAATACAGCAACTAAATATCACTTTACGGCCATTCTCGGGTCTGCTGAGCAAATGAAGTGTATATCTGCCAGGCCCATCTTGCAAGAATGGAATGGAGGAGGCTCAGGCGGGATGCCGAGATCGGTCATCGATGGCACGGCGCCGCGGGTCTCTGGAGGGGCATAGCCTGGCTTCCTGGAGTCTGGAGAGCGGACGTACTCTACAGAAGCAAGCCAGAATGCTGGGCAATTTCGGTGTCCTGCACTGGTGCTAAACGGTGTTTGCGGTTGCTTTGAAGTTTCAGCTGTCACTGGCTGCTATTCCTCACGATTCACGAGTCACGACGTTTAATTGGAAGTTTCCCGATTGATGCTTGTATGTACCTATAGTAGGTCTCATCGGTAGAAATTACGGGATCTTCCTGGCTAGAGCCTTGGCGATGCCGCTCGTCAGTGTGTCCCTGACATCTGTTCTCCGGATCGTCGTCGTTCTATCTAGGAACCCTTGTGGTAGTGATCGGAATAGCCGTTGCGCGCAGGCAATCCCGCAATCCCGTAAGCACGTATGTAATTACCGCCGAGAGCCGGCCAGCTTTACGCCAGCCATGTCCGATACAGGTAATCGGTGTTTGTCTGTCCCCCTCATACCTATCATAGACACCTCCCTGTGTCCGGATCACCGCGATGTCGGGGGCGGAAGGATCACTAGAAGTGACTCGGAATATGTGCCGGAACCCAAGCAAAGATCAATCATCGCCGTTGAGTCGTCTCCGAAGTGAAGAGTAGTTAAATCTCGTATCCACGCGTACGTGCGTGCGCTCGTAATCCGGCGACGAAACTCCGATTCCGTTCGTTCGTTCGTGGCACTTCCCTCGCTGCAATTCGCCGGCCCCCTCCACCCCAGAAGACTCGAAGCAGTGGCATGCATGCATGTGCCATTCCCGAGCAAAAAAATAAACAGCTCGTCCGTTCGTTCATTCATTCGGGTCATGAAACTGCAACGTTTGACAGCTACATACATAATGTATGCAAAACCAACCGTGTTGGTTGAAGGTTCAAGGTTGTGGTCGTCGTATCGATCCATCCATCCATCCATCCCGTGCATCGAGTCTCACAACATGCCCCTTCCCCGTTCGTCGTGCAAACGTGGCCAGCCAGCCCGGGGCCCGGACCCGCTCCCTGTACCGACATGCACCGACATGCACCGATGTGCAGGCATGCGATGCCATCATCGATGGCTCGAAGGAATTGAATATGCAATTGACTATGCAGAGCTCCGTGTGCGCGCGCGCCGGACGGATGTGCCGTACCGTCGAGTACTGTGCCGTATGTATATGCATCTCCCGCAGATATGCACTGCCTTTAGAGAACGGCCTCGGTATGCCCTGAGAGAGCGAGTGATGGCTCCGGAGACTACTAAGATAGGTAGGAGGGCTTGCGGTCGATGTAACCTCTCTCGCCTGGTATACACGATTGCGAATGAGAATGCAGATTTTACCATCTCCGACAACCCCCCCCCCCCCCCCCCCCCCCCGCCCCGCTGCCAACAGATCTCGAAACGAAGCAGCCAGTACATACTATGTTTCCATGAATCTATGATACACACGGCGGCCGGAGCCGGAGCCGGAGCCGGAGACGGAGACGGACGTCCATTCCTCCGATCCTCGGCTGCACTATTGCCCTGTTGCACTATTGCACTGTTGCACTGTTGCATACACACGGAGGGCAATGCCGCGATGCACGCACCCGTCGCCTCACTCGGACTTACCGCCGCCAGTCCCCGGAGGAAAGGGAGCGGCTGTTCCACCTGCCGCACCCGTGGCTCACGGCACGGCGCTTTTCCCATGTTCCCATGTTCCCATCCCATACACTCCCTGAAAGTTGAGTCCTTGTGGACCGTGGTACGCAAGCACTATGATATCACCGTGTGCACACATATAACATATCCACATATATAACATATCCACATACATTCCTCCCTGGTTACGTACACAATTACGTGCACATCCTCGCCATCCCCGTCTCTGTCTCTGCCGTCCGCCCGTCCGGCGGCCGCCGCCGCATCGGTCTTCCAGTGTCCACAAACACGACCAACACGGATTCAGTCTGCAGTCTGCAGCTGATCGTAGTCGGGGTCGCGCCCGCTTCCCAATTTCCGCTGAGCACTCAGAACTCACCTGGAGTTCCGGAGGCCGGAGTCCTGAAGTTCTGGACGGCGATGACGCCGCCAAAGTTCCAACTGCATATGCTCGCGGCCGAATACGGGAATCGTCTGGAAGCAGTGGAAGCACTGGGCATTGGATGGGCGTTGCGAACATTCCTGCAACCCTGCGACTCTGCGAGCCTTTCTTTTTTTTCTTTTTCTTTTCTTTGGTTCTTTTGTGGTTCTTTTGTGGTTCTTTTGTGGTTCTTTTGTGGTTCTTTTGTGGTTCTTTTGTGGTTCTTTGCAGGCTTCCATGCATGCATGTACTCTACTCTATGTATGCGGGCGTGCGGGGTTTGTGGTGCGGGTTGGCTTTTGGTGCGGGTTGTGGAACTGCGACTATGACTGGCACTGGCACTGGTATGTACTGGAGGGGGATCAACCGTCCTATGACGGGAGAGAGTGTATGATGCGCGTTGGTAGTATTTTTCCTCGTTATTTTCTTCCTGTTATATGAGATGCGGGCGGGCCTGCGAGGAATCGAGGGCCCGATTAGACCAAACGCCCGGCTGCGCTGGTGATTTGCTTGCTCTGGTTGTGGTGGTTGTTGTGGTTGCTCTGCCTGCTGGATCTGCCTGCTGGATCTGCCTGCTGGATCTGCCTGCTCTACTCTACTCCACTCTACTTTGCAAACATGCAATGCCAATAGAGTGCTCTACCAGTAATCTCGAGTAGGCAGAGTAAGTAACCACGGTATGTAAGTAAGTTGGAGGCCTAGAGTACCCGTCGAAGAAAACCCGCCGAGTTTTCGCCGAGCCAGCCAGCCAGCCAGCCAGCCAGCCAGCCAGCCGAGCCGACCAGGCCGGCCAATACGAAAATGCCCATTGCCCATGCTGAGCACGGCGAATCGTATCCGCAGCCGCAGCCGCATATCTCCCCCCATCGAGAAGGACGGGTGGACACGCCGAGATCGTCGTGTTTACGCTCCGTTCCTGCGCCCGCAGACAGGCAGATATTGGAGTGCTAGAAAAAGGACAGTAGAAGAGAAGAAAAGAAAAGGAAAGGAAAAGGAAAGGAAATGAAATGAAAAGAAGAAAAAGGATAGTTGAGCCGGGCCGAATTCAAGGTTTGCGTACGGTATGCGGCCTAGGTGAGTCGGGTACGTACCGTACCCACATGGATGATTCCGTACATACAAAGCAACAAAATGAACCGGGTGTCGATCGACGACCGAACGGTACTCTACTTACTTAGGTAATTAGCTGTAGCAGAATAGAACTAGTAGTAGGCATCCGATTGATCTCGCACGAGACTCTCTCCTCGCGACTCTCTCGTGGCTGAGCCTCTTCAGCCCTGAGGCGACGGGGGGTTCTACCTACCAGGTACCTAGCACCTACCGGTGTGAGCTGCATCAAAATACCGACCTATCGGGCAACGGCGAGGCAAGGCGTCGAGGCGTGGAGCTTGTCCATGGAACTCCAATGGTCACTCCGTCCCGTGATTACTATTCCCCGTATTATGGATGTATGTCGTGTATGTAAATAGAGTAAGCACTCTAACGGTTAATCCCTCCCGTTTGACTTGGCTGACTTGACTGATTTGACTTGACTTGAAACTGCTACGATCGTACCCCCGACCAATAACCCGGCAGTCGATATGCGTTTATAGGGCTGGGTACCCAACCTAGCCTCTAGGTAGTCCCCGACTCCCTGTGATTTGATACGAGAATAGCTGTAGAGTCTATGAACAGCGTAGGCTCCAGCAGCTACATAGTAGTTCCATGTCACTGGACAGTGGATAGGTACCGTACGTAGGCAGGCAAGCAGACACCGAATTAGCAGCCAGAGAAGTGACTGGGTGCTCTGAAGTTTGAGCGGCCATCCCCCGCAGCACGGTTCCGTCCGTCCCACATCTCACATCTCACCTGTCCGCCTAGCGAGCGAGACCGTTCAGCCCACCTACTACGCGAGGTGAGCAGTGAGCAGTGCGCGAGTGACGTGCCGTGGAGTCCATGCGGTACCACAGCTCGCGCCTCACACCACACCATCTTCGCATCGCGTCTACCGTTTCCGTACAGATGACTCAATCCCGGAGGCGGAGAGAACATGCATGCCATCAGAGTAGAGTACCCCCCACTCAATCGCAATTGCAACATTTCGATACGATGCGATACGATATTGCCCACTCGACTCGACTCCGCTCCGGTGTCTGTTCTGTTCTGTCTGTTCTGTTGGGTAGGTGGTGTAAGGTAGGGGGATCGGAGGGGATGTGTAAGGTGGGGGGGCCAAACGCCTTGGGCACGTACACCTAGCGTATGTATATGTAATGTAAGTATAAAGTATGTGCGTACTCTAACGTAAGGATTTAGGGCTGGTGCTGGTGCTGCTGCTGTCGATGCTGCCAACGCCTCGGCGCTCGCTTGGAAGCAGTGCACGTTTCGAGCAGGTGTACTGTACGGTGCCGTGCGGCTGAGTGTGAGCTGAGTGTGAGCTGAGTGTGAGGGCGTGGGGGGGGGGGGGGGGGGGGGGGGGGGAGTGTGAGGTGTGAGGTTATTTGTGAGGTTGTTTGTGAGGTATCTGGAGCCACGCCTGAGGGTCGAAGGGAGGAAGGGATCTAGGGATGTAGAGCCGAGCACTTTCTGGCAGGCTAGTTGGCTGGTTGGCTGGCCTTGCGGCGCGCAGATCGGTAGGTACTTGGTATATTCACCACTCGTGGCGATCAGGTATATCGGGTATGTAGGCAGCCACCGCGGGCCTGCGGCTGCGGGCCACGATCACACTGTAGAGTACACACCCCCGGCTCAAAAAGCTTCGCACTGATTATACCGAAAAAGCACCGACAGCCACGGCCAGCCTGCTTTTAGATCTCCGCTATACCGGTAGTTAATAGCTATCGTTCGGTCCAATTATACCTCCAACGTCTATCCCCGCCTCCCGCGATCAGTGATCAGTGATCACGGCGTGCTCCGTGCTCCGTGCACCTACATATGTCCACTCTACATGTAACTTTAGGTACTTAGATAGGTAAATGCGGATTGCATGTAGATACCCGAATAGTCTGAATACTACTCTACCGACGTCGGGGTAAGGCTGAAGAACTTGGCTACCAGGTAGTATTCCACAGTACCAGAGAGTACGGTATGGTGGGCATTGGCGACGTTCCGCGCCACACAGCGGCGGCCGACCCAGTGGTGTTTCGAGTTTCGAGTTTCGAGTAGCAGCAGCAGTAGCAGTAGCAGCAGCAGCAGCAGTAGCAGCAGCAGCAGCAGTAGCAGCAGCAGTAGCAGTAGCAGCAGCAGTGGAACCGGTATCATATCTACATACACCACCAGCTTCCAGCTCTCTCCTCCGGGAGTAGCAAGGGTTCTCATATGTAGGCAGCTACTGCACGGCTCGGCACCCCAGAGCCTCAAGGCGGACTCCCCAGGCGCAGTTCGGAGGGTTTTCCCTTGCATTCGTCCTGCGCGAGTGATCGGAGGTGTGCCAGTTCTGTCTCTATGTAGCTCTAGCACTGGCACTGGCGCCGTCGGCCACCGGCCGGTGCCGACGGCCTACCTAGCTCTACCCCATGCGGGTTGACGACGTTGCTACATAGGACTAGTGCTGGTGGTTAGAGGCCTGACCACAGGCGGAACAGACTACGGCGCGCGGAAGGCGTCGGCAGCCCAACCAAGCCCAGCCCAGCCCAGCCCTGGGCCCCCCCAGCAGATCAGATCAGAGTCAACTGTGCCTTCCGGGGAACCGAGGAGGGAGCGAACGGAGCGACCGGAGGGAGGGGGGGAGGTGATTAGTTACTCTCTCTGGGGAGAGCGAGCCCTGCAGCAGTGCAGCGAGTGCAGCGAGTGCAGCGACGACGACGCCCCTGACGTCGACGCGCAGCAAGCACGGAAACATTCGCAAGCATCGAGCAAGAGCAGCCAGCATCGAGCAGCCAGCTATGTTACTTATCAACTGGTAGTTGCGGTGGTAGAGTAACCGGAGCACAGCGGTTTGGTTTGAACTGTGGACTTTGAGCTTTTGCCGACCGTCTGCAGCCATTGGCCGGCTGTGAAAGCACAGAAAGCCCACAAAGCAAAGAAAGAAGAAAAGAAACCCGAAAGGAAAAGAAAAAAGAAAAAGAAAGAAAAACTAAATTCCCTCGTGATGCATGTGCATGTGCATACATCTTTCCATCTGCAGTTGGTTCGGGTTGCATCGCGTCGAAAGAGGCTGTGCTGTGCTTGTGCTGTGTCGACACTGGACAGTTCGACGAGTCGCTCTGGTAACCATCGTACTCTATAAACGAAGACACACACACAGCACGCACACACTTCGTTTTCCAGCCCCCTCCCCCCCATCCCCCCCATCCCCCCCTCCCCACCCTCCCCCCCATCCCCCCCTCCCCACCCTCCCCCCCATCCCACCACCCATCCATCCCAGGACAGAAATCTCAGCCGCCGCCGTGTGAGTGTTCTGTACAGCTTCTAGAAGGAGCAGCAGCAGTGCAGCAGCAACTGCGAATGTGCGAATGGGAGGGAATGGAATGTGCGTTGCGCCGCATGACCAGACAAGACCGGATCACTCTGCAGACGGGATTTTTCTTTTCTTTTCTGCGCGCGATGGATGGTGGGATACGCTTTGCAAATCCAGACTCCTTCTTCCCCCGATTTTCCTCGCTCCCCCGATTCCTCCCCGCCTTGTGGTAGTGGTGGTAGTACTGGTGGTGGTAAAGGTGGTGTCACTGCCTCATAGGGCTGGGGCTGGGGCTGTTCGCGTCGCGTCGGGCCTACACTACGGTAGATTCACTATGACAGTGCAGCAACTTTGCAGTGTCATCATCGAGATCTCCGCAACCAACCCAATCAACCCCAACGGCTGTAATGTCAGCAGTCATCATGGCCCCACGGCTTAGGGAAGCAGAAGCAGATGCCAGAACCCTACCAGGCCTACCTGTTGAACCGTGAGCCCACCACCGCGGACTCGCAGAGGCGAGGTTTGTATGCACCTACTCTAAATATTGCGAGTCGGTCAGCGCCTACTTACTTGCTATACTTACGTTTCCGCCTCTGCCACCGTACCCCGTATGTACGTAAGTACCTCCCTCTTACCTCTTACCTCTTACATACACACATATATACATACACACATATATACATACACACATATATACATACACACGTCGCATCAGCGACGAGCGCGGCGAGCGCGACGGGGCTAGAGTCTAGACACTGCAAGTCTGCAATTCCGCCTCAGGCCTCTCATCTCCATATCGTTGCCTACGGTCTGTCCACCTGCCTACCCAGTGCCTGCATTCCAATATTCCAATATTCCAATCAGGAATCGTGCCCGCGTATGTACTCTGCTCTGCTCTGCTCTGCTCTGCTCTGCTCTGCTCTGCTCTGCCTATCGTGAGGCCCATGGAACGGGGCAGGATTGGACGGGGGATTGGACGCGGACGTTGACTAAGGAAGGAGCGAGGCCATGGCATAAGCTGAGTGTGAACTCAATCAGCAACGCAGAGGAGAGGGGGAGGGGAGGGGAACCGCAGGTGTTTCCGCGCATCCGGGAGCAGGCGGGAGCACGTATGTACATAGGCGGGCGGGATTGTTCAGCTCGATCCGCCCCTCGCGAGCGAACGGAGGGAATAGAGTTGGCGGAGGGAGGAGGGAGGGAGGGAGGTACTACTGCTACTGGGTACTAGGTACGTGGTAGGTATAGTTAGAGTACACGTTCAGCTCGGACAATTATCAATACACAATCCCAGTGCGGGATGTGATCGGGGTAATACTATTAGACCGACAGGTTGATCGACCGACAGACTGACCGGCCGGCGGGGGCGAGGGGGGGGCAAGTGCTCGACAGTGTTGCAGTCATCGCCAGTAGAATGTACTTGGGCAGTTACCTAAGAGTGACCAGCTACCTCTTACAGAGCGATTGAGCATGGTATCTCGACGAGCCACGATGCGGGACGATGACAAGTATAGTGCGTCGCGGATGGTTATTGGAGTAGAGTATCAAATTCTTGCTTGGGTCAGTAGTTGAGTTACTCTGTACGGAAGCGTAAACGGAAAGCGGAATCGTAAACAGACACTGAAATTGCAGCCTGCAAGTCTGCGAGTGTGCAACCTGCAACCTGCATCGACAACTGAGCCTCACTCACGCTCACGCTCCCCGACGATATGTACTCTACTCTGCGATGGCAATCGCGGGCACAGCACAGTAACTACCGTACATCATACGTTAGGTAGCACAGCACAGTTCACCAACCGAACCGAACCGGGTCCGCCTACCTTCCTGCTCACTTTGACTTTGACCAACGATAGCTACTGCGTGCTGACTCCTCCCAGTCCTTCTGCCCCTCCCGCTCCCGCTCCTCCTCTGCTCCCCCCAACCCAACCCACCCCATCACCCGTCCACCTACTTACCCATCCATCTTACCCATCTTTCTCATCTCACCCCCCTCCCCCCTCCCCAACCGCCAAGAATCCGCAGATCTACCGAGAACCTGTCAGAGCACTTTTACCCACTCTACTCTAACTACCCTACCCAGAGTACCTACCGTATCGTAGAGCAAGTAGAGTAACGGTAATTCAGCCCTATCGTTCTCACCTCAGCACCGCACCGCACCATACAGTCTGCACCAGGAGTCTGCACCGCACCGCTGCACAGTGCACTGCAGTAGAGTAGGTACTGCACATCCGAATCTTGCAAGATCGGATCGTCGTTCGCTCTCGCGCTCGTGCTCGCGCTCGTAAGCGGCCAGTGGATAGTCAGCCAGCCAGCCAGACAGACAGAACTTGGAAGGAAGGAAGGAAGGAAGGAAGGAAGGAAGGAAGGAAGGAAGTCAGACACGGGTGAAGGGTGAAGGGTTCGAGTCGCAAGTGCTGAGAGGCGTTCCCCGACACCCCAACGGCACTGATCAGACGGGGTGCGGCCGTGCGGGCCATCGCGCGCGCGGGGTAGAATAGTTGCGCGGGGGAGGGAGTGCGCGGGGGAGGGAGTGGGGGGAGGGAAGCTACCGACTGATCGACAGACCGCGAAATACGCCCGCTCGCCGGAGCCGGTAGAAGTGTACTCTAATCTAACCCGCCGATTTCGCGCGTCGGGAATTCCACGGTGTGGACGCAACTTGCGCCCCCATGCCCCCTCAGTGCCAGTGCCGGCCTCGTCCAGCACCCGTCTTCCTCCGGTCAGGCGGAAGCAAGAGAAAAGAAGAAGAAGAAGAGGAGGAGGAGGAGGCATGTTTCATTTCGTCTCGTCTCTTTCAAAAGAAAGTGGCCTGATGGCCTGCCTGGCAGCATCCGAACCCAACCTGGAGTTCTTTCCTTCCGTCGCGTTCAGAAGGTAGCTACTTCCCACCTACTTCCCACCTACTTCCCAGCCATTCGGCCCCCGCGTTGAGGAAATTTCCCATCGTCGTCGGCGCATCCAATCACGGACGGGAATTCGACCTTCCCTCGTCGATACCTGCATCGGCGGGCGGCCAATTGGCTGGCTGGCTGTATGTATGTAGGGTGAAATAGATGCAACAGTACTCTACCTACTGTAGATGAAGGTCCAGCAACAAGTAGGTAGAAAACAGTGGGGGCTGCCTGCTTGCCTGCCAGCCGCCAGCCGCTGACATGCGAGGCACCAACTCTACTCCGTATGATACTGTATACTCGACAGGAGCAGGAGGCTCCGCCACGATTAGGCATACCACGTCCCCCCCCCCCCCCCCCCCCCCCCTAGTTAGTTACATACGGTAGGTATCATACAGGCACGAATTATGAATAATCTTTCCGCCGACCGCCAACGTGACGGAATTGCCGCCCTCCTACATAGCATACTATTTCTCTTCTTCGTGCTGGTGCCTGTGCAGCAGTCCGATTCCCTGGCCCAAAACAGGCGTTGGCCTGCGCCCCTCCCCCCTCCCCCGGCAAGGGCAAGGGCAAGGGCAAGGCAAGGCCTGCCCAGGCAGACCCCCCCTCCCACCGATGTACGGCATGTATGTATGTATGTACTCTAGGTAGGGACATACCTAGGGACATACCTAGGGACATATTACTCACCACTCTAATCCTCGAGATAGCCGAGGATTCGGATGGGGAAGGTGGGAGGTTGTGGGTTTGAACTTTGCGGGTTGGCGGGTTGGCGGGTTGGGTTTGGGGAGAGGGATACTTTCTCGAGCCGTATATTCTATACGATATTGTTAACCCGTATATTCTATGGTATGTAGGTACTGTCAAGTGTCAACCCGTATATTCTATGGTATAGTGCTAGACGGTACTATACGATACTACACGGTACTATAAAATACACACCCATTATCCACCTCGCCAGAGGTATTTACTCCCCCTTCGGTACCTACGGCACGGTAGAGACGGCAGAGTACGGCAAAGCACGGTACCCCACCGTTGCGCCGTGCCAGAGACTTTCGGACTCGGAGTGGAGGAGAGGGGAGGGGAGGATCGGAAAGGATAAGGCTGAACTGCTCGGTGACGAAACGAAGCGCCATGTACCTACCCAGGTATAAATTACGCAGGCATACCTACTACGGTAGCAACTATACCCAGTAGTTACTCAAGATAGTAATAGTAGTTAGTGGCGTCAATAGCTCCCCCGAAGTGGTCCCGCGCTCATTCCGGTCCCGCATTCAGTCCGTTATGTCCAGTCCGTTCGACCGCCGAAAGTAAACGGCCGTTTGATTCCAGTTTCATACTCAATTACTAGTAGACTCCAACTAGAGTTTTACGTAGGATTCGAGGGACACGAACCTCCGCGCTCCTCCACCCCTCCCGATTCCACTAGTATCTACGCACGCCACCCAGCGGGAGGTCGGGACTCGGGAGGTCGCGAAATCGGGCTACGAACTGCGGGCTTCGGGCAGCGGGCTACGAAATGCGGACATTTTGTTGGGAATTGGGGCCAACCGTCCAAAAGGAACAAAAGGAACAAAATAAAATGAAAATCCACTTAGGCAGCAGTCTGGACTCTGGAGTAGGTACCTTCTCCCTAAAGAAGTACTTGTACTCTACCGTGTGGGACTGGGCTCGGCTACTTTGTCGAAAAGAATGATGGCCCTGCCGGCAAGTATGTACCGGTACTACTTGTACCGTAGTTACCAGCGCTACTATTTGCTCTACGGTAGTGACGGACTATGGTACTCTACGGTACTCTTGCTTTGATCTGCTCTACTCTGCTCTACTCTTCTCTGCTCTACTCTAGTCGGTTAAAGATGTGGATATCCGGTAGACAACAATGGACAATGGTGGACAACGGTGGACAAGTTACAACGGTGGACAACGGTGGACAAGTTACAACGGTGGACAACGGCCATAACTAGTAGTCTACATACGGTACCGTACGGTACCGCGCGTGCGGATAGATGTAGAGTATTTCGATCTCATCCGCCTCAGCGCACCTTACACTTCCCCCGTCTTTCCCTGTGCAGTGCAGTGAGCACGTGGGTGATACCCAAGTACCGCAGGTCCATACATACATCACACACAGGTATGTACTCCACTCCATCTCCGGGCACTGGGCAGAGCAACTACGCCATACGGCAAGAACATGCTTATACCTTACCTGTGTACTTGCATACCTACTCTGCATACATACATCTACATATACCTCTATGTATGATGTATTTATTTACAGACCCTGCCTGTCTGCCTGCGCCCGACGCCCGTGGACTGGATTCTTTACATATACATACGGTATGTACTCGGGTGTAAGGGTAAGTGCTGCCTCACCAGCTTTTCCCCCATACAACTTAGCGTTTTTCCCCCATACAACTTGGTCACAACCACTCACTCATTTAATTGAATCTGGCTTAGTGCGCTCCTGGTACAGACTAGTGCTTATAATTCGTAATGGTGGTGAGGCACCACTTATTGGCAGCTCCTGGTACATACCACACATACATACATATGATACGTGCAGCTCAGCCTTACGGCCCCGCCCACCCAGCTGCCCACCCAGCACCCAATGCCCACTGCACCCAGCACCCAATGCCCACTGCACCCAGCACCCATCCAGCACCCAGTACTTACCCACCTAGCACCCAGCAGTGCTAGATAATAGACATACGATTTGCATTTAGGCGTGTACCTACTGCCCAGTGCCCACCTAGATTAAAAAATAGAATCCCCACCTAGAGTAGAGCACATCCATTTATGGAAATCCGTCCGTGTCCTGTGCTTCGTTACCATGTTTCGAATATTGCCCCTTGGGGCCTGAAGGAGCGGGGCGGAGGTGGTGGCGATCGCGACTCGCGAGGGATGCATGTGGTTCGTATTGCCCCGCCACGGTTTGATCTACTTAATTCTAAATTCAATTCCATTTACAATTGCAATTCCAGTTCTAAATCAATTCCAAATTCAATTCAATTTCTACTAGTAGTTTCCTCTCTCTCGCGAGCGAGCGAGGCTATGATGCGAGAGATTGCGACCCCGCAATGGCAGGCAGGACTTCAGCCGGCCAGCCGGCCGGGTACCGTACATACCGTACATACCGTACCATTCAACGGCGAGCCTGAAGGCCCAACATCTGAAAGGAAAACAATAGATATAGTAGTTAGGCACGCATGCATACCTGCCGTACTTAGGTATCCCTCGTACGGCGCGCGGGGCGAGTACCTACATACCTATCGCGATTACATTTACATTTACATGGAATCCTGCCGGGACCGGACGGGGAAGCCGGGGAAGTGGAACGGTTGCCATTTTCTCTCTTTTCTCTTCCTTCTCCCGGTAACAAAGTACGTACTGATGTAGGTACATTCGTCCCCGGGGAAGGAGGGCGATCTTTCCTGATCCCGGAGCACGCCTTGGAAATCGGGATAACAGTTACTGATTGCGAACCGACCCCATTATTTCATTTCATTGTATGTACATAGAGTGCATTGGTGATGTACCGGTATGATGTATGTACTTGGATTGCTTGGATAATGAATTCGCTTGGCTTCAGCCTTCGATAACCACGTGGACTCTAGAGAGGAGTGGACGGATGGGAGGAGATGGCATCATGGTAGGAGATGCCCGTCGCACGCTCGGTTTCCCCTTGCTGCTCTGGTGAATTCTGGTCTTGCACCGTTCTACGCCCACATCCACTTCCGGCGTTCCCGAATCGTCACGGTGGATAGGTAGTGGGTAGTGGGGCGGACATGACGAGCATGTTGCCCGAGAATACGAACGGACTTGAATAGACATGAATAGAGTAGAGCACTCGCTCACGATCCTTGAGTCTTTACGGCCGATGCGGCCCCCGACTCACGATGCGAGTCACGATGCATTTCCGGCACCTGGCGCCTGAAGCCTTCAAGCTTGAGCCTCGAGTAGCTCGAGTACCCATCTATTTGCAACCGTCCCCAGCATGGTATGTATGTATGTACCGTAGTTACGTGCAGCAGCAGCAGCGAGATCCACGCCGACGGTCGCTGGGGATATATCGAGATTTGAGATGATCTGTCAGGTGCTATTTCCATACCTGCGCGTTTCAACTTTCATCCCGACTTTTTTTCTCTTTCCTTCTTCTTTTTTTTCTTTTCTTCTTTCTTTTTTTCAAAGCCATACGATACCGATTCGTCCAGGTGTGGGAACATTTCCATTTCCATTTCCATTTCCATTTCCATTTCCATTTCCATTTCCATTGCAATTTCTTCCTCCGCTTCAGCTTTAGCTTCTTCCGCGTAGGAGGAGCTGGAGGAGGAGGAGTAGCAACTGCCAACTGCCAACCAACCACAAGCGGTAGCAAACGCGAGGGGAGCTAACAATACCCAAAGCTCGATCACATAGCGGAATATTGTGGGAACATGTGCCCGGGGGGGGAGGGGAAGCATCCCAAAAAAAACATTCACTGGGCCACTCCCATCGCTCCATCCAGGGCTGGGCGAAAAAGAAACGGCGGCGGGGACTGCGGATAATGCAGCTCGCTGTGAGAGGGGTGGTGGTGGTGGTGGTGGTGGTGGTGGGTCGGAGTCGGTCAAATTATTGTGAGGAGTGGTGGACTGGTGGTCGACCGTGTCGCTACGGTGAACCCAGGCAGCCAGTAATAGCCCCGCCGGCCGACATCCAAGACCACCCAAGAGCACTTTTCATAGCACACACACCCACACCACACATAGAACACACAGTGCACACCACACACACCACACACACTCACACTGCGCACACTCATCCCAACCACGGCCATGCCCACCCTCCACCACGGCGGCCAGAATCATAGCCTCCCATCACCTGGGCGACACTGGGCAGTGGGCAGGAGTGGTGCCGCCGCCGACATGTATGGCCTCTTTGCGATTTGCCTGCCTGCCATGTATGTATGTATGTATGTGTGTAGGACAACGATGTGCGAGGGATTATCGGTGTGCGGCTGCAGCGACTGTCTCTGCTGCCTTGCGCTTGTTCTTCTACTGCTTGTTCTTCTTCGTCCATGATACATATTCCGCTTCTGACAGATCTGCCCGCGAGAAACGTTTGCGCGCCATGCATCAACCACAAGCCTCGAAGGGGGAGGGAGGCTATGGCTGGCTGGCTGGCTGGCGCAATGCATTGCGACTCGGACTCCCTCGCCATGCGCCGTGAAAGTGGGCGTGATGGCCAGAGCAACTATTCTATGGGATGTGTGGTTTCCACCTCTCCACCGTGGTATTGCTCCTGGTGGTGGCTTCTGTAAGGTGCTTGGTCAGAAGCTGTCCAGTGTCGACTGGGCTGCAGTGTCCCAAACCAGCTCGGACTGCATGGAGAAATAGCAGGGGACGTCTGCTGTGCGACCCCGAGAGCAACTCCAGTCCGAAGCTGGTCGGGCACCGGGAAGATACCCACAAATCTGGGAGGGGGGGAGAGGGGGATGGATGGGAGGGGGGGAAGGGGGAAGACGCTGGCCGAGACACTCGTGCGGACGAGCTAGAGGGGTGGGTGGGAAAGGAAGCCACAGAGAAGATTCCATGCGTCCTTCCATCGGCGGGTGGTCTGGGGTTCGAAGGTCGAGGGGAGCCAGGGTGTGTGGGTGATGCCACTAGGTCGATGCTGGCCCCATCGTCCATGGCCTAGTCGCTGGGTAAGGCTGTTTTGCTTCTTCTGCTTTCTCCGTCTAACGCAGCAAGCAGCAGCAGCAGCTCGTACAGCAGCTGTGAGGCCGCACTACCTACATGGGCTCCCTCCACCATACCTCCATGCACTCACCCCCCCCCCCCCCCAGTAATACACGCTACTCAAGCCACCTCCGAAGAAAGCATCTCCCTTGCATGGTTCCGACGACTCAGCCTTCACCACCGGGCACCAGATCGGAGGTCGATAAATATCTACCCTTCCGTCCCCCTCACTCTGAAATCATCATCACCAACACCATCAGCATCACCACCACTATCACCACCAAGCCAGTCAGGCGGTACAGTCCATAAACCACCCCTACTACTACATCACATCCACCACATCCAGATCCACTATCCCGACTACTGCAACGACTACTACTACTACACCACTACCACTACTACTACTGCCACTACTACACCTCCGAGCTTCACCCATCTCCTACCCAGACAGCATGCACCACCAGCAGACACAGTATCAATACGCTTCCCCAGTAAACATGCCTTCAGTCTCGCCACAGCACTACGCTCGCCCGGCACCCACCCGTGTTTCGAGCACCACCGAGTTCCGCGGGTCAACCAACCCCGACGAGGACTGGACCAAGATCAGCGACCTTGCCGAGCGTCGCAGGATCCAGAACCGCATCGCTCAGCGCAACTACCGTACGTTCCCACAACCCCCTCCCCTCCTCCGACAAAGCTAACAGATAAACAGGCAAGAAGCTGAAGCGTCGTCTTGAAGACCTCGAGCGCCGCGCTGCCTCGCGCTCCATCTCTCCCAACGGAGAGGACACTGATGGTCGCTCGACCCGCGAGTCGTCGGCCGAGCAGCCCCTCCACTCGCCGCCGCCCAGCTCCGAGCCCCACATGACCAACTCTCCCCCGTCACGAGACAGCTACCCTTCGGTCAGCAGCAGCGCCTACACCACCTCCAGCAGCAACTACTCTTCGTACCGGTCGACCGGCGGCGCACACTCGCCCTCGTACGCCCCGGCTTTCTCGTCCGACTCCAGCAGCTACAGCTACTACCAGCCCTCCACCACCGGCGCATCGCATTCACAGCTCCCGGCGATCGCTGATCTCTCGTCAAACACCCCTCCCCACTACATGTACAGCACCTACTCGACCCCGACACTGTCCTCGATAGTCGAGGCGACCTGCGGAACCCCGGTGCCAACGACGTCCTCGGGCGCCGAGTCGGCCTACCTGCCGCTGCCCTCATCCCGCATCTCTGGCTACAGCAGCGTTGCCCCCGAGTACGCAGCGCCCAAGACGACTCCGGCCTACGAGAACACCATGTCTCCGTACTACTTGTCGTACACCGGCCTCTCAGGTGAGCATTAGCAGCTACCCCGATCTTCTCCTCCCAAGCGTTGAACTAACAGATCACCCCTAGAAACCCCAGATCCCAACAACTACTACAACAACTACTACGCGCAGGATCACCACCACCACCACCACCACAGCCCTCCCACACACTCGGCCGTGACGATAAAGCAGGAGAACTAGAATCGCTTCCGTTGTTTTCTTTTTCTTTCTTTCCTTCCGAATCTCCTCCATCTCTTTCCTTTGTATTCTCTTACTATCCGGGGGGCTATAGACGGGAACTGGGAACTGCCGCGAGGCAGACAACTGTATCCATATTGTATTGGGCGCAACACTTAGATGATGATGTTATGTTTTGATTTTCTGCCTGTTTTTTCCGATTACTGTTTTTTCTTTTCTTTTCTTTTTCGATTTTTTCTTCTTTCTCTTGTCTCTCTCGCGAAGGTGTTTAACTGGCTGTATTTTCTGGGCACATTGTTCTTCACGTCTTTCTTTTCTTTTCGTTTTCGTTTTCGGCGGGGTGTTCTCGCGTTTGCTTTTTGGTGCGGGTTCGGAAGGGGTTTTTCTTTTTTCTTTTTCTTTCTTGCTCTGGCGATTCTTCGTTCGAAAGGGGGTAGCGGGGGGTGGGTTGGGTCGTGTGGGTTTGGCTGGGCTGGGTTGGGATGGGTTGTGTGGGTTGGGTCGAATTGGGTTTGTGTGTGTGTGTGTGTGTGTGTGTGTGGGTTGGTTTGCTCGAGAAGTAGAGTACTCTACAGCTACAGTGCGCATGAGATATCGATGGGGGCCAAGTCTTGATTGGCCGAAACGGTGTTTTTTTTTCTTTTATGAACTGAACAGATTTTTTCTTCTACTTCCGCTTCTTCTACTTCTATTTGGGAGACTGTGCATGTGCTGTATGTCTGGGTTGAGCTGAGGTTTTACATTTTGTTTTCTTTTGGGGGTTTGGGTTTGGGTTTTTGCGATGGGTTTCCGCGCGGGAATGGGAATGGGAATGGGAGTGGGAGTAAAGGGCGGGTATTTTTGATGTATGTATGGTATGGCGATATGGTGGTTCAGTTTTCGGAATAGAAGAAGCAGAGGATCAGAAGAAGCGCACTCAAGTCACATGTCCGGTCTCATCTCGTCGTGTCCATTTCCGTAGTGGTCTTCTCTGCGCTGGAGAGTCTGGAATCTGCATTCACTGCAGCAATGCGGCGGCGTCGGCGGCGCGGTGGTGCTGGTCGCAGACTACCTACCAACAGTGGGCGACAGCGGTCTGTGATTGGCCCGCCCGTGTAGCCCAAGCCCATGCCCGGTGAACGCAGGGAGGAAGCGCAAGCAAGCAGGGCGGGCATGGGGGATGGGGGACGTGGGTGGGAGGAGGGAGGAGGGGGGAGGGGTATTAGTTGTGCCGACGCTCGCGAGACATACTTGCCTGCCTGCCTGCCTGCCTGCCTGCCTGCCTGCCTACGAGTGCATACATATGATACATATGATACCCATATGTAGAGTATATAGCGGCAGGATGGATTCGTGGCCCGCCCCCGGACCGGCCGGAATGGCTGGGATGGCCGGAGACGGGCGGATGTGCGGCGGCGACGGAAGGATGCGTGGCGGAAGTTAGGCGGAAGTTAGGCGGAAGTGCGGCGGAGGTAAGGTGGGAGTAGGGCGGGGACGGATGGTTAGTATGGGTTGGATGGGAGCGGCGGGGTGACGTAGGGTATCTATCCTATGCTATGCGACGGTATGGTGGGTATGCAGGTGCATAGATTTGCCCCGACGCATATCGCTGCGTACCTGGGTACCTGGGTGCCCGGGTGCCCGGGTATGTACGGTACGTGTTTGTGTTTGTGTATGCGACGCTCCTTCGCTCCTTCGCTACCTTCTATCTACTCTACCTACTCTACATAGATACTCGTGCTGCGGTACTGCGTGCACCACCCACGGTACTCACGGTACTCAAGCCTCAAGGCAGAGTACCTGGGTCTGTCTATTCTGCTCGGCCAGAATGCGGCACCGTACCGTGCAATGTCCACCGTGCAATGTCAATGTGCAATGTGCAATATACAATGTGTGAGCAATATGTCTGCATGGGTGTTTGGTGCCGTGACCGGGAATGTGGATACCGAGCATGTACCGGGCATGTACGTGCCGGGCATGTAGATACCGGGCATGTACCGGGCATGTTATATGTACCGGACATGTGCCATGTGCAAGGTACACGGGTGTCCATGGTCCATGTGCAAGGTACACGGGTGTCCATGGTCCATGGTCTACCGTACGGTACTCTATGGAGGGGTGAGGGGTGAGGTGCTTGAACTTCCGATGCGACGGTGGGGTGGACTGGACTGTGGGCGATGGTGGTGCGTGGTGCGTGGTTGATGGGAGGTCCTCGAAGCGGCCACGGAAGTGCGATGCAACACAACACAAGGCAGCACAACCCAAGGCAACACAAGGCAAGGCAACACCCGTCGATACTCGATACGGTACCATGGTATCATAGAGTAGTAACCAGGCAACAGCACAACCTCCAAGCTCAATATCCAAGCCCACTTCCCAGCCCAGCGCGCCATGTGGGCATTATGGGCGTTATGGGTATTGTGGGTATTGTGGGGCAATAGGTCGGCCTAGGCACCAGCCCACCAGCCCTCCAGCCCTCCACCCCGCCGCCCACCAGTTCAGCCAGCAAGCCAGCAAGCCAGCCGCACTCGTCGTGCGTTTCGTGAGTCGTCACTCCATGTATGCACGGCGCGATTGCTTCGTTTCCTCCTGCTTCTGTTTCCTCCGCTTCAAGCACGCACGTACGTACGCACCGTATCGAAACGAATCCAGAAATGAACAAGTTCCAACACTGCAATTTCGGGAGCCCCCCACCAACTAACGAATTGGTTGGCTGGCTGGAGCCTGGCCCCATGCAGCCTACTAGCCAGCAGAGTACCCTCGTACCCATAGCGGCGCGGCGGCAACAGCGGATCGGATCGTCGGCGCCGACTGGTCACTTACTGGTCACCGGTGCGGATCATCGCTACTCCGTTCGCACTCTAGATACAGCATGCGGGAGTTTTTGAGATTTGAGATTGAGATTGCGTACGACGGGTGATGGGTTATGGGTGATGGGCGACGGATGGAGCGGATAACAGTGCGAGCCTGCGGGGACAGTCTGGGACTCTGGACTCTGGGGCTGGAGGGGAGTCGCGAGGGGAGCAGGAAGAAGCGAAGAAGAAGAACAGGAGGGGAAGGGAATGTGAAGAGATTGCGAATTGCAATCGCGTGTATACATGTACAACTAATAACCACCCAGTTACCCAGTCCCCCAGTTCCCTAGCTACTCATGTAGCTGCGGGGATGTGGGGACTGGGGAGGAGTCGAAGGTTCAGCCCTGAATATCAATGAGCACGCTGCACAACTGGGAAGATCGGATGATAGACACTCGACAAAACTCCTCCTCCTCAAGCGAAACGAGAAAACTTCCCCCCCCCTCCGGCAAGCAAAACGCGCAACCAGCAAAGTTGCAACGCAATCTCCCCGCGATGGTGGATGGTGGGGTCCGCCCCCCCGCCCCCCTAAAGGCGCGATTGCATCGCATCGGAGTTAAAAAATCTATATAGTGGTGTACGGTACATCTGAAACCATCAGGCTCCCCTTTCCCCTCCCCCCACGAGCTCCTGCGGGGCAATGGGGACGGGGCAATGGCAACGGGAAACGAGGGGGGAGGGGGGGCCTAAGGCAAAGAACGAACGACAGAAACGAATCAAGAAAGAACGAAAGCAGAAAAAAGTCGTCGCGGCGGTATCGAGAGGAGGACCACGGCGGAGTGAGCCGAAACTTCAAACGCCCACGTTACTCTCCACACTTGCATAACTATAATTACTAGCAGTTATGTAAGTACGTGCATAGGGCTGGCCGCCGCTGACGGATCTCTGTTATGCAGACCAAAATATCACAGGTACACTACATAAATATGGACGCTGGCTGGATGCTTGGATGTATAGATGGACGACGAGAGCTGAAAAAGGCTGGGGACTTGGATGATTCGCTGCAGCAGCTGCTGCTATTGCTGCAGCTGGGGCATCCAGATCCATCGCACGCAGAGTATTTATTGTATGTACGTACCCGCAGAACTCGCGATGGAAGTCGAGCTGAAAGGAAAAGATTTTGGCTTCGGTGCTGGACGACGAGGATTGGCGGTTTGGATCTACCGCGCACCGACGCACCGTAGTCCAGGCCAGCTCAACTCAGCTGCGCGAAATCCGAAATCCTGGGGCCCGCCGGGGTGCGGGGAGGGGGGTATGCGCGCTGCTGGTAGCTGCTGGGGGCTGCGATGTAGGTACATATCCGACATCAACGGCAGCTGGACGGCGCTGGAGATGCTGGGAAACGCTCAACTCCTGCGAGTTGCGACCAGTCGGAGAGTAGTCGGCGAGTACATACTCACACTCACACAGTCACATACCCAAGTAACAAATCCGTGGCCTCAAGGGCCGCGTAGTTCTCTACTCTAGGTACTCTACTCTACTCTACAGAATTTTGCGTGCACTCTGCCACTAGAGTAGTCTAGCTGACCTCGCTCCCCGCCAGGCGCCCGCATCTCCACCCCCTCCACCCCCGCGCTCGCTCACCGGCTCACCGGCTCCACATCGTTAATCCACATATGATAATCCGCATAATCCGCGTCTCGTTTTCGCTTCGTACCGAGACGGAGACGGAGACTCACTCACCTAAGCACTCTTTTTGCACGGCAGATCGGTCTAGTTGTTAGTACTGGTAGTGTACTGGTACTAGTAGTGGCGGGAGAGGAACGGAATGGAATAGACTGCTGACCGGAGACGAGACGAGACGTGGCGTGGGTGTATGATAGACTGATAGTTACGTGTGCCGTTGACCGGCCTCAGATGCTCCACACTCGGTACGCGGGTCTCGCGCTCGCTCTCGTCTCACGCGGTAGGAGGGAACTCGTCCGTGTGGTGACTTGTCACCGTGAGTCACCCCCTGGGGCCTAGCCACCTGGGGAGCTGCACCGGAATTGACATGACCATTTCTTTCGCCTCGTGCTGGTTCAGTAGTACGTACAGTAAAGATTTCCGCACGGCTCCGGTGGAGGAGCAGCCGAGTACCTACTCGGTAGACGATAGGCAGCTGACCGGTCACCGACCGCACGTGGCCGGCCAGCAGATTGCCGCGACATCGAACGAAAGGCTGCGCGAGTCTACAGATACCCAGGTATGTGCGTCCTGCTACCGATTTTATACACACCGGTGCGCACTGCAGGTATGTAAGGCGATAAGCGACGCGAGAGCGCTGCTGCTGCTGTGTAAGTTGATCGGTTGGTCGGGTCATGGTGGATCACCCGGTACAGTAATATTCCGCACCGATGGTGATGGTGACAGGTATGTAAGCGTGCGGTGGAACCGTGGAAGCGAATGGGGATTGTGCACCTGACCATGCACTTGATCACGATCTACTAGTACTCAAGGTCGAATGCTATGTAAGTACCTATGATGAGTAAACAAAAGCTCCGATGCTACATAAGCGTGATTCGGAGTCCGGAAGAAACTCCCATCCCGACTCCCGACTCCCGAGCCCAGCGCGGCGAGTGTGGGTTGCACGAGTGACGAGTGTCGAGTCCTCCGGGCTTCCGTCGACACGGAACCGGGGCAACTCCATCACCACGATAATCCCGTTCCTAATACCGGTATCTGTAAGCGGGTGGGTATAAACAAGTACATACTTATGTACCGCTTTCGACGCTCACGGGTTGCTCCCGATGCGGCATACCTATTAAGTTGGTGGATATAGTAGCCACTGCAAACAACAATCGTCCCAGACTCCCAGAGTACTGCATAGTAGCTATACTAGAATAGGCTTGCTCTCACGATTCATCCCTTCTGTGGAGATCAAGTGCCCGCACGGCTCGGAATGCTTTGTGTGAATCTTGTGACCGAGTTCAGCGGCTGCCGTGGCCGTCGAATCCGCTTCTATGTACTATAGGAAGCGCCTCTGTCGTCACACTGGGTACTTGGCCATCTGCGTTTCTGCAACTCGCACTGCTCAACGGCGGAGAGTGGGGGGAGCGAATATCCAATCAGGCTACACACGTATACGAGTGATATAGTACAGGACAAGAGCGGGAGGGAGTTGTGGTTTTTTCCGTTTTTTTCCGGTTTTTTCTTTTTTTGTTTGTGAGCGTGATCATAAAATGTCACCCGGTGACGCCGCAGTGTATTTTATTTTTGAGGGGGACTTAAGCTGGGTCGAGTGGGTTTAGTCTTCTTCTTCTTCTTCTTCTTCTCTCTGGATCATCACCTATCGAGTAGGTATACGGCTAACCCCCCATCTCTAGCCTCTCTTCTGTGTGTGCTCCCTCGTCCGAACGCCTGTCGGCCTGGAAAAGCATTAGCAAAGAGCCCTCGAAAAACCACCACCACTAAAACACCACAGAAAGGCAGTGAAGCTCAAATGAAGAATACACGCTTAGCATGGCAGAGCATATGGGGTGTTAATTAATCATACTCTTTTGCGAGTGCGCTTTCGCCAATGCTTCTCCAGGCTGGGAAGCGGGTCGAGAGAAGGAGATCACACAAGGAAAGAGAGGATGTAGAGGTTGATGGTCTATTCTGTAGACGATGAGAGAGAAAGAAGAACACGCAGACGACTAAGGGAGCAGGCGACTCGCTGGCCCCACCAACGTTGATGCTCCCTACAATGTAACCACTTCCGCTTCCTTCCGCCGACAAGCTCTCCTCTCGCTCCCTCTTCTCGTCGGAATCGCTCGCCACAGTGGGTTTGCGTGGTGGTGGGTTTGCGTGGTGGTGGGTTTGAGTGGTGGTTGAATCGTCGGGAAAAAACTATGGCATTATAGACGTTTGCCGTTCTTTTTATTTCAAATTTTCCATCTCCAGCGGGTTTCCCAAGGACCCAACCCACGAGCGTCGAACCGCGCTGCGCTCGGCTTGCTCTCGAATTCTCGACTTCTGTCCCGGAGACCGGAAGTGAAAGATCTATCATCTAGGTATGATATAAAGTACATACCCGACATGTGGAATCCGCGCGTTTTGCGAGGCTGCGATGAAGTAGCTGGCAGGCAGGCGTTCTTTACTCGTCTGTATGTATGTTTGTTTGCTCCATTGCATTCCTGGACCCTGGTGATGGCTGGCTGGCTGGTTGGTTGGATTTGGTAGCCACTTACATAACTGTGGTTGTAATTGGGGCGGGCAATGTGAGTGATATCTCCTGCTCTGGTTCCCTAGCTATGGAGTAGTGAAGGTCTGTACTTAGGTATATTCCCCCCAGCCCCAACCCCAGTCATCAATTGTCGAGAGTTACCCCATCTAGATATCTCTCCGGTATCCGGGTGTCGACCTTGCGATTGTCCACCATGTATGTGTACATGTAGACCGTCGACGCCCGCTTCTGCTCCACTCCACTCCTACGATCCATCCGTTCGGCTCCGGTGGGATCCCGTGGGCTTCAATGTGTACATAATACATCGTAGTGACGGAGTAGACCCATGCCTACATACTTCCCCTACATACTTCCCCTACATACTTCGTATGCATACTGTGGTAGGGAGGGAGGACTGCGGGGTATAACCTGGAAGGGTGTCGACAACCTTAATCACGATTAGACGATTCCCGATTCCCTCAGAAATTTGGGGCACATACGGGCGAAGACATCCCCTTCACCTTTTTTTTCTCTTCCATCATTGATTGCATCTCGACCCTGTGGTATCCCCGTGAACTGGACTGCGTCGTGGACGAGCAATTGCTTGGGAGACTGCGTTCGTGTGATGCTGGCAACACCTACTTTACACTCTCAGTCCTCACTCAACTCGGAGGCAATCACTCCCACTCAATTGCAATCCGAAGCAAAGAATCAAACCCACTTTCTTTTGATCAATCACATCTAAAAAACAACCCGCCCATAAAGTATCCCAATAAAGCAACGAAAAGCGCGCATCTAGTATGTAATCCCACAGAACAATCCCACAGTCGTCGCAAATCAATCAAACACAGAGAAGGAAAAAAAAACTGCCGCCTCGTAAAGTAGGTACTACAATAATCAAAATCCAATCCGAAAACGTATAAAACAAGAAATAAAAGAGAGGAACGCCCGGGTGCAATGCAATGGGGAAAGAGAGATCTGGTGGTGGTGGTGGTGGTGGTGGTGGTGGATGCAAAAAACGGAAAGAAATGAAGAAAAAGAAATGAAGAAAAAAACACCGGAGTCAAGGAAAAGTTGTGATGGTGGTAGTAATCATTTCAGCTCCTTCTCCCTCACTGCCTCCTCCGTATCCCTTCTCATCGGCTTCTCCATATCCCCGTCGAAGTACCTCCTCTTCTCCACATCCTCGGTTTTACTCCTCCTCGTTCCGGGCCGTGGCTTCTCCATATCGTCCAACACGCCCTCCGCAAACCTGCGTCTCCCCGCCGTTCTCGGCCTGGACGCCTCCTCCGTGTCCCTCCGTCTCATCGCGGGCGAATCCATATCATCCAGCACGCCCTCCTCAAACCGCCTCCTCCTGCCCGCACCGCCGCCCCTTCCTCCCGTAATCTGCAAATTCTCCGCCTCGCGACTCAGACTCATCCCGGACAGCCCGCTCCTAGCACTCTCGACAGTCCTGGCGGTGCCGGGCCTCTCGAGGGCCCTCGCCCGATTGATGACCCGATTCAGCTCGCCGACCTCCTTCACGCTCGGCGGCGGCATCATCATCCAGCCGGTCTCCTCGCCGCCGACGATCCGCGCGCGCATCGGCAGCTCGAGCATGTCGACGGGCTGCACGGGGGTCGACGGGAGCTCGCTGGGCGTGCTGGAGTGGGTGCGCGCCAGCGACGGGTGGTTCTCAATTTCTTCGCGCCAGGCGTGTGCGGTGGTTTTGTGGGCGCGCGGGTTCCGCGGCCGCGCGACGAAACACCCGCAGCTGAAGATGTAGAACGTCAGCACCGAGAGGACGCGGGATATTTCCGAGGGTTCGGAGGCGGTGGTGGTGGTGGCGGCGGTGGTGGACATCGCTGCGGGTGGTGAAGGGGTGACACTGGAGGAGGTGGAGAGGAGGTCGAGGAGGAGGGGGAGGTGAAAGGTAGCCGAAGGTGTTCCGCTTCCGACGCAGGGACCAAAAAGGCGTTTTCTCGCGGCACGCTTCGACGAAAGACAGCGCACAGTTCGAATCGCGATCGCGGGGAAAACTATCAAGAAACTGCAAACAAGAAACAAAGAAAAGGAGAGATATCGTATCCTCTCTAGAGTATCGCAGGAGAGAGAAAGTAGAGTAATTACAGACCCCAAGCTATGAAGATGGTACCCCTGTACTTATATGAGACCATTCCCTTCCGCCTGCCCCAGGAGCCAAGCGGGCGGCACCGTGCACATTTCTCAATCAGTCAACGTTTCACGCCTACTTCATAAAGACTCACGTATAGATAGAGCATGAAGCACGAAGCATGGAGAAGAATATGCGCGCCCGCGCTTGAGGGAGGGAATATAATAATGCAGCGAATCGTCGTCGTGGAACGGATATGCTGTCTGGCATCGCGTTGCCGCCGCCGTGGATGGTGGATGGTGGGGGGAGGCTTGGGAGGGGGGCTGTGCTAATTGGTGGGTGGCACAGGCGGTCATGATCGTGACGAGGCGGTTAAGGTGGTCTAGTACTGCAGCACGTAAGGTGATGGAGATGATTTGCTGATGGTTGAGATCACTGTGACTGGATCGACGTGGGCGCGAGATTGTAAAACCACCACCCCACCCAGACAACTCATCAATTCAATTCAACTCAACCTGAATCCAGGCCCCAAACTCCAAACACCTCGTGCACTTCGAGCTCAATCGCTCTACAACGAACGGACACCTCATCTACCCCGCCTCGCAAAGAAAAGAACCCAACACTGCCTCCCAACGCAAGAAATCAAAACGCCCAGCGCATGAACGGGACGGACACGACAGCCTTCTGGATACCCGTGCACCTCTTACGCGTCCCACCTCCCACGTTCCCGTTCAACGAGGCACCGGGGATTTGACGCGGTTCACACCGTCGAGATTCCTCCCATCGCTGCTGCTATTCGTGTCTTTATCGACCGACGATGATGGCTCGTGCACATGCAGCCCCGAGTGCATTTCACGATCTGGATGCACCTCAATCTCCTTTCCTTTCGACTTCTTGACCCGATCCGCTGGCTCCCTCGACGGTGGTGGCAAGGTTCCCAGAGACTTGAGCCTATTTCGCAGCATTCGGAGTTTCGCACCATCATCGACATCCTTGGTGAGACACATTCCCAGCTCCGCTTCCAATCGGTGGATTTCTTCCTCGTCGCTCTCATGGTTGTTGTTGGTCGTCGACACGGCCAGCGAGGATGGGTCAGGAGAGCCAGCTCGACGGGACGACAGTCTATCAGCGAGATACTCCTTCCCTTTGCTCAACGACTGGTACAGCGACACCTTCCGGCTGAGGCCTCTGCTGGGGGGTCGAGGAATGCCCTGTATCGGCGAGCCGGGTCTGGTCAGGGACCAACTGCCGCCTAACTTGCAGAAGAACTTCTTGGAGCGGTAGTAGAATCTGAAGAATGCGTAGGGAGCATCCTCTGGGTCCAGATTCTTGAAGGTGTACCGCACCGTCTTTGCCGCTGGGATACAAGCACCCATCCGGACACCGTGAGAGAGGCCTTTCCGACGATAGACTTGGCGTACCGACACCGGGTCCGGGATCTCGTCCGGATTGATGATTCCGCTCCACTCCCCAGTCTTCTCAGCCCTGAAAACTTTGCATTCGATCAGTCCAGCTGACTCGAATTGTGAATCCTTTCCGGCTGCACTCGACGGTCGTGAGGAGGAGTTCTTGTCTTTCTCAACCAGTGTGAAGAAGACGTCCCGGCGGTAGACATTCCCCGCCGCGTCCTTTCCATACTGAGATGTGATACTCGACTTCACGGGTCCCACCTTCGGGGGCCCATCACCGTCCGCTGCAATCGGGAACTGTGTATCCACCCTGTTGCCGTCGACATGGAATTCAACGCTCAAGGCCTTCGCTCGGATCGGGTGGTCGATGCTGTAGTTGAGCCAGAACTGCTGACCACTGCGAGGGAATGTCAGAGGAGCGAGTACACATGTTGACAATGGATAAGAACCTGTGAGCAGTGATGTAACAGCTAACTCCTCCCGGAAACTCGTCCGTTTCGAACTCCTCGAGCGGGCCGTCATGAGTGAGGATGTTGGCGGTGATACCGTTGATGGAAGGCATAATGGACGGTGGGTAATGGACACAAAGAAGGTAACAATTCACTTGAAAGACTCAAAAGAATCAAAAGAAGACGGATTGAAGGTGCGCTAACGGGAAAGAAGGCTGTAGGTAGGTACTCTATTATGATCAAACGGAGAGACAGGAGTAATATCGATGATGGCTGTATGGGCTTTGGATAACGAAGGGTTTGAGAGAGATAGAAAGCGAGGAAGAGAGAGCAAATCCCAGTGATGGAGCAAGCAGCAGCAGCTGTATGCAGGCAGCAACCGCAGCCCGATCGAGTGAGCAGAGCAGGTGCGATCACGTGCCTAGAGCTGGTGACTCGCACACGCTTAGTCACTGAGCCAAGCCCCCCACACCATGTAATCCGCACATTCCGAGCTCCCGGCTTCGGTGTGCCTGCTGGCGGGGCCTGCCTGCTGCCGACCTACGTAACGTCCCTTCCAGTTCTTCCTCTTTAGCTGCCTTAGACTGCGTATCTTTATTTCTGCCTCATCTCCATCTCTTTTCTTCTACACTCGCCGCGGAATATCTTCAGCCTCAATATCGTTGACACATCGGCTATTCTTTGTTGCGATCCCTCCTCACTTCCCCAACTCAATCGCGATCCCTTCCTGCCGTCGCCGCAACTGGAACCCAATTCGCGATATGTAACAAGACTTCGGACTGGCCCCGCGACGGCGTCTAGAAATGTTCAAAAGTATCTCCTCGAGAGACTGAGCCAATAAAAACAGCCTCTTTGAACATTGTAATGCATTTTGAGGAATTTGGGCCGACAGCGATGATGTTGATGATTTGACCACCTTGCTTCTTCTCTTCGTACTTGCTGCCCTCTCCTACCCAACAACGAAAACTGCCCTACGTGACGAACATCTTCTCCTCCTTCATTCTTCTTTCTCCCTCTTCTTTCTCTCTTTCTGCACGTCACGACAACAACAGAGCCACCACCGATTCACTCCCGTGAAACGATAGACACAACTCGGAAGCTTGAGCCTCCTGTTGATCGATCCCGTCCGCGCGAGTCCCTTCTTTCGTTCTAGACTTGCGACACCTGGCAACAACAACAACGACAACAACTTCAACCGCTTCAACTTCGACTCGACGACCTTGAGCTTTGCTCGCTTTCAATCCAGCTTCACCAGCACCCGCAACAGCTACCGATAACCCCTACTTCACCACCGCTCGACACCATGTCGCAGATCAGAGGAACTGCAGGCTACCACCTGGGCCCTGACAACAGGCCGTTCGGTGGTCCCTCCATGAACTCCGCTACCTCAGACCCTTCTCCGCTTGACGCCATTCGAGCGCAGACCAGCAAGATCGAGGACCTCCTCGACACCTTCGCTGACCCCGTCAAGCCGTACGCCTTCCGAACCCCCCTCCTCCCCCCCGAGCTGTCAGGGACGTGTCAGCTAACTCCGATTTACAGATACCTCCCTATGATAGGACGTTTCCTGATCGTGGTAACCTTCCTCGAAGACGCGTTGCGGATAATCACGCAATGGAGTGACCAGCTATCCTACCTCCACGACTACCGGCACAGTTCGTTTCTCCCGCACCACCTCCGGTGTTGACTGTGATTGACCGAGAATATAGTTCCGACTGGAATAACACACCTTTTCCTTGGGCTGAACGTGATCTTCATGCTGGCTGGCTCCGCACTGGTCATCGCACGCAAGCACTCAGAGTACGCCGTCGGAGGACTCCTCGGAGTCGTGGTCACGCAGGCGTTCGGTTATGGTCTCATCTTCGATCTCAACTTCTTCCTCCGCAACCTGTCGGTCGTCGGAGGACTGTTGATGGTGCTCTCGGACTCGTTCCACCGCAAGAAGTTCGCCTTTGCCGGACTCCCGCAGATCGACGAGAAGGACCGCAAGGTCTACTTCCAGCTCGCCGGCCGTGTCCTCCTCGTCTTCCTGTTCATCGGCTTCGTGTTCTCGGGCGAATGGACCATCAGCAGGATTCTCGTCAGCTTGGTCGGACTCGTGGCCTGCGTGATGGTTGTTGTCGGCTTCAAGGCTAAGTGGAGTGCCGTCATGTTGGTGGTCATTCTGAGCATCTTTAATGTTCTGATCAACAACTTCTGGACTGTGGGTTCCTCTTTTCCGTCTGTCCCTGCCTGGATCCGTGCTGACTGCCGACTAGCTTCACCCCCACCACCCCCAGAGGGACTTTGCCAAGTACGATTTTTTCCAGATCCTGTCGATTGTGTAAGTTGCCTCTACTTCTCGCAGATGCGCCATCACGTACTGACGTTTCCCAGCGGTGGTCTGGTCCTCCTGGTCAACATGGGCCCCGGCTCCCTCTCGGTGGACGAGAAGAAGAAGGTCTACTAAACTCTCTGTATGCAGATGTTGTAAAAGGGATAGGGAGATGGGGGGGTGGATGTGAGCGTGGAGGAAAGTGGAGGAAAGTGGAGGGAGCGAGAGAGGAGGGGAGTGGTTGGTTTGGGGGTTGGCGCTATTGCTGGTCACCTTTACGTTTGCTTGTGTTTATCTGCCCGTCCGAACTTGCATTTGATTTCCTTTCTTCACAAGTCTGTTGCGTCCCTGTGTGTCGCTGTGTGTATTGAGTTTGTTGAAGTTGAAACGTGAAGGCGAAGATGAGGGTTCGCACTGTGACTCGTGTGACGCGGGGTCATAGAGTGTCACTCGGAATAGAGGCCATGACGGCACGTAACTCCTATCAGGTTACGACGTATAGAGCTGAGCGAGAGTGCATGTGAAGTGGAAGGGGATATCGATATTCCGTAACCGCCTCGCGTCCATCACTAGAGCCGCTCTGAATGTAATCCTATTCATCCGAAGAAGGTGGGTATCACGTATCAGGTCAGGTGTGGCTATCGCCGACTTGAATATATACGCAAGTTGCAACAATTGGGCGAGCTATTGTGTGTGGAAATTTCCATGCTGCTGATACGAATGGCTCCTAGCTCTCGTGAAAGCGTCGCGAGGACTCGAAAGTTGAACGCGAGTGACCATCCGTGGGCGGCAATGTGGCGTCGTCCAGTCTCTGGGGTAGAACACTGCCACCACCGGTGGCTCGTGGCTCGTGGCTTTTTTGTTTGATCATCATAGCATTCGACCTTATCAGATGATGGCTGTACACACGTGCGGTTCCACCCCACTGTCTCCGACCGCTGGTCGCCAGCTCGATGTGGGTTCTCTATTGCTCTCCGCCCGGCCCATCCGCACATAGAAAGAGTGACAGAAAGAAAGAAGAAAAACATGCCCATCGGTCTTTTTCAAAAACCCACATCAAAGCTCCCTTCCACAATCAGTTCCTGAATCCAGTCTAACGTCGTGGCTCGTGGCAGCACATGTATCAGCGGAACCGGAACCGGACTTGAGATTCCGGAGTCCGGACGGAACAGCAACGAGTAAATAGCCAAATGCGGTAGTTAGTATAGGTCGTTCGACGATGTCTCGGCGGGAGATGTGCGCCGAGGTCCATCTTCGAATTTGCGTTCTCTCATCTCGTCTTATGATCGCGAGTTTCACGGATCTGGGACTGGTAGCACGCACGCATTAAGTGTGATGTATGTGTGTGGCATATGTGTGTGCATCAGATGCTGGTACCTTCCGTCCGTTTCCATACAATCCCGATGTACGGGATGAAGTCCGGGCGATATGCATACAGAAGAAGCCCCCGCCCCCATCTCCGCACTCACTGCACTCATCGCAGCCTCAAAACTGAATTTCTTCGTACACATCTTCCCCCACCCACGCACCCACGGGATTCTCCACTGCACTGCGGCAAACGCTGGATTTCCGGATAAGTCGTTGATCTACACAGTTGAAGAACCGTTTCGGCCCTACAGCCATTGCCGGAATCAGGGATAACTACCGAGCAAACGCTCATATGTGTGGAGTCTTATGCGTCTCCCGAAAACGAAAATGCTGTCCGAGCGCATGTGCTGGATGGATGGATGGGTCCTTTTCCGTCTCCGTGGACGGTGGGGAGGATCGGATGGGACGGGGATGTATACACGCAAAAATGTGGAAGTTAAGGACCCTCGCCTTCTTGGTCGGTCGGTCAGTCGGTCGGTCCATCTTTCAACGCGATCGAGGCGATGAAACGGTCCGGCCCGCTACCAGGTAGCCCTGCCTTAAGTTTCCACGCCAGGAGCTCCACCGCCTCCACCACCGCATCCCTCCGCGCGCCAGAACCAGCACCTCACTTGCACCGAACCAGCACCAGCCCGCCTTATTCCGTTTTGGCGAGCCTTGGCAGTCAGCAGCTCGCTCAAGCTCAGCGGTTTGATACACCGGGCTGGGATGGGGGATCCAATTCTCGTCTCGTTTCGAGTGGGGCGCACTCTATTTTTATGCAGAGTAGGTAGCTGGAGACCAGCCGTGAATGGAGAACCCAGGCGATCATCCATGCAAATCCGGGTAGTTGGAGCAGGGTGCGCGGGATTTTCGTGGACTCGTACACACACACACATGCCTACATGCTGCGCATCTAGAGACTACTGTAGAGTAAACGTAGAGAGAGACTGAGAGAGACAGACATGCTCGACGAAGGTGTGGGGTTCCCTCCCAGGTTTCCGGTTATATAGGTAGAGTACCGGTATATGCGCATACCCTGACGGAGATGCAGACGAGGTAGTGTTGGGGAGGGATAAGTATCGATGAAAATCTTCTATATGACACCCCTCTCCCCCTCCCATTCCCGACACACGTCCAACACACGCAGGTTACCGCTCACTCATTCAATCATCGCCCATACCGAACTCCATCGCAGCAGCAGCAATGCCCGTCGGAATCGTGGAGCCAAAGTCCGGACACCATGTGCCGGGCACAGCGCGGCTGTTCGAGGACAGCATCGTCCCCGTTGACGGCGACGGCGACGGCGAGGCGGCGGCGCACCATCATAACCACCTCAAGCATGGCAGCGGGAAGGAGGTGGATATATTGTTGATCCCGCAGCCATCGAATTCGCCAAATGATCCGTTGGTATGTTCCCCCCCCCCGCCGACAACACTACTTCATCTGCAACCAATGACTGACCGCCCGGGTCTCATCGCAGAACTGGCCGATGTGGAAGCGGGACTTGACGATGTTCACGCTGTGTCTCGCTAGTGCCATTGGTAAGCCCCTCGGCGCGGGCAGTTGCCGCATGGTGTGGTGGTTGCTGACACCCTGCAGCGGCAATAGTCGGGCCGGCAGTGGCGCCGATCCACGGTGTGCTCGTGAAGGAGTTCGACACGTCGTACGCGATGGTATCTCGCTGGAGCGGATGGCAGTTCTGGGCGAGCGGGGTGGCAGGGCTGATCGCGTCAGCGGTATCGCGGATCTGGGGGAAGCGGCCCGTCTATCTCGTCTCGATCCTGCTGGTGTTTATCGGCGTGCTGTGGAATGGGTTCTCGCAGAGTGGCGATTCGTTCCTAGGCGCGAGGTTTGTCGAGGGTCTAGGTCTGGGCGCGTTCGAGATGCTGGTGCCCAGCTCCATTGGGGATTTGTTTTTCGTGAGTGCCAGTGGGTTTTCCGGGCTGTGGTGGCCAGGGCTGACAACTGGCGCAGGTACACCAACGCGGTAAACGTGTGGCGCTCTACAATCTCTCGTTTCTGGGGTGCACGTATTTCATGCCTGTGCTGGGCGGCTACATCAGCATGAAGCACGGGTGGCGGACGCAGTTCTACATCATGGCCGGGTTCCTGGGGGTCGCCAGCATCCTCGTATTCCTCTTTGTCCCGGAGCACGCCTACAACCGTCCCGCGATCTTCGACACGGACACGTCCTCGCGCGAGAACCTTTCCGAGCTCGACGAGCAGCTCGCCGCAGCACAGGATGAAGATGCCGCGGCCGACAGCAAGCCCGAAGCCGGCTCCGCCGCGGTCGAGGAGACGAAACGAACCTACCTCCAGGAGCTCGGCGTGTACAACGGCCGCTTCTCGGACGAGAGCATAATCCGCTGCCTGCTGGCGCCGTTCGTGCTGTTCATCTACCCCGCCACGCTGTGGAGCTTCCTGTTCCAGGGCACGTTCATCACCTGGGGCATCGGCGTCTCCCTAATCCTCGCGCAGCTCTTCACCGCGCCGCCCTACAACTTCAACCCCACCCAGCTGGGGTACATGTACGCGGCGCCGTTCATCGGCGCGATCCTGTCGTACTTCGCGGCCGGCGTGTTCTCCGACGTCGTAGCCAAGTGGATGGCGAAGCGGAACAACAACATCTACGAGCCGGAGTTCCGGATCCTCCTCGTGATACCGGTGGCGGTGTTCGCGCTCCCGGGGATCTTCGCGTTCGGCTACGCGACCGAGGCGGCAACCCACTGGATCGCGCCCAGTATCTGCTACGGCCTCCTCACGTTCGGCGTTGTCATGTCCTGCACCGCTACGTTCTCGTACATGCTCGACGCGCATAGAGATATCTCCGTCGAGATGATGGTGTCCGTTCTCCTGCTGAAGAACTTTTGGGCGTTTGGGTCTACGTTCTTTGTTAATAAGTGGGTCGCCGCTGTGGGTGCCAAGAAAATGTTTTATATCATTGGCGCCATTCAGGCGGTTATTTGTGTACTCAGCATAGGCATGTATGTCTACGGGAAGGTACAGCGGGATCTAGTACGGAGGTGGAATCCCCTAGATAGGGTCGGGTTGTATCCCAAGACGGTGCAGGCTGTTGCGCATTGAGAGGGAATGGAAGTTAGTTTTGTATTTAGATAGCGAGGTTCGCGCGAGCTTTAATGGCGTGAATGATAATGTAGATTACTGGCTGATATCCCGTTTGTGCACTGAGTGAAGCGAGTGATAGGTGACGAATCGTACCTAGTTGGTACCGGTACCCTATGGCCTATCGATCCTGACTCCCACCTCTCACCGGCACAGGTTACGCACACACGTGGATTCGCTCGCTAGGTAACAGGTATGCGGTATTCTCGCTTGAACAACGGCCGGTACGTGCGTTGACGAGCGCTTGGAAGTTGGGGGCCGGGCGAAGCGAGCGAGTGAGATCATGTGCATGGTTGGATGTGAAGTCACGTTTTTCATTCTTTCTCGTCAATGTGGCGAGGTAGTATCGGGACGAACGACGACGGCGAGCCGAGTTTCGATATTTAATACCATTAGTATGTACCTATGTAATCCTCCGACCATCTCCCGGTCCCATATCCGTCCCATATCCATCCCATATCCGTCCCATATCCATCCCATATCCGTCCCATATCCATCCCATATCCCCTCCCCCTCTCCCTTCCCCCTCCCCCCTTCCCATACCCCCCTCTCCCCACCTTCTCTTCCCCTAGACATATTCAAAACACAACCCCCCTTTGATGTCCATAACCTCCCTCACGGTGGCATTCGGAATGATGCCATACATATTAAGCTCATCGTCGAGCGTAGCATTGACCCACCCACTGCGGGGTCTTGTCTGCGTCGTGTACCCCGCAATATCCTCGAGCCGCGCCGGCAGGTCCCGCTCCTGCCAGCGCCACCAGACGCGGTCCAGGAACGTGTGGTGGAGGTAGAATAGTGGGTCTACTCTTGTTTGTCAGCTGGGTCGGGAGAAAGAGGGGGGGTGGGGGTAAAGGAGGGGTAAAGTACCGCCGGGACTGGAAATGGGGTTCATCATCTCCCCGCCGACGCCGGCATGGCCGCCAGCGTGCGGGCGTGACTCGATACACGGCCAGGCGCGGGCGAAGGTGGGGAGTGCCAGGCACTCCTCGACGAATTGGGTTGCGCTGTTGCGGCTTTCGAGGTCGCTGATCGTGCGTGTTATGCAGTGATCGGTGTTTTGGTAGCCGGGGCCGGTGTGGAGCTGTTTCCCACGGTTAGATCCACGGGGAAGGTGGTGGGGCGAGGTGGGGGAGGGGGACAAACAGTGTAATTCGCAAACGGCCCATCGGTGATACAGCGATCACCCACTCTGCCCGTGCCGCCAAAGCCCAACTCAGTATCAAAAATCTCCGCCTGTGTAAACCTCCCGGCATCCGCCTCCTCATCCCAATACGGCTGTGCGCCTTCGTATCCACATTCCTCACGCAGCAGCTTTTCATGCGCATACATATGCAGGCGATGAAACGGGAGGAACCAGCCGTCGCCGTGGACGACGCCGGACTGTAGCTGGTGCGCTTTGATTAGGTCGTCGTAGCGGCTGACGGTCGCTGCGAGTCCCGATTGCGCCGGGATCTGCCACATCAGACATAGCTCCGCGTCGAGGTACGCCCGCTTCTCTGAGGCGCTCAGGGATTGCCTACATATGGGGTGTTAGGGAGGGGCATAAGGTGTCACTCGGGGAGAGGGTTGCGCACCAGGCACGCCGTTGAAGGATCTCGCTGCACCCTCCTCCGGAGCCTTGCGGCGAAGAGAGCGAAGAGGGCGGGCTGGCGTAGTCAAAAATCGAGAGATGTGTGTGGTCGGCCAGGGCGATGGGCGACGCATAGACCTGCGCTGCGGCGGCGGCGAGGGCAATGGCCAGGAGGGAGCGGATCGAGACCATGGTGAGGTGAAGCAAGCAAGCTAGTAAGGATAGAAAAAAGTTACAAAGAGTGTCAGTAGTTGGTAAGAAAGAGGACGAGTACGAAGCTGTAAAAGAATGAAAGTGCGCAATTGAGAACTGCGTAGTTGGTGGAGCACCTCGAACCGGCGGCGGGGTGGGGTTCTCACACTCTTTATCCCATTGTACAGTGTTGATGAAGTCTGCAGTGCCAGTGCTCGCCAAGATGCAAACACCTGCAACCCAGGAGTTGGAGATGAAGATGCTCGTTCCTCCACCCCGCAAAAGGCTACGGGCGCCGATGAAACGATGAAACGGGGGCGCAATCCCGGACCTGGCACCATAGTTATTGCAACCTGCGCGGACAGTGGCCACTATGTTTGTATGATCGTCGCAGCAAAATTAAGATATAGCACACGGGCAACATCCATGTCCATCGCCTCGGCCGTAGCCCGCTTCTGGATGCAATATCGAAGTTTTGGGGAGTGTTGGGTGGGTTACTTTTTTTCGTCCGATGCACGCACGGAAAGAAAGGGAGGCTGTGGGGCTTTCGGGGGGTTTACCAAAGTTTGTTATAACCGTCCGTCCGTCCCTTGCGACGACGTGATGAGTCCACGTGGTCTCTAAAATCTAAAGAGCACGCATACTATATCATTAGTTACAGCCGATCCTTTCGTATGACGTTTCGGCAGTACTTTCGTCCCACAAACATCTGTAGGAACCACCACGATACTGTGGGGTTCCAGCTTCAAGTTTATTCTGCTTGTGAGACCGTATATTGTCCTAACCAATCAGCGTGTCTGTATTTTCTTGGCATTGGACGCACGCACGGCCTTTGCACCATGCTTTTTATGCTCTGTCCTCACTCCTCAGGCCGTTGCATAATTGCACAAATCATCAGATCGGTTTCAAGGATCGCCGAAAACAATGGCATTGTTGTAGTTGTAGTTGTTGTCGTTGCGACCTGCGCCCGCCCGCCGCCCGGAACTCCAAAACCTCGATCGTCGACCGCAAATCCGCCGCACCTACCAAGTACTCTATGTAACGGCAACTGGCAAAACCCCACAATTGGGACATGGAACCCCCAGATTCCCCAAATCTTCTTGGAGGGGATTTTAGGATAGGATCATAGATGGAATTAACTTCTAAGTTGTCCCTATTAATAGTATGCGGTGGTAACTAGGGTTCAGTTCCCTCGATGTTGCTCTCCCGTAACCGATATTGCCTGTTCAACTATAACCAAGTCTCCAGCCAACTATAAAATGCTCCAAGACTCGTGAAATAACATGGCACAATCCAACTCCTCATCTAAATAAGATAGTAGGCAGGTCACACGGACTACAGGCCTAGGTATAGTAACTTTCCGTAAATTCATCATTCATGTCTTTACTACGGCAAACCCACCGGCATCACAAACAATCTATTCTGCCGTTCAAGCAGATGCTTGGGATGTGTTCAATATCCACCATACGGCAAGCTAGGTAGTAGTTATGGCATTTGACGCCGTGATGTTCTCTCTTGTTGCCGTCCGAACAAGAGCGGCCTCCTATCATCCCATCTTGCCTTGCTGTGCCACTGTTGTGCACCGCCCGGCCTTGTCGCCGAAGACTCGGCCTTGTCCCCTAGCCTTCCAGCTCTCCTGCCTGCTGTGTACTCTATCTTGTACCCTTGTGCTCCGTGGACAGGGGAGCCAGTATCCATGTTATGTAGATCCTATCTTTCCTGTCCGTACTCTACTCACATGGCCAGAAAGACTTATCACCCCCCTGTTGGATCTGTGGCTGAGGATGTTCAATTACTGCGGTGAGCTAATCACAGCCACAGATATAACAGGGGGGGGATAAGTCTTTCCGGCCGTGTGAGTATATCATATATGCCCAATGACAGGCTTCAATGCGGCACCCCAGGCTACAAGAAAGAGATCTCACCAAGGAAGCCCAGCGCCCGTGCGGCCCTTCTCCCCTGATGTCGTGGGGGTCTACCCCTCATACTCTACTCTACTCTACATATCTAGACTCTATCGACCCCCTGCTAAGCCCTACCAGAAGGAGTGCCATTAAGAGAGATTGTGTCAAGGAAATCGCAAACAATCGTCCGACCACGTCTTTAAAATTCTCCTCTATGTGTTGTATGATACAATCCTACCTAAGAAGCGCATTGCCTCCTCCATCTCTTGTTTGTCTCGGTCCCTCCAACCTCGTTTATACACATCGCTTCGGATGGTTCACTGGCCGCCTCCAGGCTCCCTCTCGTTTCTATTTTGACTAACCCGCCAGCGTCGGTGTTGCGCAGGAAGTCTAACATGGCTGGTCTGTATCACGGCCCGGTTTGTCCTTTTTCCGGAGTACCTAGGTATCTACCTGTTGTTAAGTTGCCTCATCTCTCCCGCACAACCGAGCCTCTAGCTAACGTTTATCGGTAATTCGACGTGTGAGACAGGCGAGGGACGCCGGTACCGCTACCGATTTGCGGCTGCCGTAGAGTACTTTTTTGCGTGGTCGACCCGATAAAAACTGTGGCCATCGGGTTCGCCGGCGGCTAGTTTTCCCCACCATCCGTCTGCGATCGCATTCCTGGGGATGCCATTATGTGCCAGGCGGCGGTAGATCTCGATCCCACAGGTTGACTGCAGTCCCCGGAATTCTTCAACGCTTCCCCTCTCCTGTAGGTCTAGATTATTCCACCACAACTCGACCCCATACAGGGCTGAGGCCTACGTGCAGGCAGCGAAGGCGCCCCTGAACTTCTCCGGGCTCATGCCCGTTTTTCCTGCTGGACGTCTTAAATATCCGGTGCATTGACTGACGGACCTTCTTTGTTCCAACATCGTGGTATGTCTTGAGGGTGAGCTGGCTATCGGGTCATACCTAGGTACTCCGTATCACCGGATGGCGTGCTTCTCGAACGGAACCGGCTCTGCGTCCCGCCGGGGGATTAACCTTCTCGGCGAGCTTCTTGCGTCTTCTGGATAGAAAACACGACCCCATTCGTGGTTATGCTAACCGCAAGGCTCGATTGTCCACTGCCCAGTTGGCCGTTTGGCGAGTGATAAAGATTGTTAGCCTCTGATCACACGCTAGAAATGAGAGTACCTAGATCCAAACAGCGGTGTGGAAATTGACTGTTCTGCAAGTGATCAGAACTCAGGAGAGTTTTCGAACGATTCGGCGAACGATCCGGAGCCGGAAATCGAGAGCACGGCCGAGGAAGGCGACCTAGCTGTACGGCAAGCTGCTCGGAGAGCCATGAGGAGAGTCTTCGAACGATCTGACGGCGGAAGCCGACAGTTGAGCCGATGATGTTCAAGAAGCTGTGCGGAAATGGTAGCACCCCTCTGCGCCCCGGCGCGAAAAGTCGGTGATCCTCTGAAGTTTAGTGCACGGAGTGGTGACAAGAACGGGCGAGAAATATGCCTCAAGAGGTTCTTCTCCAAAAGGATATTCTCGCTTTTACGCCATTTGCACTGCCGTCCGCAAAACCTCTGTCAAGGTTCGTACTGCGGTTAGAAGCTCGAATCTTGCGCTTAAATCGGGGTTTTCTACCTCCTGCCTCATCCTCGCAGCCGCCTCACGAGTCACGATAGCTACAATCTACCAGTATCACCACTATATGCCCCCCATATCCACTATCAACTTGACATATATTAGATTAGAGGGTATAGATGTAGATAACCGAGGGTCGGGCTGGTGTTGAAGAGATCACTCATATCATAAGACGCTGTAAAAAATTAACATTGACCGTAGGCATATCTTAAAATGGTGAAGAGTTGTTTAGAGTGAAGAGTAGAGGAGTAGAGTGAAAGCGCATAACCCCAAGATTGATGAATATCGAACTTTTTACTATTTGGCCCTGCTTCCCCTGCCGGTCCCATATCGATAGGGAAGTTGTATTAAGCCGGGGGCCGATGACGAGGACCAGGGTCGCTGTCATCCGGTCTATCGGAGACCGTCAACAAAACAATGAAACCTCCGGATATCCGAAAGTGTATAGTTAAAAGCCCTAAATAGCTATAGTAAACCCCCCGCATGTATGTACTGTATGCACTTTTCGGGGCTGCCATGGTTGTTGACAACGCAATCATCATCGTCAGTGTTTCTTCTCCGAGCCATCCAATTGATATACTGTGTTTCTTTATTGGATCTTCGAGTTCACCGGAGTAGTAGCAATCGTCCAGCATAGGTGGGCTCGAAGATACCAGACGCGAACTCCTAAAGCATGGCGGGCAAGTTGGAACGTAGGCATCTCCGAGTGATTTCTTGGATGGTGATAGTAAGCCTGTTCCTGCAAGCAGTACCGGTATCACGTGCTGGTACACCTCCCTCTCCCTACTAGGTAAGTATGCAACTGACCGACCGGGCATGTTAACTGGTTCAACGAACCGGTCCGAAGCTAGGTAGTTCAGTCACTTCACCTGGTTTACTTGGGGCAGCATTGGCACTGGAACATGTGACTGGACTGATTTCTAACCAGAAGCTACTGAAAAACTACTCTCAAACTCAGGGAATAACCGCGATATTTCAAGGAATTGCGTCTGTTCGGACACAGTTGGCACTCCAAAAACAAGAACGCAGTTCTGGTGATCCTGGCCGAACTCGTGACATTCTGCGATGCTCCTGCCAGGGGTTGCGATTCACGAGTGTAATTTTTCCAGGAGGTTCTGCTGGTGTAGATGGAGCGAGCATGTCGGTCAAGTGTCCAATAGCGGTTCTCAAATGTATCGAGTGGGCGCCATGTGATAGGAGGGTGGGTGACTCCATCTCCGGCACGGCGGTAGAAGGTGCATGCTATGTAGGTACTCTATTGCCAGCCTCGTTGAACCAATGCTCCAATCTTTAGGTAAGACCAATAGACCCGCCAACGGGCAACAACCAAAAAATACAAGACGAACGAGCAGATCTGTTCGGGCAAGGGCACCTGTAGCCATATCCGGTCTTGAGGCACACGTTTCGGAGATCTAGACCTCTCGGGAGGACAATTGCAATCTCGAGAGGACAATGGGTACTACAATAAGCCCATTTCTCCGCTCGAGGGGACAATGTAATCCAACAAGCCCATTCTCTACTCAAGTCTCCACGAGAAAGAGTCCACAGCGATTCCGTTACGAGTGTCTGTTGATGGCTGACCGCTCGCTAGATTGTCCCCTTGCATCACGTACATCGCTTGTGGAAAGTCTTGCTATTGTTCTTTGTTCTTTTTTTCCCGCCACGATTTGAACGCAGAGATTCATGTCGCTTAGCCAGCGCATTCATTCAGGAACAATCGTAAGAGCGCCACCACAACCACGCAAGCCCGCCGCACCGCGACAATGGCCGTCCTCTGTTGGGCTTCATCCAGCAGAAAGGCTGATGTGAAGAATCGTCCTGATGAATGAGAGATTCGCATAAAGGACGAGCCCATCTTCGTAATTTTTTCCAGATTCTCATCCAGCCAGCAATCCTCTCTCAGCACCAGCAATCAGCACACACAAACAACACCTTCGTCGCTATCCATCCAACCGCAGTCAATATGCAGCCAATCACCAACATCGTCTCCGCCGGCGCTGCGACCGAGGAGGATACCACCCCCGTGAACTACGGCGATGGCTGTTAGTTGCTCTCCTTCCTTCCTCTCGCGGTCATGGATAACCGTATGGATGTAACTGACGACGGTGACTAGACCACATGTGCGTCATCTGCTAGATTCTCACTGGATCCTCGGTACGGCCGGATCAAGTTTCACCTTTGTCTTTCCTTCGCGACAATCGATCGATCTTCACCGCCAACTTTTCTTTTCGGGTATCCAACGGCTTTCTTGGGGTAGTGGAGGGTAGTAGGGGAGGCGCAGAAGGCTGTCTTTTGGTTATTCGAGCAAGTGGACTGGAGGTGCAATGTTAAAGATGTATAGTAAAGGGCTATTTGAGATGGAATAACGTACCCTGTTTTATTCATATGCTGCTGCTACGGATCGCGAACCCGTGAAGTCTTGCCATGCTCCTGCCAGCCTCCAGGCGTTACTGTTCACGGTTGTACTTGTTCGAGGAGGTTCTGCTGGTGTAGTTGGAGCGATCATGTCAGTAGAGTGCCTAGGAGCGGTACCCTAATCAGATGTATCGAGTGGGCGCTATGTAATGGTGTTGATGGGACGTAGTGGCAGCGGATCTTTCTTTTCGTCCGGTGTCCCCCCCCCCCATTCGGTACCGGAAAAACCTGCGTCGGTGGCTCGACGCGGTTCCAAGTAGAAGTGATCGGTACTGGACGAGTTGGATTAGGCTACTATACTCAAGTAATTCAAGTAGCTTCTACGATTGATAATTTTTGATTGGAACGGTAATCCGTGGGGCCGGTCCTAACTAGCGACAGCGAGAAGCTCAAGTAAAAGAATGACGAACCTTCAGATGAAAGGAGATGTCTTCTAGTCCTAAGCAAAGGGGCAAGATTATGCTAAGCGACTGAAGGGTGGGCCACGTGCCTATCTACCGTAAAGTTCAGATGAATGATGGCAATATCAACCTTAGGGCCCGCTTGGATGGCCTTAGTTTTCAGTTCCAGTTTTAGAGCCAAATCCAGATCCCCACCGGAACACTGAATACTGTTCAGTTCCAGTTTCCGGAAACTCTTGAGGTGAACAGAGTGTTTGGCAGTTTTCAGTATATTCAGCCAAAAGTTCGAATAATGGGCTTCACCAGAACTTTAATAGTAACATTGTAGCCTCGCTTTTTTCTCTTCCCCGTGCCTTGGTGAAGACACCAGCCCAGTACTAGGGGGTTTTCGTAGGCAAGGACCTCTTGGACATATTGTCTTCCGGAAAGAGTAGAGGTACGGATCGGAATTTTTCCGGAACTCGTGGTATATACAGCTTCGCCAGCCAGCTGTGCAATGTGTCTCATCAGCTGAGGGGGGAATATATTGCGGTGGTTGGTGAAATTCTCATCGTCGGAAGGGGAGTCCATGGTTGAAGTTAAAATGCGGTACTAAGTGGAGGTGAAGAAAAGACCTCTAGAGATCAATTTCCGTTTTATCGCCGGAGCCCCACAGTTTCAGTTTTTTTCTCGGTTTTTGTGCCATCCAAACAGGGTTACGGTTTTGTTTGCTCAGTTTCTCGGAAAACTGTACGCGGCGGCGGCCAACTCTGATGGGCGGCCAACCTTGGGCGGCCGCCTTAGTCTTAAATAGGGGTCTTCGCCGCGGACAATAGGTTCTTCTTTTTTCTTTCTGTATCGAATATGAATATCTCTTCCCTTCTATCCAAATATTCCAACAGCTCATAACGCATACGTACCCAAATACTGGCCTTCCCTGCTCATACATCCCCCCGTTAGATGGATGTACCTCGACGGACTCCAATACGTGTTGAAAGGCACGGGAAATAGTTTCACTCGAACATCTGATGTTTTGTATGAGAGTTGCTCTTCCATTGACGGCTATCTATCGACTCTTATATCCTGCCGACGACTCCTGCCGGCGCCGCCGCTGACCACCCACATCTCCGTATAGTGCTGGTATCAAGGTGATTCGCCACACCTTCCAACAATACGTAAAGAGTTCAACTTTGCGGAGATGATGATAGCTGGAAAGCTAAGCACGAAGACTATCGACAAGATGCTGAAGGAAAGTGTTGGTATTAAGGATGAGACAAAGGCTTCGTTGAAGTCCAATTACCATCTACGGCAGATGCTCGATCGAATGGAGGACGGACTCGGGGCTAGCTCCTGTCGGGAAAGCCAGTTGGACAATATGGTTTGGAATGCGCAGCATACCAAAGAGCCGATCGAATTCTGGCACCGTGACATTATCGAGTGCGGGAAATGGCTTCTGCAACAGCGAGCCTATACGCAGTATCTTTCCTACGCTCCTGAGAAGCGGTTTGAAGATGACGGAAACCGCGTCTACAGTGAGATGTACACTGCAGACTGGTGGTGGGAACGACAGGTGCGAGCCCTTCTTAGTTATTCAATTGCTATCTTAGAGGCTTGTATAGTTTGCTGTCATTCCCATAGAGTTCTCTAGACGCCGGCGATACCATGGTACCGATGATATTTGTGTCTGATGTGACGCATCTAACCAACTTCTCCGGTGATAAGAAAGCGTGGACAGTATACATGACGATCGGAAACCTACCCGCCACCGTCAGAATGGCACCGAGCCAACACGGTATCCTATTAGTCGCTCTCCTCCCAATTCCGGTTAAGATGCGCGATGTCCGCATCGCCGAATACAATACCCAGAAGGAGTACAATCGGATGATACAGCAACACATCTTACACCACGTCCTCCGGCCGCTAATTGATGCGAACCGCCACATGTCCTGCGCACAATGCGCTGATGGCTACTTCAGGCACTCTGTTGCATCGCCCGCCGCCTGGATTGCCGACTATCCGGAGCATCGAGACCTTCACAACATCAGCAACGGCTATTGCTACTAGTGCGAATGCCCACGCGAGGAAATGGGTGAATATCCCGTCAAACTTCATGGACGTCGGGGCCACGCCTTTTACACGACGCTCAGCAATACGGATACCCGGGCGTCAAGGGAATGTCTCACATGTCACAACGTCCATCACGGTCCCAATGTGCTATGGGATCTCGACTGCGTGGTTAACCACCTCCCGAAACCCGACTTGCTGCACACGATGCAACCGGGGATGTTGAAACACCTCCTCGGATGGTTGCAGGACTTCCTCAAGCAGCATAAACGTCTCGAACTGTTTAACATCATTTGGCTATCAGTACCGCCATATCTCGATATGGCGCAACCCCAGAAGGCGTATGAGGAAGTTTCGAACTGGCAGGGAAAGGAGATCAAAGTTATGTCTCGGTTTCTTGTCGCAGTCTTACATTGCGCCCTGCGAACTCCATCCTCTCTTCAGCGTGTCGTATTTTCTGAGGCTATCCAGTGCAGCCGAGCTCCCATGAAGGGTTGAAGGAGCGGAAGAGGTGGGGGCATGGAAGAGTCGTGGAACGGGATGTTGAGGTTCCGGCGGCGCCGTAGGCGGCCGAGTGATCGGCGGTGGAGCGGCGGGAGCGGCGGTGGATAGCAGAACCTAGATGTAGATTCGGCATCAAGATCCTAGATGTGGAATCGGCACCAAGAGCCTAGTTTAGTCGGTATCTAAGTTTTCACTGTCTATATAGAGAGGTGGGATGGCTATCGAACTGGCCTACCTGTCGAGCCCGCTCAGTCGCTAGGAGAGGAGTTTATGGATGATTGGTTGGCGTCTGAGCGGGTTCGACAGGTAGGCCAGTTCCACAGCCATCCCACCTCTCTAACAATAGACCGGATGCAGGAATTGATTGGAGAGGGGAGCTTTGATGTGGGGTTTTGAGAAAGACTGACGCTTTTCCTTTCCTTTCCATTTTGTTATCTCATTGTTCTTCTTTCTTTCCGTTTTTCCTTCTATTTGCGGATGGGCAGGGCGGAGATCAATAGGGAACCCACATCGAGCTTGCGGCCAGCAGTCAGAGACAGTGGGGTGGAACTGGATGAGTATACAGCCATGATCTGGTGAGGTCGAATGCTATGATGATTAAACAAAAACAAAAATAACACACTGTCCTTTCCATAGTATCAATCTATTCACATTCGCATCAACACGGAAGGGTTGAAGGAGCGGAAGAGTTGGCGGCACGGACGAGTCAAGGAACGGAAGGGTTAAGGCCCCGGAATTGTTGAGGCCTAATCAAGGGTGCATAAGAGCTGAGAGAACGTGCTAGTCAAGGGCGAGGGCGCGGAAGAGTTTTGGGAACATATCGAGGCCGCGGAAAAGTCCAGGGACCAAGGCAAGGCCCCGGAAGAGCCAAGGCCTAGAAGAGTTGAGGGAGCGGACGGGATGTAGATACTACCATTATCTAGGTAGGCCACATGCAATCAATAAATAACACAAAATCCTACCAATTTCTGTGTATTTTTTGTGCTTCTCTCGACGCACTCAATGCAGCAATTCGTATACCCGTAGCCAACTACGTAAATAATGAATTTTTTTTCCCGATGCATTCAGAATCCGCAATGCCGCCGCCGTCATGGCTACCGTCTTCCCCACTGACCACCCCAGCCAGTCGGGTTTCCCACCGTCAGGCTCGTCGTCACCAGCTGCATTGATTTTTGGTTAGCGCATAGCAGGCGTAGAAGGATCATCTTGTCCTTCTTTCCATCTCTCTCCCGTGATCATCATCTCTCTCCCGTGATCATCATCTCTCTCCCGTGATCATCATCTCCCGGCACGCGGTCCATCTCAAGCGGCGCATGTTCGGCGCTCCCATCGCAAGCTACGCCCAGCAGGCTGCCGCGCTATCTGGCTGGTTTATCATGGCGACTGATCCATTCTTGCGAAATCATTGAGGTTTCCGGACCTTGTGCCCTATCGTGATTTCTACCGCGTTGGTGTGGATGTTGGCCCCGAGATGTGGCGAGTCGTGCGTGGCTAAATCTTGGACGGCTGGATACCGTGAGTCCGTGACCCCCTTCGCTTTGTCATAATTCCATGCGACCGTTTCCATTCGTATAACTATATGGCATCTTGATCCTGTCTCCTCTAGTTCCTGCTTCTCCGTTGGGATTAATATGAAGATTACAAGATGTATGTACTCCCTAACCGGTTGGAGCACCCTACTCTCGACGACTGGGTGTCTAGCTGGAAGGCTGCGGGACGGGATGCTGTAGATCGAAACTTCTAGGCAAGGAGTAGGATTCAATAACCGGTTCATCTAGTGGCAGCTTCGTCTTCCGTGTTAAGTACCACTCGTCCAAAAGACAACAATTTTGAAAAGGAAACACAAAGGCTTTATTCGAACGCTCTCTAACGCCAGCAGTGTATGGGAAACCTAAACCCAACCATCGAAAGAAGCAAACAATCCCGTCAAAACAAATCCCTCTACTATGTGCCAGTGACATCCGGTAAAAAACCGCTCGAAACCAGGAGATAGATGGAAGACGGGCTTAAGCGGTCGCAGGTTTTCCGATTTGGATGATCTCGTTAGTCGCCTCATCGCTTCTGAGCGTGGGCCAACTAATACCGTTGGCTGTGTCGGCGATACATTAGGCATTTAAACCCCACAAAGATTAACAGAAGAGCCCACCTTTCTTGAGATTCAGCTCCACCTTTGTACCCATCACCTTGAATGTCGAGCCATTGGGATCAATCGGCCCATACAGTGGATACATAACCTTGAACCTCTTGTTCTCGGGCATGGGCAGATCCACGCTCAGCTCGCGCTCAGAAAACTGGATGACAGCTTTCTCCTTATCCACCTTCTTTGCAAAAATCGAGACGATGACGTTACCATAGGTCTGGTAAAAGTCGTTGCGACAGTCGATGTGCTGCTGTTCCTCCTCACTCTTCGGCTCACCCACGTACAGGTGCCTGTTCTTCGAGCAACCACCAATTTTGAGGAACTCGTCGAACTCCAACACGCGTCGCTTGCAGCAGCTGTAGCCCTTCGATCCCTCGTGGAAGATCGGCGCACCCGGGTGGAACACGCACTTCTCCGTGTTGATGTTGCGGGGGCCGCCCGGGTAGGTGGCAGAGCAAGCGAGACGCTTGCACCTGGCACCGGCGGGGATGGTCGCATCGGTCGGGTCCTGCTCTAGCGGCTTCTCGACTTTCGGTGGAGGGGGGGTCCCGGAGACAACGGGAAGGGGTTTCGATGCCGGGCTGCCGTAGGATTCGGTACCGTCCGAGCTCAATGTGGGTGCCGCGACTTCGGGGTGTTTCTGGCTGCCGCTACCGGGGCCAGAGGTCTGTGCGGGCGCGAGGGTCGGCGCCGTGGTGCTGTGTTTACCAGAGGTGCAAGGCGGGATAATGAGGAACTCTTCGAAACTGAGAACGCGGGGCTTGCAACACTGCCAGCCTGTGATGGATTAGCGGAGAGAATTCTGTGAACATGCGCCGAAGGACAAGGCAAAGTGCGGACACACCTTTCTGCCCCTCGTGGAAAATTGGAGCTCCGGGGTGGTAATAGCAAGTCTCCTCGGGATCGGTGAAGGTCTTCTCACAGCCTTTGTGAGTGCACTTTAGGGAGGACATTGCGCGGTATAGGGGAGATTCTGTGTTACTGGTCGACCGGGTCGCTGACGTGTTGCGGATGCGAAAAGGGTTGGTGATGGGGCCGACGGAGTGGGACGGGAGCGAGCTGGGCACGTTTAAAGAGTGTTGTTGTTGGTTCCGGGGGTTCAAAGTGGAAGGTTCTGGAAATGGCGGGGCATAAAACGCACGGACCATTCAGCCACCGGGACATGGTTGGAGGCTGTACCGGGTAACATGTGAGGCGTAACTAGTGCATCACATGTGTGGCGGAAGACTGTCATGGTTCCTGATGATTACAGCCGCGCGTGTAGCGCCAATATCGGTAGCTTGTCTGAGGCGCTTCCCTTTAACTGCCGTGACCACGTTCCGCTCTACTCTCTATTATTCTTTGCTCCTATGATTTGAACCGCTGTGATAATGAAATAACTCGATTTACGCCTATTCAACTTCGCCCGTAAAGGAGTCTAGGGCGCGCAAATAGGTAAGCACATACCTAACATGGCGGCAGTGGACTACACAGACAAATGATCTATCTATAGGTTCAAACAAAGCCTCGTAAAAGCTGTTGAAACCTGGAAGACTAGAACACGGATAGAACTGACCTAAAGCTCAGTATTTGCCGATCGACGCAGCCTGTATGTCGGTAAAATACCTAGTTCTCCGACGAATGTGCGTTGGATTATTACACCCCTTCCAACTAGCTCGCATTTCTATTTTCCGAAAATACACACCGCACCATGGGGTAGCAGGACTGGAGGATCGGCATGCCAAGTGTCGGTAGACAGTTCACTGTCGGATCCGGGAACATGTTTACTATCGGGCTGCATCAGGAAATGGCCTCGGGGTAGCCATGCACCGTTCAAAATTCAGTCTAACACGCGGACGGACATCTGTTTTCGCTGATCCGAGTGCGAGGCAGACTAAAATGTGTCCTAGCAATGTCTTTGAGTGACTCACTCACTGTCAATCACTGAGTAGGTCTCCTCCGGACGGGCCCAATCACATATGACGACGTGTGATAGAATAGCTGCGCACTTGTGGCTGGGGTCTTCGTAAGAACTGCATGAGGACAAAAAGCATACTCAGGAAGTGGAAAAAAAAACAAGGCACCAATCACCGCCCACCATCCTTTCAGGCCAGGTCATAGCCTCAACACAACGTACAGAGGTGCTCCGCCCGGCAACGAGTATGATGATAGTGAGTGATAAAGTGTCGGTTCGTGTAGCAAAGGACTACTCAGGTAACCGCCCGAAGTTATGTACTGTGCGAGGCAAGACGTACTGACTTCTTCGATGACAAACCAGCACACGAAGGTAAGTATTGGAACAATATTTTATATATCCCACTATAATTAAGTGCCCTCTTCTCTCGTACAGTTCTTCAGCAATTGCAAGCCGAATCACGATGAGTCCCCTCAACAGCCTCAACTACGATTTCGCTCCCCCGAACGACTCCCATAGGGAATTTTGGCAGCACAGTCTGGCAATCGGACACGAGCAGTTCAAGACGACCGTTGCTTTTCAACACTACGGAAGGGACGGTGGTGTCTGGTACAGACCCTCGGTGCCAACTGTACCAACCACTCACAACAGAGCCGACAGTTTGGTAAGCTAGCTATCAGCGAATGTGGCGAATGGTGACATGCATGTACTAAACCACGGCAGGAAATGCTCATGAAGGGGTACCACATCGGCCAGGTATGTTGAAAGGGACTGACACAAGATGCTCTGTGATGGGACCATATTGACAATCGCTAGGCAGATGCGCATAATCAAGCACTGTATCCTCGTCAGTTGGGGATTGGGAATCAACCAGGGTTTCTTCAAGCTCTGCCGTTCTCTAGTATGGAGTGTCCATCAGGCGTCGATCCACCGGTCGGTTCGCGACTTCAATATGAAGTATATGAGTAGGTGCCCACATAGAGTCGGGTATGTTTCATACGGCTGAATGATGACAGTGGCTCCACCAACGGCGCCCACAGTGCCCACAGCAGCTCACTGGCTAGCTCCCATCATCTCCCCATCGCCTGGTACGTGTCATCCTGATGGCACGGTCATTGAATAGATTAATCTGAGGACAGCAACACTGACTGCGAGAAACCTCGATAGTAGTCATGAAGCTCAGGTCGATTCACAAGCACGCGCGACAGGCTTTGATCCTCCAACCAATAGTCAGAATCGAGTAGGGCATGTTTTACAAAACCTCATAGTAAAGTCAAGGGAGACTCAAGCTAACCGTGGTGAACATCAGAAAACGGCCCAACGGGAAGTGTCAACTTTGCGGTCGGTCTGTCCGTCTCATGAACCGGCACCTGCGTGACAGGCACGGCTCCACTCTCGAGCCTCGCGCCGCCACCTTCGATTGTACAATTTCTGGATGCAAGAGGAGAGGTGACCAGAGCTTCACTCGAAAGGACAACCTTACCCAGCATCTCCGCAACGTCCACGGCGTTGCTATTCCGAAGAGGTTCCGCAAAGAGTTCACCGGGGGCGTGGTCCAGTCATAGATAGAATCACGGGCTAGCTAGAAGATGAAAAAGTTATCATCTTTTTCGTTGACTCTTCGTTTAAGAATTTGCAAAAGTATAGCAATGGAATTTCTCTTACCTACTTACTAGGACGTTCCGTTTGATCGAGTGATAGTCGAGCAGGGGCGGATCGTAATGGATGAACGACGAACGTGTGAGAGTTGGCGGGCATTTCTTTGTGCTCATGGGCACCGTTCTCTTTTAAGGATAACTAGAACACTGTTCCGAGCGCCTCTGATCTCTCTGGAAACTGACATGTCATATCGCACCGGGGTAAAGCGTCTATGACCCTAAAAATGGCCGCCCTACTACTAGCAATGTCCGCCCTAATACGCCTCAGCGAGATATCGCCCCATCCCGTCCTCTCCCACGACGGCTGTATTCAGGTGTATAACTCAATTGGCCATTCTACCGGTCTCCCCGATATGTATATTACACTCGAGGGACTCGGCATATATTTGCCCGCGTCGAACGCCTGGGCTTCGCTAAGGTTGTTAGTGAGGCGTTCAATTAGAACCAAAACGTTGTGTCTCTCTGAACTTGTGTTGAGATGTCTTCAACTGACTTGTCCACTGCCAGAAGGCCTACAGCAGTTCACGAGAATTTCTCCACTTTTCCCACACCGTCGCATATCGGATCTTCAATGGTGAGACATATAATCTTGTATGGGACCACCGGTGAGCCCGACTTTCGAGAGATTTATGAGTGGGTCACAGGAGGATACTCGGTGAGGGGCTTCGACTGTTCATCCGGCTTACCTATTATCACCAAACGAAGTACAAGTAAACAAGATCGTGCAGTGGCTTCATTATGGATTCCACGGAGCTCGAGAGCTTTGAAAGAATCTGATGCTTCAGAGCCCGCGCAGGTGACGGGGAGTGGCAATCTGGCTACTACACCCCAACTTTCCACCCCTTCGTTCTGCGACCTGAAAATCGGCAACTGCGACAACGAGGCCTAGTGTTTGAACCTTACGCGCGTACAGAACTCAGCTATCAGATTCCTACCGCCTCCAGGTTGTTTCATGCGCTGGCAGTGCACAGCTGAATACATGGTATCTTCATGCGGCTGAACGAGGCTGTGTGGACTGCGGACCTCAGGTATCCTGCATACTTTTGATAAGATATAGAAAGCGGTATGTTGCTGCCTAGAGGCATGGCACATGGCTATGGCTAACCATCACACTTGCATTGTTTTTCCCGGGGGATGTAGAGCTGATTTTCCTCGAGAAGTAGAATTGTGCCGGTGGTAGGATTCGAATTCCGAGCCTTGTGTTCGATAGAATAACGAAGTTCTCAGTATTTATCCGCTTGTCCAACCAGACCTGCGGCTGCATCAGCATGCATAGATAGGCTGTCTCGGATTCCTATTGGAAGCACATGAATAGGTGACAGCCTGGGGTGCGCAATGCGCACAGCATCACACATAGCCGCTCTTCGATGGTGAGACCTGACAGATGGCCCTACAGATTGCGCACATAACTTGGGAGAATTGGCGCACACACCCCAACGGCTGCGGGCGTGGTGGTATCTACGAGGTTTAGATTTTAGCTGCAGATACACGCACCTATGGTCGGGTCATCGATGACCATCTCATCGCGGGCGATTTTATTGAGCCTCACAGGACTGAGGGGGCAACTTTGCGCGGGGTTTACATTCTGTTGAGGGAAGATTTCGCCTCAGCCTCGGGCGGAGATCACAAAATTAACGGTAAGGCGCTTCTTGATACGTATCAGACGACGCGGTCAATTTTTCGGCAGTCTTATGCGAATCCCATTGAGGAAGCGTGCCTGTAGAGGTCCAATTGTAGCTGTGTTTCAGCCGGAAAAAAAATAACCACAGCTTCGAATTACCCCACATGAGAGTAGCCGATGGGCGTTCTAGTAGCCATAAGTTTCGTCATAGAGGAAGAGAGGCCACATTTTAATGAAGCTGTTGGGCACATTATAAGAACCCAACATGCCGCCGCAGCCAGGAACCGGTTATTGAGCCGCTTACCCAGTAGACAAATACGTATGAAGATTCCCATTCCCTATCAATCGTTGACAGCTTCGATACCGGTCAGCATAACATCTTTCTTCCAACTTGCATGCTTAGTTCCCTTCGTATTTTCTTGCTTTTCCCTACGAATGCCCTATGTTGCGGAATAGTTTTCTCTCTTTACCCTCCAAGAATCACCACTTGAGACCGGTCGACCTGTGCGGCGACGCTCCTTTCGATCTTCGGTTTTCACGCCAGTCTATCCTCCAAACCGGAGCTGTGGGGTAAGAACCCTGCCGACGCATCGTCAAGCTAAGGCAAGGTCAGGAAAGAAGCTGGGTAAAATTATTGGAAGGTACGCCAGTACAACAGATTCTTTTTCGTTTAACCACCAGAGCATGCGGCTCAGAGTGTCAGACTACCCAGAAACGCTTGACAGCTCTCGAGTGATATTCTATGATTGTCGTCAACGGCGGTAGCGTAGAGTATTGTCACCATACCTAGCCATATGTGGCTCAGATCAACGTTGACTGGCCATTCCACTCCACTCTAGCAGTCTGCCTAAGGGATTCTGAATTAATCTGTAGCTGAGAGCAGAGCACCGCCGAGTTTCAGCCTGGTCAAGCGGTTGCGCGTTGGTCGGGCTGGCGCACGCGCACACCTCAAATGCCGACCCCGGTTCACTCAGGTCTGAAGTATTCGTGGCCGTGAGAACATGAATAACGTCGCCCAGCGGAATTGGGCGGTGAAGCAGTAGAGTATGAGTAGTTTTGCGCCAGAGTCCTTGGCTAGTAGTAGTAATAATCGAATGGCATTGCGACTACCGCCGCGTTGTGCGTGAGCACACTGCGCACTGGATCCAGCATACCTTGTGAATGTGCGCCGCAGCAGCCAGCGAACCTGAAGTCTACCTCCACGGTTAACTCAAGGCTCCGGAGAGCAGGTAGGCGTCCAATTGGAAGCACTCAAAGCCTTCCAAGGGGGCGGTGTTCGCACAGATGTGCCAGCGGCGCCGACCCGACTTCGAGGTGCTGCTGCCATGGAGGCATATATACACTCCTGCCGGAACATAACGCAGCGCCCGAGGGCGTGCCGCTCACGGTATCTCACTAGAAAAACGAACCTGGTCCCGCACAGCGCAACACAACGGCCAACCAACAACGCGGAAAGGCTACCGATCGGCACACCAGACAGTGGGGAGGAGAGCGGTTCCAAAGTAACTTGAGGGGGGCGCAGACCCCAAGAGCCATGTCAACAACTTCCCTCAGGTCGACGGAGGTTATGGATGCTTGGTCTTAGGCCCAAATACCATAAACATTGCAAAATCCCCAGTCCACAGGAAGGACACCACAACACCTCACAGCCGTGAGGAAGCTATACCTAACGCCCAAGGATAAGCAAGGTATGCCTCTTCACCAGAACCACGTCGAACAAAGGCTTCAGTCCTGCCCCCCAACTAGACTTGTATTGAGCCGTATAGAATTGAACATCACCCAACTTTCTATTATAATCCTATACGCCCCTCCCCCCCCAATCCTCTCGCCGCCCTTCTCTCACACTCATAACCTGTCAACCGAATATACAATACACTTCCCATCACGCTTCAGTTGCTCTGACTTTCGACAATGTTATCCCAAAACTTCTCAGGTCTGGAGTGGTCGTGGCAACTCGCACCAGACGGAGTCGCCAGAGTCATTCCTGCCGACCCCTCTGCCGCTGGAGCAGATACTCCCTCCGGCTCGGTGCGTGGACGGGGCAGAGGTGGCGGTAACGTTTGCCTGCAACAAGCCGAGAGCTACAACACTACCTTCCTCGTACGTGAGCCATAGTTTCCGTGTAGTTGTGTGCAGAAGCATGCGGGGATACTAACTATCGTCGGCAGGGTTTTGATCCAACTAGATTACACCCCGTAGGAGGCCATCGCGGATTCCCCCATCTACAGACACCGGGAACGCAGCCGCAGACGCCTCCTCCCACGCCCAATCCATCGTTCGGCGAAGGCAGCCGCCCTACCAGCTCCCACTCGACTCGCAGCGGCGGAGGCCTCATCATCAATGTCCATCACGTCGCCAACAGCAACGCATATCGTCAGAATCTTCCACTCGCTACGGCCGACGAGACACCACCCGTGTCGCCTATGTCTTCCGCGAGCAATCATTCCTTTTCGAGCAGCTTCCCGGAATCTCCCCTTCGGGGCTTCAACGACCTCTCCATCTCCCTGAACAACTCCCGTCCGTCAACCGCCAACGGGTTGGGAGAATTCCCGCCCATGCCGCCGAACAACGGATACGAGCCCACGCAGTACAGCTACCACGGACACGGAACCCCAATCAACACGGCTATTGAGGTGGGATTTGCGGCCACGGCGAGGGAGGCGGTCACGAAACTGGTTCCGCCAGACGGGAAGCGATCGAAGAACAGTCTCAAGTATGTGTATACCGACCAGAACTGCTGCTAGATGATTAGCCATCAATAAGTGCAATCTGACTAACCTCTGATCGGCAGACAACTTCGAAAACACACGAAGAAGACGTGTGGAATCTGTGGGCGTGAAGTTTCTGCGATAAAGCGTCACATGCGCAGTATGCATAACGATGTCGGTAACCCCGCCGGACGCGTGAAAGTCATCTGCCCAATCAGCTACTGCGGGAATGCCGCTGGGTTTTATTTGGACAGAATGGACAACTTGCGCCAGCATTTGATCTTGAAGCATCGTTGCACCAAGGACCAGGCCGATCGTCATGCGAGAGATGTGGTGCAGAACGTGCAGCGAAACTGAGGCTTCTCTGAGGACGCACCAAAGGGGAGAGGGAGGTGGGGAGACGGTAGAAATTCGTCAATCTTTATCATTATTTATGTTTTGTATGAAGTTTATGTGGATGGGAATCATGTCATGCCACATTGCGCTCATTGATTGATGATAAGCGGGGTCACATTGATGAATTTATTATTTATATACTATTTTTCTGAAATGTTAGAATTTTTCGTCAAGATGAATTCGGATGCTTAAGACTTACCACATAGACAAAAGACGAGAAGGCCACTCCCCCGGCCTTCCCGTCAAAAGCACACCAACCCGGTTTCCTCCGACAAGGCAAGCCACACGAGGTGCGCATCACCTCACAAGTTCTCTGTTCAGCTCTTTCGTTCGAAGCCAAAACTCGACTTCGTGACAGCAAGCGCCACGGCTTCAGAGAGCTCCAGAAAGGCGCGGCTCGCTTATCGCGTCGATAGCGACGATGACCGCCGCAAAGTTCCGTATCCGATTCGCAGCGGGGGAAGGTTCGGCGTCGTCGTTCGTCGTTTGTCGGCCGCCGTGCGTCGGTCGTCGTTCGTATCGCCGATGAGGCTCCGTTATTCTGACGATTCGTAACAGCGGTGGAACTGGTCCGACGTGTTGGAACAGCAAAAGAGACGGAATTGTGCACGCAAAGGCAGCTGCACACATGAACCTCTTATACCTTCGAAAGGAATACGAGGTGAAGTTAGAGGAATGCTGGAGGAATCGATAGGAATAGAAAATCCTGTGGAGGAATGATCAGGGAACCATCGAAGTTCAATACTGAATGATTCTGGGTAGGATGGGTAGCCGGAAGGACCAGGGGTGTAAACGCTGAAAGGCAACCGGAAAGAAGCGCAAGGCGAATGCTCTCCCTGAAAACGGGAAATCGCCGACAATGCGCGACACCCAATCCTTCGCATACCCTTTCGAGTGTGCTGACACATGACAGGAGCCGACGAGCTCCCCGCAATCGGGGGTTCGGTGTGCGCGTTGAGCAACCAGCATGCTGTGCCATCTGCGCAATCTGTGCGCACTTGCGGCGGAGCCTGGCGGCAATGCGCAAGGTCGCACAGACAGGAGCTAATCATGTCTCGCATGAGTGCGAACCTGAGGTGCAAGCGCCACGTAACGTCCTCAGGTTGCTCCGCCCAGCTGCAGCTCTGCGTGCAATCCTATTGGCTGCGGCCCAACCACCGACAGAGAAGGCTCGGAGCCTGCGCGAACCTGAGGGTTTGCAGTTTCTCGATGCGGCAAGCCCGACGCGACCCGTCCACGGGGCGCATTCTTGAGGCATACTGTCCGGCGGGGCAGACCAGGCAGACCCCCATGACGTCAATTGAAGGTGCGCTGTCTGTGGAAATATTTGTTGGTTCGAAAGCGATTGAGCCTGGATCATTTGGGTTGACACGAAGACTTCGAGAATCGACAGATATCTAGATGTGCACGGTGTAGCTCTGAGTTACAGGGGGCCTCCTCAGGCGCTGTATTATAATCAACCACATGGCAGGACACTCACGCCTCACATAGCACTGAGGTGGCTGAATCGAAATCATGCTGGTCTTGCGCGGAACTCGGCTTTCTGGGCAAAGCCCCGTTGCCAGTTTTCCGTGCTCATAAGTAGCCGTCTTTCTCACGGCGTCCTGTTACCAGTTCCCCGACGGTCAATAGGTTCCGAAAACCAATATTATGGATCACTACCAGCTATCAAGCTCCTCCGAAATCGCCATCGAATCTCTGCCATCACTAGGCCTGAGACGGACATATCATGAGCGCCCGTGTGGTGAATTATTGTATGGCGTAAGTCTTCCACTCCAGTTGCCCCCATCCCCTTACTCAAGAAGGTAGCGCCACAGCCAGGAGTAATCTTCTACCATCGAGCCACTGGAGGTCATTATGATCATTATGATTCGCGTCCCGCAAGCTGTGATATTTCCAATGCACAATATCCCACGCCAGGCACATCTCCCAACACCAGCGGCTGGCACTTCGACGCCTATTCACCGGAGGCCGGTGCCGATTATTCTAGCATGTCTGTACTCTGCTTCCCGCATCGAGTCTAGGGCTAACTCTTCGTAGATCACCTCTCTCCTACGGCTACCAGTCGACCGACGCCTGCTATACACCTCCACAAAGTCCCCGGCCCCGAAAACGGGGTCCTTTCCAGTGCGAACGGTGCGAGCGTACCTTTAGCACATCCACAAACTTTACCCGGCACAACTCGTCCTCCAATTGTGCCATAAAGGGAGGCCTCGGAAAGGATGGAATGTCCTTCCCGTGTACCGAATGCGGGAAAGCCTACAACCGAAATGATAACTTGAAAAAGCACATCAAGGAGAAACATCCGTCGTTAGAGAAGCCCTTACAGGGTTGACTGGGTTGCGTTATGTTATTTCGTTCTGCGTTAGGCCGTTCAGGGGGAATTGGGCTGGGCTGGGCTGGGGTGTAAATATGAACTGTACGTGTACTTACTTATTTGGTGTTTTGGATAAAATATGTTTTGGTTGGATTGTGGTACTATTGTAAGATGATTGTGACGCCCGGCTGGAGGCCGGTATTGCGCGCATGAATGCTCAGGGGAATGAAGCCCCACACTCCAATTTTCTCCGTTAAGGTGTTCGTGGCTTGCTGCAAACGTGTCTTGGATCAGTCGTATTCACCGCAAGAAATTTTATCCACCCACCTGTCCCCGAATGCACCGGGAACTCAACTTTCAGCTTGCGTAGCCGCTCGAAGTGCGCGGGAGGGAAGGCAGGAGATCATTAGATTTCAGGCGTTGGGATCCTTGCCCAACAGCAGCAGAAAACGGATCTAGTCTGGACAGTGGAAATGGCTTCTCACTGGTGACATGAGTGCAAAGTGTCGTTGGAGATGACGTGTGGTAGGTAGATGCTTTTTCGGTCGGTCCACCCCGCCTCGACCGAACGCACTCTAGCCGGTAGTACGCGTTACTTGATACAAGCTCGTAAAGGCCGTAGCCGCAAGAGATATCGATATAGCCACAAATAGGTGGGCGAGGAATCTGGCCTGATGCTGCTCCCGTAAGTGACTGTCGTGGGTGCATCTGCACCTCCCGACAAAGCAAACTCTGGCCGGTGGTATGACTTCAAGTGATGAAGGTCGGAAGAGATGACGATATATGGGCACAGAGCCTTCAAAAGCATATCCACTATTGACTGACTGGCCATGACGTGGAATCATCGCCGGTGACGACAAGTACACAAGTGCTTTTTCACCTTCTGAGAGAAAGTTCTTCTTTCAGTGGTATGACTTCACTCCGTGAAGACCGGACGGGATAAGCATATATAGGGGCCCGGTTCAAACTTTACACTGGCTGCGCACCAGGACGTGCGCAACTCCCCCACCATCGGTAACCTCCGCGGGGGAAAACTTACGTGTGTGCGTGGTATTCCTACGCCTAGCGCAGTCCCTATGGTACAGGTAATGGGACAGGGCCCGTTTTGGTGAATGGGCACACATTTAAATCGGCTCCCGATATTCTTTCTGGCTGTAATTAACCTCTATTTGGCTGTGAAAAGGCTGTGAAAAGGCTGTATCCAGGCTTGAAAAATTAAAAAGGCTGTAAGGTATAAAGGGCGATACCTAGTACATACGGCTAGAAAAGGAAACAGTTGCTCAACTGGCGTGGATAATAAATGGCTTTTAGGAGTTCATATGGCTGACATTGAACAATTATACGAGTGCAATCTGCAGCTTGAGATTGCTGTGATTCTAGCTACTGCTGCTTGCCCAATATACATATATCCTCCCCTCCGCGGCCAAACAAACCGAACCCTACTTGTCCCCGCTCTCCCCGCTTGTCCCCGCTTGTCCCCGCTCTTCTCGCTCTTCTCGCTTCCCGGCCTGCTCAATAGACAGTCTACTAGTACCGGCGATGACAGTGTGGTATCCGCAGCGAGATAGGTCTAGGAGCGCAGTTATCAAGACGTACCTACTGTAGTAAGACCAGAGACGGTGAGAGAGAACGGCGGTGATGGAGGAGCTATTGCCGACAGGAGGAAGCGTGGGGAGGAGCTGTTAATGAGAGAAAGAGTGAGTGGAGGAGTTGTTAGCAAGAACGAAAGCGAAAGAAGGAGCGGAAAGAAGACTCGGTGATGGAGGAGCTGTAGGTTAGAGGGGGAGCAAGATGAGGCAGTGAAGGAGGAGCTGTCAGCAAGAGGATGAGGGGGAGGAGGAGCTGTTGGCAAGAAGAGAAGCGAGAGGATGAAGTGATGGAGGAGCTACCGGTGAGGTGGGGATTCAGTAGTGGGGGTGATGTCATCGAGAGGAGGAGGGAGAAGAGAAGCTATTAGCAAGAGGAGAAGGGAGAAGAGAAGCTATTAGCAAGAGGAGAAGGGAGAAGAGAAGCTATTAGCAAGAGGAGAAGCTGTTAGCAAGAGGAGAAGCGAGAGGGGGAAGTGGTGGAGGAGGAAGTGATGGAGGAGGAAGTGGTGATGGAGGAGGAGTGATGTAGGAGCTGTGGGTGCCGGTGAGAGGATGGCGTAGTGATGGAGGAGCTATCGGCGGGAGGAAACGAATGTGGTTAGTATGTAGTGGGCATCAACGTTGATGGGCATGGCGGGGGGCATGGCAGGGGGCATGGCGGGGCGGCTGAATAAGGAGAAAATGCTCCATTTATAAATCGAAGCCCATTTCACTCATGCCGGAAGCCTGATGAGCGGGAAAGTTATCGTTTTACCAAAGGATGCCCGAAGAGAGTGGTGGAAAGATGTTGAATTTACTGCAGATGGCCAATTTACACCTCAACGCCAAATCTGGCCTCTGTCTATTCGTCACATTGAGTATTGACGGCCAAATTAGGTAGAAGAGCCCAATTTGAGTATTTTAAACTGCCCGCAATTACTACTAACCGCCCATTGACCAGGATTCGCCCAATTTGGCCATAGCAAACTGGCCTGCAATTACTACCATCCGCCTATTGACTAGGCTTCGCCCAATTTGAGTATTATAAACTGGCTGCAATCACTACTAACCGCCCATTGACTCAGCTTCGCCCAAATAAACATGGCAACTTGTGCCCTATGAGGAAAAAAACGCCAATTTACTGGCAGAAGCCTGAATTACCACTGTAAATGAGCCGCACTTTGTGGTAATAGCCAGTTTACATGCAGACTCGCATTCAACTAAAGGGGCCTCGTCCCATTCCCTGTACCATAGGGAGTGCGCATAGCCTCTGGCAGTCCTACGGAATTACGTAAGGTGGCTCCAGAAACACGCCCTGCATATGGACCGTGGCTGCGCGGATTCAGGTTGTAGGAATCGACTTGAGCAGCTTCTTCGCCAATAGAACCGGAATGTTCAAGGTATGAAACGGCTCCAGCTCGAAAAATGCGAACTCTCAGATCGATCATTATTCGCACACGTCACACCAGACATCAGAGGAACGATCGATCTAATTCAACCTTAGCTACCATTACGTTCTCAGGCAGCTGAACCTCGGAGTGACCCGAAGTTCAGTACGTACAGTGTGAACCTTGCTACCGTTCGAAGTTCGATTGGTCGGCGGGCGTAAGCACACCCACGCCACTCATGAATTTTTCACCGTCTCCCAGCCTGATCCCTTACTTGCCTCTTTGTGGTTATATATTATCCTATTGTGGCTACTCCTCCGACCCTTCACCGACTGCGATCCCCCGGGGGGAAGCGAGACAAAGGATGAATGGCTGTAACAGTATTACGTACTCTTATTGTGCCACATGGAGACCTGACAGTTCCAAAGGCGCATGGGAACGACTTACGTACTTTCCTAGGTACTTGGTATTTCGCTGAGTAATTGGCCGACGACTGGGCCCTGAGACCTAAACCCTCGTTCCACAGCAACCTGGACGTCATGTCTTCTTACCGCAGCTGCTGCCCCACTATTCCTTCTCATCCCAAACCTCCTTTACTTTCTTCTTCACCTCATCATTCTCCCTTCCCGCATCTTTCTCAGCCTCGGGCCTTATCCTACTTCCGCTGCGCCCTCTCTTTTTTCTTCCTCCCCACCTGCGGCAGAGGATATAGTAGAGTACCTCTGACCAATCACTCGTGCTCATCAGTCTGATTCCCACCTCCGATTCACACTTGGGCCAACACCCAGACTCGCCCGGAAGAAATAGTGCAGTACTTAGCCCAGATAAATTAATATCGTGCTTCTCTGAAAACATTGCACAACCAGCAGCGCGTTGTCACTCGGAGTCGACCCTATGTGTCTTCACATGTTGCTTATTTCCCCTTCCACTCCGATACCGGCTCATAAGGAGCCAGGCATATAGGGAGCGTGAGCCAAGCCCATCCCAGCGGAGAAATAATCCAATAACTGGAGCCGGCTGAGGGATACATACGGTAATCTGCTTTCGTGTATGGGCCATAATCACACTATCTCACTCGCCATGTGACCAGAATGCCGATCTTCGCGCCATAATGAAAAGTCCTACACCAGGGCCGCTGGCACGTCAGTGAACCGCTTCTTTTTTGCGAGCCTTGGACGTATGGCGGAAGAGGATGTCCCTGATTTTGTCGCGAGGAACTTGTCACCTCGCACTAAGTACAGTAGCAAAAAGTGCGGTACGATTGGTACGGGAAGAATACCGCGGTCATTTGAATAACGAAGAACTAGGTACCAGACTTTTATTCGATACGCATGCTACTTATAGGAAGGTCTGAAGAATACGTGCTGCCATAAGGACAGGAGCTGTACGGTCTTTCGCACATCACGTATCGGAAAGTAATACGTCATTTACAGACAGCGGGAGTGCTACAGTGTCAACGTTTTCTCTGTACAAGGTACATTGTTGTGCGAATAAGGTAGTTCTCTGGTAGTTCTCTGGTATTCTGGACACTCGTAATATCTTGCATTCGGAAGAACTGCGGTGGGTCTTCCGGCCTTTTAATAAGCGTATCTTTACAACACTGCGTATAATTTTTCGATACCTACTGTAGAATTGAGAATAGGAAAAAAAAATACCAGAGTAAATCTGTATTCTCTGAGACTGCTGGATTTAAATCCGAGCGGTAATACTACCTACCGGAGACCTTCGGCATCAATTGCACCCCACGTTTTGCTACTGTAGGTACCAGTAGATTTCGTGTTCCTAGCATACATAACGGATCACTCGTCTCCTATCGAGTGACGTTGTGTGCACAACTCGAGGAAGACGGCCAGGTGTTGAGTAACTTTTCACGTTATGTCGGTATCACCGCCGTACCGTACCGCCGGAAGTCTTTGCATCTCCCCAAGCCCGTTGTGGCCAGGAATGATGGTTTAAATTCTAGGCAACCGACGTCAAGTAGGGCTCGAGGGATACCGGTGTGATGTATCGTATCAGCCACACGTGACACGAGTCAGCCCCTTCAGCCACTTTTCCTTGTCGCGAAAATTACACAAATGTAGCATTCCTTGATAACTTTGCCTGAAACGTCACAGTATTTAATCTATGTGTAGTGAGTGAAGCAGATTTAAGTAGAATATATTTTGTACCCGCGCGTGCGTATTGCACCAAACTGCTAGTGAGAGTCGAGCACCATTGTTCGCCATGACCCGCAGAGAGTGGCAGAGCCTCAAACGCGAAACAAATCCCTGTGCATTCCTCCAAGTCCCGTCGTCTACACATCATCCATTACCACACTTCTATCCGCCGTAGTACGACTAGCACGGCATCTTTCTTCCAGCCCACACACCTCCCACCATCTTCCCCAGCGCATACCCAGCATAAGCCCCCACCAGGATGGTAACAGGCCACTTCTGCCACTCGCGGTCCCAGTCTGTGCATTGTTAGCCACCGGTGGTGTTGATGTGATGGAACAAAACATACCTAGGGGAATTGGCACGGCGCCGGCCCACGCGCCGACGCAGGCGCCCAGTGCGCCAACGACAGCCTCATCGACCTCGCCAGTAAGCGCGAGGATCTCTCTCCACCTCCCGGCATCCCAGCCGCGGGTGAAAGACAGTGGATAGATGGTAAGCAGGGCTAGGTGGACTGCCGTGGAGAGGGTTTCGGCATGGTGGGATGTCACCGGCGCGCCGAAGGCGACAAGGAGTAGGAAGAGGAGGGGTGCCCCGACAACTAAGGTGAAGGCAAGCGCGGTGAGGATGGCGAAGGGCACAGTAGCAGCTTTTTTAGCGCGGACGGTCTTTTTGGGCTTTGGGGCGCTGGAGGCAGGTTTCGGTGTAGTTGGTATGGCTTTGGGGGTTGTGGGTGTGGTAGAAGTGCTGGTGAGGACGAGGTAGACAGTTTGCAGAGCGGCCAGTGGGAGCGCGGTGCGTGTCAGGGTCAGGCTCGGTGACGCGATTAGGTCCGGAAGGTGAAGCGCGAGACTGCTTAGAAGCGACACGGTGTGAAGATGTGTACTTGCCGTCGTGAGGGCAGACGGAAGAAACGGCGTTGGTGCTGATGCTGAAGGCATTGTTGGCGGTGCTGTTGGATGTGGGAACAGAAAAGGAGAGGTCGCCGGAGTGAAGTGAAGTTGACACTTTCGGTTCCACGGCTTGTCAAGAGATTAAGCCGCATTCGGATGCTGGGCACGGGCCAGTCGAACGGGTGAACAAAGAGACGACACGGCTTTTCACCTCCGGCTTTCCACCACCGCTCGACAACCACGAATTTCCCGCCCGCCTCGGCCAGAGCTCCAACCATACAATGTTCGCAATCTGCGGTCGTGCACCGCTCCTTCTCGCATCTCGCGCCGCCTCGCGCACTCTCGCCCCCACTCCCGCTCTGAGTCGGAACATCCTCCGACTTCTCCCCCGGACACAGCCAAGCATCCGCTACTATGCGCGTCCCCCGCGATCAACTCGCGCCCACAAATCCAACAAACCCTCCCCACCACCAACACCACCCAGCGTCGCCGCCGAATCCAATATCACACAGCCAGCCACGGGCGATCGCTTAATAGACCGTGTGTGGGCTGCCGGACAACTGAGCCAGCATGACACGCCACCGGCCATGTCTTCCGTGCAACTTCCTCGTCTTCCAGCTAGCTGGGGCAGATGGCTAACGTCCGCAGGCCCAGCGGCTTCTCCGCCCAACCCTCTTCACTCTCCTCGTTGTCGGCGGCTCATTGATTTACGCCTACAATTGGACGGCACCAGCACCCAGCGAACGCCTGTTCCCGACCGTTCCCCTTGCCTTCTCGACCGTCGCCACGATCATGGCTCTGAATGTCGGCGTGTTCGTGGCCTGGAGGATCCCACTACCGTTTACCTGGCGCATCCTCAACCGGTACTTCGTCTCGGTCCCCGCGATTCCCCACGCCGCCAGTATGTTAGGCTGCGCCTTCTCGCACCAGTCCTTCTCGCATCTTGGGTTGAACATGGTGGTGTTGTACTGCTTCGGCACGAATCTGTGTGAGCAGATTGGTGCTGGTCCATTCATCGGACTGTATCTGAGCGGTGGAGTATTGAGTTCGCTGGCGTCCTTAGCCTACAATGTGGTCCGGCAGCGGTTCAACGTCGCGTCGCTGGGTGCGAGTGGTGCGATTGCCACGCTGGTGGGTATTTACGCGGTGGTGAATCCGGATGCCGAGCTATATGTCATCTTCCTGCCTTTCATAATGTTTAAGGCGAAGGTTCTCGTTACGTTGCTGGCGATGGTGGAGACACTGGGTATTGTAAGAGGTTGGACTATCGTGGATCATGTCGCGCATTTGTCTGGGCTGGGATGGGGAGTGGTAAGTGGGTATGCACTCCTAGCAGAGTACAAGCGGCGACTGGAGAGGAAAAGGAAGGAGTTGGAGGAGAAGAAGTGGCTGGGTTGGTGGTGATGACATCAGCTGTGACGTTGGTGACACCTCGGATCGCGGCTTAATGGAGGCAACGATGGTGGATTACAGATCCGATTGATAGATCTTACGTCTCTACTGTATTCCGTATGATGATGAAGTACCTGCATAGACGAATACCGCCATCTACACTACTGTTGTACACATAACCCCCAATTCCACATTACTCCATCCCCTCCATCAACGTAGGATTGTCCAGCATCATCCCCTTCCTACCTACCACCTCCCTAAGCAGCTCCCACTCCTCACCCTCTTCAAAGCCATGTTTATGTTTCTCCTGGAAGCCCCACGCCATAGCAACCGCATCCAACGCCGCCCTCTCCTCCTCTCTGAACCACCTCTCCCTCAGCGGCGTACCCGGAACCCACGAAACCCTAACCATCTGATCATTCGCCGTGCCCACGGCCAACAGCCCAAAACCCGTGGTCAAACCCACGTACACGATGAACCCGCCGAACGCATACCTCATGGCGACGTCGTGTTCGACGGTATCCTGCCAACCCGCCAGCCTATCGGCCAGCACCCACAGGGCGCCGGGCGCCAAAGCGGCAACACTCACGACGGGCAACACCCTCCTTACGAACTTAGCACGGCGGTACGCCGGCGCGCCATACGACGTGTCTATTATGTCGAGGGCGGCGGTGATATCGCCGGCATCGATGGCGGTCTCGAGTCCGGTGACGACGACGTGGTCGGGAATGGCATACTTTGCCTGGCGGGGGTTTGGAGTTTTCGGGGCGCCCTTGCCCGACGGCGGAAGAATCGGCTTGTTGGCGTACAGTGCGAAGACGGCGGGGATCGGCGCGGCGTCGCGCGTTATCCGCTGGAGGTCGGTGAATGCGCGGAGGATCTCGGGCGTTAGGAAGACGGTGGGGTGCGAGAGCAGCCGGTAAGCCAGGCTGGAGAGCTCCGTGAACTGCCCTTTCTGCGCGAGCGTGGGGGTGTCGCTACTGGGTTCGCTGATTTTGCGGACGGCGGGGGGTGATGGGGGTTTCCCGCTGAGGGAGAGGAGTGCGGAGGCGGGAGACGCGCCGCGGGTGGTGGCGCTGGGAGGTACGTGGAGTTGCTGGCGCGCGTAGGATTGGAGGGCCGCGAGGGCCGCGAGGATTTCCTCTTCTGGGGGTGGGATGGAAGAGGATAGGATGCGGGAGTCGACGGCTGATACGAGGGAATTGAGAGAGTTTGTGGAAGTAGCGTAGGGAGATTGCGCGGGTGCAGCGGCGGTGGAGGAGGTGACAGCTTTTTTGAGGAGGTGCGGTGAAGTTCGGAATGCACGGTATGGGGTCGGCTGTAGACGCGGAGCAGGTCGCAGACGAGGGAGGGCTCGAAGGGTACACAGTGTACAGATCGGAGCCCTGGCGAAGGCAGTTGGTGGACGCATTGGCGCTGATGGTGGTGGTTGTATATCGAGGTATTGAGTTAGTGGGGGATGGTGGGGTGGGATGCTGAATCACTATCGTTCGGTTCGGGAGTGACGCTAAATTTGCGCGCTTGGATCCACAACCGGCCCGTGCACCGATCTGGTTGGCACGCAATTCCATACTCCGAGGTGTCGCGAGGTTATAGATATATAAAAGAGATTCGTCATCCGTGGATTTACATCGAAGGATCAACTTCATCTACAAATCCAGCTTCCCCTCAAACGCAAAGATCCTCCTCAACATCGTCTCCCCAAACGAGGTCTTGTACTCACTATCCAAAGCCAGCCTGACCCTATTCCCATGGCCCCTATGCAACCACACGCCGCGATCATGTATCTTGATCGGACTCAATAGGTTCGCTTCAATCACCTTCTTCCTCCTATCAACCACCGACATGCCCCTCGTCCACTTTCCCTCCGTTTCGACCCTCACATCGACCGACTCATCGATGACCCAGCCTTCGCCGTTGGTTAAGAGGTACCATACACACAGTGGATCGTGAAGGGAGAGGCCGACGTCCTTTTCAGTGTAGAGGGTTTTCAAGTGGTCGAAGGTGGGCCTAAGGAAATGGTGCATCCATTGGGCCAGCGGCGACCCACGCTCTGAGAGTGACTTTGTAACCGTATTGAAAGTATCGAGGGAAAGCGAATGAACAGTCGTAACATCCAGCGGGAACGCAGTGAGTTTCAGCTGTTTCGACAGGTTTTCCGGGTACGCCTTCAGGTCCCTGCACGAGGGCATGGTAGACTTTGGACTCGGTGAGGTAAGGGCATAGATTCTCGCTGCAGAGTAAGAGCACGCGTATTGATTGAACTCTGCCACTGGAGTGATGTTGCCTGGCACGTTGATGGCACCACCCATAACCACTATTTCCTTCGCGCGAAGAAAGGTCTCCGGGTCTGTATTTGCGGCCAGCGCTAGGTTGCTCAGTGGGCCTACAGCGATGATGGTGATGGTGTCGGGTGGGTGGCTTTCGAGAGTTCTCAGGATTTCTAGATGGCTCAGGTTCGTGGAAGGTTTGAAGTTCGGCGGCAGGCGGGCCACTTTCGAAACGTCCGTTTCATCGCCAGGTCCGAAGAGATGTTTCCACATTTCTGTTGGAGTGAAGTGGGGTGCGTTTTCATGGACTCCCTGAAGTCCGTCCTTTCCATCTACCCCGGTCCAGAGACGTCAGCACATACCCCGCACCCCCATAAATGGAGATACCCACGAAAGTAATCATACTGCATCGAAGCCCCCTCGATCGGGAGATCTGCGCCGACGGAAACAACAGGTTTGAAATTCCTGAGTGCCTCGAAGCCAAGTGGAAGATCATTCTCGATACGCCAGGTCCGCTCGAGCTCGAGAACATGGAAGAGCGAGACCGTGTTGCGTAAACAGCTGTTGGACTCCGGGTCAGCGGGGGGCCTGGCAGTGGTGAGGAAGTATAGAAGTGGGGAGGAACCATTCAACGTCGATATTGCCGAAGCAGAGGGATATCAGTAGGACCTCTACTTCTTCGGCAGATGCGGAGAGAGCGAGGAGGAGAGCTAGGATGTCGTCAACGCTTTTTGGCAATCAGTAACCATTGAGAGTTCTTTGAGGGATTGGCAGTACCCAGGATCGGTATCGATAATGATCTTTTTAGGTGCCATTGGGATGATGGAGTAACTTCGTGTGATGGTGAATGAGACACGAAAGGCGACGATCACGTCTCATGGTGAGGGCCGAGCTCATTGAGCTTGGTACGTCATTCATACAGTACATGCTCTAACCAGTTCTGTAAGTACTGAGACACTAGTTCACCAATAATTCTAACTGAAGCTCTTTTTCGGCGACCTTAGAAACCCCCGCTTCAGAGTGCTCTAACTATCGCCTTGAGCCGCAACGAGACGTCATACCGACATCCAAAGTGCAACCACTGCACCACCTTCATCATCAACCATTAACCACAATGTCGGCCACCAGCAATCCGATCACCCCCGTTGGTCTTCCTCTGCCTTCTCCTACACACGAATGGCTGACCGTTCCAGCAATCTTTCCTCATCGCCATTGCCGACCTCCAACTGGACCAACTCCATGCCGAATCTGCACGTCTGCACAACTCCATCTATCACCTGGAGCGCAGTAACAATGCTTTAGAAGAGTTCCCGAGCGACGAGGATTGTCGTGCAGCGTTACGGGAGAATATGGTCACCATCGGCCACCAGCAGGAACGCGTACAGTTGATTAAGGAGGAGGTCGAGAGAAGGGGGTTCCTCATGCCGTGCGGAGAGAAGAAGGAGGAGCAGCAGACAAACGGAGTTGGGGGAAGCGGTGGGGGTGGCACTGCGGCGAATGGAAACAGGGCTGAGGAGAATGGTTTGCAGACGGAAGAAGAGGAGGGTGTTTACCTCTGATACTCTACATGCGGAAGCCGTTTGCAAGTTTGGGATTCTTTTTGGTGTTGCGTTTGAGCAAGATGACATTGATTAGGGGTCTCAGAAACTGCACTTGTATACTCGTCGAAAGCGACAGTGGATTATTTTTGGATAGCCATTCACACACCTTGAGATTCCGTAAAATCTTGGGGAGCGGCTATCCCGATCGCCGAGTGAGCTGGCTGTAGACGATGACGGGTGGAAGGTTTAGGGCAGAGGTTGTAGGTAGGCGGTTGAACGACAAATGGTGAAAACTGTCTCTTGAGGGCTCGCAGAAGGCAATCCACCACTTGTCTTTGGTTTCATTAGAGTGGTCGGTCAATAGAGTCAGAGGCCACAAGCACAAGCTGCCAAGAAAACAACTGTCAGAATTACTAGAAGTCTGAAAGGCTCTAGAAGACGCGTGATCCTGAAGGCTCTATGACGTAGCGGTCGAGCCGGCAAAAGCCCCTGACGGACCATGCGCGCTTCAGCAGCCTTGGATCGCATAAATATCGCGCCTTGGATCGAGCGTGTATATGGAGGTACTGGATCGAGCCGAGGGATTCGAGCGGCCTGAATTGGTATTACGAGGAAACATAGAACATCGAATTCGCGTTGATCCGCAAGAAGGCTAGTATTCGCTAGTTAGGAGGCCCACGGAAATACGCCAGAAGTCCACCCTCTCCACGTATCCGTCCAACAACGAGTATCATATTAAGTACAGTATCTCCCCGCACAGCTTCCTCTCACCCCACCGCTCCCCTCTTGTCACCCCTATGCACAAAATCAAGCCTTCTTCTTGCCCGCAGCAAGTGCCTGCTTAGCCCTCTTCTTCTGCGCACTCTTGATCATGACCATGCTGAGGAAGCTCCCCACGACCGCGATTCCGACGAGGATGATGATCATCGGGATTCGGATCGCCCATACGCGCGGCGGGAAGAAGTTGTGCAGCTCGATGTTCTCGTCCACGAACGGCTGCGAGGGGGGTCAGTAAAGGGGTGGGAACTGGGGGAAGGCGAAAGTGCGGTACCATGAACAGAGTCCAGATCGTGTAGTACAGGAAGACGACGGTGGCGATGATTATCATGGTGAGACCTGCAAGTTGGGCGAGCTGGCGGTCGGGTCAGCTATGTTCGGTTGTCTCCTGTCTTGTGTTAGGTGGAATGGGTGGCTACCATGACTGTGTATGTGTGGAGCGAACGCGTGGCTCCCGGTGCTCCTAAGTGTAGAAAATGAGTGTGTCGAGGTCGGTCTGGTGGGAGTTTTGGTGCGTAGATTCACGGGATACTGGTAGGCGGTGAAGTTGGCTTATGGTTTGGTGGTCTTTTCCAATCGAGGTAGGTGCAGTGAACCCGTACGAACGGAAAACGTGTTGGTAGGGCGGCTACGCCGAGTAGTAGCAGACGTGGTACCAGCATCGAACAGGTAAGCTCAAGCTCAAGAGCTCCCGCCAAACCAACAAAGTCGACAGTTGGGACGTAAACCGTAATGACAGTCATGTGTTGTCACGTATTATCGCGTAACGTGATCGTAAAACAAAATTCGGTACATACGGTAAATATTTCCAATTGTGGCTGGTGAAAGCTGCTAGTGAAGGCTGCTTGTGGCGGAGGTGGCTGAATGAGGCTGATGGTGTGGCTACTATAGATGCCCCACGGCCTGCCCTGTCCGGTGACTGATCGTAAAAGTGCGAAAGTGAGACGACCACACAACACAACATCTCGTTCTACTCTACATATTTAAGCAATACCCGAGAGTTTGACAAGTATATAGGATGTAGTAGTTATTTCACTCAAACAATATACTTAAGTCAAATAGTACTCCTACATAGCACTGGAACGAATGCATAATATATCACTCGGTTATGTGCGCTGTATCCAGACATCACCATTTACAACCGTGGCATCGCGGTGCAGCAACGGGCTGTGGTAGTAGAGCTTTCTCTCGGCCTCGTGGAGCTGGCAAGAAAGTTCGGGAAGTTGGTGGTCGCCATATTCATAGGCCGCATGCGACAATAAATGGATGTTCTCTCTCTCAACCACCAATTAACAACGATAGAGGAGGAGGCCGAGGAGTGAAGTGACGCCTCCGGATCAAACAGGACTGCCCGTAAGGTACTGTGTTTGTGGATCTTGCGGACAATGGGCGTGAACTTTTGTTGTTGTGTTTTATTTGGTAGGCAGCAGTGCAGCATGGAGCTGGGGCGATAGCACTTTCTCTCTACCCCCGCGGAGCTGGCAGGAAAGTTCAGGAAGTTGATGGGAGCCATAGTCTAGCAAGGCCGTAAACGACAATAAATTGATGTTCTCCCCCTCTCTCAACCACCAATTAGGAGGCCAAGGCATGGGCTGACGCCAAAGCCACCGACAAGAAGCACCGGTACAGTCAGAAACCTCGTGCTTTATGCATCGTATGACGGCGGTCTCGGCATCGAAGTAGTATGCTATCCCACCTAGGCAATAGCCGGCATAAATTGGGATCCTATGTCGGGCACTAGGGAGTTATCCTCGCCAAAGATGGAGGTGATTATTGGGGTGCAAACAGCATAGTCGTACGGCGTAAGTGAAATGTTATCCATGGTTTTGAATTCAGGTTTTAGCTGGTGTTTGAGCAGGGCCGACAATCAGAAGAGCCTAGTCCAGGACTCCGGGTGTGCCCTTGAAGCCATCACTAAATTTGCTTCAAACTCGATCACGTGAAGCAGAGTCCCACTGGGTACCAACAGGCAACAACTGATGGTAATATATTGGTTGGTTGTGTCCGGGCAGGTGGGAATGTCCACAGAGAATGGGAATAGAGCACCAGAAGCAAAAGTCACATTGGCCCGGTATTTTTAAGGCCTGTGGGGGGCAGACATTGCAATCATACATGGATACTCGCTCGCCATGCGTAGCCTCATATTCCCGCTCCATGAGAAATCATCCTCAAGATGGTCTAGATTATATAATCACAGTGGGGTGGGAGACGGGCAAGTATCTGCCATGATCTAGTAAGGTTGAATGCAAAGATGATGGAACAAAAAAAATAGACGGTCTAGATTATGCTGCATAGGAGCCTCAGGTCCTGATCACATATTTTGTCTAATTAGGTATCCTAAAAAACGACAGGGAGACATTGAGCAGTTACTGGACATCATGCTGCTCATACTGAAGGGCTTTACTCTACATACTAGAGTGCTTATCTTTAATTAGCCTTTTTTCTTTCTAATTCGAGACACACTCATGATTGGGCAAGCTCAGAGGTGCATTGACCTGAGACCCAAAAATATCGAATCCTGATCTGCAACTCTGAGACACACAATAAGGGTAACTTGCAACCCTGAGGCTCAAATCTGCAGACCTGAATGTATGAGCTGTGCCAGCTTTAGCCACGCCCAATGAATGTTATGAGTCGGGAAATACCTATTTCCCCTACACGGTTCGGACTACTGCACTTCTCATAGATACTGCCCAGAGAATCACCGAGTTTCTCAGGATTCAGGAATCTACGACGTTGGGATATGGAGACCTAACAACTTACGATTTCTCCAGAAAAGAGAGCGGAGTACTAGAAGAGCCCTCACCTAGTGAACACGCACCGGGATACTGGATAGTTTAGATGTTGGGCGCGGGGCTGCGAGCTCCCTTGAGAATCCCCCTGATATCAACTCTGGCCTGTATCACAAGTCTAAGATGATGGTTCGTGCGCAGTGGATGGGCGTTGGATTTCCTGCCAGGTCAAACTCGCTCTCACTGCAGCTACCTGCTAAGCAGGCCACGTCACTCAGCTGACGAGTTGATTCTAAGAACCACTAGCTACAATCAACTATATTGCGTAGTTAAGTTGCGTGCGGGTGTCGATGAGACAGTCTATCACAAGTATCCTGCGACGTGTCCAGCTATGTGAGTTGTCTGGAAGGCGTCTGCAGATATCCATTACGTAGAATCTCTGACCACCGTGATCCAATCGTGCGTCATCTCGTTATCATCGATATGCCCCCAACTCAAACCTGCGCAGTATTTGCTGGCTTGCCAGGAATGAATGGCCACTACATTGATGTCTCTGGTATTACAGGAAGTCCGGCTTGTCAGCTTACGGTGATTAACGTAGGTGGAGTAGTTACTGTACTGACATCAAGTGCCCGTGTTGTCATTCACTAATAGGCGATTCCGACTGCATATGTATAGTGTGCTACGTGCCTTGTAGCGAAGTTTGGCGGGCTAAACTTTCAGGTGCCTCAGCTATCTGAAGCATAGCTTCAGAAGTTCAGATGAACTCCGCTCGAATATCGGTGTTAGGGTAAAGCCTCCAATGGAAGACTTCTCAGTCTCCGTTTGAATAACTGAGGCAATGCGGTGATTCCGAGCTGAGTAGCGATGGTGGTGACCGTAGTAGCTGAAGGCGCGGTTGAGTAAACGTTCCAAGATTTTCACCTCACTCACCAAACAGACACCGAATGGAAAGGGGCTCCTTCATCCGAACACCACAGGTTGGATTAGAACTTACTGTGCATTTAAAATTTAGCGACCAATAGAAGTGGCTACTTTAAGCTCAACGCAAGTTACCTTCTGTGCTTCTGAGAGTTGGCGACCAATTGTTGTGGACCATGGTGGCGGCTCAGGACCACTTTAGGTTCAATCAACCTTTTGTGCTTCTACAAGTTGGCGACCAATCCAATAATACAGTATAAGAAGTCGCGCAGAGCCCCATCTTCGGGAAGCTAGAAGCACATCCCTCCCACATAACCAGTCGACTCCCCGTAATTCATGCTCGCTTCTATAATCAGGACGAACAGCAACCATGTATCTTTCGGCCCGTGGAATTCACTCTTGCGATATTGATAAAACCCCGAGGGGCAGACATCGGCGTTGTCAGAATGTTTTCAAAGCGCTACTCTATGAGAAAGGAAAGTCTTACAGCTCCCTCGGCCCCAAATACTGAAGACAAATCCCACATATTTACCGATCTGTGCTTCCAGCTGTTCGCTACTGATCTTATTCCTTATCCAAACTGCTCTTCCCGCTGATGCCGTGTTGTTACTGAACCACCGCGTCGCTATTATTCGCCGACGAATATTGTCTCGGCGGTATCGACATACCATGGACTAACCTCAGATGTTGGGCGAGGTTATCCTTTCGACTGAAGCTTTTGGCCCTGGCGCAACCTTTCACCTTGCAAAAGAACCGGACCGGTGGGGACGACAGGGCTTGGGATGAAGCGTCTTGATATGCCGCTGAAGCTGCTGGAAGGATCCACCGCAAAGGCGGCACAATTTCTTGGTCGCTAATTTTCTAAACCACGTCGAAATCAGCCTCGGGATCATGATGGTCACTCCGAACTTCCATGTATCAGCTTACAGGACGGCTGCGGGGACAGTGAGGGAGGCGGTCGAATGACCAGCAGTACGTCGAACCCTAGGGGATTGAAACCTGACAATATTTCTATGTAATTATCTCTATCTCAGCTGCCTGGTCTTTGAATTAGAGGTTTCGGCAATATCACAAACTCACCCGGTATTAGTGCGCTGAAATCTTGGATAGGATGCATTGCTTGCCTCCGCTTCGGAAACAATTTTATCGATACGATGAATCGAGGAACCCAATAGCTTTGGCGCTTCCAAATGCCCCTCCGCGAGCGACCTGGCAGTGTCGGTTTGATGCGGCGGTGCAGCCGAAGTACCCGACGCTTCACCGTGAGGGAACAGGCCGCCGCCTTCCATGTCCATGCTCCAGACGTGAGACGACGCGAAATACTCTTCCTCCGAAGCCGCAAGATGGGCCGAAGCTCTCGACGTCTCACCATAAAGGGACTGGCCACAACCTTCCACCTCCGATACCACGCTCCTAGCATGCGCCGATGCGAAAGACTCCTCCGAGACGACAGTGTTTGCTGAAGTACCCGACGCTTCACCGTGAGGGAACAGGCCGCCGCCTTCCATGTCCATGCTCCAGACGTGAGCCGACGCGAAATACTCTTCTTCCGAAGCCGCAAGATGGGCCGAAGCGCTCGACGTCTCACCATAAAGGGACTGGCCACAACCTTCCACCTCCGATACCACGCTCCTAGCATGCGCCGATGCGAAAGACTCCTCCGAGACGACAGTGTTTGCTGAAGTACCCGACGCTTCACCGTGAGGGAACAGGCCGCCGCCGTCCATGTCCATGCTCCAGCCCTGCGAAGTCGTGTGCATGCTCCGTGCGTGTGTTGCCTCGCTTTGTGCTGATACGAAATACTCCTCCCAAGCCACAGGATCTGCTAAAGTACTCGACGCTTCACCGTGAGGAGACTGGCCAAAACCTTCCACCCCCGACGACATGTGCATGCTCCGGGCGTGTGGCATCTGGCTTCGCGCCGATACAAAATACTCTTCCTCGAAGGCCACAAAAGCTGTCGCGATGTTCGACACTTCATCGAGGGGGAATCGGAAATAATCCTTTGTCTTCGGCGCCGACGAACTGCAGGACGTCTGCAGCACGGGTCCACCATGCGAAAGTTGGAATAGCTCGTCCTCCTGCGCCGATGAAAAACTGCCTGCTACATCGCTTATCACAGCATCTGCACGAATGGCGCAGCCGCCTCTCTCTTTTGCCGACATTAAAACTGCGACATTCATAGTCTGGGTGGCAGTGGATCTGAGCTCCGGCGTGTATGTTGCATCCGTGGTTGCTTTCAAGCTCGCTTCGTCACGCTAAGAGTAAAGTTATTAAGGCGTCGCTTCGGAGATTTCTTAATACTCTTACACTGCAATGGAAGTCTTCAGAGCCGACGTTGAGTCGGTAGTCGTGTGGTGCTGTGTTCATTCTGCTCAGCCGTGTCATTCCCGGTTGTGTTTAATTGGCAGTAGTCTGGAAAAGCGGAGTCGGCAGGATATAAGAAGAAAATTGTTGATGTTTCAAGAGATTTTGGAGGTGGGCATGATCGGTATGAAAGATATGTTCTACGGGTTCAAGCGGAGAACCCCACGAATGGTCGGGCCGGGGAGAACTCAAATTTCGTCGTCAATAAAATGCATTACTCTGATCTGTGGACATTGTTGACCTGAATGATGATGCACTCCCTTTCGGAGTCTCACGAGGGGGCGGATTTTTGGTTATAATTAGCTGTGAATACCTGCTTCTGTTCACTTACAGACTGTCCTGTAAACAACGACTGACTGGGCTGCTAATGGCCTCCTCATTGGTCCATGGTTCAGGTCAATGTATGCCAGGTCTTGCTCCTACATAGCCAGCACATACAACTGCAAATTACGCAAGCTAGCATGTCAGCCAGCAGACCAACGCAGAGGGAGCAGGCCGCTTCGTTCATACAATGGCACTCTTCCATTTCCGCCATGGCAACTAAGCTATTCAAACTCTATCTCCAGCGGATAGCGGTCCGATGGAGTGTCTTATTGCTGCTGTTAAACGTGCGTTTGACCGTCACAAGCAAAAGGCGAAGGGCGACGATGGCGATGTTGGAAGCGAGCGTTTTCCGAAGATAGCTCTTACAAAGGTCTCTGTCCACCCAAGCCGTCCGACTGCATATTTTTTGAAACCCGTTTTTTTGGTCCCAGCCTGGGAAGTTACTGAGGCATTAAGAAGCTTTGGCGATCAAGCGGTAGACACATGAGGGATAAGGCTGGTGTCACCACGTTTAGTTGCTGCTCCATATGCTGTCACTCCAAGTGGGTGAGGACCACTCCTTCGCCATCACACCCTCCTTTGGTCTTCGCCAGGCCATTCTACAATTTATCGCCAGGCCATCCTGGGCTTTCTCGCCACCGCTGCTGAGGGAATGCGAACCCCGGAGGCCGCTAAGGAAGTCGCAGCCAGTGAGCGTCGGAGTGGTGGTTGAGGGAACGGGAAGAGAAGCAAACGGAAAGAAGGCGACAGGAGGAGGAGGAGGGGGAGGAGGATGAATGCACTGGGTTGAGGAATCAGGGTCATTCTGGCTGTTCCTCCCCACACTCCCATCTCACCGGTGCAGTCAGACCCCGTCTAGCTACCTGAAGCGAAGCACCACCGAGAGAAAGCGAGCCCAGACTTGTACATGGATGGAGATCCGCAAGGCACTAGACCTCACCTGTTACCTTAATATTAGCAAAAACATTAGCATAATCTCTGGGGCCGGAAGAAAGAATTCTATTCTACTCGTACCTCGCATATTGTCTGCCCGCTTTTGGGAGTCTTTTAACCTGGTACATAGCAGTTCGCCTACCACCGTCGAGGTTGCGCGACTGGCGCGACTGGCGCGACTAATAGCCGATATATTTAGCGTCCACAGCTGGTATGTAACCTCCGATTAAGCGGAATAGAAACCCCTGTGCGCTGCCAACCGAGGCCTCCCCCGGTCATCCCGCACGACTCAGGCTAGTAGCTCGGCGGTCCTACACACTTTCCGGCTGCCAAGGTGAAGTGGCAACGATGATTTTTCATAGGCGAGTTAGCGAATGAGAACTTCGATCGTTGAGAGGGCTGAGGCTATCCTCCTCTATATCCTGATCGTCATTTGAATGAGTGCGTGGTTTCATCCGATATTAATACTGCCGTGAAATAGCCATCAAGGTTTCATCAGCCTACTGCCGCCTCAGCCTTCTGTCGTCTCCCTCCATGTAGTTCCATCCGCACAGCGTCGACGAGAGCGGTATCCCCTCGGCCCTCCCACAACACACCATTTGCAAGACACAGCACATCGCCTTCACTTTCGCGGTCGATAGTACCGATACAGCCGAGCCTGACTCCTGTCCGCCTCGGCGATTTGCCTTGTCGACTCGTCCGCGTCTTCATCAATGTGGTGAATTAACCTGTCATCCTCTCGAGCAATTCTATCGAGTCATCCGCTCATCACATAAAAACCTGAACATCATTATTTCGCGAAACACTTTTTCTATACGCATAAAATCGGCTTGCGAATCTTCTATGTAGCTGTAAGATACACCCTACTGGGGAATTAGAACCCGCCTTGTAAACCCTCGATCCTGCCGAATACACGTTCATGTACGCGCAGAATGGGTTACGCATTCCATATTCTGTTAGATGGAGTTGCCCTGCGGATAAATGGTATTCCGTTGCGGAATGTAGGAATCTCTACAGCGTAATTTGCCCATTCCTGCTAATCACGATACAGACGAGGCCAATCTGTCGCAAGGCACTCGTGATCAGCAAATTTCGCCTGCCTTCTGGAGAGCTTGAGGCCTTGCTGTATGGCAGCCTGGGGAAGTACTCACAGTGAATCTTATCCCGAGTGCACACATGAAAACCCACCAGCAACAGCCCACTGTTTCGGAGTATTAGTTCTCCAGCTCAGCCGCTTTTCTCGGTTGTTGGTTGCCTACTATTGCAGATAGAAACTCCTGGCTGGGCAGCCACACCGCTGCGCTGGGTGCCGGCCGTGGCGCGCCGCGGCACGGGCGGCTCGGATATTTCGTCACGCCGCATCACAATCCTGGAGGTCGTGGGAATGTACTCCGGCGACGATATGTCTGGGATGCCCCGTTCGGTTTCGTGGGTGTTGGGGGTGTTGGGGGTGTTCTCCGGCGGTAGTTCGGCGTTCCACCGCTCAGGGTCCGGCGGGGGTCCGCCAATGCTACTACTACCGCGCCTGGCGACCGGGCGGGGGATTTTGATGAGGCACATTCCAATGATCGTTATGGGATAATGCTTAACATCGGTATCGGATGCTGCCAGGTCGTGTGTTTGGATGAAGTTTCCACAAGACTGCTCGGACCAACGGTGGACTTTATAAGAACTGCAGTACATTAGTGCTCTAAACCTAGCGAATAGGAGGAAACCAGATTTTCTTGAGGAGCTTGAGCTTGAGCTTGAGCTTGAGCTTGAGCTTGAGCTTGTTTAACGTTTACGCTGGGTGCCAACGGGGTTGAAACTTGAAAGGGACTTTTTCCGTGAAGGAAGTTGGAACGCTGAGCTTGAGCTTCAGATTAAACTCTTGCGGGGCGTCCATGGCTCTTGTATTGCAAGGGCATCCACCGATAGCCAAATTGACAGATCGGCTGGTACTGTCGGGATGAGAATGCTCGACACTGGGTGTACAGGACAGAAATACCAATGAGTGGCCCCAGCTCTTCATCCGTTTGTGGTCTTTCTGCTTTCTCCATTCTCTTACGGGCGTGGGTTCGCGTTTGGCAAGTAATTGGATGATTCCTTGAGGGCCTCGCTGTCGTCGGGCGGTGGACCGATGTATACCAGTGAAGTTTAAAACGCGAGTGATGTCGGAGAATGCCCGTCGTCACTGATCCTCGACGCATTCATTCGAACCTGTATCACACTTCAATTCGAGTATACGATCCTTTTTTTTCCTCGTGGTAGGTCCGCGGCGATCTCATCAATGATGGCTCGCAATGTTCATTGAACTGCTTTGGGTTCACTAGTATCGGATACCTAGACTGGGGATATTATCCGTAGAGGGATACCAAGGGAAGAAGAACAGATGAGCGAGCAGTCCAGAGGTGAAGACAGGGCGATGAAAGCTGTCTTCTTGTACAATTCTCATCATTCTAGATGATCGTGCGGAGGGAATGGACAAAAGATAACGAAGCAAGGAAACTCGGAGCGGCATGGAGTGGGGGCATGAAGTTATCGAAAAGCACATTTCTAGTATCAAATGGCTATACTGGAAAAGATTTTTCTTTTTGGGCCCGAGCCTCGACGTCCCGAGTGATTGGACCGAAATTTCCCTCGAGGCTCGAGGAAGAAAAACTCACCAGTTATCGCCGCCCATGACCTTCTCCCCGCAACTGCGCCGGATGCAGAACACGGCACAGACTCGGCCAACAATAAACCCCGCCCAAAAATCTTGGGGGATTGCAGCCTTGTAGGCAGTGCTGCACACGGACCTGAAGACCAGGAATAATATGCAACCCTGAGGAGTCATGAGCGACGCCGGATCGAATCAAACCTAATGGTGTCGATGACTCGAGAAATACTGACCCCATCCACAGTTTCCATCATACATATGAAGCCAGCAACAGGCATTGCCGGGAGGTACCCGTGCATAATCTTTGGACTACACAATGCGATTTTTGAGCGTTACCTTATTTCGATTCGTCTCTTATCTCCCTTTCACAGCCTGGTCAGGTCCGCGAGCCCACACGACCGAAGGTTGAGAGCGCAGGGAACGCCAGACCTGAATGAAATCAAGGCACTGTAGGACGGGGAGGACAAATTCCTATGACGGGGCGGAATGGGGTCAACCTGGACTGCGGTAAGGAAACGACGGCAAGCACTGAGTAAAAAATGGGCCGCCATGAGGGCTCCTCAGGAGGTATACTCGTTGCCTAAAGCTAATCAGTAGACGAATGATCTAATCCGGTGGATTTATGATGAAACCCACTGCCACCGAACAGATCTGCTGCCCATAACAACAAACCGCAAACCTCCTTGCCAGCGGGCGGCCGCCACCTCGTTCATCTGAAAAGTTGACGTTGTAATCTCCTTATTGATGGATGGTCGTCTAAGCCGATTTAGAAAACAAACGCCGTAGGTCTAGGGGTAGGCCCCGAGCTGCTAGGAGGGCAACCACAGGTCTGTGGTCTCCCGCGAAGATCCAGCGGTTCATTGTCTTCAAAATCTCTGAAAACTCACATGAGAGGAGCCCCTGATCGTTTGACATAATGCAACCTCCGGAGATCAATACTACGCATGCTACTACGCATGCGAGATAAATATTGTGCAATAATGTGGTGCGCTGGGCACGAGTCGCCCGACACGGTTTGTAACAGTCTTCACGCAAGCTGTCCTAGCTGGAGTAAACTTGGTAAGACTGACCGCAACAGCCACGATCTCAGAGGGATAATCACCCATGTGTCCCTCGCTGATTTGATGAATTTTTGAATTGGCCTCGGTGGATGTGCTTCTAAGATTAATTGTGCTTTTGGAGTAGTAAAGGCACAGTGAGCTTGATGTGCTGCTGGCAACTTCTCCGCACTCCGACGCAAACTCCGGGACATGAGCAGCAGGCTGAGCCGCAACTTCTCATTCTTATAATGAGTGTTGGTCACTGTCATCTACTCCCGGGGTCCCAATCCTCTTAGCTCACAATCACTCGATCGAAACTTCAATGGAAACGGCCAATGTTTTCCTGTAAGGACTACACTCCGGGACAACAAATCCTCCCCCGACCAGAAGATCGCATCCTCGTCCTCCTCCTCCTCCTCCTCCTCCGGTCCACGGACTCATCGTTGAACAACCTCCCTACTCGCGAACCAAAGGTTCTATCTTATGGACTGTTCTCAAATGTTGGTCGCGATTATCCTTTCGATTGAAACTTTTAGTCCTGGGGCAACCTTTCACCCCGCAGAAGTACTTCTGAGGCTCTGTCGGCAGCGTTTGAGGATGCACTGTCATGATGTGCCGCCTAAGTTGTACGACCGGCTCGTGGCAGTAAGGGCAGCGGGGAACATCCCGTCGGCCAGTGTTCTGCGGGCTCCTGGGGCGCAGTCAGGGTCAACGTACATACAACAAGAGCCATTCCGAATCATGGGTGCAAAACTTACCTTGCTTCTGCGGGGGCAGAGTATTCGACGGCGACGACGTTGGCGTTATGCTCATCAGGGGCAAGCTGATATCTGCACGGCAAACGAGTAAGCTTCCATCCTGAGCTGTCCAATCTTCACGGGCTAGTAACTCACCTGGTATCATGCCTAACTGGATATTGTCCACCGTAGTAGGAGACGTCCACCGCCGCTCCGGGAAAGGGTCCGTGATTGCTCTGGTATCCGGCACCGGACGGCGGCCCCAGCTCATCGTTATACCGAGTATAGTGCTGTCGATGACCCTCGCCGGGACACCTAAGGCTGTCAGTTTTCCTACCGAAATTGCCGGATCGATACGATATAGATACACACCGATAACGAAGCATGCCCAACTCACGTGAGTCCACGGCCCTGTGCTGGCATTCTGGATAGTGAACCACCCCGAAAGCCACGGACCCCATCGAGGTGCCAGGCGCTCTATTCAATGGGACCCAAGCAGAACCATTCTCACCATACTATGGGCTAGGTTAGTATAAGGTGGAGGCAGAGCGGAGCTTGTTTCGATCATCTTACCCCTCCATGTGCAATATGTTCGTGGTTCATTTCGGCGATTATCGTGTTGCCGTCCATCGGACGTCCGCCGTGTCCTTATTAAGTTTTTCTTGATCGGCGATAGTCAATATAAGAGCAGCAGGCGACGGGGTTTTATAAGCGGAATTGTGAGTGGGAAGGCTCGGTAACAGACGAGTGCTCTACTAGATATCGACCGTGGGATTATATACACACGTTAGACCTTTTATTTCCTTATTCTTGCGCCAGTGCGCGTTCTGTTTATGATGCGGGTCATATGTAGCATACCGGACGGATCAGCCGAATTCATAATTCACCAGCTCCACTCGACCTGCATAGTTTTCAGGTTCACGAGGCTTACATAATAGCATGCCGCACCTTTCCCCGATCAATGGATACAGGTGAGGTGGCCTTGGCGTTTCTTGCATCCGGATATCCAGTACAAATGAGCATCTCAGGACATGGACGACTGTGCACAACTGGGGTCTTATTGGTTGTAATCCGTCCAGCATCTCAGTTCGTGCTCAGTAGAAATGTCAGGTCCTCGTAAATAGTATGTGCGAACTCATCAGGGTAGTATGCACCTACTAGTATTCACACGATCACAATTTCTACCAGTTGGATCTCGAGCCTCGAGGCGACGGCGGAAATACTACCTAGACCGTTCTCTATTCGTTCCAGCTTCTAGCGGGTACATATGTACACAGAAAAACTACGGACGCAAAACCTCATTGCCCCTCTAGCTGCTAGTTGTATGATAAGAGTGTTCGGTAGGGGGGTTCTTCTTCTATTCGGTTTTTGCCCGCTACCGATCACTCGGCGAATGGCACGCATTTTTTGCGCCATGCCGACATCGTCCGCGACGCACAGCTGTCGGATCTCGAATGAGAACCTCGCCGCATGATTGGTTAAAGCTCGCTGTGCTGCCTAGGTAGGATCAAGCCAGGCTGCCTGGCTGTGCTACAGGTGCTGTCCTGTCTATTATTCCTCCCACTCAGAACATATGTACGGAGCGCAATCCCCAGGCGGGATATGGAGTTAACTGGATACTTGACCGCAGACGTCGCTCGCCGTCTATCTCACTGTCGTACATGATCGCACTCACTCAGCGCCCACTCAGCGCGGTTCTTTACCCCGGTCCCATACCCTATACGCGCATCGAGTCACTCTGCGCTTTTTGAGTAACATGGATTTGTTGGTTTGCTTTCCTACCTACCGATTCCAAGGCAAGGGGAAATAAATGCATTTATCCTGAAGGCTAAAACAGCAAGCAGGGTGTCTCCCGAGTGGGGATTGTATGTACCGCGCCAAGGTCGGCCCGTCGACGTTGAACGGACTTCTAGTAAGTACAGACCAAAATAGTACTTGCCGACGTACCGTAGGATCATTGGTGGTGATCACCCGTGCCGCCGATCAGGAACCGGGCTTCGCCATCGCCGTCGACCCAACCGAGAAAGGTTATGTACTCGAACGGCTGAGGCTGTCTAGACTCCGTCGGCCCGGCTCCCCCACAACATTCCGTCCTGATGCAACAGGCTCGGATGGATGCGTCGTTGAATCAAACAATTCATTCGAGAGATGGTCTTGGTCCTGCCTCTGCTCGCTGTCCCTCATACCTCTCATGTAAGATAATACGGTATTATATACCCTCGTCGGTAAGCGATGCCCACGGCACCGCCACATTAATTATGCGTACAAAACCAAGTTTTTTGAAGCAGTCGGCTGGGCAACAAGAGTTCGACAGAGAGAAAGAGAATGCTTTTCTATTTTATTGAAGCACTGAAGCTCGCTATGGTGCCGATTTCCCAACTTTTATAACGATTTTTTCGTGGGTTATGCGTTCCATCGGTTGAGAAGTAAAATTTTGGTTGGTATTTCAGTGACGAGTCAATTTAATTTAGTGGAAGGTCAACTTATTTTAGTGACGAGTCAATCCATCTCGATAACAAGTCACTAGGTGTGCGCATAGCGAGTCAGTAACTTTTATGACTCAAGCGCAAATTCCACTCATCTGCTCTGCGCTTGTCACAACGCGCGACTGGAGACAAATTAGCCATTAGACAGGTATTCAATGCAAGCAAATCCTCAGTAAAAATATTTCGATGATAGTATTACAATATCTCGGGGTTCTCTCTTTTCTACCCCACTTTCTGTCATGTTGCATTGTCTTCGTTGCATCGACGAATAAAATGCAGAAATTTTGCTGTGGCTGGTGAGGGTAATGCGTACCGACGAAGGTATATAATACCGACGAGGGCGTATGGTTCCTTTTTAGCTCCAGCGCGGGCATATTATACCTTCGCTCATTCATGTTCACATCCGGTTCACGCGTCACCGCCGTATGTATCGACGGGGAAAGTTTGATTTGGCACATGGCCTGCCAGGCCTGTACGACAAGGACAGAAGACTGTTCATTCCACTTCCACCAATAATAACATCGCAGTGCTCTTGCGTCGAATGGTGGTGGGCGAGTGATGTCACATGATCACTTCATGGACGGCTCCATTTGAAACCACTCTACCTAGCTTCCGTAGGGCGTGAGTGGCGCACCCAAAACTAAATGAAATATAAAACCCCACAGAATACCCAAAATAACCGACGGAAGCACCCAGAACTGAGTACAAAATCAACCCCCATAGAATACCCAGAACCACCGACATGAAAACCCCCACTCGTGGCATCACAACCCAGCCAACATCCTCTCAAGCGTTTGCACGATCCCCATCAATCTGACCCGCATTTTCTCGAGTTCCTCCATCTCCTTGGCAAACGCCCGTCTCAGGTCCCGCCAATGCCGCTGCGGGTCGGCATACATCTTCCCAACCTTCTCCACTCCCAGCATCTCGCCGGAAACTATCTTAACGATTCTGTTCAACTCCGCCATGTCGTCGCTTTCGATCAGCTCCTCGACGGCGGATGTCTGCATCCTGTTGTTTGTAAGGACGCCTAGGGAGAGCGCATTCGCGGCTTCGGCTTCACCGCGGAGCGTCCCAACTGCGACGTAGAAGTCGATGCCAACGGTATCGAGGATCAAGGTCTTGCAAAGCATTCTCGGTACGAAGCGAGACACTGGCAGGGAGGGTTCTTCCATATCGGCTTTGCCTTGCTCCTCCTCATCCTCATCCTCATCCTCATCCTCATCCTCATCCTCATCCTCATCCTCATCCTCATCCTCGGACGAGTGCTCATGCAGCTCTCTCGTGCGTGCGAGTTTGAGCTCCTGCAGTTGCGCATCGCGGATGGCTCTGAGGCTGGGCTTGATGATATTCTCGAAGACAAAAGCGGATTCCTCGCCGCGTGGGCGCTCGAGCGACGCTCGGTACGAATGCAGGAACGGGCGACGTCTGCGCCAAAACGCCTGCAGCTTCCTCACTGCTTTCCTAACCGCTGCATCCTCCCATTTCTCGTCGGAATCTCCGGCCTGGCGTCCCGAAGTTACCGGCTGCGACTTCCTAGACTCGATCAGCGAGGCGAGAGTGGACGTAGGAACTTTGCGAATGATCAGGGGGTTGAAAGCGGCGGGCGGAACTTTCTCTTTGATTGTGACGATGACTAAACTGTCTTTGCCTCCATATCGCGCGAACGACGAATGCAGTGGTTCAAGCATGGAGATCGGTGGACGATTTTGAAAGTCGGCGGCGAAGAGATTGCGATTCCAGAAAAGCTATTGATCTCGTCAACTCCACTAACCTAGCATGATAGTAGTTGCGGAGATCCGCCATACCTTCTGCACTCCCCTGATGACATCGGCCGAGTGTGGGGGTGGAGCCTCCATAGTCGCAAGATGGAAGACTGCAATAGCAAGAAGGTTCCGATTTCGTTCTTGGATTCCTTGCCCAAACGCTTCGGCCTTGATATATCTTCGGGTGCCGTACGAGAAGTAGAACGAATCCTCTAGTTGTAGGCGCTCTATCAATTTGATGAGAGATATGAGCAATTCAACCAGGCATTCTCCATAGATTCCCCGTCCTGGTTGTCCCCGCGTGAGCTGATGCGGATGGGTTATGAGGACGGGCAGGTGAATCTTGATCCATGAAGCCGGGAGAACGCATGCAGACTGGCAGGTCCATAGCATCTGCTTCAATCAGCCATGTCGGTTATAGTCAGTTTTCGAGTGCTGGGCCTACTAGAAAAGCTGCTAGCCGCTCAAACATTCCAATGATAGAGTGGAAGCAGGTAAAGTCATTCACAGAGAGGGTTTCGAGTTTTCCCAGGCCCAAGCTCAAGTTGAGTTTCTATTCAGAATCAGCGATGTGCATGAAGAATGCTATATTTGTGACTTACAGCGCCATGGGCCTCGTTGCGCTTGGCATTAAAGATTGCATCCTTGAGGCTTTGGTATGCGTCGTACACTGCATTCTGATTTATCTGTTGCGGATCCAATTTGACACGCACATCCGACCTATAGCGTATCAGCTTTGTGTATGTCTCAAATCGCTTTGCGACTCTCTCGCCTAATATCAATTATCTCGGTTAGCTCAACCCCGTCCATTAAAGTAACATATTTTCAATAGACTGCACATGTGACATGTTGCCTAATCTCATCGTTGCGTAACATATGTTCTTATGATACATTCTCTGCGAGCGGGGCATCGTCGAGAAGGGACCACATACCGAGACTTTCGCAGAGTTGTCGTTGCTCCAAAATTGAGGATAGGTCATTCCTCAGGTACCACTCCCTATCCTTCCGCAAACGATGAAACAGCAATTCCTCGACGCCAACAAATATTGCCGTATATTCTCTTCCCCCTGATGCGATGTTGGACATTGCGTTTTTTGTCGCGTCGCAATCGTGTTGAATGGCTGATCTAAATATTGTCTCCTGCAATAGAGACTCCAGCCAATAGCGCTCTAAGACTCGTCAGAGTTTCTCAGAACCCCCCCCCCCCCCCCCCCCCCCCAAAAAGAAAAAAAAAAAAAAAAAAAAGTATTAACTGACTGGTTGGAAGATGGTTCTTGCTGAAAAGTGTTAGGACTTCTTCGTTGCCAGTCATCCTGTATTTTTTGGTCCGGAAATATACCATACGGAAGCTGCAAACCAAGGAAGACATCATTTGCAGACCCTTTTAAAGAATCGCATTAGCTCAGCGCATCTGTTAATTTCCATCGAGACCGCGATTCATACCTCGATTCTGGACTTGCATTCCACACTGCTCGGCGGAACATGTCTTTTATAGCAAAGGGCCCCGCTTTCGCAATTTCCTAAGCCAAGTGTGAGCTTTGAAGATTCTGCGACCGACTGTAGAAGAACAAACCTCTCGATATGTGCTTGGTGCAGAGATCCTTGGAGAACGGCTCCCATATATTCCTCGCAACTTGTTCCAGACGTCGGAAGAGTTCCAACATCCGCAGCAGAATTTCATTCTGGATTCTGTTTGAAAGATCCTCCGACTTGTGGAGTGACGGACCCGGCGTGCCTTTTTGAAGGGGGGAATACTGCAAGAGCCATGTCTCCTGCTTATCCGGAATGGGGAAAGCACCCATGACAATCGCGGTGGACAGCGGAAGTTCGTGATTCTCGCCTCGATTTGATCCCCAGATATTGACCGTCGTAATTAAGGCTTGGACAACCCCGCGCAGGTCAGTAAGAGCGAGATCTTCACAGCCTCGCAACAAGTCCAACTCGCGCCAGTTAACAACCATCTGGCAATATCGCGTCAGTAGATGAACATGATGAGATGAAGGATGACCAACTAAGATGGCAAGTATATCCTTTTGAAGGCCGTCGTCCAGGCTGGAGAAGACGCCCCACAAGGTGCTAATACGAAGTTTCTCACGTAAGGAAGCCCATTCCGATAGTGCATTAGTAATAGACCAGGGAAGTTCCGGCAACATATCGTACGGCCGAGATTGTGCCTCCTCGCCGGGTTCTCGGTGCAATAAATTAAGAAACCGTTCGAATTCTGTGAAGCGTAAAGGCTGCATAAGATCCTTCAATTCAATACTTGAATAGTTGTGGAAATGCTTCAACCCCAGTTCCAACGCATCTGCAATTCTGCCGTCTGATATGTGCTCGCGGAATGCCTCTCCGTAATTCTGGGTCTTGACTAGGACTTTGACCAGTTGTTTCCCGAGGCGAAACTTGCGTAAGAATTCCTCCTTTTCTCGATCGGACCCGAGGGAGTCGATAACGAATTCCTGGTGGTCCTCTTTTATCCGACCTTGGGCCAAGAGAATAGTGCAAAGCTTGCTGTACGCAGCCACCTGCGATGGCTCCAGGTGTTCTCGATTGGCTCGGAGATACCGAATGAGTGTGTTGAATAGCTCTCCCTGACGGAGCGCTGCCGCCGCTTCGGCATAGGATCCGAGCGTATCGTAGCACTGAAACGCTTTACGCCATGCTCGGCATTTCTTGTACAGTGAAGCCGCCTTGTCGTGGCGTCCAATTTCAACCCAAACGTCTGCAACACCGATTAGTTTTTTTCAGACCACGGAGGAGCTAGTAAGCGGTAGAACCCCACCTCCTGCTTCCTCGATGTAGCTCATATCTTCAAGACAAAAAGCGGCATTTCCTAACTGTGAAGCCTCTCGGAAAAGCTTTACAGCCTCCCTAAAGAGCTCAAGGAACTTGTTGGTAGCGCCCTCTCCTCGATGAATTCGTCCCTCCTCCATCTTCAGATGTGCTCTGGAGATGGTTTGTCCCCGCTCGTCCTTTGCCCTGCGGAAGCAAAAGCTTGCCTACCGTACCGGCATTAATTAAGGACTCAGCAAATATGTTGGAATTCTATCTACTTTCATACCTCTTTGTATAATCCTCTTTGCAGAAACTGGTAACCTTTCTCGGAAAACTTTTTGGGATCACTCGAAACCGCAGGCTTCATCATCTTCAGCTTTTCCTTCACGTCTGGATCATTTCTCCGCACAACATCCACGAGTGGCTTCGCGCCGTCCCTCGCTAATAACTTGACGATAGGCTCCGCGGCTTCGGGGGAGCTTTCGAGGATCCATAGCTGAATCCGAGGTCTTGTGATTGCAACGTAAAGATGCTGAGAAAGGTCACAGATCAGTATTGACTCTATAGTAAGTCACAACCGGGTCCATACCTTGAGCTCGGAGCAAAGCAGTGCGTTCCTCTCGTTCTCCGCCCGGTTACTGCCGGGAACCAGAATATCCTTCAAGGTTCTCAATCCGGCCTGAGTAGGGCTGGAAGAGAAAAAGTCGAGCAGGAACACGTCGTCAAACTCCATACCCTTGCTGTCAAGAATGCTGAGCACCAGCGCTGTGTCTTCGCCGAGCGTGCGCTCGACTACTTTCTTTATGCTGTCGTCTCGAACGAGGATAACCTGTTCTGCTCCGAAATCCGACACTTTCTCAAACACACCGGCCAGGCCGACAAGTCGCTGCGCAAGCACTTCCGAACCCAAGCCAACGAACATGGTGGGTATGGAACCATCGTATTGGCCCCTTTCTTCTTCCATTCTGTCGACCGTTTGGGGGAAACCTAAAGATATCAGCATTGGCATCACATTATGTCACTCGTGGTAGTCGCGCGCCACAAAAACCATGCGATTGAAAAAAGAAAAAAAAAACCTCAATCCAATGAAACACAGAGAAACAGTGAAGAAGCAAAAGCCCCTGACTACTGTGACGCACCTTTGTACAACAGCTCCATAACGAACGAAGCGAGGGAAATGATTCCCTGGTGAGATCTGAAGTTCTTATTGAGCCGGAACAACTTTGGATGGACGAGACTGTCATTGTTTGTCGCCTCAGCCAGCGGCTTGAACTGATTGTAAAACATAGCCTTGACATCGCTGAAGCGGAACGTCGAGTCCCTCGAGATGCATTGCGCCGAGTCACCCGCGAAGTGGACTCCAGTCGGGTTCTTAGCGAGCTTGAGGAGTAAGGTGATGTCTATGCATCGCTGATCCTGCACCTCGTCAACATAGATCTCCTCGAAGAAGGTTTCCATCGTCCGCTTGAAATCCGGTTCCGCCGTCTGTAGGAACTTGAGCAGCGAGGCCACCCGGTCTATCCCGTCCCGATCCCCGTGTCGGGCTTTCTTGCTTTCGTATCGCAGGTAGATGTCATAGACATCTTCTCGTTCCTCGGGCGAGAATGTAGGTGCCTTCTTGCGGCTGAGGGCAAGGTATTCGTGACGTGAAAGACATCCGAGCTCGCCGTCATTGGATATCGATCCTTTGATCACTCCCAAGATCTCGGCGAAAACCAGCCCAGGCTCATAGTGCCGAGAAAAGCTGGACGGGAACTGTCCCCAGTACTCGGACTTGAAAAGTTTAAAGTCAACGACTTGCGATCTCCGCACATAGTGTCCGGCCACATCGGAAATCTCCGGTTTAGCTTTGTCTTCGCGAAACTTCTGACGATTGGAGAATCTGCGCAAAGGACGAAAGTAAGCAAGGGCATCTCCCGGAAAGGAGCAGAGTGCACGAACTCTACTGTATTCTCACTGGAGGAAAGTATTAGCCCGAGTTCATTGCCGACAGGAGAAAAGACTAGATAGCTTACAGCAATCTCAATAGCTGATCGAATGTGCACACCAAAGGGAAATCATCATCCCCAAGACTACCAATCGTCTTGGAAAACATCACACTCTCCTCGTCCAAGGTAAAATCGTCGGATTGGGCCTGCGTTGTGATCGCCTTGGAGAGCTGTGATTCGACCAGCCGCTTCGTGTATATCTTAAGCTTCTCGACGAGAAGCTTTGAGCGGGTGAGGAGAATCTATGCGTCGTATCCGAATCAGCAATGATGGACACTTTAGAGAAACCGTTCGACTCACCTGCCGAGGTGGGGCTTGCCCGATAATGAGCTTCCGAGCCGTGTAATTCCGTACCAGCTTCTGAACTAGGCAGGTCGTTTTTCCTGTTCCGCTTCGGCCCATGATGAGCGTCCCGGAATCTCTGTGCTTGATGACCTCGATTTCCTCCGGAGATGTATCAAACGGAAATTCGGCGTCCGCACTGTTTGTCAGAAAACTGTCCATGACCGGCTTTGTGAACTCGAAGAATTTGTCTGCCACGGATGTCAGAATCAAAACATCCCAAGCGGATAGTATGGACTGACTGTAGTCTTCGAGTCCTCTCCGGTCATCAATCGAGATCGATGGGTAGGTATCGATTGAAGGCCTTCTCTGCGAGTTGTATAGAATAGGCAATTCTATGGGTATGTAAATGCCGGATGCTTCGTCCAACGTAGGAAACTTCGACAAGATCGGGTCATCTTCGGGCTGTAGAATCCTCGTTCTCCACACCATGACCACATGGTCGATGGCTTTGGAAACCTAAGATTTCGTCAGTTACCCCGTTTGAAGACTTGAGGGTTTAATATCTTACATCCACAGGTTTAACGACCCTCCAAACTAAGATACACCACTTAGCTATTCTATCATCTGGCCGGAGGCAAAAAGTGGGGTTACGAACTCTTGATATGCTGCTTGTATCCGCCGTCCTCGGTTGGCCCGGAACCCACCTGCCAAAGTATTCGAAGCTGCCTTCCAACCTCGGCCTCCAGAAGTGGTGGATCAAGGTATTTCCGCTGAGCGGGGGTCCCTGGGAGATTCGAAAGCTTTCCAGTCTTCCACTCTCCGGAAGCCAATATGCGCAGTCGGGCTTCAAGTACCTCCTTGTGACCTATCCAAAAGTTCATCAGTTCTGCTATGATACCCCCCAGGAATAGAAAGGGGATCACACACCACCGAGCATCTGCTTCTGAATATCTTTAAGTGCTGCCGCAGACAGCAGCACCTTCCATAGCCCAATCATTTCCCCAAACAATGTCTCCTCTTTTGTAGGGTTTTCGAAGCAGAATCCACTGTCAGCACGGGCTCTCATGATCCGCTTATCCTTCTCCACCAATGCTTTCGGATCCTTGGAGAGATCATAACACGGACGGCATGGAAACGTCGGTAGAAGCGCCTGAACGATGGCGGGCATCTCGACGCCGCGCACCTGCTCCAAGAGCACCGCTATGGCGCGCGAGGACCTTGGCTGTTGCAGGTGCAGTCCATCCAGCATCATCGCCACGCGTTCCGGGAGCGGCGGGATTTCGGGCTCGAGGACCGAAGATCTTCTCCTGGCCGCAGAAAACGACCTCTTTTCATCTGCATCAAGCCTCCGGATCACCACCGCGGCGGTAGGAGCTCGAGCGTAATGCGGCTGCGGGGCTTCCTGTATCTCACGTTGATGAGTTTCTAGCGCCGCGATGATTTCCGTCAACGCACGCCACTTCTCGACCTCAGTCGCGATTCCGTGGCAGATGGGGCTTCCGGTGCAGACGGAACACAGGCCAACCAACTTCTGCGCCCAAGCATTGGATATCGACGGCATGGAGTTGACAAAATGCACCGAGAAGAGGCTGCGGATAGCTTCCGCTCCTTCTTGCGCCGACGCAACGCGTTCCAGAAGCCCCGGTTTCTCGGCCAACTTGGTGGCGAGCTCCTTAAGTGCAGCGGGCTGCAACGGTAAGGCATGTTTGAGGGCCTCAACGACCAACTTGTCCATCGTATCCGCGTCTGCAAGATCAAACTCGGGGTACGAAAGCATAGAACAGACCAACTCGAGCACCTCACGTGATATGCTCTGCGAGCCCGTACGACGGCCGAGTTCGGCGTGCATTTTCTCGTTGAACGCGAGGAAGTCCAACAGGTGGCTTGTATAATCGTTGAAATCGGTGAGGAAATCAGTTCGGGCCGACTCGTCGGCCAGGAAAGTGCCTATCCGTGCAGCGTGGGATGAGATTTTAGCATGGAGGCTACGATTGTACCGAATACTGGATAGGCCATTTTGGAGGACGATGTGGAAGCAATCCATAACCGTTGGATGAATAGATTTTTCGTTTGTTTGTCCAAGAGATATCGAAGACGTGAACTTGACTTTGTTTTTGGGGGTTATGACGATCAATCAGAGGGACACCGCAAGAAAACATCAAGAGCGGGGAAGGTTGTAGATCGGTGTGGGGACGGTTCATTCCCATCGTATGCCGCAGCAGCAGCGGACCGCCAGCCCTCTGGTTTGCCAACATGGTTGCCAACAAAAGGGAGGAATGTGCACCTGGGGGGATGCCTCCTTCCCAATTCTTCGCCGGTCAGGCTGCCATCAAGATACCTATGTACAGTACCATCATCACCACATCGGACCGTGGACGTGATCTCTGGTGTCATGCAGGCGGCTATTGCAGCCTGTACGAGGCTGCAGAGCTCGAATGCGTCGAATCAGATCTTTAGCGCCGCGACATCAATGTGCATAGATTGCAATGGACGAATCAGCGGAATGTGCGCCAGACATCAACACACGGAGTCGGTTCAAGGGTTGCGACAAGGGTGCCGAGGAAATGATGTAACAGAGCTCTTGCGAACTTCGCCTTCGGAGGCCCGAACATAAACCGTGATAGCAAACAGCATTCCAGCCACACTTCATTCACAACTCGGATAGGGACCCCTAGTTTGCGTGGTGGATTCCAGCTTTGCAGCTCTACTTCGCGGTTGAATGGGCCCTAATTGCACAACAGAATTCTCAAACATGTGAATCTCCATTGCTCCCACAGCATCGCTCCTGTGATCGGTGGTGACGGGAAGGATGGTTTAAATGGAGTAGATCACAACTCCCTATTACGCCATTTTTCTTTCATCTCAAAATGAGCAGAATGCCACGTTTTGTGGATCGGATTCGAATGTTCATGATTGGCGAACACTTTGAGGTGTTGGGTGAGTCGGTGAAGAATCGTTGGTTCGTGGTTTTGTGGTTTGTGGTGTACCATGTAGGTAGATATGTAAGCCACAAGTGTAGCCAACGGGGGATGGCGGTGATTCATAGTGGTATGATGAGCTCACTCTGTTGCACCGCATAAATTGATTCCAAACACACCCAGCTGTGGAGAGCTGTGTACTGTAAAGCTAGGTATCAGCAGATAATAGATTGTATCAGAATTTGCTTGGCCTCCGAACGGGAGGGACAGGAACTGCAGTGGCTGCGTGTCTCCGACTGCGCAGACGGGACACCGGACGGAACCCATCCCGCTTGTTCGCATGGTCTCAAGTGGTGGCACATGGGATGCTCCCTGACCTTAGCGTACCGGTACTCTGCATGCACCGGAAGTGTGGTGTTTCAGACTGCGCGCTTCGCCGCGGCAGTCGGACTGCGCCTGTGGGAGGGGCGCACCGCCAGTACCCACTTTGGCCGGAACGCCTGGTCCCAATACTGCCTTGCCCTTGACTGAGCTCGTCACTCGTGCTCGGCTGGCTGCTGGTCATGGAGAAAAATTGTGATCCCAAACCCCTAGCCGGTTTGTGCAAGCACCGAGGCATTCCATCTCGGAAAAGGTGAAGATTGCGTCCTCAGTGGTTGTGGCTAGGAGTGATACCGCGAGTTACCAGACTTCAGGCAGCAGCCGTGTCACTAGAAAAAGAAAGCGTCCAGTGGTGGAAAAACGCTCTCAGGCGGTATCCAAGAAGGCAGAAGCTATCATTAATCAAAAACCGGTACGTGGACGCAATGATCGCCAGATACATTGAGAGGTAATCGAGAAGCTCAGCGCTGTACAATCCCCCTACGGAGATGAAACATGCAGGGGATAGGATATCTTCAACCACCGATATGCACGCCGGAGACGGAAAACAGCGGTATCCAATCGTTGCGGTCAGCCACCTCCTCACAAGTACTGACAAGGGAATCACGGCTCACGATGGCTACCAATATGTACTGACAAGAATGTGCGCACTCCTATCCGCTCGCAAAGATGCGGGGTCCCGAGAGGAGGGGCTCGTGGTACCGTGAGGATAAGACGAGGAAGGGCTGGAGGAATGCCAAGGGCCATGGAGCATATGGTCGCACAAGGCAGGATTGCCACTCAGTGCATCCGCCATGCATCACCAACACACAGCCCCCACAGGGTACATGAGTCTTGCAAAACGCCGGACCATACATACGTCGGCCAATCTCAATTCTCCGCAAAACCAGAGTGTGCATACAAGCGAAGGCTCCTCCTACTCCGAGTCTCCGCCGGTCTAACCCCGCTTTTTATTTTGATCCATAGTTATTCGCGAGCTAACCCCAGACTCCTTATCTACCCGGTCACACCGTCATATGACCATGTTATTGTCCTCCCGAGTCCCCAATGCCCATCCCCTCCCCCTTCTCACCGTGGTCAACAACCTTTCGCTGGTCCCGCTGACTCATTCTCATCACGTGACCATCGATCACTCGGTGTCGTCATCGTCTACGGAGAATTCCGGCCTCCTCGTGCAGTTGTGCACCCCTCACAAGTTACAAATCGTCCATAAAAATAGTTGTCTAACGGACCACGGTCGAGAGGGCCGTATGCATCCGAGCGGGTGGGATGGTGGGGTTGCTGTTTTACCGTATGATAGGCTGGGGTGCCGGCGCGGCTGCGAGTTTTCTGGCCTCTGGGACCCATGATAATTGATTCACATCCCCGGGCGTTGTGGTGAATCAAATTCATAGGTTCTCTGAGTTTGTTAACTACAGAAGATACTTCCTTTCTGCCATATGATTGATCCAGGTATGATACTTCTTAACACCTATCTCGCACTACCTTAACCGTACGCGTGGCTTTGCCGTGTAATCCTTGAGCGGAGTGGAATTGAGGGTCCAACGCGAAACAACCCCCCCCCCCCACTTCCATTCCCAAACCTTGCTTCGCGAACTTCCTAAGCCGGCTGCAGTGTCCAGACACTCTCCGGAATTTCGAAATACCCAACGCAATCCCAAATCCAGCACACTCACTCACGCGCAAATCCGAGTGATGCCTCAAGACGCTGCTCCGATCTGCGTCATGCAGGGATCACGAGCTTGGCAGTAGCTAATTAACCAACCAACGTGAGCCGAACGCGACAACGACAACGTCAACGACAACGACACCTCTCCTCTCGAGTTTCCCACCATCACCATCACCACACAACTACACAACCACAATGACAGTCACAACAACACTCCTCATCGCCACCGCGGCCCTCCTATTCACGCACTCGTACATCCCCCGTCCCCCGTCCCCCGTCCCCCGTCCCCCGTCCCCGTCCCCCTCCCTCCCACCTCCGCTTCCCGATCATCATCACTAACCCAAGCAAACTGCAGTGTCTACTCAGCGCACGAGCACTCCACCACGCTCACCACGACCACCACCTCTACGGCCATCCCGACGGACATAGCGCTAGAAACGCTGCTAGCCGCAGTCCTCCTGTGTTTCGGGATTGTCGTACGCTACGCCGGCGAGCTGCGGCCAATACAGTTGCGCGTGTGGGCGGGAAAGCTGGAGCGCGAGCGGGGCGCGGGGACGTGGGCGCAGCTGGATGGCGCGGGTGTTGGAGGTGGGTTCTGGGATGTGAGGAGTTCCAGGAAGGAGAGCGCGGTGGAGAAGTAGTGGGTGCATGGGGATGGAGGGTAGATGGGGGATGGGGGGATATGCATAATGGTTACGGGGAGTACTATAGTCATGGATGGGCACTCGGTTCTCGGTTCATGTTTCACGTTTCGAATGGGTTGCAGCAAATAGGTGCCGAACGGCGATCTGAGCGTATCGCAATTGAGCTTTGGGTGGGCGGGCGGCGATCAATGTTACCGCTATCATTCGTATTACTTCCACGCCTCTGTACAGAGAGAAAGAGAGAGGGCGTTACCAACATCAACGCTTGCCGCCCCTCATGTGAAAGTTGAATGAAACGTCCAGCGCATGCGTCCGCTAGGTACGGGGACACGCCCGACGTCGCCCATCGTCGCCCATCGTCGCCCGACGTCGCAATCTTTCGCAATCTTTCGCAATCTTTCGCAATCGTTCGTAGCCCTGAAGACGGTCCGATTCCAAGCCCCGGCGGCCCGTTTCGGCGGCCCGCGTAGCAAACAGGACCGTCGAGCCCCCATTGCGATTGAACTCCACCTACTACACCACACCATCCACACTTCAAAGCAGCGGGGGCGGGCGGCGGACTCCATCCTTTCATCCCCGCATCCCCAATCCCCGACCGCCGCCCATCCCCACCTTCCACACCACCAACCAAGCAACCAGCCAGCAAGAATGTCGCGGCCATACTCGGGGCGGATGCCGGGAAGCTTCGACGACGCGGCCTCAGCTTCCTCAATTTCCTCCGCCGGCTCTGCCGGCTCTTCGCCGATCTCCGGCCACCCCGAGCACCCTGAGCACCCCGACCACCCCGACCACCCCGACCACCACGACGACCACGACGACCACGCGGCAAGAACGCCGCGGCCGTACCGGTACTCGAGGCGGATACCCGGAAGCTTCGACCATGCAGACTCGATTTCCTCGATTTCCTTGATTTCCTTGATTTCCTCGATTTCCTCCGGCGACAGGGACGGCGACGGCGACGAGGACGGCGACGGGTATGGCTGGGCGCTCGTCTCCCGCACCGTTGTGTACCGCATATTCGCCCTGCGCCGCCGGGACGCTGCAGTGACCGCAGACACGGCGGATGGAGGTACGCACCCCCCCCCCCCCCCACCCCCCGCCTCTCTAGCTGAGAGCTGACAAGAACCAGCCACCCAGCTGCACCCGCACTTTTCGCCATCGCTAGAGCTAGCGACAACCACCGACGGCGACGTCTCCTCGCCCTCGCAGCAGCTCTCCCTAACCCGCGCCCTCTCTGATGAGCTGGACGAGTCGCTCCCACTCTCCGTCTCCATTTCGGAGCAGGAATTCGATCAATCACTTCAATTGGAAGATCCACGAGCGGAAGACTTGGACGAGGCTCGGAGTGAGTCGAGCGGAGGGACCGGAGATGGCGGAGATAGCGTGATCGCAGCTAGCGGTAGCGTGTCCAGCTGGAGACGGAGTAGTTTCGACGCTGAAGCTCCAAGATTGAGCTGGCGACGGAGGACGGGAAGGTGGATGCTCGGGTTTTTCTAGTTAGTGGGGGTGATGAACTGTGAATGAAACGAAATCGCGGAGGGGGATCTAGGGTCATAGTTTAGGTGGGAGACGTCAACATGGTAGACTAGTTTTGTGTTGGGGTGAACCACTACAGTACCTTACTTGAGATTCGGATGTTGGAAAGATGGCGGTGCGATTGCCTAGAACTAGGAGATCGTGAGGGTGTAGTTACAAGGCTTCACGTTGTTTCGCGATTCGGTTTCATAGAGCCCAGCACACGACCACAGTACGTAAGTAGGGAGAAAAAAGGTCACCCGATTCTAACTTTTTCCCAAATTTCCCCCTTCAAGCCGCGATCATTATTTTGCGCCGTTCAAGAAGCCCCAACCAATCCCAAATCATGTACCTCATTCGCTACCCGCGGACAGTTTACAACTTCTGCATTGCGGCGATATCGGTGGACTGGACGTGGTCCTCGTCCTCCTCGATCTGCTGCTGCAGCTCGTCGAGAGAGATCTTCTCGTCCTCGACGACAAGGTTGATCTGCAGCTTCTTGATACCGTAACCGACGGCGACCAGAGTGTGGGCTCCCCAAACGAGACCGTCTACGTGGTATTAGTAGTGCGCGGGGACAATGTGGAGAGGATGTGGCAACGAACCCTTCTCGATGGCCTTGACGTTGGCAACCAGCTCGTCCATGTTTGTCTCGTCATCCCACGGCTTGACATCGAGCGTGACGACCGACTTGGCAACTATCCATTCATCAGCGTCTGCACAACTATGCATCCTCTTTTGGGTCGCGGCAACACACTAGTCTTGGGCTTCAGCGCCTTCTTGGCCCTGTACTCCTCCAACCGCTTAGCGGCCAGCGCCTCCTTCTCCTTGTCCTCATCCTCATCGTCAGAGCCGAACAGGTCGACCTCATCATCGTCATCTTCCTCCTCGACCTTCTCGGGGGCGGCGGCAGGGTTGACGGTGTTCTCGACGACCTCGGGTCCGTACTGGGAGATGTCGGTAGACTGCTCTCCGGGGAGCGTCTCGAAGTCGGTCTCGTACGAGTGGATGTTCTTGTACCAGCGCGCGGCGTTGGGGTACTTGGCCGAGTCGGGGGCGCTGGAGATAGCCTTGTAGATGGTCACATCTCCCTGGGAAGGGGTGTATCTGGGAGGGAATGTCAGTCTTCACTGTTTCCGGAGTTCTTGCATGCAGAGGATGATTGATAAAGTAGCAAGGAAATGCAGGATCAGAGGTGCAATGAAGCTATTGGGTTGTAGTCAAACAGCGGGGTCTTAAGCCGCCTCTTAAACACGGACCAATTTTATCTCATCATTCAAACATTTTCGGGATTGGGGGGAGGGGGGTATGTGATCGAGGTAGCGATGACAGAGGTGGGCCATCGCATCCAGGCCAGGGAGAATACACGCAGAACGTGCGCCGGATATCGGTGAAGCAAAAAACAGAGTAGAAAGTGGCTGCGACTCACCCAACGACGTAGCTCCTGGTGGTCAACCAGCTGTTAAGGGCTGCATAACGAGGACCCGTCAGTCATAACCATCCTCGGACCCCATCCCGCCTGCGCATCGGGGAAGCCTACCAGAGAGGCCAGCCTCGGCAGCGAGATCAGTGAAACCCATTTTGATGATGTAGAGTGGTGGTAATCGGTTGAAGGAGTTGTGTGTTGTGGAGGGAGTAGTGGAAGATGACTTTTTGGGCGGTGGAAGTATGGAAGAGGAGGATTTTCTTTGGGCGAGGGCGGGGTAAGTTGGATACGAAGGGCAGTCGTTGGAAAAGGGCGGCGCTAACGGGATACACCACCAGTTGCTGCACCCGCCGCGAGCCTCATCTCAACGCTGGGAGAAAAAAAAAGAAGCATGGTGCGTGCGAGCAGGCAGCTGTTGATAGATCGATTTTGAATTTTCGCCGTGTTGGAACGAGCCGATCGGCTCTATTTATCAAGTCGGGCCGCTGTGGGAGGCTGGGTATTTGCACGGATGCTCACTCGGAAACGTAGCGACACTGGAACTCAACATGTTTGATACTTTCTTGATTTAGAGATTGAGTGAAGCAGAGCAGTGTGCTGCCGGTGACGATGTGTGCCTCCGTAGAATCCACCCCGAACTCACGATGTTCAACTGCATCTCGACGAAAGCGTTCGCAACCTGCGGGATTGCACAGATTTCGCCGCTCGCACGTGACTAGGGTAGCGGCGCAGCGTGGTCGGCGAAAAATTTTGCCCCAGCCCCCGCTAGTTAGCTAGCAGCAGAGCCTCGTAATTTTTAGCCGCACCAAGTATAAAATGCCCTCTTCCCCCACTCCCCTCTCTTCTCCTTACATCAGTAGGTAGTTTTACAACTATTTATTAGGATCTCCACTCCGGTGGCTTGCTGAGTTCTGTCTTTATCTTCGTGGACAGAGTTCCGTTCCCGGGTCCTTAGAAGGAACCTCCTTTGTCATGCTTAACGGTGTGGTCGAGGCGCATTGCTCTCCCGATCGCTCGTGTCTCGTGAGAGACATGAGCATGGGGGGTAGGTGGCACATCTTCTACTTCTTTTCGTTGAATACCTGGACGCTGTCGAGGTTTCGAGGACGAGTTTGTTTGCTTGGATATGACTATTGAAAGCATAGTCATGGGCGTGGAGGATACGAATCTTCACTCGCTCATCTGAAGTTTTTCGCTCCGGTCTCATCTCGCTATCTACAGCTGCTGAACCTTCAAATTGACTAGCTATGGGTGCAGCGACATGATGACCCTCTCTCTCTCGCAGCGGAGCATCATAGGCGTAGGCACTGCGAAGAAGAGATCAGCGATGCTTCTCCACTACTATCCTAACATTCCGAGTCACTCCTCAGTGCTCTCGAATCCATTGCTTCCAGTATCCAGCGATCCCACTACCTAGGTACCCATTTTCCTAGAGTCCTAGAGTCCCAGGCAAAACCGCCCACTCTCCCATGGTCGCACCAATTACAGCACCATTCTAAAACGAACGACGAATTCATGTCTCCCGAGTCCCGCCCCGATCACGATGGGGAATGTTTCTACGAATTCACGGGTATATAGGGTATATACGGTCTTCAAGCGCGGTCGACTACTCGTACACTCTCAGAGCTAAGACATGTGCTTCGTGGACAGCTGGTAGGGGAAGTGCTGTTCAATACCGAATGGCAAGCAACCGCTCATGCGTGATCGAAACATGGTATTCGAACGGGAGCACATCTTCATTCTTCACAAAGGAATTACAGCTTCAAACAGAGCAAGCTTGCACCTGAACAGCAGCAGAATGTAAACGATACTAATCAATCAACAACCGCAGCATTCTAAGTACTAAACAAGCAACATCCGTAGCATCTGGCTACATCATTACCGTCCCACCCACCCACCCCCCTTCATGCATCGCTTTACTCCAGACTACTCAAATCGAGCGGAACACTGCTCCCCCTACCACTCCTATACGCCTTATTGCATCCAGTAAACGGCCTCGGTTCAGGAAAGCTCGCTTCGGGCTGAAAGCGCCACCTGCTATCGTCGACGACGATCTTGCGAGCGCCGGAGGCGACCGCGGGGCTGAGGGAGTAATTTCCGTAGGCAGCCGACGGCGGGGGAGGTGGTGGTGGAGGCGGAGCCGGCGCGGAAGGCGGCGGTGGCGGAGGGGGCGGGGCGTTGCGGTTGGGCCCCGAGGGTGGAGGCGGCGGCGGCGGCGGCGTGTGCGAGAGCGAGACGGAGCGCTTGCTCAGCGCGGATTGCAGGAGGGATATGCCGTTGCTGTTGCCGCCGTTTGTGGGCGGTGGGGGTGGAGGGGTGGCGCGTGGTGGTGGGGGCGCGGGCGGTGTGGGTGAGGGGGACTTGCGGCTTGGTGGGGGTGGCGGGCGGATGTGCGATGGTGGTGGGGGAGGCGCGCGTGGTGGGACCGGCGCGGTGGAGTGCGGACGACCAGGGGGCGGGGCGGGCGTTTTGCGCGAGTTGACGTTGGGCGCGGAGGGAGACGCGCGGAGGGTGGGGATTGTCGGGGCTCGTGGGGGTGATTCCGTGTCGGACATATAGGAGGAATCTCGGTTCGCTGTATGAGTAGGTTAGCTATAGCTCTAGTAAAGGGTCCTCATAGTGGGAGAGAGGAATGTAGTACCTCCAGTATTCACGCCGCCTCTCGTACTCCTCAGTCGTGGCATCCCGCCCGCAAATAATCCACCCAGCTGTGCAGCCGGGGCCAGCCCTCCTCCTCCTCCTCCCCCAGTAGTCTCACTATTACTCCTCCCACGGTTCACGGATGCTCCGGCACTATCACTCCTCGCTCTCATCGCCGCAGCGGCCGCACCTGGAATCGGCGGAGCACCCGGAATAGCCGGCGGCTTTCCCATCTGCACAACGCCTCCTCCTCCTCCGCCGCCCGAGATCTTCGCATCGATTATCGGGGCGCTGCGATCGTTCGTTTGCGCCTTCTTCAGCCGGATCCCCTTCGTGATGTCGCCGTTGAGCGCTCCCTGGACCTGTCCGTTAGTATTGTCGGAGGGCTCTGGTAGCACTGGGGCGGTCGACACATACTCTTGAAGGGGCAGCCGCTTTGCCTCCTCCGAAGCCGCCGGGAGGTGGTGGTGGGGGTGGGGGCGGTGGTGGTGGCGGTGGTGGTGGCATCGTTCGTGGGGTGTTGACAGTGAGGATGTGAAAGATATGTGTTGCTGTTGCTGTTGCTGTTGTTGTTGTGGTTGACGGTAGAGTAGCTGTCGATGGAGCTGAGGTTGGTGGTCGGTTTACGTTGCGTCGACCTGTCTTAAACGTTTGTAGTACCCAGTTCCCAACCGCGTCATCCCTGTGGCACCGCAGCAACACCGCCACAACACCTCACCTCCTTCCCCCCACCACCACTCTCAGCACCACCACCCCACCAGTCGCGATGTCGTCGCTCGGTCCCTTCGTCGGCAGTATTCCACCCGCTTCCACCCTCTCCGCCTTCTGCATAACTAACCGTCCCCAGAAACAGTAACAATCATCACCTCCGACGGCCGCACGCTCACGGGGCAGCTCCTGGGCCACGACCAGACCACGAACCTGATCCTATCGTCGACGGTCGAGCGGATCTTTGCGAGCCCGGACTCGGAGGATGCGAGTCAGGAGGTGGAGCACGGGCTGTACCTGATACGCGGCGACAACGTCGCGGTGTGCGGCCTTGTCGACGAGGAGGTGGAAATGGGAATCGACTGGACCAAGGTTCGGGCCAATCCGTTGGGCGGCATGAAGCATTCGTAGGGGAGCGGAGGGAGCGGAGGGACGAGAATGAACACGGGACGATGGCGATTTTGATAGTTTGATGATTGATGGCGATGTTTGGCTGCTCTTTTCCGATGCTTTTGCTCATTACTACGGCGTTGAGGAGGGAGACGGTTCGTGTATATACTCTATTTCACTTCACTTCGATTCACTGCGATCTGGTTCTTGCACGTATGTGGGGAGGAACGTGTCGTGCGAATGATTCTGCGCTCACGACCATTCCGCGTTCCATTCCATCGATATCCAGCACTACAAGTCCACCGCGGTCCGCAAGGCTTCCACGCTTTGCCCCTAGCGGGCTTGGTATATCCCACTGGCCTTCCTTTCGCTTTCTTGCCATCCCACGACACCGGAAAACCAGCAGTGAATCGAGTCACTCACACTCGTCCGCTTCCCTCATCATTCTAATCCTCAGTCTCCCTAGAATAGACATCACGGCCAATGGAACAACTCACGAGTCGCAAAGCAACGAGCAGGTAGCATGCCTTACCGAGTATCAAGTTTACCATCAAGTCCCGTAGGCAGTAGGCAGTACCTAGTTCGAGTACAGGTACAGGTACAATTCTCAAACGCGATACAGCTCCTTTTAAGCCATTTTCTTTCTCTAGCCATCCCATCCCATCCCATCCCATCCCAATTAACCCTTTAAAAAAACAAAAAAGTAGACTCGACAGAAGGAAGGAAGGAAACAATAAATCTTTAAAGTACATTGAAGTTTCATCTTTCAATTTCGCACTACAAGCCGCATGCCCATGCCCCTTCGTATGATATGCCACAAGTCCCCAAAGCCCGGACTGGACAGGACAGAGTCTGGTCTTGATGGGCGGGGGATGAGATGTGCATCCGGGCAATTACACGTCAGAGTATGTAGGTAGGTAGAATCAACAGCACGATTCCTTTTTTTGTTCAAGTCCGCCCAATATGAAAAATGAAGCGAAAACCCACGAAGAGGTCGAAGTCGAAGTCAAGGAAAAAGAAACCTAGGAAATAACCGCTAAAAAGAGCACCATCATCCCCATCGTCGCTCATCTCATCTCCCCTTCTACCGCCGTCGTCTCATGACCAACTTCTAGTAATCTGAGCTCTCCGGGTGCACCTCCCAGTTGTCGATGTTATCGACCTCGGCCCAGTCGGATCCCGACGTCGTGCTGCCACGAGTCTCCTTCTTGGGGGCCTTGACCTGCTTAGTAGCCACAGGGGGAGCCAGGGTGGCCCTCGGCTCAGGGGCGGGGGTGGGCGTCTTCGCCTTTGGAAGGGTGATCGTCTCGTCGGCCGAGTCGTCGGATTTCCTCATGCTGCGAGTCGACTTCTTGCTCTTGACCTCGTTCCACTCCGGCTCGGGGACCATGGCGTTGGGAGGGATGGACTCCCAGGAGTCGCCGAGGGTGGTGGAGCGCTGGATGGGCTCGGAGTCGGAGTCGCCGGGGGTGAAGGTGTCGAGGAGCGCGCTGGAGGAAGAAGCGGTCGAGGTGGCGGCGGGGACGGGGGTAGTAGCGCGGGGGGGCTTCTTGCTTCCGACCTGAGTCCAGGCGGAGGAAGCAGCGGCAGCGGCGGCGGAGACGGGAGCGGGGGAGGAGACAGCAGGACGAGCGGCCTCAGCAACGCGTTGGGCCTTACGGTGCTGTTCGAGGCGGGCGTGCTGTTCGGCGCGTTCCTGGGCGCGTGCAGCCTTCTCCTTCTCCTTCTTCTTTGCGTTCTTGGCAGCGTGGACTCCGGAGTCGTTGACGGGGGCGGACTTCTTCTTCTGGGTACGGGGAGGCTGGACGGGGGCACCGATGCGGAGGACTCCTGGGCCGCTGGTAGAGGGTTCGAGCATATCGGAGGGGTCGTTGGACTTGGAGTACTCCTCATCGATGTCGCCGTCGGCACCGGTGGAAGAGGTCTGGCTGCCTGCGTAGCGTCCAGCTCCTCCGAGCTTCAAGCGGCGAGCAACGTCCTTCAGATCGACCTCCTCGGCAACATCGTCGTCATCGTCGTCGTCATCGCTCTTGACCTCGACCTTCTTCTCCTTGACGACGGAGTTGCTCAGCGACGCGGCCGCCGATGATGACGACTTCTTGACCTTCTTCTTGGCCTTCTTCTTGACCTCGCCGGCCGACTCCACCCCACCACCACCGCTGCTCGCCACTTTTGCTTTTGCCTTCTCAGGCACAGCCTTCACCTTCTCCGGTAACACCTCCGCAACCTTCTTCGCGATCTTCTGGGCCTGGGGAGTCTTCCCACGCTGCTGAACGAACCAAATCGCTCCCACGACGGAGATAAACAGCGCCCACGAAATAAGGGAGTTCATCGCCATGATGAATCTAGACTTCTTTTACATCGCGTCACGTCAGCTCAGATCTCGAATGCAGCGGAAGCCGGAAAGGAAGAAGTGGAAATACCTCGAGCTTCGATCAGTCCCTTAAGGATTCAGTTTGAATGCTTGGGTAACACGCAGCCGGTCCGTTGGGATGTGATGTGGTGATGATGCAAGTGTGCGTGCGTGTGTGGGTGGCAGAAAGGGGATGCGACGAGATCAGATGCAATGAAGAATCCAATCGTAGTCGTTGCGGCGGTGGAGGGTGTTGTGGGAATGAAAGTGATGATGTATGTGTGTGTGTGAGGGATGTGAGAAGAAGTAGAATAGAAGGATGGGAGAAGACAGCGGCAAGATAGATAGAGTAGGGTAGCTTCCCTTCCGAGTACCGTGTCTTTTTCTCTTTCTGTCCTCCGGAGAAGGTGTGAGAAGGAGAAGCAGGAGAGCTCGTGGCGGATCCCTGTCGCAGGCGTGATCCAACTGCAGCGACGAGGAGGCGGGAATTTAATTGGCTGGGAAGTGCTGAGGACACGCAACAGCAAAAGCAGAAGCAACAGGTAAGTTGAGTTATAACGGTGCGGGAGGCGGGAGTCTCCACTGTATCTGGATTCTATGTAAAGAAGGAGCAAAAGCAAAAGCAAAGGATGCTTGAAGTTTACATATGATTACCTTCTCGATCTCTCATCTCCTCATTCATCCCCACATTTTTGCCTCCGCAAATCCATCGAGCACGAGTCGGTCGGCCGTGTTGCACTGCAGAAACCAGATGCTCTGCTCCCGAGTCTCACTCGTGATTCCCCATCATCGTCGACCAACCCCGTGCCCGTGCAGAGTCCATACAGATCTTGCTTGCGTGTCCCCAACCGGCTATCCATGCAGTCACGCGAGTCGGGTGGAGTGGAGTTTTTCGGACAGACCTTATTGCTTGAGTTTGTACAGAGAGTTCCACCAGTGCCCGACTGATCATCTTCGTCCCCGCTTTTGCAACTGTGATGTCTACCTATACTTGTCTCGTTTCATCGAGCGTTTTGAGGAGCAGACAACTGGTCAGTGCTCAGTGCCGGAAAGCTCGTTGCGTGAAACAAGCTACATGTCGACACCGTTCCAGCAGGGTGCGCCGGGATATCTACAGGCATCATTCACGCCAGATCACCCCCCGTGCACTCGGACCGGTCTCCGGACGGAGAAACTCTCTCCGGCATCTCTCTCTCTCTCTTCAACTTTGTGATAGGTAACTCAACGCTTCAATTCACCGCTACATATCGCTATCATTCCCCAACCCACCAATGACAATGAAGAAAAAGAAAAGGGAAAAAAAAACAGGGGGCACGCATGGCGAAAAAGAGGAAATCTTTCAACACAAAACGTTGAAAGAAATGGATGATGCAAGATGTAAAAAGACATGAACGTGGTTGGTATCAAACGTGTAAGTGTAAGGTCGACAAAGATCGATCACTGCTGTTGCTGCTGCGGGCGGGAGCTGGAGCTATCCTTGAACAGGCCCTGCTCCTCGAAGTTCTCGATGAGAGCGCGTAGAGGCTCGAGGTCGCCGGGAGCAAGGAGGTTGAAAGTCTATAATTTCACTGTCAGCATGGTACCGATAGCTGTGGACTCATGTGGTACGGACCCGCGAGAAGTGAATAAAATGGACGAATAAGCTGTTGAAGTGGGCCTCGAGGCTCATGTGCAGGATCTTGTCGAAGTGGGTGTGGTAGATGTGTGCAAACACGCGGAACATCTGCTTGTAGATGCCCTTACACGTCTGTTCGAAGACCTGCGGGAAGCCGCCCTCCTTTCCGACCCAGTTCTCGCCGGACTGGTTGCCCGTAAGACTCCTGGAGGCGCCGGGCATCATCGCGGATGGGGTGGCGGCGGTCGCCGTGGTGGTTCCACTGGCCTTGGTGGGGAACAGAGTCTCGTCGTTGATGCGGTTCGAGATCCACTGCAGCACATACTCAATGTATGTGGGGGCCGGAAGGCGCATGGGCTTCTTGTTCGCGTCCAGCCAGGTGTAATCGAGACTGCTCAGAAAGTGTTAGTGCAGAACTCCAGGTATCGCATCGTGTCGCGCGATGCAACTTGCACATCCAGAAACCTACCCAGGGCCTGCCGACATGGACGGGCAATTCCTAGGAGTACAAAACTCCTGGATCACACCGTAGAAGCGGTTAAGCATGTCGAAAAACTCAAACACTGTCCCGCAGTCAGCGGCGCCGTATCCCAATTCCAAGCAATCCTACATACCATTGAGTGCCAGCCATTCACCCTGATCCACGTACTTCGGCAGAACAACGATGGTCGAGAAGCTACCCTTGACCAACTGGCTGGTGACGAACGGCTTGCAGAGGAAGAGCGGCTTCGCTGCGACGCGGGCACCAGTAGGTGAGTTCGGCATCAGACCACCTGCCGGGGAGGCTCCGCCGCCGGGCGAGCTTCCTGCACCGCCATTGAATCCGTTGCCACCACTACCACCACTTCCATTGCCGCCAGTCGGGGATTGCTGCGAGGGCGAGGACGGTTGCTTGCCGGGCCGCCGGAACCGACTGAACATTGCGTTAATGGAGTTCATGGTTTAATCTAGGAGTGGGAAAGGCGAGGAGAAAGGGGTGTGGAGGGGGGGTGGAGCAAGTTGCGAGCGAGCACGGGCGGCCGAGCTGTTGTTACAACTGTCTCGTCTCTTTGCGAAGGTGTGACGAAAGGAGTGGGAAAGGGGAGTGGGTGTTGCCGAGATGGGGAACTCACCCAAACAGATGTGAGGCCATTCGATTTTCTTTTCCTTTTGTCTCGACTCAAGTTAGGATAGTAGCTCGCCGCTGCGTGCACTTAGTGAGCGACACGGGAACTCGAGCCGTGAGCAACCGTTCCGGGAAAACGCAAGGATGGCTTTGGTTGCTACGAAGCTTGCGAGGATGTGGATCCGTAGAGGTAGAGCAACACCGCAAAGGATCGATCGTTTCGTTTTGGTGAGGGAGGTGTTGAGATGGTATGGAGAGAGGTAAGTTGGAGCGAGTAGAGTAGAAGTCAAAGTTGAAAGTTGATCCAGGAGGGCAGCAGCAGCAAGGGATCCGATAAATCAGGCTAATTGAGTTATGGGGACGCACGCCCTTGGACAGTCGAAGAAGGGCGGCTCAAGTGAGGTGCCAAGCTTTGGTGAACCGGGCTTTGCCCGATGCCTGTTTCGGACACGGGGCTTTCCGTCGCACAACTACCGTTGCATTCGGAACTTTGAGTTTTCGGTCGAGAAGAAGACAGAGGGCACGGTGGTGGCATTTTGGAAAGAAAAATGGCATTCCACGGAAGCGGGTCGGAAGGCTACGTACAGATGTCCGATTCGCCAGGAGACTGGTTGCCGGAAGTTGTGTCTCCGCCTCTGGCCTGGTCGTTTATACATCTACACTGCAGTAAGCCGATATACGGCTTCGATACGAAGCGGATATGCTTGACGAGAACGGTGTGCAACCTCAATGAAATGGTCCATGATCGTAGGTTCATGGGATTCGATGAAGCATTTGCACTGTGCAGTGAGTGCTAGCGCAGTGCGAACGCGGACACCGTTCCAAACATCAAAGTCGTCTTTCTCTTTCTGGTAGGCAAACACAGCACGAGCTACAATAGGTACTAGAACGCCCGATAGGTAGACAGCATCGTGACAGGTCCGCGTGCAGAACTCGGCACTTCGGCATCAACCGCACGTAGGTAGAGGAGAATTCGAATTCAATTCACATTCCCGAAAGGACTGTCCACGACTTCAATACAGGCACGAAAAGAATTCGCATCCAGAAAATGAAACCAACCTATCCATCGATACAGAACCAAAGACCAAAAGAAAAACACGACGCCAGATAAATAAATAAAAACCCCCTCCCCTCCGACTAGACAATATTTACAGCCGTACCAACTCCTGACGTTCCCAGTATTTACTCTCCAACTCTTCCTTCGCTCCGCGGAAACACAGCACTTTAGTAAATAAATGGCCCCCCCAGCTTCGTACCGTGCTATTCCCGATACATACCGCACCGATCCGTTAAATCACAAGCGATCATTCGATTCACCATCCCGCACCCGCGTTGGATCGCCCTCTTATTCTCCTCCCCACGGCCCACCGTCCTGCATTCCATCGAGTCTCCCGGTAGCTCTACCAACTCGTTGTCGCCGCATTCGACAGCCCATAACCATCGGGCACCGGATGCGACATTGACGCCCAATGGTGGCCCTCATATTTATTCCCGAGGCTCTGCGGCCGACTATTCCTCCCAAACCGTTTCCAATACGGCACCGAAGTATACCACGAATCGACATCCTGCGATGGCGAAACCGGTGCGCTTCCGCGGTAGCCTTCATAGGGCGGAGGCGGCGTAGCACCAGAGCCGCGACTGCTCTTCCGCGGCATCGACACGCCGTAGTCTTTAAGCATGAACATGAGCTGCTGTCGGACGCCGGGGGAGAGCGTGTTCTGGAGGTAGTGGACGACCTCTCTGCCGGCGTAATTCGTCGCATGTACGTCAGCGCCCGCTTCGAGGAGCAGGCGAACGGACTCGACGGCCACGGCGCCGGCCTCGACAGCGAGCTGCAGCACCGTGGCGCGGAACGCCTTATCCTTCGCCTCGGTGTCGGCGCCGCGCTCGAGCAGCAGCCCGACGACGCGGTGCTTCCCGAGGCGGGCGGCCGCCGCTAGCGGCGAGAAGCCGAAGTGGTTGCGCCGCTCAAAGTCCGCGCCGTTATCGACCAACCATCGTACGATGTCCGTGTGCCCCAGCGCCGCGGCGAGGGTCAGCGGCGTCTCGCCGTTGCGGTCGATCGAGGCGTGGTTTACGTCCCGTCCGTAGTCGTGCACGAGCTGCTGTACCAGCGCGAGGTTTTCTTGGTCGATGGCTTCGAGAAGGTCCTGCCGGCTGTGTGTGAAGCTGTAGAGCTTCGCGGTGAGGGTGGGTTTCTTGTTGGAGGGGATGGAGGTCCGCCCGGAAAAGGAGGGCCGTTTGGTGCTCGGGCTGGCCTGGAGGGTTTGCGCTCGCTCGGGGTAGGGCGGGGGTGTGGCGGGGGGCTCCCAGTGCGAGCCTGCTGGTGCCGAGTCGGCGCGCGGGGACAGCGGTGGGGTGATCGTGTGCGGCACCGTCATCTTCGAGGAGTCGATCTTGTATTTCCCAAGTTCCTGTTCGATGCGGTGCAAGGAATACCTTTCACCCTTTCCGTCAGAAAATGGACAGAACAACGAGGTGGGCAGACAGGCTTACAGATGCTGCGAAGTATAGAAGTTCGTGAGGCTGCTGATATTTGTCACGATGCGCATCCTCAGAGCGCCGAGGTCCTCGCCCCACATCAGCCGGTCAAGCTTGCTGCCCTTCGAGTCCGCCAACGATTGATTCTGCTCGAGGATCTTGTTCAGCTCCTCGAGGAGCTCCTTGCAGCCGAGAACGATCCTCTGGAACCGGTCCTGCGTCTGCGCATCGGGCCAGGACGGCGGCGCTCCCTCGAGGGTAGTTGCAAACCGGTGGATTTCGCCACAGATGTCCTTGAATTCCTTCGGCGCCTTCTGGTAGCCGCTCCAAACAGTCCAGGCGAGCTGCGTAATCGCGATGATGTCCCCGATGCCACTGCCGAAACTCATGATTGCATAGGTAATTCGCCTCGGGAGGGAAAAAAAAGATGGGGCTTCCTAACCCACGGACAGGGAAACAGCGGGTGGTTTTATTCCCCCCGCTCGTGTGCGCAATCACTACCCGCAGACATCTGTAGAAGCACAATAGACGTATTAGTTTGCGTCACAACGCAGCCGCAGAACAGAGGTTGGCTTTAAATTATGCGGAGGCGATGCGAGCGGTCAACGTGTTGACCGGCGATTGGCAGGCGGGGCACGCACAGAACCGACTGGACCTTCCCGCATCTATGGTATGTACATAATAAAGCTTTTTCATCAATCGAAATGTTTCAACTGGGCAACTTTCTTTTATCCCGCCAGTTATTGATCCCCACCTTCCATCATCAGCATCATGCGAATCCACGTAGCGTTTGAGAGTTCGCAGCAAAACCTCGCGTAGGCGAGCCTACCAGCAACAACAGAAGCTCGCACCCAACGTACCGAGAGCGAAGCCGTGGATCGAATCCAATGGATACGGACACTTCATGCAAAACATCCGTTTACCGATTGAGCCTTGCTCTCGAGTCTCAGCTGGAGGTGCGGGATCTGCAATCAATCACGCTGGCAATTGCCAATTGCAGCCATGGAGGCTGGAGAAAAAGCATTGGATTTGATGCGGATGCGGATGAGCCAGCTGATTGATTGATTGATTGATTGCTGGAGCCTTGTATTTACGTCCCTGCCAGCAAAGCATCTCTTTCCAGCTTCCCGAAACTGTTGGATCGTCGGCAGCTAGGCACTGCAGCTAGTTAGAGCTTAAGTTCAACTATGCAAGACGTGTATTATGGACTCCGTTTTACATAGAGGTTTCCCTTTTGCACATACATGTTATTCATCAGCCCTTGTGGTTCCACTACAACATTGCTAAACGGACCTGTCACACGACATCCGCCGCGTAAGAGAATAGTTAACGAGGTGGGTTAGGCGGCAACCGCGCCTGCCAAACCATGCGCGCCACCGATCCGTGCGTCGAAGGTCACTAGAGCACTGAGTCTGCACGAACTGTGCAGATGTAGCCGTCAGACGCATGAGGTATGCCACAAATTACAATGGATGGGGCGCTGTTTATTATCTTGCATGAGGTGATCAGGTGTGGGAGAGCTTCACTCTTCCTGGTATTCTTCCTGGTACTCTGCCACTTCCTCCAGCCCTGGCATCCGCAGGTAATCCTTTACCTCGGGCGGAGTGCAGTTAAAGTACAGTGTAGTATCGCAGCCATAGATACAGACGTGGATGTTAGTCATGATGATCGCCACCCGGTAGATCGGTCCCAGTGGCTGCTGCGAGCCGATATCGTCCACATACTCCCACAGATCGACGACGTCCTCGTAGCCCCATTGCACTCGTTGTTTTCGTGCCGACTCGGACGTGCTGGCCATACTGTCGATGCTGGCCATGCTGGCCATGCTAGCCATGGAAATATCGCCCGCCTCCTCCTCCTCTTCTTCTTCCTCTCGCTGCCCCGCAGATAATAAAAGATTCATCTCTTCAAAAGGAGACAGAACATTAACAACCGGAAATGGCGGCGCATCCTCCATTTGCTCCTCGGCCTCAAGATTCAGCTCTAGAAACGGCGGCACAACCGATGCCGTCACAGGAGACGGCGCGTTCTCCATTTGTTCCTCGGTGTCGAGGCCCATTCCGACGACCATAGTCGACAGGAGCGAGTCCTCGCCCACCGGCGCCTCCTCCTCCTCCTCCTCTGAATCATAGCCCACCGGCACCTCCCCCTTCTCCAAATCATAGCCCACCGGCACTTCGCCCTGCTCCTCCTCGTCCTCCTCCTCCGAACTATAACCACCCAGCGGGTCATACGGCTCAAAGGCGTGATAAATCAATCCGTCGGGGCACTTGACAGGAGTGTAATCGAGCGCGGACAGCTCATTCCTCACGCCGCACTCATGCTGCCACTCCGACGGGCGGTATACGGGCCTTCCCAAGAAGGCGTAGACCTTTGGCCAGGGGGCGCCCGCCTCCGCCTGGCGCTGGCGCACCTTGCTTGTGAACAGCTCGAGGCGCTGCTCTGTCAGCAGGCCCGAGCTATGATCGTACAGCAGGAACCCCCACTTCTCATCGATCCAGGCGACGAGGTAGTTCACGCACTCTGCCAGCTCCGGCGGCGTGAGCCCGAAGCGTGCGGCGAGCGCGCCGAGCGGCTCCCGGGAGCCCAGCCGCGCGCACAGGAAAAATAGCCCCTCGGTGCGCGAGTACCGGTGCCCGCTGGAAGTGCTGAAGTGCTCTGGGAGCCCGAGGAGCGGCGGGATCTCCGCCAGGTCGCGTGATGGGAAGCGGCAGTGCTCGCGTAGCATGTCGTCGCTCAGCTTGAGGACGTCGATCCGTGGTGCCCGTGCCCGCTGCACTATCGTAAACCGCGTCGTGAGGTACAGCCATGCTTCTTCTTCGGTCGCGTGCCGCAGCGTCGCTAGCAGCTCCGTGCGGAGCTCTTCCGGGATCGTGTCCGTCGTCATCGTGGTGTGCTCGTGGAGTGGCCGTGGTCGTAGTCGCGATCGTGGTAGATATGTGATGAGTGAGTCCGAGTGGGGTACGCGCTGCGCGTCTCAGAGCTAGTAAGGTACCAGGAGCTCCCCACCCTACACGTCATGCACGTGGATCCTAGCAGTCCCACTAGATATAATGTAAGCACGCCTCATGTCGATCCCCACAAAGCAAAACGAGATGCTCAACATCTCAAAACGGCAGAATGTGGGGTTCTAGCGTATTCGTGCCTCGAGCTGGCGGAGCTATGCAGAGACTTTGCCTGAGAAATAGCAGGCTGGGTCCTACCCGGTTCTGGAGTGCCTATTGTTACTGAGCCGACGAAGATCGACAAATAGTCCGAACACGAGTATATGCCCAAGGGATAAGGCGTTCTTTCGGTTATAGTTTTTTTTTGGTTAAGCATCGCTTCCATTCGAGCTATATGCTACATCAGGGCAATATATTGCACACAGGCGTTCTCTCGAATTTTGAATGTTTTCCTCGTACATAACGATCAGAAAGCGAGTGATATCTCATGATACATCCACCAGGTTCTACAGCACATCCAGTGCGGCGTTCTGAGTGGAGCGAAGTCAAACAAACCTGGAACCTCTAGAAGCTTTGGAAGATAAGTCACCGCTTCGTATTTCGCTCGACAGGCCTGGGTAACGGTCCTACCATAGAGTCCGGCAATCACCTTCGGCTCTTAATTCCACAGATCACCAGTCCTGAAACCACAACCCAGCGAAAATCTCAGAAATCCCATGCCACGCCTCGTATAGTACGCATCAGATCCAACCCCGAGGCACTGGACGTATCTATTAAACTACCGTATATCATCCAAGTATTTTTCCCACTCCTACGTTACCTATGATACGTCTTAGAGTTACGGAATTACAGCGCAGCAATTACAATTACCAGCGCCAGGGCGGCACCCATAGCCGGTACCAACGCTTTCCCTCCCCCACATTTTCCGTCGCCGGCAGCGCTGCTCGGCGTCCCCGACTCCGTTGCTACCGCAATCCTGGTTCGTGTTGGCCGTGGTAGGTTTGGCCGTGGAGGGGGTGGTGGTGGCGCCGGTAGCGGTGGATGCGGCAGCATGAGCGTCGCAGTTTCGGTCGCAGTCGCAGTTTCGATCGCAGTCGCAGTCTCGGTCTCGGTGACAGTACAGCTGTTGCACGGCGTCGACGTCGTGGCGGCGGTCATCGTCGTCATCGTCGTCTCCCCCTCCCCTTGCGAATTATCGTCCCCACCACCCAAAACCCGCACCTTAACCACCACCCCCCTCTCAACCCACGAACTCCACCATCCCCCGCGCTCATAGAAGCCCACGCAGCTCCACTTCCCCTCTCCATCCCCCCACCCATCGCCATCGCCAGCGGCAACACAAACACCGCTGTCCCCACCGCTATCCCCACCCCCTTCCCCACCCGCATCCCCTCCCACCATTCTGATCTCAACCGGCCTATGCCTCGGTCCCTCCGCATTGCACTCCCGTATTATCCCATCAAGCGCCCCGAACACCGCACGACCGCTGCTCCCTGGCGCAGAGAGTAGGAACAGCGCGCGATGGCACATAGCAGTCTGCGGTGGCGGCGGCGGGCTGCACAAACACTCTCTTGCGTCGTCGTCGTGGGGATGAGAGGGATGAGGGCGGAGTTGGCAGCGCGTTATGGCATCAACCAGAGGGGCGCAGATGGCGCTGCGGAGGAGGGTGGTTAGTGTGCGGTTTTGATCCGGTGGTGGTGGTGGTGGTGGTGGTGGGTGAGGGGGGTGGGAATGATAAGGTGGAGGAGCTCCTGGTGGGAAGGTGGCAGTTGCTACGCTGCACAGTGGTAGCAACAGGAGTAGGATCGCTGCAGCCTTCATCGTGCGGTGAATGCGATTAATGCGATGTGAGTGGTGAGCGAGCGGATGCGTGCTTCGTGCGTGAGTGACTTCCTACCAGGCGACCCGCGCCGTTTTATTGTAAATATTACAGAAGCGGGTGCAGCCTTGTGCTTCGAATAGATTGATTGAACTTCACCTAGAGGATCTCGGAGGGCGGGGACGGCAACTAGGACCAAGGTTGGCCTGAGCGCACCTAGTAGGATGCGGATATACTTTTATCCTAGGTATGATACCTACACTATTGATCGTTGCATCGATCTTCAGGTTTATTTGCTCCGAGGGATACGAAGAACCGTGAACGCTGCCTGCGGCCCAGGGGTGCGTTTTATGATGGCATGGCCGATATAGGGCAGGGAAGCGGAGGTATGTATGTACCAACTCCGCGGCGTATATATCGCTCCACTTTCCACCCGCTCTGCAAGTGGTAGCCCGGTCCTCTTCAGGTCTCCATTTGGTTTGCTTCTCAGCTTTCCGCCCACCGCCGACTCAGTCTACCATTCCGGAGTCTGGCTATACATCTTGAGCGTCTGATACAAACAGCACACAAATCAACGTCTGGTTGGCTCAGTTGGCAGAGCGTCGGTCTCATATGCTTCAGTATGACTTCCACACAGTGGCGGCAATCCGAAGATCGCGAGTTCGATCCTCGCACCGGACAGCTGCTTTTTTGCTTTGGTCTTTTGCGGACCAAGGAGGGAATTTGCTGAGTGGGGCTGTGGATGATGCTGACTGGTTCACTTCAGGCGGCGAGGACTGAGGGTGAATGCTACCTACTCGTATCCGACATCAGCACCTGCCGGCGACGATCGTACTGGTAGGGAAACACAACTTTTAGGTCTGGGAATTGCGCCGTAACTATCGGCCCGGACACTGCAGCCAAGTCGCCATGGCCCTTTAACTTTTCCTCTCAATACGCCGTTGTGGAGACATGATAGGCGTCACCGGCTGCTCTCCTATGTCAATCCAGTTTGGTATTCAGCTATCGGCCGTTACTTAGGTATCCGTTGCAATTTCACCACCAGCTGCCTATTGACAACTTGCAAGTTGCAAGCGATGGTTGGAGCTGACGGTTGGAGGTTTGCATGAATTGTCACTCACGGTGAGATGAGATGAGATGAGATGAGTCAGTGGTTCCGAGACCTCGATGAGAGAGAGAGAGAAGATAACGTAGCGCGGCAACGGATCAGCGAAAATGCAGAATGAATGAGAAGTTGAGGTTCTGTTCAACTTTGGAGACTTGATACCTCCACCGTTCGGCGCCACCCAATCCGGCTAGCCACTCCTGCTATCTTATCTGATCCCCAGTCCATCCCACATATCGCTCCTCTCATGGCGGTGGTTCCCAGACAACAGAAGAGCATCATTGTACATAGTTCTGATTGAGAGTTGATTGAAACATGCTTAGTGCATGTTCTCGTGCTCCGCACATCCCGCATCCCGCAGTCCCGTCGGCTAGTGGCCCACCAGCGATGCTTCGAGAAGAGAAGAGCGGAGGCTGAGCGTCGGGTATGACAGGTCATTTTCGCAATGCGCATGAAAAAAGGCTATGTATCCAACAGGCGTCGGAACCGAGCAGCTGTTGCCGCTCGACTATGGCTAGTGTGCCGGATGGGGGAGAATGCTAGAGTTCGTCAACTCTAGAACAGCAGCATCTGAAGAACGTTGAGGCCGCTGTCGGCAAGGCTCCGTGCGTGCCGTGTCCATGTGTGTGGTGCGAGATGTGTGATGCGTAATGTGAAATGCGTGATATCTGCACTGTGTCCGCCGTGTGTGTGTGCATCCCATCCCAGGCGTCACTTGTCACTGTCCCCAGCGTACATATAAGTTGCAGCGGCCTGGTTGCAGTCAGTGTCCTTGCTTGCCTGCTTGTGCTCCGGTCGGTAATCCCATCCTGAGCTGTGAGCTGCAACCTGCAACTGCCCCCAGTATCTCCAACAATCAATGCATGTGCCAAAGAGACGCAAGACCGATGACACCCGCACTCCCCCGCAGCAACTGCCCCCTCCATCGCCGCCATCGCCGCCATCGCCATCAGCCCCTCCCGATGTCTCGCAGTCCATCGCAACCGTTCGCCACCACGACGACGATAGAAACGTGCAGCCAGGCGGTGTGGGGACCGAAAGCTCGGTTGCGCCGTCAGTCGTCCGTCCTCCGCCCCTCATGATCTCCGTCTGACCATACTGGGCCCTTACAGCACCCTAGTGGGCCTGCTCCCCGAAGTCCTAGACTTGGTCCTCGCCTGCCTCCCGCTGCGCGACCTAGGCTCTCTCGCAACGACCTGCCGCGGCCTCTGCCAGTACGTCCGCCCCATCATGCCGCGTCGGCTTTCCGCATCCGAAGTAGGCGACGTCCTCCACCACCTGATCCAAGCGCCGCGCCTGCCGCCAGTCGTCTACATCAGCACATGCCCACACTTCCGCGAGCTGCTGGAAAAAGACATGAAGGCGCGGAGCCGGCACGGGGACCTGTGGGCCAGCGCGCCCAGCGCGCGCAAGCCCCGCCTGCTGCAGGCGCTCGACCGCCATGGCTTCGAGGGCTTCCCGTACTACACGGCGCGGGCGCTGCGCGGCGCGTGCAGCGGGCTTTCCGTGGCGCAGCTCGAGGAGCTGCTGCGCGCGCTCGAGAACCTGTTTCTGCTCGACGGGCAGGATCTGGCGCTGGGCGGCATGGCCGACGCCCTGCGCATCCTCGCGCAAAACCAGTGCGTGTCGTTCTGGCGCACCCCCGCCGCGGCTGTGGCATACGAGCTGGGCTACGAGTCCCCGGGGGACCACCCCTACGAGCGCCGTGGAGACGGCGGGAGGCCCGTGCGCGTCCGCGCCCCGGACACGCATGTCCAGGGTGTGCTCGATGCGATACTAGCGTCGACTATTTCCGACGCTGTCAAGGCCCTGCTGCTGATGGGCGAGGACAACTTGTGGATTCCCGAGCCGCCGCCGCCGTGTTCGCTGGTTCGTGAGGCGTTTTCAGTGTTCGATCAGGTGTCGGCAGAGAGGCCGGATTGCGAACGCGCCGCTGGTATGCTGCGGAAGCTGCTAGGTGTCATGCGGCGGAGCGTCGATGGAGGGGCCGGCACCGGAGAAGATGCGTATCCCCCGTACTCTTATGGAGTCCTGATCGACGGCTTCTTCTTGGCGGTGAACATGGCGGTGTCTCATGTTGAGGACGACCACGCTCGCGATTACTACTTCTCGGCCTACGTCCCTGTCCGAAACATTACCCCTCGCGGCCCGCGGTTGAGGATCATCGAGGTCTGGCTCGAAATGTGTGGCGAGCTGTTTGGGGCATCGGGGATGGAGTACGAGTGGAAAGTGGCAGTCGAGACGGGCAGGCCGAAGTTGGTGGAGAAACTCCTCTTTCATAGACCTGAGGCCACGAAGTTTCATGCGATGGAGCTGCGCAAGCCGCCAAAAATGCCGATAGGTTATGATGTGCGGTAAAGTCGGTTCGCGGAATGCTGAATTACATTATATATTTCTTTCTTCTACTCACTACTGCTAGCGCTTGGCGCGTATTACATTCGCTTCATCCAGACGAAGCCTTAATAACCACGACCACCCTTCGACTCCTTGCGATACTTCTTCTTCGGCGACGGCATCGTCTCGTTTTTCAAAGCCGTATCCCACTCCAGAAGCGTGATCATCTCCCTAAAGTCCTCCAGCACATAGGCACCACGGGCGACACTCGTGCGCTTCACGAACCCATCAGCCGCACGCCACAGATTGACGCCAGGCTCGCGCCTAATCGTCCTGGCCGACTTCGCATCCAGGCCGGCCACCACACCGACGACAGTGGGGTACTGCAGGATCGGCGCCAAATCGCTGTTATCATCGCCAATGAACACGATCTCCTCCCTGCCCCTGCGCTCCCGCTTCATAACCTCCCTCTTATCATCCCCAGAGAACACATCGACCGGGCGATCCCTCGGGTTCGCCGCGAGCACACCGTCGGGCAGGATCTCGGGACAATAGATGTATAGCCGTTCCGCCAGCTTCCCGGCGCCCACCGACTCGCGCAGCACCGTGCGGATCCACCGAACCGACCAGTTCCTCGAGAGGACACTAACCCTCACCCCACGCTTCTCCGCCTCAGCCACAAACTCCCAAAACCCGGGCCTAACCTTTACGGTCGCCGCCTCCTCGCGCAGCGCCATCTCGCTCGCGCTATCAAACACGCCACTCTCCTTGACGCGGTGAAACGAATCCCTCTCCGCCCTCGTCAGGTTCGGCAGCGCCTGCAGGTGCAGCTCCTCCAAGATTGTGGTCGGCTTCGGCAGGTGCCCAATCGCCGCGTAGTAGTCGGCCATGTAGAGGTCGCCGAAATGAGACCAGGGAGGGATCCCGGAGCTGGAGGAGACGGAGAGGTACGCCGTCGTCGCGAGGTTCTCGAATGCTTCGCTAATCGCGATCGTCCCGTCGAAGTCGATGTACACCGCTGGGTGAGACGGCGGCCCGGGCGGGGGGAGGTTGCGCCCCTGTGAGGAGGGGCAGAGGCTTAGGAGCAGGGGGAGGAGGGTGAGGAGCTGCATTGCTGTGGGATGGGATGTGCGGTGCGATCGATGAGGTGCGATGCCACGTGGATGCGTGGATGCGAGGATGAGATGGAGGGGACGCTGGGACGCCGGGATGGTGGGCAGTGGGGGGTTTTGAAGGGACCACTGGTTTGTTAATAGCAGAGTTTTCTTAGCGGCCCCAACAATGCGGGTCTGGATCTGGGTTGTGGACTACTGGTATCACAGGAAAGGAAATTAATTGCTTCTATGATCTATCTATGCAAAGTTCTACATACGTAATTCGTGCACCCTGCTGCTGTATATGGATATAGAGTCTGCTGTATGGGAATTGGGAATTAGGAATTAGGTTTTGTACGGTGGAACTTGGAAGGTCTACAAGAGGATGGAGAGGATGGAGAGGATGGAGAGGATGGAGAGGATGGAGAGGATGTTTTGTGAGTGATGCAAGATTCTTGCCGGGATAGGGAGATAGGTATGGCATATACAAGCGTGGTTTGAATTCTCGCATCAAAGATGCATGGGGACGAGAGTCGGGACGGAGCACACAACACGGCTGAGCAAAATGCGCTACATGATTACGAGATCACGCTTCCACTGATATGCACAGCCAAGCGAACTCCACCATCCCAACGATCTCGGCATCCCCGAGAAACGAGAACGAAACGCGAGTGCTGCATCATGAACTAGCGGACGTCCAGAGGCCACACTACGCGAACCCCTCTACCCCCGCCACCACTCGCTTACCTCACCCCTCCCCCCCCACCCCCCCCTCTTCACCAACACACGATGCACCCGACCCTCCCCCTCCTCCGCCGCCTTCCAGTGCACGTAACCTTCTTCACGCGCGCCTCATGCGGGCTCTGCGCATCGGCACGCGACGTGCTCGCACAGGCATGGGAGCGCCGACCATTCGAGTACACCGAGGTTGACGTCATGGCTTCCAGCAAGCGCAGCGGCGAGCGCGGTAACACGCGATGGAAGGACGCGTATGAGTTCGATGTACCCGTGGTGCATATTCTGCCTGCTAGGGAGGTGGCGGTGGGGGTGGGGAAGGGGGTGGGGGACACAGGGGATGGTGTGGTGGGCGAAGTCAGTGGGAAGGGGGATACGGGTACCAGGAGGAAGCTGATGCATCGGTTTACGGTTGATCAGGTCGTTAGCGTGATGGAGGAGGTTGTGAGGTTGGATAAGGAAAGGGCTGGAAAGGATTGAGAATGCATGTACATATCAACCGCACAGACGGCTGTTCGCAATGGTTATTGAGTGAGATCAAGCTAAGTGATCCTACATATCGAGGACCTTGAAAGGCGTGAGATAATGTATACCTACTCCAAACTCTACCGTACGTTAGTGATAGTAATAATTAGGGAAACGCAGCAGAAATCGACATCGTGGAATGCCCGAGATACCTATGGCGGGGTATGTGTTCGAGGATGTATCACTGAGCTGAACACTGGTCAGTAGGTAGCCTGGCGCATGGCTGCAGCCTGCAGTCGAGTCTTCTTCAAGCTTCCATATACGTCACGGACCGAACGAAACATACCTATGTCTGGTTGGCTCAGTTGGTAGAGCGTCGGTCTCATATCTTCTATGACTTCCACTCAGTGGCAGCAATCCGAAGATCGCGAGTTCGATCCTCGCACCGGACATCCTTTTGTTTTGACTAGGACCATATCGTTTTGCTCGCTGGTTGGTGTTGGCAGAGAGCCTGGGGGTGGGGATAAGCTTTTTGTTTCGGTTAATCATCATATGCACCTAGCATTGCAGAACCTCGAGGTAGACCAGGGCTGGGATGGGTAAGCGACGGTTGGTGCAAACGTCGATGCCGGCTATCACCAATCAGCTGCTGAAGCTGGGATAATCGAGAGCAACAACGGCGAGAATATCCCAAAGCTCGGGCGAACACTCCCATTGACTACCTATTGATTCCTCATCTGTTATACTCCACAGTATCAATACTCTAGCAGATTCCCGAAGGCTTCAAGTTCATAGACGCCGCAAGTGCCTGCGTTGGCTGAGGGGTGGTGGAGTGAGTCCGGCCTCGGTTGTAGGGTTTTACATAGCTCAAGGGTATGGCTACATAGCTGATGTCCAGTACTTTCTCTCCTTCGTTGTGTCTTTCTTGCTGGTGTTGAGTAGGGATAGTTGACTTGAGGAGAGGACTGGGCTGGGCGGTGAGCAATAGGGAACCAGTTGGCAGAGTATTGAGCTCGCGGCCAGCGGTCGGTGCCAACAGCTGGATGGAAACGGATATGTGATCTGCTATCATCTCTACCAAGGTGCTAAGATCGAGTGCAATGATGATTAAACAAGAACAAAAGGGGGTGACTGGATAATGCAGATACTATGTGCCAGAGTCCGGGAAGGGGATGGAGGTGTGTACGGAAGAACCATAAGGGAGGAGATGGAAGTATCTGCTTGCAGAAGAGAAAACCTTACACCCACCATGAAGCACGAAAATGAGATATGTCCGTCAGCTCCGTCAGCAAGGAATCCTTCTACCGAGCTCGAGTATGCGCATCAAACATGATAGATAGTTCTGTAGGGAGAAGAGAAGAGTCCCGTTGCTACCGCTGCCCCTTAGCAAACATTCTACCACTTTATATTTTCCGCCCTCCATCCTCCAATACGAAAAATCCCCCGCGTGGCCTAGTAGTCACGCACCCGGCGGATGGGGATTGAACAGTGGTTCAATTCTCGGGGGTTTTCAAGCTACCCATCGGGGTGGTGAAGGTTTTTGATTTTTTTGCGTGTCTCCGCTGGTATCAGGGCATAGTGCATCACTCGAATATCGAGTGATGGAACGTGAGCAAGAGGGCGCAACAGATTGCAGTGTAGACGACAAACATTATATTGATTAACCACTACATAACGCACCCTTGATTCATCCGCGAGCCATATATACCTCAAGACAACAGCACCTCCTTCCGCCTCCTTAACACGCGGGTATCCCACCACTCCTCGCAGCGCTTGGCAAACCCCGTTTTGTACCTCTTGTACGTGACGATCCTGCTGCCATCGACCAGCTCATCAGGACAACTCGAGACCTCGTAGCCCAGCGCAGGCAGGACCTTCGCGAACATCATCCAGTACACCAAACCGAAGGCGATGATCCCCGTGGCGACGCCGGGGGTGACATATGACGGGATCTCCTTCCTCTTCTCGACCTCGTCGGGCGCGGGCCACCAGGAGAGGATCACGACGAACAGCTGCGCGGGGACGTAGACGGCGATGATACCCACGAGCACCGCGAACGGGAACAGCTGCGGCCGCCAGTTCCGCAGCGGCTGGTAGTACAGTGCGATGATGCCGAGGGACACCGCGATGATCATCCATGTCTGCCCGTACACGAACAGGTCCGTCACCAGGTTGTATACCTCGTCGTTCTGGTTGTTGGGCGTGAATACGATGAAGGTGGCGCAGACTAGCCAGTGTAGGAGAAGACCGCCAGATGGCGTGTCGTAGTGGGATTGTCGCGCCCAGAATTGGGAGAAGGGTAGGATCCGCAGTTTGGCGATTTCTTGCTTCACCCGTGCCACTGAGTATGTGCTGCTGATGAAATTGCCTAGAATGCTGAGCGCTACCATCACTTTGAGCACCCGCTCGGAGAAGACGCTTTTGCCGAAGACCTGGCCGTCGTCAGTACTTTACTCGATGGAGTGGGACTGGCTGTGGGGGGAGGGGGAGGGACACACCTTGACAAAAAACTTCGCCGCAACGATATCCCCCTCCAACAGGAGTTCCTCATTACTCAACACCGTAAAATACGCAATATTGGCGAGGATATATAGCAGCGTCAACCCACCAATACTCACGAACGCCGCGGCCTTGAAGACCCTTCCCTCATGGCCCGGCGGTCCCCTGCGCACCTCTGACAGGATATAATTCGCATTCTCCCACCCGGTGTACGCCCACAGCACACCCAGGATCGCACTCGCATACTCCTGCATACTCTTCTTCTCCGTCTCGACGAGCTGTTGTAGCCCGAGGTTCCTGAACCCCTCCGCGGCGCCTTGCGTCCTCCCCGTCGCCGCGAACCCGACAATGATGATGAACAGCACGAGCGAGACCTTGTAGATCGCCAGGAAGTTGTTGAGCGCGATGCCCATCTTCCGCGAGAACATGTGGACCGCGCACACCGCCGTGAGCATCACCAGCGCGATGAACTTCTGTAGGTGGTACGAGGGATTGGCGTTGCCCGGGTCGAACGCTTGAAGGATCAGCTTCGCGAACGTGATGCAGTTGCCAGCCCAGTGCGTTAACATCACGAAGAGAAGGCTGATCACGATCACGACTAGGTATTTGGGCCGCGGGTAGGCTTCGTCTACCTTTACGGCTGTCAGCGGGACATGCCATCAAGAGGAGCGAGGGACGGCAACAACGAACGTACATAGATAACCTCTCCGCCCGAAAATGGCAGCGCCAGTCCCATCTCGACATAGACGATCAGCCTTTGCACTTATTAGCCGCTCATCCATCATTCCCCCCCTCGTCCTCGGTGCATTTCCCACTCACCCAGCGAGACTCATAAGCCCGCAGGCAAACCATAGCCCGAGTGCCACACCCTTCCCACCGGCATTGGCTAGCACGACACTCGGCTTCGCAAAGACGCCAGTGCCGATGCACTTACTGACGATCAGCGCCGCGGTCGAGAAGTAGCCCAACTTCTGCTGCTCCGCCATCGGCGCATACACCACTCTTTCCATATTTGTCCGCGCGATCCCCGGTTTCGATGAGGAGGAGGCCGAGGCCGCCGTGGTGATCGTCGCGGTCGGAGAGCGCAGCCCACCGCCACCACTGCCGCCCATTCCGCCGCCCATTCCGCCCCCGCCGCTACCACCACCCACGCCACCATTGCGCCGGTAGAACGTCGGGAATAGTTGCTCATGGCTCGTGTTGGAGCGGATCGTGCACAGCTCCACTTCCGCCGAGTGTTGTCTTGACGACGGCGCTGCTGAAGCTGAATCCGCCATAGTTATTGCTTTCTAGAGAGTCAGTATGTACAGTATGTACAGTACACACGTACGGTGGGTAGAGGGAGAGAAAAGGGAAAAAGAAAAGGGAGCAGCGCAGTGCTCACTTGCGGTGATTATATCCACCCATCCCCCCCTTCACGGGAAGCCACAGCTCACACACAGCCCACAACCCACATCGGAACGGCTGGTGGTGATGGGAGGGAGGGAGGGTGGGGAGGGGGAGTGACCGTTAAGGCGTTAAGGCCGAGCGAGGGAGGGACTCGAGAGCACCTGCCGTTCCGTTGCACGCGGGTACCCGCCACCCCCCGCCCCGAGGGAGAGGCCGTTATATAGAACACAGACACAGACACAGACACAGACACACAAGTCCCCGCTGATCGAAGGTACGTATGCACAATGCACACACATATCTGCCGCGCATGTACAACATATACTCGAGTAGTTGCATCCTCGATAAAGACAAGGCCCCATACAAGACCCCAGGGGAGCAGGAGCAGGCATTTAAACATAAGTATAAGCATAAGCCCCGCAAGCCTATGTATTGTACTCTGCGTACGTACGGCAGTTCAAACCTCCGGGGCCCGGGCCAGCCGCAGATCACCCGTCATTTACTTACATACATCATACATACTCATGTATTTATGTATGCTGCGGAATTAAACCAGTGGATGGATCCCCTGACCCGACCTGGCCTGGCCTGGCATCGAGAGATCTGGCCGCTTCCGGAAGGAAAGCCCCGAGACGTTGGGAAGGATGGTGGGCGGGTGGGCGGGTGGTTTCTCACATAATTACATTCGGAAGCAGGGAAGGGGGGAGTGCGGGGAGTGATGCTGTGTGAAGACGATATCGAGACACCCTACATGAATATAGTGCATACGAGACCCGGGCCATCCCGGACGATCATGCGCAGTTGGTACAACATGTGTAAATACATAGTACAGTTGTTTGGTCAATCCCTGAGCTCCTCGCGTTGTACTGTCACTCCTGTACTGTCACTCCTTCTCCTATGTGCTCTCACGGGAGAACCACCGCGACTACCTCCTCGATACTAACGAAGTCGGAATCGAGGATTGAGAACCGCCGTGAAATTACTAACCAGAATCCACTCCCATCTCTACTATATAGTTATACGCCCTCGATAGATCCATATACGTAGAGTATGCCCCCAGATCGAAGGCACTGAAACGTGGAAACGTGGAAGCCACTTCTTCCTATCTATCCGGCAGGCGTGTGGTGAATTCGAATCGCACTTCGAATACCTACCTGGTAGATGTCCCAGGGTCCAGAAAGCACGTTTCATGTTCGGCAGGTAGGTGGGTAAGTATTCAACCCTGCTGGATGGATGGCTTGGGGATGGCTGGTTCTCGTCGTCGTCGGCGGTCGGCTTCATTAAGCTTAATACCGGTACGGTGCAGGCATGTCATCATTCATGGGTTCGTATGGCGGAGACTCGGAGTAAAAGCTTGTGGTAGTTAGGGAGGTAGTTGGCTGCGTAAGCGCGGGGTCTGGAGTGATGTCGTTGCTGTCGAGGATGATTCTCGCTAAGCTCTACATGAATGATGAGCTTGCTTGGATTTGTGTGGGTAGACAGGCATGAGCGAGAGACCAAGTGGTGAAGCAAACGCCTAGGTGCCTAGATCCGGAGTCAATGACGGGTGGAAGTGTTCGGGGGATTCTATGCAAGGCGGAGTGCCAGTTGGTAGTCACTCAACGGCCATTCATGCTCACCACTGCAGCTTCCAATCCCACCCCCTCTCCAAGACAAATCGCACCCGCTACTAGTAGTCGCCATTCAAACCGTATCGCCAGTAGCCATTCACATCATATGTATCGTCAGTAGCCATTCACACCGTACACATCGTCAGTAAATATCATTAGCAGCATACTGAATCACAATCATCACCTCTCCAAAGCTCTACGAAACACCCCGCCTCCCCTCCTCCCCGCCTCCCCGCCTCCCCGCCTCCCTGGTCCCAAGGCTCCCAAGCACCATCCCACCCCACCTTCCGCGTTCAACTAGCTTCCGTATGTATCTAGCTTCCATAGCTCCTCCAGCCATCCACCTCATCCACCTGCCACTGCTGCACCACGCCCCGCCCCGCCCCGCCGCGTTCCTTCCGCCCGGGTCCTGAGCTCTACTCTAGTTCCGAGTCTAGAGGCGTGTCTAGAATAGATTAGGAAGTTTCCAAAATCCCCGAAATCCCCGAGCAGGCTGATGTCGAAAAAAACAATGCCATGACCGCGCCGAGGAGACGGATGATTGAATTGAACTTCACTAACCCGACAAACTCAAGCTCAACTCAAGCTCAACTCAAGCTCAATTCGCATACCTCTTAGGTAGTTCATATGCTAAAGTAAAGTACACACTCCGTCCCTTCCAAAAGCACCAAACAAAACGCATCAAAAAGCATCAACTCAAATCACATCAGAACCAAAATCAAAAATGACAACCATCGCCGCAAGCCACACACAGACACGCACGCACGCTGATCCAACCACAATAGATACAAAGGGAAAATGAGAAGGAAAATGATGCAAACCAATCAAAAAAAGACCCTAAGTATGCTTAAACTCACGCCCAATGCCTGCACAAAAACACACGCCGCACAAACCCATACTCGCACAAATTTATCCATACTCGCACAAATTTATCCATACTCGCACACACACTTGGATGAGAGGTTAGAGGTTAGAGGAAGACGGGCTCCTACGCCTTGAGTCGCCTCTCCTCGCACCCCACGCACACGGGAACCTCTCTGCCTTCGGTGCCGCGGACGAAGAATCGGCCGTCGTCGAATGTGGTGTTGCATTCCTGTTTTCTTTCCGTTAGTATCCAGCGGTAGTAAAGACGGAGGGGAAGGGAACAAACCGTGCAGCAGAAACAATCTTCGTGCCACTCGCCGCCGAGCGCTTTCACGACCGTCTCGGTAACAGGCTTCTTGCACTTCTTGCAGCGTCCGGAGTAGCGCTTGGTATAGCAGCCGACGCACCACGCGTATCCATCCTTCTCGACGAACTTGCTCTGGGCGGTGAAGGGGTCGCCACACTCGGCGCAGAAGAAGTGGCCAGGGTGCCAGGTGCTGCCGCACGCCATGACGACTTCTCCCTCGATCGGGGTTTTGCAGCTCTTGCAGCGCGGCGAGAAGAGCTCGTGGAAGTCGAGGTGGCAGTAGAAGCGCACGCCGGTGCCGTTGCCGGTAAGCGTAGTTTCTTCGATGCCGGCCTTTTCGAGCCGCTTGGAGCGGTGCTCTTTGGGCTCCGGGTAGAAGCCGACGTGCTCGAGCGGCGTTTCGCAGTGGTCGCAGCGGAAACATTCGGGGTGGAAGCGGAGGGATCCGGCGGTCACTATACGGCCTTCGATCGGGTTCCTACACAGGTTGCAGCTGGCGCGGGCACGTCCTCCCGTGGTTGAGGAGGAGGAGGAGTAGACGGAGGAGGTCGTTGCGCCACGGGGATGCGGCAGTGGGCGGCCACTGGGGCGTGTGTTTGAAGGTGGAGCATCAGGTGTGGAGATCGAGGGGATAGAAGGAACCTTGCGACCTCCATCACCATTGCCACCAAAGTTGATGGTCGGCACGGCCGGAGAGGATTTCGCACCGGAGGCGTTGATGGAGGGTCTGGGAGGGTCGTCCGGGAATGATATCGCGGGGATGGTCGGTGCCGCATTTGACCTGGACACCGTGACCCGAGGTGCTGCAACAGTCGGCGGGGAACTGGGAGCCTCGACGATTGCGATGACCGGAGGTGGCGGTGGCTTCACCTGAGCTCCATATTTGGTGGTGTTTTTCCGGACCGGGGTCTGCTCCTGAGGAGGGGTCGGACCTCTAGGCCCGCTCGGACCGCCAACTTTCGGGAACGGCTTTCTACCGAGCCCCTTTAGGATCTCAGCTTCAGCTTCAGCTTCGTCTTCTTCAGACCCTGAGGGCGGTGGCGATGGCAATGCCTCAGTAGAGTCAGTCGTCGTGTATTTGGGATTGTTCTCCTGAGTTGGTTCCCGCCTCCATGGCTCAACGTACTCCGTTCGACGGGGAAGTGGCGTTCCGTATTGTCTGCGACTACCACTGGGTGCTTGCGAGGGGACTCCTGCCACGGCCGTCCTGTTCGATGGCGAATCCGTCATGGCGGCGCGTGTATTCGGCGAAGGACTGGGGGAACCGGCTTTGTTGATCCTCAGAGGGGCAATAGTTGGCAGGGCGTCCTGTGTTGATAAAGATTCAAAGTGCAGCGTCAATTCCTTCTCGATTTTCGATGCGTCTTCTGGTTTTGGGGGATGACATGGCGGCATCATAACAGCGCCAGCCTCATTCCGGGGCAATTTCCAAGACACACGCTTCTTCCGCTCCGAATTCCCAGAAGAGGAACTCGAGCCGGACGATATGCTCTGCGGTCTCCCAGTGCCGCCTCCGCCGATCAACCCCGAAGAGAACCCCCGGAAGCTGCCCGCGGGGGCCGACTCGCGTTTCTTCGCATTCGATGAGCTGCGCGACGGACTTGCGGTGTCGCCGGTCCTGCCATCCTGTCGATCCACTCCATCCCATCCCTTCTCGTCGGCCTCTCCTCCCGCGGATTTCGGCGGAGATCTGTTCACGAATCCCAGGATCGATGAGGTGGTGTTGGACCGCCTGTGCGACGCTCCCGACGAGTGTTTCCGGATCAGCTTGCTTTCCCGGCGACTCAGCGCAGGCGGAGGAGTAGCACTGTGAAGGGTCGGAGGCCCGAATGGATCGATGACGACGGGCTCAGAGGCTGGCGGGGGGACCGAGGCGGTCGCCGCGCGCAGAATCGACCATCGCGATTTCGATGCCGATATCGGCCGGCTGCCTGAGGGGCGCTGGGGCTTGTTGTTTCGCAGGTCTGCCAGGTATTGCTCTGTCCGTTTCACACACGTAGCCCGTCAGTTATTTTCGTTGTTCTTGTCCTCTGTCTTGTCCGGCCGGGGTGCGGCTGGCGAAGGTGACGCAGGCAGGTGAGCAGGAGGGGGGTCTCAAACCGAGCTGCTCCTTGGTCATGTACGATTTCCGTGCTTCGGCCATCGCGGCGGACGACGAGAAGTCGAGAAGTTCTCTCGGTATCTATACTTCTCCTTCTCTAAGTAACTCCGACGAATAGGGAATGTCTCTGCTCTGGGATCGGTGGTGTCTCGTATCGGCAGGCGGTGGGGGTCGGAGCGGGAACGATAGGATCCTCAGGATCGTAGAATTGGAGGGGCTGGGAGTGGGATTGTTTTGATTGTTTTTTTCTTCTGGCGAAGGAACGGGGGGGGACAAGTGTTGTGGGTTGAGTAGGGGCACCCGTTCTTAAGAGTTCGTTCGATACGACAAGGGCAGGGTGGGGCGGGGGAAGAGGGGTGAATTGTTCGGAATAAATGAAGAGATCTGAGGTTGTAGATTTATGATCGGGAGAGGGCGAAGGTGTTGAGTTGTGAGTGGTGAGTGGGAATTTTGCTTTGCGATGTGCTGAATGGCTGCTTGCTGCTGCTGCTTGCGTGCGTGCCAGCCAGCCAGCCAGCTCCTTTCGCCTTGCTTTGCTTTGCTTTGCTTTGCTTTGCTCTGCTCTGCTTTCGCTGGTTGCGTTGTCTGGCCAACACATCGACCTGTGCAGTGCGACGCGGCACGACCGACACGGCGAAAGCGAGGAAGCAGCGAGAGCCGAAGTCTTGGCGAAGGGATTGGGTGGCGGATGCGGGAGCGGAAGTCGCTTAGTAAGCGCCCTTGTCACGTGGACTGTTAGCAGTATCACGTGGACCGAGATAGCGTGGGAGCCAAAGTGTCGTGGAGCTGCTTTCAGCATGCGGCGCGAATCATCTATCAACCTCCGAAACACGAATTCCACTACCACGACCACCACCACTCTCCATCCATATCACCCCATCCACCATTCACACTCACTACTCTGCAGCCCGACCGAGCAACCACAACTACACAATGTCCGACTCAGGTACGTTCTGCAATCACGCCCAGCTTCACGCTCTCTCCTAACTCAATCGCCTTCAGAACTCTCTTCCCTCGACGGGGGTTCGTCCCCTGCCCTTCAGGCGGCACCAGAACATGCCGCCATCGCCTCCCCCGAGAAGCCGACGGGCAATCGCTACGACACAATGTTCGGCTCGGACCACGAAGATGCCAGCGACGAGGAAGACGCGCAGACGCGCAAACGCGTGGGCAAGACCACGGCCGACGACGAGAACCCCAACCTCACTACCACCAACGACGATGACGACGACGAGCCACTGGACGACCTTTTCGGCGATGACGACGAAGCCCAGGCACGGGACAAGGAATTGTTCTCGGACGCGGAACTCGGCGCCACGCCTGCGGCCGTCCGCGACTCGCCTACCCCCGAACCCGAGCGCTTCGTCGAGATCACACTCCCGCGACATCCTGGTCCCGGTGCCGGCAGCGATTCCCACCTGTACCTCATGAAGATCCCGTCCTTTCTCTCGATGGAGCCCCAACTCTTCGACCCGGAGAAATTCGTCCTTCCCCACATCTCCGCAGGCGAGACCACATCCGCGTACACCAAGGCGACGACCGCGATCCGCGTCCGCCGTGACCCCCGCAACCCCGCGCAGCTCCAAAGCAACGCGCGCGTCATCCGCTGGAGCGACGGCAGCATGTCGCTCCAAATCGCGTCGTCGCCCACCCTCTACGACCTCCCGCTCAAGGACCTAACCGTTGACCCCACCCAGCCGAGCAAATACAAGCCATCGCAAGACTCGCACACCTTCGTGCTGGACCCGCACGAGAGCGCGGGCACGCTCCGCGTCGTCGGCCACGCCACGCGCTCGCTCAACGTCGTCTCCGCCAGCGTTAACCTCGCGTCGGACTACGCGATCCAGCGGCTTCACAACGAGCTGCAGTCTGCAGTCCCCACCCCGAGCCGCACCACGCCGCTCGAGCTCAGCGAGCTGAAGGATCCTGAGGCGGAGCGCAAGGAGGCAGAGCGCATAGCCAAGGAGAAGGAGCGCGCCAACCGCAAGCTCGAGGCCCAGCGCCGCAGGGCAAGAGATCGCGATCCCCTCGAGTCCGCTGCTAAACGTTCTTACGCCAGAGTCACGGGTACGAGGAGCAAGCGCGATTCGCCACCGATCACCAGGGGCGGCCGCGTCCGTGAGGATGAGTACGACCTTGAGGATGAGTTTATCGAGGGCAGCGATGATGAGGAGGAGGAGGCGGAGGCGACGGATGACGACGATGAGGAGGAGGATATGGAGGAGCGGCCCGCTAGACGCCAGAGGGGCGAGAGTCGTGATCGGAAGAGGAGGAGGGTCGTCGATAGTGATGAGGAGTAACCTACGCACACACGCATAGGGAGCGGTGTATTTAATGAACTGAACATAGGAGCGCTTGGAATGGTTATTGTTTGCTTACTTTTACTATCGGTGATATTCCTTGAGTGGGAGGCAGAACGTCGGGGAATGAGTGACGCCATATCCACGGTGAACCGCCCTCCAGACTTCTGATCGAGTACCTAGGTGGGAAAGCATCACCAGTGCACGCTCTTTTTGTTTGATCATGATTCATACTCGAATTTATCCCACACAGAATATGGCGGCGTATGATACATTTCCCTCTCCAGTCCACAAGTTACTCTGCACGGTTCAGCGTCTGATTGCATGCCACCTAGCAGTAGTAGGTACATCGATTACCGTGCACGCTTTTTTGTTTGTTTAATCGCTGATCGCTCGTGACCTTTCCAGGCACATGACAATATACCGTAGTGTACACACGCCGTTGCCCCTCCCCGTCTCCGTCCGAACCTCTGCCCGCAGGATCGTCTGCTAGCTCTTCCGTTCGAACTTCGGGGCAGCACTTGTCGAGATGCTCCCGCGTCTAGGTTTTGACTCTTATAGAGCGGCACCATCCGCACCGGGTATCGAGGCGGTTCTTTCCATTATGTACTGTGCACGGCTCATTTCCAACCCGACCAAACCATATCAATTATGTCGCGAGTGATATCACAAGCAACCACGCAACCGCAACCGTAACCATGTGACCTCTGACCGAAACCAGTCCCCGACTAAAAGATTTTGATCTGGACGGGTATAGAGTAGAGTATCCCGGCCAGTACCGACCAGAAAAGTTTCGGTCCGGATATATCCCGACCAGTCCGGAGTTCGGACGTGAAATTTTTTAGTCCGGATATATCCCGACCAGTCCCGACCATACCTAAAATTAGTCGGGACTGGACAGGACATCCCGTTAGCAGGCCGGACAACTGGCTCGACGCGCGGCAATCCCCTTCCCCCGCCTGGCGGCCTGACGGCCTGGGCACCAAGCCGATGTATGTACCAAGAGCGCACCAGCGAAAACACACACACGGTGCTAGTGATGAATCGGGATAGGTATCATACCTACTTCGTGTCCGCGCGGCAGAGGCAACATCGATTGCTTTTCGCATACGGCCTTTCTACATATGTATGTAGATATGTACGTACTAGTAGACCGTGGCGAACGTACCGAAGAACTATGTAGAAACTCCTTTCCTATCTATACCCGCTCCGCAAAGCAAAGGGCGTGGAGATCCCGCTGTCATGTGTCCACACGGTCCGTTGCGGCGCCAAACCCTATGTATGCCAATATCTTATGCCGGTATCCGAGGGCGTATGATAGGTACGCGAGACTGGAATCCGCAGCGCAGGTCGCAATGGTATGATGCACCCAGTTATCATAGAATATCACTCGCCATACAGCCCCAGGTTCCGGTTTTTGGCCGTAAACTGGGCACGTTGGTTTCTGCGCTAAGTATGATACTCTACTATACCGCCTTCTACTCTATCATCCCAAGTTAAACGAGTCTCATCCTCCATCGTCCACCGTCCACCGTCCACCGTCCAAACCTGGGGAAAAAATGACCACACAGTTTGTTAGTTACCGCCTATCTTTGTGCAATGTGCAATGTTATGGGACTACGGGTTGGTGATGATGGTGGTGGTTCGATGGAGAACCACGGTTGGAGGGGAGTGCGGAGTGGGGAGTGCGGAGAAGTGAGGAGAAATGATCGAAGGGCGGCGTCAGGCCAATCCAGACCTCGCGCGGACGAGAAAAGCGAATCCAATCGAATACGACCGTTGGGGTGCAAGAACAAAAAAGGCGCCCAGCGTGCTTGCAGCTGGTGTTGGTGGTGGTGGTGGTGGTGGTGGTGGTGGTGGTGGTGGTGGTGGTGCTGCTGCTGGTAGTGTGGACTGTGCACTGTGAGCGCCCGAATACGGTATGTATGCATACGCCACAGACCTGCCGCCTGCGGCCTGCGGTCATCGCTGCAAGAAGTGCCCCCCCTCCAGTGTCCAGTGTCCACCCCCTCCAGTGTCCAGTGTCCACCCCCTCCAGTGTCCAGTGTCCACCCCCTCCAGTGCCCCCCCTTCCACCCCCCACCCCCCATCCCGCCCCGCCCCCGCCATGGAGAATGAAGAAGGAAGGAAGGCAGGAGCGCCCCAAGAAGGCAGCAGACAGCAGTCGGGAGTCGGGACAGCGACAGCAACGACTAGTACTTTGTGGGAGGTGAAGTAGGCAGCAGATTCCAGAAACCGGTTTCCCGCCTACCCACCCACCTACCTACCCACCCGCGTACCCACCTCCCCACCTCCCCATCTCGAAACTGTTTGTGGACGGAAGGACGGATGCTAGAGTAGTTACAGGCTTACAGCGAGGCGGTGGGCACTCCTGCAGCTGCTAGACACAGGCAGGGTGTTGTGTAGGTAGTACGGTACCAGCGCCTTGAACTTCAAATGTCGGGTTCGGCCACCGGCCACCGGCGACGGCTGTAGAGGGGTGGGTGGCGTTCCCCGGAAACAACCTAGAGAGGTGGGATGGCTGTCGAACTGGCCTACCTGTCGAACCCGCTCAGACGCCAACCAATCATCCATAAACTCCTCTCCTGGCGACTGGGCGGGTTCGACAGGTAGGCCAGTTCGACAGCCATCCCACCTCTCTAGGTTGTTTCCGGGGAACGCCACTCGAACGGTGAACCAGTATTGAACCAGTACGGTGACCTCATCGGGTATTGTGGACGAGCAATACCGGTATGTAGAGTACTCACACGGCCGGAAAGACTTATCCCCCCCCTGTTAGAGCTGTGGCTGTGATTGGCTCACCGTAGTAATTGAACATCCTCAGCCACATTTCCGGCCATGTGAGTAGAGTACGCATTTGAAATTTGAGATTTGGAATTCCAATTTCCAAGGCCTGGCGTCGCTACTCGCCAGAGAACCCATACATACAGAAGAGGAAAGAAAACCAAGGGAAGGAGGGAATATCACATTCACGACGGCGGTAGTTCTCTACCGCTAGTTACCGACACCGGCGATAGCCACAGCTGCTAATTAACCCCGACCTCGTACCCCGTTAGCCGATGCCGCTGCTAATGCTAATGATGTCGATACCTGGCACTCTACTCTACTCTGGATAGGTCAGGGCGTTAAAAGTGCCTATGACGAACAAAACAAAAGGTACTTACACATCTACCGTATGTCCGGCCGATAGGTGCTCTTCTCTTACTCTCACTCTTACTCTAGGTTGCGCCGATGTGTAGTGAGGAATCCACGCGGCGCGCGCGGCGTTGTTGGCAGCCATCTCGGCTAACGGCGCTCTCTCCTGAGTCCCGTGCTGAGTCCCGCTGAGTCCTGGTCTTGCACAGAAGTGCATAGCTCGAATACGGCAAACCCACTGAGAACCCGCCGGGAAGTTAGAACCAGCATGCACCCACCCACCGCCCAGCTGGCGGGCGTATGTAGGGGCATCCGTTCGGCAGCGCAGCAGCAGACGCCGTCAGGCCGGTTATGAAGTTACGTAACCGCCATTGTCCCAGGTCGGAAGCAATACCTTCATGTGATGAGTAAACAAAAAAACTCGCTCGCTCACCGCCGATCGGGGTACCATCTATGCAGCCTGCGGCCCTGCGGGCGACGGGAATCGGGGTTTTTGGGACTGGCTGGAATCGTGGGTATCTAGAGTACTCTATATGTATGTATAGAGTGGATATGTACCGAGGGTGGATGATTGGGTGATTGGATGATTGGCCCATGCGATTGGGGGGATTTCGAGCACAGTACCTACCGGCATCGCGCTCTGTTGGTATCCACAGCATCGAGCTACATCTAGATTCCAGATTCCACAGCTCAATATGATCCATCATATCACATGCAGACCGGTGTAAATACTCTACATACCCACCGACGACCGTGGAATCCTCAAGACTCAGCGATCAGAGTGACCACGCATCCGTAACAAACCAACACGTGCTTGGCCATTCCGAAATGAGTAACGGAGGACGTCCCTGCCCTACTGTCTGTCTGTCTACATCCCGAGAGCCATCAAGCCATAAACCATCCCAGGTATGTATGTATGGAGTGCGGTATCTAGAGTAGATATGGAGGCAACTAGACATCCCGATGCCGTTGATATGGAGAATCTTTGTACCGATATCTGGAGTGCACGGCTACGGTATTTATGTACCCTGCGTGGTGCCTGCGGAGCCTAGCGCTCGCGCAAACACGCGTCATATGCTATGGGTATGCGGAGTACTATGATATGCAAGCATCTATCTAACCAAACCTCGAATCCGTGAATCCTTGATGTGATATCTAGTTGCGAACTTGCGAGTCCGTCGTCGACGATCAACAGGCTTAAATTTGAAGGAGGAATGGGAATTTTGGAATCGGATGCATGGAAGCGCTCAGCTCATCGTCGGTATCTACTGGATACCGGTAGTTATAGGCACCGGTGCTCTATGTGCTCTATGTGCTCTATGTATGTCTCTCGATAGATATGAACTCTCGATATGTGATATGATATGCTATGTGCGAACTCTCCAAGCACAGCACAGCACAGAACAGCGCAACAAGTTATCTATGATACCGGTACAAGTTGCAACAAATTCACTTTCACCTTCACTTTCTCTTCACTTTCACCGCACCGCTCGCCCCACAAATAGTTGGGCGAGGCGAGGCCGCGAGGCGCTCGGGCGCGTTTGGTTTGCTGACACCGTCTGTGTCTGTGTCTGTGTCTGGGCTTCTTCGCTGCTTTGCGCAGCGGACTGCTGCTCTGCTCTAGCGAGCCCTAACCAACCAGACTCCTCCAGAGGTCGGTGGAATGGAATAAGCAAAAACCCGCGCTCCGAAACTGGACATTGTTGCGCATCAGTGTATTATTTATTACTGGATAACTGGATAACTGGATATATAGCTGGATAGCATGCAGTATGTAGATCCGTCTTGGTTGCGTTCTGTCCTGGCGGCGGCGAGATGAGGCTGGCTGGCTGGCTGGCTGGGTCGGTTGGCGTGGTGGTGGTGGTGGTGGTTGGCGGAAGCAGCCCGCTTGGCGCTCATCAGCGCCGAGCTGGCCTCTCTGTCTCTCTCCTTACGTCTGCAATCGCGATCGACGGGTCCAGATTTGACATGTCTTTGTTTCCGGGACCCCCTCCCCTATTTTTGTGGAGATATCTTCTTGCTGATCCCACGTGCACCTTTGTTTTTCGGTGCTTCTTTTCCTTTGTTTTTTTTCTTTCCTTTTTCTCTCGGTAAGGATTTCCTCGGCTGATTGGGAGGCTGGAACTTGGCGGTGTCGATGCGGTCTGGGGGGGATTAGAAATAGTGCGCTATGCCGCATCGGGCCGCTCGCCACCCTGGAAGTGGCCCACACAACTGGCCTGGCCATGGGACTCCGAGACCTGGACCAGAGAATTGGGCGGTCCTCGAGCGGCGGTAGCGGGGGAGGAAGGGAAGGGTGGAGGAAGGGGATGGGGGGGAACAGGAAGAACGGAAGATGGGTGGGTATATATTTAAGCTTAAGGAGTCGAGGATCACGGATATTTCGTGATCTCTCCAGGGTATCTCGCAGACGATCGATCGATCCCATAACGAAAAAGCGCAAAGTTCCAGTTCCTCCTCTAGCTATGGCACAATACGACGGCCACGCTCAATACCAGCTCTCGCTCATGTCGACGCCCTCTCCCTCTCCCTCTCCAACCCCCACGCCCTCGGCGTCTCCCCAGGCCGAGATCCGCCTGCCCACGTTCGCCATAAAGTTCCTCCGGCCGATCCGCGCGCAGAGCCGGCTGCCCTCCATCACCGACTTCCCGTCCATCACGTCGACGCCGCCGCACCGCTACACGCTCGCCTGCCTGCCGCCGCCCGAGCTGATCTCGACCATCCTCGATGCCTTCTATGCCTGCTCCGGGACACTGTTCTACATCATCAGCCGCGAGAACTCATTCGACCTATTCCGGAGCATCTACTGGGGCGGCGCACGGCGGACGCGGGCGGTGCTGGGCGAACTGTGTGCCATCGCCGCGGTGGGCGCCCAGTACGACTACGAGGGTGTGACAGAGGCCCAAAGGATTGCCCTGTGGGAAACCGCAAAGGCCTACACCGAGGATGTCAGGAAGGGCGACGAGGTCAGGGTCATCAGGGTATACACGCTGTGCGCCCTGTTTTCCATCATCGAGAAGAGGTTCGTCGCTATGTCGTACATCTGTATGTTTGCTCTCTCCTAGGCCTGGGCAGGTTCGGGGAGGGGAGATTGCTGATCGGCGCGGGGAATGCTTTTGCGGATGGCAGCGGCTGCGATGAAGATTGCCGTGAGATATGGACTGCATAAAAAGAACGACGAGGCTGGGCTGTTCAAAGGGAGGGATAGGATCCCGTACAGGAAGTGCTGGCGGTCACTGAAATTCCTGGAGAGGTACGCCTTCTAGCTTTTTTTTTTACCTGCTCGGCCCTCCTGCGGTCGCTACTCACTAGATATTGACGTCAAAAAAACAGCTGGATGGTAGGTACACTCGGCCGAGTTGCACAGCACTTGAGCCCATCGGATACCATCGATATCACCCCGATAGAGGACGGGGAAGATTCCCCCACCACCCCTACCGCGGAAATGGTTGTGGTGGACGTCGAAGTGGTGCAGACGGAACTGGGCAGGATCGCTTTCCTCATGGAGGAAATCATGAAGAACGTCTATGGAACGGGCCGCTGCGGCATCAATGTGACAAATGCGTACATGAAGAAACTGGAGTGCTGGTTGCAAGAGCTGCCAAAGTAGGAATTCGTCCACCTACAAGAACCTGATGTTCTCCCCACTGACCCAATGTAGGTTCATGCGCCTCGACACCCTTCTCAGTGACGCCTGCGACAGCTCTACCCGCCGCTCGATCCTGCTGGTGCACTTGACGTATCTCGGCTCAATGTTGCTGCTGACGCGGCCATCGCTCATTCTCCTTGTCAGCCGTCATGCTGGTGACCCATGGCTCTATGACGGCACAAAAGAGGAAGCCCGGCGATATATGGACCTGTGTCTCGAAGCCGCACACAACGTTGCCACCGTCGTCGGAATCATCGACAACGAGCAAATCCTCTTCAAACGGTGTTGGCTCGTAATGTTTGTCCCCCGTTCCTCCCTCCCTCCTCCCTCATCACTCACCCACTAACCCATCCCCAGCGGCCAATCCTTCAACTCTTTAACCCTCCTCCTCTTCCAAATCGTGCAAAAGCAGCGGCACCACCGGCCAGCGGCCGACTACGCAGCCGACCTCGCATCGGCCACGCTGTTGGTGAAAGTGCTCCTAACCTGTTCCGACCGGGACCCACTAGCCAAAAAGTTCCTTGACGTGGTGCAGCCATACGCACGGTTATTCCCACTGTCGGACCCGAACCTTGCGGCGGCATTCCCACACGCGCCACCGGCCTCGCAGCCGATCGACCTGGACGCGCTCGCGCTGCACCTGTTGTCGATAATCCGCACGCCGTTCGGCGGCGACGGTACCGTCGAAACGTGCGTGTTCCAGCCGCCGCTCGCGGTCTCGGAGGAGTCCCATGCCGGCTTTTGGCCTGCAAAGGCCTACCATGTCGAGGTGTGGAGGCAGGATATGGCGCCGACGCAGAAGCTCCCGCTTAAGAGACTGTATGATGAGGCAGATAAGGAGGTCCAGGGCTATGTTACGAGGGTTCATTGTCAGGTCAAGAAGAGGCGCACGGGGGAGGGGGATTTGTTTGTGCATGGGTGCTAGGGGAGGGGGAGGGGAGGTAGACGGACGGACGGACTGCAACTACACTGCAGCACAAATCTTGCTTTTACTTTGCTTTACTTGGTTTGGTACGCTTGGTACGCTTGGCACGCTTGGTACGCTTATTATTATCACATTGGACAATCTGTGTGTACATCTTACCTAGGGTATGTTTTTTTGCTTTTCGGAATCGGAATCGGAATTGGAATTGGAACATGTATTGGTCGGTTGAGCTTTGGACTTTGGACTTTGCAGGCCGGCGCTGCGAAATCCAGCCTCGCGTATCATACGCCCCGGATACCGGCATAAGATACCGGCATACATAGGGTCCGGCGCGCTGTCGGCGCCGCAACGGACCGGACCGTGTGGGCACTTGGCAGCGGGGTCTCCACGCCGCTCTTTGCGGAGCGGGTATAGATAGGAAATCACCCGGTACACATCTACATGGAATGATGGGAAGGCTGTATGCGAATATCAATCGATGGTGCCCCTCCCGCGCGGACATGGGGTATCATCACCACTATATACCGTGTGTTTTCCCGGCGCGCTCTAGTATCGGCTTGGTGCCCAGGCCGCCAGGCGGGGTAAGGGGATTGCTGCGTGTCGAGCCGGTTGGCGGGGCTACTGACGGGATGTCCAGTCCCGACCAATTTTGGGCATGATCGGGACTGGTCGGGATATATCCGGACTAAAAAAAATTCAGTCCGGAATGGTCGGGATATGTTCTTTTAGGTTCGGACTGGTCGGAATATACCTATCCGGACCGACCAGACATATGTATGAGGTCGGGATAAGTCTGGACAAGAAACGTTCGAGATTTGGCAAAAAAGTTCAGTACGCCGCCGGGAGTGAAGTAGTAGCAATTCTTTGGTATACCGGTAGACTACCTATCGCTATCACACCTGTCATCAGATCCTCCTCGCAAAGGGCTGCCAACGGCAAAATCTGCTCAATTGTTTCAACTCTCAACATCCCCCTTCGTACATAGCTACAATCATGCCATCCCTCTGCCAGCTTTTTCAGCACTCAACAGCCTCAAGCACGTCAGCTCCCATGCGGCGACGGCGATCATAGAGAGAGTGTGTGATCCATGCAGCGCTGAACATACGTTCCAGTGGCTCAGCACTCATCGCAGGGAGAGTGAGATACCTACGTCAAAGCCATATGGGCAAGATCTTTCGTTATTCCGGGGTCGGCTTAATTCGGGCCGACCGACCAACCGTTGGTCGGGACTGCACCTTGGCAGACCGACTCAGATCGATCTACCGACATGCATGGTCTGTGTACAGTAGTAAAAAATATGGGCTGCTCGGGACCAGAGTGCAACTTGAATGGTGCAATTTCCATGTTGTTTCAGTACCGTGATAGAATTTAGCACCCAATGTAATGCAGATTCATATGAATGCGTCATGTCCGAAATCCTGTCGCGCTACCGTAGTTGTAACACTCTGTACCGGTTTTATAATGCACATTTGTATGAAATGCTGGTGAACAATGCCTGATTTTATGACTGCGGGATCCGGTCTAAATGCTGCATTTACAGACAGGATGCCCGATGCCTTCAGTACGTAATCATGTACCCTTCGTAGTGCTATGGCTATCATAATACTAGGTAGCGAAACCACGTGCGGAATTCTTTTGAATGCCGTTTTCACGACATACTAGGTATTAGGTACGGCACTGTACGAATGGTTACAGCATTCTGGACGATTACCAACATAAAGGCAAATGCTCGGATATGACGACTGCTGCATAGAATTAGGATACCGTCTCCCCCTACTGCTACATGCAGGAGTCACCGCCGATCACACGGATCTGATAAGATTGGAGAAAGATAGGTGAACCGGGACCCGTCGCGGATAGCGTTTCTTGCTACTTACTACAACTGCTCCTCGCCCTCCTGCATCCGCTGCGAATGTCACAGACAGCTCCTCCATCACTTCTTCCATAACTTTTTTCTCACCAACAGTACCGCCACAACCCTCCCCAGATGCAGCTCTAGCTGCCCTGTGAATACCACCCCTCCCTCTTCCCTCCCTCTCCCCCCTCGCCATTGCTACTCACCCTGTTCGACCCATCGCACTTAGCATCTCTTGCTATTACAAATGCTCCTCACCCCCCTGTGTCCGCTGCGAAGTTCACAGACAGCTACTCCATCATTTCCTCACACTGACAAGTCCTCCCCGCTGGCAACTTCTCCATCACCTCCTCACGCTGACAACTCTTCCATCTTGTTGACAGCTACTCCTCCTAGCTGATAGCTCCTTCATCACCTCCCCTCGCTGACAACTCCCCCATCTTGCTGACAGCTCCTCTTCTCACAGACAGCTCCTCCACTTCCTCACGCTGACAGTTCCACCACAACCCGCCGCGAACGCAGCACAGGCTGGGCTGTGAATATCGCCCTCCCCTTCCCCCCATCCCTACTGCTACTATTCGCTCTGCTAGATCTGCAGCTGATACAGCACTGAATTCGCCTAAGAATTGCCCTCTTCCTAACCTGGATACAGCACTGGATTGGCCCTGGAGATGGACCCTCTCGCTGCCATGGAGATGGATTCCCTCGCTGCCATAGAGATAGCCCCCTCTCGCTGCTGTGGAGCAGTACTGGCTGCGCTGTGGATATTCCCCTCCCTATTGCTTCTGATCCCGCTAATTGCCCCGCTTCCAGTCCTACTCCCCGCCCTGCTAATTACGTGCTTCTAGTCCACCTGGACACCGCAGATACCATCTCCTTCCTACTGGTGCTTGCCTGCTGGCCCGTCTGTGAATACCCCCCGCTCCCCCCCACATCCACGCCCTTTAAATAGTTGCTGATGAACGAGGATTCCTCAGTGTCGTCGCATAGGGTAACTGCTCATCCTCAGCCACAGATCCAATCTCAGATAATAACCTGCAGAGGGGTGGAGGTGGGGGGGGGGGGGGGAGGTCTAAATTTCTGGCCGTGTGAGTAGTTCCCACTCCCGCCGCAACTGCTACTCTCGGCGCAACTCTAGATATTCTGGTCGCAACTCTAGATATTCTGGTCGCAACTCTAGATATTCTGGTCGCAACTCTACCCTTCCCAGCACTCTACCCTCGCTGGTAGCTTCTCTCTCATAGCTTTTCTAGCAGCAACTCTATTCTCCATTCCCCTCGGCGCAATACATCCACTTGGCACAGGCTAGAAAGAATATTAAATAGTGAAGGAAGTAGAGAGAATACTAGATAGAAGTTCAATGCGAGACACACTGGATTACTGCATACAAACCGGTCCGTAGTGATATAAAATCAGCATTCACCCCGGTACTACTATAAGAGTTGTGCAAAGACGCATTCATTTGAAAGCCAGCATTCATTTGAATACCAGCATACTGCTATACCGATCTGGAAAGTTTATGAGCTTTGTGTGAAGACGCATTCATTTGAATACCAGCATGCTGCCATAGCGCGACCAAAATCAAATAACAGGATGATTCACATCTATCGGTACCGACGTGGCAATGCGCATTACTTTTCTCAGTATAATCATTTTTTGGCCGTAAATATTCCGCTGTTTTTGGATTGCCTCCAATCATTCTACTGCCGCCTGGCTCTGGTACTGCCTCCATACCGATCAGCCCTAGTTGTTTACCACTGTATGTAGAATACTGGAACTGCGGGGCGACGAAGTCGGAGTACTACTCTAGTCACTGCCGCGGGCAAAGATGTCCAGAGAATGGTGAGGGCAGCGCGAGTGAACCGTCGGGTACGGAAGACTACCTAGGAGGAAGAGTGGCATGTGCGGAGCTCGTTGGAGCTTCGCTTTTGATGCTACGCTGGCGGAGATGGGGGGGGCGGGGGTGAGAAGGCTCAAGCCGGCCGATCACGTGATAAAAGCACCGTGTAGGATTCGGAGGAGACGGGAACGGGTGTAGACTTGCAATTTTTTGGACACGGTCGAGTGAAATATGATGAACCAAAAGAGAAAATAAAAGGTCCGACAGCAATCATCCGATCGACAGAGTAGAGAGAAGATCATGCGGCCTCCCCAATGTTTCCAAAGCCTAATCAACCGAGGTGGCTTCCAATGGGACAGTCATGGGAATATCACGTGAGTGCCACGGGACAAGAGCTCTCACTCGCGAGAGGAAAATCACCTTTCACCTTGAGCATTGAGGGGCGCGAAGGAAGAGGCGGCTTGGCGTCATAGGTGAACACAGGGGAGAGGAGACCTTGTTGAGACCTTGTTGAGACCTTGCATTTGGGAGGAGAGACCTTGTTGGGACCTTTGGGACCTGGTGGGACCTATGTGCTATGGAGGGCAGGCCCGATGCAGTCGTTAAAACGTTGAATTGTTTTCTCTTGTTGCTTCTCTGTCCGTCTTCTCTGTCCGTCTTCTCTGTCCGTCTTCTCTGTCCGTCTTCTCTGTCCGTCTTCTCTGTCCGTCTCTTGTTCATCACAACAGACATCATCATCATAAACCTTTCCAATTGATCACGTTTTTTCTCTCATATCCGTTCTATCAAGCTTTTTCTTCTGCATTCGACGGTCAGTCGCTGACCTCTCTTCACACGATTAATCCTCTCGACTGATTAGTCTCAGGTTCTACTTGTCCCGGAGGCTGGAGCTACGCTCCCTCTACAAGTAGAGCCACCGACGGTCCGTCCTCTGCCCCTTCGTCACAGTTTCTTGCTGAAGGAGTCCCGAAGCACTCTCACAGTCCATTCTAATTTCTTAGATAGTCACCACTGTTCCCCGAGGACGCCGTCCATCTACTCCTACTATCAACGAACCCCCCCAGACACAATAACTGGGACGACCCTCCTCGGTGACCTCTGCCAAAACCGAGGGCCATTCCCAACTTCAAACCACCGAGAAGGCCAGTATTATTGCAGGCTTTCATCGCCCCGTCGAGCTTGCCACTGGAAGCCCATCTCGACAATCTTCCCGATTCACTCGGGTTCTCACCAGCCTTACCATTGACCAGCCCGTCAACCACCTCTCCGATTGCATTCCCTCCCGGAGGACCGAGAAGAACTCAGGGTTAGTACCACGCCCAAGACTGCACTTCCTGTACGAATCCAATCTCTGTCACTTATCCCGGCAATCTTCACGACACCAAGCGTGACACTAGAATTGACAATGTTTACTGACTGTCTCACTCGCAGGTCCGTCAGACGGTGACATATTCTCCAGACTTTCATCTGATTTCGACTCGATTGTACGGCGAGCAACAGAAGCTCTCGTCGCACCCATAGTAAAATCACAGAAGCTCCACCTGACGTCCCTCGGCCAGGCCCGCGAACGCCAACACACCGAGCAACAGTCGAAACGGTTCTGTACACACAGATCGTCCGACGTCCTGCCACCCCGAAGTTTTCGCAGTTCCGGAGGCCGAACCGAAGCCGCACCCCCTAGAGAATACATAAACCCTTTCGATACACCATCCGGGGCACGGCACAACCGGAAACGTCAACAGGCTGACATCGACGACGTCATCGAGTCGTTCTCCAGTCTTCTGACGAGAAACTTCCCACGTCCCGAAACACCAGATATGGACAGACTCGCAGAAATAAAACCGTCGGAGGAACTACGTCAGATGTTCAAAGAAATCGCGACTGCCCAGTCGGAAGCAGCAATGCAGACTCGACGCGATGGACAGGCCTCCCAACAATCTAGAGGACCTGACGCAAATGCAGTCGATCTTGCTAGAGAGCGAGATGCGCAACTTGCCGCAGCGTTGAACGTCGCTAGAGACCGTCTCAAGTCCATGGTCGCGGAACGGAACAAGATTAAAACCGGTACCTGGGTGGCCCCGGAAATGGACTTGAACGAACCTCATATCGTGGTCAGCATCCTACCAACGTTGCCCGACACCAGTGATGCACCTGCCTCGCACGCCTACGAGTTCGATCCAAACATACTGCCGAAACTCGAGTACGGCAAAAACATCTTTCATTGGATCAAGGCAATGAAAATCATGGTCAACATTTATGGAGAGCAGCGAGTGTGCTCATCGGTCTTCCCGTACTGCCTGGTTGAAGGCTACGCAGTATACTACTGGTTTCTCTACCTCGGCGACACCGATATCGAGTACATGATCTCTCGGCCTGGTTGTTGGGAGTTCATGAAGAGAAGAATGACCGCAAGGTGGGGCATCTCGTTAGGACTATTCCAGGACGAATGCGACCGAAGGCTCAAGAGGGTAGACGAATCCTATACAGTCTACGCATACGAAAAACTGCATCTCATCGAGGGAGCATACCTAGGTTTCAACGAGGATAATAAGGTGCTAAAAATCAGGGCCGGCCTGGACCCATCAGCCAGTCAATACTGCAGAGAATATAAAAGCCTCGATCGCTTGACGGACGAATGCATGTGATTCGACGAGGGGATGGCCTCCGCAGCAAGGGATGAAGAAAATAGAGCAGCGCAGGCACGTCAGCGAGCCTATGGAAGATACCGCGAGAGGGGTGGGGGACGCATGCACCGTGGAAGAGGAGGAAGGATGACCGATAGACAGTGGAGAGAAGGATAATGATGATGATGAGAAAGGCTCAGCGGTGGATAAGGATGGAAAGATTTGAGGGTGCTACGGAGGATCACTTTTTTTTCCTCCAAAAGATGTGTTTCTGTACTATTTGTTGATGTGTTTTTTTTCTTCTTCGGATCTCTGTTTCTAAGAGATGTGTTATGGTCATGCGGACTACCTTTACCTTGAGAATCAAGCTTCTTCTCAATTCGACGGTCAGTCGCTGATCTCGCTTCACAATCAAACCCCTCGACCGATTATGTAAACTCAAGTTCTACGTGTCCTAGACGTATCCTAGTGCCTACGCTCCCTCCACAGTGATTGTAAGGGCTAGTTGCACAATTGGATGGGCTGCTTGCGCTGCAGCCTAAGTCCAGACGTTTGGCCGGGCTGTTTATGCTGATTCCTATGGTGATGGCAAGTCGGGGCAGGGCAAGAATCATTTATCGCAGCGGAAGAGGATATTCTATACATACGGGAAGGAAGTCTGAAGAGATGCGAGGATTCTGCACTATTACCCGAAATGTTTTCAGAACCGGGCTCTTCCAGGGGAGGACGATTTAGTGATGGTTTTTACTGTTATTGTTGTCGAGAGGGTGGTTTAGTGGCAGCGATAGGGGTGGTGTGTATGGTTTCCGATATCCATCACTCGCCCCGAATTATCGTCGGTTCAGTCTGGCGGGCTTATGGGCTGTCAGCCTAGGCTACAGGTAAAGCCCGCTCGGTCGAGCCACTTTCTCAATCAAGTGGCGATATGTGACTGAAGTTTGAACCGAGCATGAAGCTTGGATAGATAATGCAAATTCCGAGTGACATTCGCTGAACCCCTTACACAGGTCCCAGGCTCCAGCGGCCATTCACTCTCACTCTCACTCTCGACTCCTCATCCCCTCACGCTGCGGCCATTGATTATTGACTCCTCAACCCTTTAGTACTTACCCAGCGGCCATTCACTCTCGACTCCTCATCTCCCTAAGTAGCGGCCATTCACTATCGACTTCTCATTCCCTTACCCAGCAGCCATTCACTATCAACTCCCCAATAAGCCCCACCAACTACCAAGCACCTTGTGGGGGTCGACTGGCGAGTGGGAGAGAAACCCAGGCATGTGATTCCTATTCTCTAGAGCGCCCGTGGCTCGTGCCGTCCGGCAGACGTATGGTACGGAAGGTGGATCGGTGATGCAGTCTAGGTATCGTCCACCACCGGCGTAGCTTGCGCACACATGGTCGTTTATAGGCCACGATGATCCCAAGTTCTGAATCGCCGAGTGATCGTAAACGAGACTTCCTGGGCCCGCCGTATTTGAGGGATGCATATTTCCGTGACGAAGTAGTAGAGCCGAAGACGAAACTTTCACTGCCACCGCAGCCTACTGTGGTGGAGCGAAAGGAGGAGCTTTCGGCGAGAGGAGGAAGTGAAGGAGGACCTGTCGGCGGGAAGAAGCGAATGTGGTTAGTGGTGGGCATCAACGTTGGTGGGCCTCAACGTTGGCGGGCATGGCGGGGTCTTCTTCTTCTTCTCCTCCTTTCTCGATCATCCTCTACAGAATAGACGATCAACCCCTATCTCCCCTTTCTTCTGTGTGTGCTCTCCTCTCGATTCCGCCTCCAGCCTGGAGGGGTGTTGGCAAAAGAGCCGTCTGCAAAACCACAGCAGCAACAGCAGCAGAGCCCCCGTCTCCGACGATTTCATACCTCGCCTTCCCATTAGCCATCCCGCTCTGCTCCTCGAAAGCCTCTCGCTACAGTATCCTCTTTCCACTACCACAATTGTCAATGGCTCGGTTTTGCGACTTGTCCCTTAGCACCTCGGGAATGCCCGTCGTTCTGCCAGCAATATGTCCGCCGCCCGCCGCGAATACACGCTCTGGACGGTCGTCGTGTGGATGCCACCGACCCACCGTGGTGGTAGTTGAAGCGTGGCCGGCAGTAGGGGTGGACCGTGGATGGAGGGAGCGCTCGACGAGTGAAGGGTGTGGATGGATGGCTGGAGAGATGCAGCAGCTCAGTATTCGAGATGGTCCAGTCCGTTCGTCCTGAGACTCGGACTGGACTGGAATGTATCTTGGCAGTCCGGACCGGACTATTTCAAACACTGGGGATGCTTGGGGGATGGAGGGGGATGGATGTGGAAGCACATAGATGATAGATGGATGGGTAAAGGGGGATCACCAGTTGAATTTCAACCTCTCGTTTACTTGCGCCCCTGGATGTTGCAAGCTGTGGTGGATTAACATATGCGGTCGGTGCAGGAGATGGATGCCGAGTTGCCCCGCTATGGCCTGACGCAAAGACGGAAGTTTCCTGCTTGTTAAGGGGTCATAGGTCGGATACTCGGAGATGATAGGTACATCGCGGCATGGTTCGAGATGACGAGTCCTGAACTCGGGCGAAGCGAATGGCGGGGCGGGGCGGCGAACACTGGAAACGTATGCTCTCCTATACCGTATAGTACTGTGGAGACAAGTCGAAACTACTCTACTTGGCGATCCAATCATCCGGTCGGCAGTGTGCAGCCACTCCTCGATGTGGCGGTCTGTCCGAAATCTGAGGTACGGGAGAACCCTCGTATGTACTTGTTACTATTCATACCGCCATCTGCCGGGTGCAAGGAACATACTTGGCGAGTGATACCCGGTGCAGCACTTTACTAATCCGGCGAGGTATGTAGGTACCAGCCCTTCCCCAGTCATTCAACCGGTTTACGTCAGGAAAAAAACTCGCCTCGCCTCGCCGTTGACTATCTCGGTTCGCTCTGCTGGGACCACCTCCCCTTTCCCATCTACCGAGGGGACTCTGGCTCTTGCCGGTCGTCGTCGTCGGTTCCGTCGTCGGCCCCCGGCACCAACCCCCTCGCCCCCTGGCCCTGGAATACGCATAGGTATCGGTATATTCCTACATATCGGCAATGACGGCAGTCGCGAGGATACTTACACTTACTACAACTGTAGCACACCCCCCGTCCCCGGTACGTTCTCGAGCAGGACGATCCACTCTGATATCTAAGCTCGTCTGGACTCGCTGCACAACGGAAAGGAAATCTCCGACCCAGACCCGGACCGAACCACCACCGCCACCACCACCCCGTATTCGTGAAAAAATACCATTCGATTTTCGAAGAGAGTTCCTTCCTTCCGAAGCGGAAAGGAAAAGTGGCATGGTATTTCCAAAATCCAGCCACAGTATATAGTAAAAAAAAGATACCCGTATCCCTCCGGTTATTCTGTACAAAAATGTGTAGGACATCCAGTCTGTGTTGGATACATACTGGACACATGGCATAGTAAAATATGCCCCCATAAAACCAAAAAAAAACTACCTAATCCAGAGTTCCTCCCGAGCGACCAAGCAAGCAAGCACACAAAATGCGAGTGAATATAGTAGAATCATAAAAAGAAAAAACATAAATCTTTCTATACCCCCCGCGCCCGGCCCATCCGAAAATAAAAAATTGAATCCGTAAAAAAGTTTTGAAGGTTAGACAAAAGAAATAAACCCCGGGGCACCCGAAAAAATCAACCGAACCGAACAAGCAAACCAACCAACCAGACACCGTTCCGTTCCGCGCTCGCTTCGAGCTTCGAGATATTCAGACCGCCGGCCCTCCGCCGGTCCTATTGCTGTACTCGACGGTATACTCGACGTTCTTGACGACGTGGCCGGGCGCCGAGGGGGGGACGATGTGCTCCTCGCTGTCGTTGCCGGACTCGAGCTGGCTGCCCTTCTTGCTGGCGAATATGCGGGTGGAGTAGCCGCTGTCCTCGCCGTTCTTGGACACGCCGCCCAGCTTCGAGCTGAACGGACTGCGCCCGGACTTCTTCATCTCGTAGCCGTCTCCTGATGAGCCCAGGTTCGTTACGACGTTCTTCAACAGTGGTCGCAAAGCTGGCAGCGAGGTGCAGATCAACCCCATGTTCACTTCGACACAGGTGCAGAGCTCGGCCGAGGCCCAGTACCTGAAAAAACTTGTTAGCTTTCTGGAGGTACGGCGGGGGTGTATAGATGAGACGCATCAGACGACGTACCAGCTAAAGTCCATATTGTTCAGCGCGATGGCATTAGTGACCTGGCGAGCGATGGTGCAGAAGATGGTGAGCGCGCCGACGGCAAACACAACGACCAGGGCAATCTTCTTCTTGTGGTTGATCTGCAATCCCTTCAGGATCGGAATCGGCAGGACGGCGAGCAGCAGATCGGTAAAGATGTGGAACGCGGCGTTGAAGTAGTTGAAGCTCAGAATGTCGATGCAACCGACGGGGAACGTGGGCTGCCAGATGATGGCGACGGGATCGCACATGTGCGCGGTCGTGATGACGGCCGCGATCGTGTGCGCCAGCACCGCGCCGCCGATCCACTTCAGCGCCGACTTGTGTTTGGGCTGCGAGGCCAGCCGGTGGTATAGTGCTACGATCGCGCACTTGACGCATCCTAATGCCCCGTAGTAGAAGATCTGAGAGAGCCACGCCCATTTCCGCGCCACCAGGAATTCGTCCATCGTCAGGTTGATCAGGTGCTTGCCGATGCCCAGCCGGAACATGATCGGAACGCACACGATGATGGCGAGCGACCATAGCTGTGGAATAATGGAATTAGACAAATTCGTTGCTGCGAGATGTTCGTCGGTCGATCGGTCGACGTAAAGTGTAAGCTTACCGTTGCTATGACGAGGAAGAAGTCATCCAACCCAAACGTCTTTACGATCATGATTCGGGCATAGAGTCTTTTGGTTTCATCACACTCGTCAGTTGCGTGATTCCTCGACGATGACGCGGAGGGGGATGTATCTACCGTGCGGCCACAAAAAGTATCGCGATTGCGAACGACACGTAGCAACCAGCCTCCAGTCCCGCAGTTCTTGCATAGTCCTCCTCGGTCGGAACTAGCCCTGGTGCGTTGACCATGGTTACAGACTCGAGTTCGGATTGTGTTCGTAATTCGGGGTCGGGGGGTGGGGCGGAGGTCCGTATATCTATGAAGAGAGGGGATACCGGTGCTTGAGGCTACCGACGACGTCAGATTCAAATCTCGGATATGTCGAGTGTATGTATCGGTCCTGGATCTCTCTTGACGGAATCCCCACGGGCAGCACCCTACCATGAGTAGGTATTTATTTGTTTGGGTAGGCCCATGAGTGGCCCACAGCGTGCCGAGCAGCTACTACCTAGTAGTTACTAGGACGTTCAGACCGCTGTCATCGTCCGCGGGCGGGAGGACCCCATGTCCTAGGAATGTAGCCCCAAGTTTCGCGGAACTTTGTGACAGACTTGGCAGCTTGGTTTCCAATGCGTCCCTACTCGACTCTACCACCCAGCAACAGCCCCGGCAGAACACCGCCGTCGCCCGCAGATGTCAAAACGGGCTCTTGCATTAGCTGTATCATAGATGCCGCGCCCGAACGAAATGCCAGCCCGCCAGCCAGCCAGCATCATCACCACCTCCACCGTCCGCAACCCGGTTCCAACCAACCAGCTCGCCACTCAAGCCTTCGGGAGAGAGAGGCTCCCCAGCGGTTGAGGCCAGCCCCATGCAGCAGCAGCAGAGATTCAGGTTTTCGTCTCGGACCAATGCGATGGAGGGGGGACGAGGAGGAGGCCCGTTCGCCGACTCGCCGACTCGCCAGAAACACGATGCAGTTGGGGCACTCACACTGAGCACAGCTACTAGTTACCGGTTGGTAGTAGTAGAGTAGGAAAGAGTAGATTCTCATCACGATGGCTGGAACAAAATGGCGGGAGCTTAGACGGACGATCGGCCGATTGACCCCACCGGCCCCCAGAGCAAGAACTCGACAAGAGTTGTTCCATCTTCCACGGCAAGGCCGAGCTCGCTATGGTACCTTTGTAACTACCAACTCGGAGCCGTGCTCTACTCTTTTTTTCGCGTAGCTTTCGGCATTCCCTTTCCAACACAAGGAATGGAAACGAAAGGGGATCAAAGATAACTACTAGAGTGCTATAGGCAACTGAATGAAGGTTGGGGCCTGAAGAGAAAAAAAGGATTCGTTCGACAAGTGACGAGTTGCAGCGGGCGTGGGGCTATTCCCTTTCGAGCGGAATCATCTAGTTATAGAGATGCTCTAGTTGGCTGTGGCTTTTGCGCACATGCGTGTGTATGAAAGAGTAAGCCAATCAGAATGTCCAACACTTTCCTCCAACTGGCGTCTCCAATTCTTCACACACACAAACACACCCTAAATACAACTCTAGCGGTCGAGTATTCCGCGGCCACCATGGAGAGAGAGAGAGAGAGAGAGAGAGAGCCCGAGCCTTAATTTGTCGTCGTGACTGAAAAGCAGTTGGTTCCAGGCCTGGCAGGCCGCCTCCCTCCTCCCTCCAAAGGCTGTATGTAGGTACCGTATGTATGTACCAATGAAAATCCTCCCGCGACCCACTTCTTTTGTGCACCCCTGAGTCCCCCCCCACCGACCAACCCCTTAGGTGGGGATATACCTCAACCGACTTATGTATAATCCATCGCGATGAATACGGAGGTTGTTCACCTGCCTGCCGATACGACGAGTAGGTACATAACCGATGCAACTCGGCTGGGCTGGGCTGGGCTTTGGCCCGAGGAGGAGCAGGAGCAGGCGGAGGAGCAGGCGGAGGAGCAACGGAGTCAGCGTATGGATGCGGTAGGTATCCAGGCATGTCATTGTTTCGGCAGCGCAAGAACCAGGACCCGACAGGCAGGAACATCCCCCCCTTCCCCCTCAATTGCCGGTAAAGCTTGTGTCCGTGCGGTGCAGATCTGTGTTTGTTTTGTTTTTTTGGGCGGCCAATTATCAACTTGCCCCTCCGGTTCCGTGACTTGTGGTCGTGATGATGACACGGCCGCTTCGGGATGGTTGGATGTGTAGATGTAGAGCTGTACCTGGCCAACTGTCAGAGCTATGCCTAGGTACATACCGGTAGGCATCTACCCGGTAATAGTTGGTGTCCTTACTGCTGGGAGGAGGAGGGGGGAAGGTACGGTGGAGTATCGACACGCAAGCAGCTTCGTACCTATCACCCGAGCTACAATTGCAGTTGCAGTTGCAGTTGCAACTCCAATTCCACTTGCCGCGGGGTGGAGAGAGAGGGGATAAGAGAATCACGCGAGGGGATCCCGAGAGAGGCTGACTCGTTTCCGGTAGATATGTACATAGTTGCATGGCTGCGTCAGGCCGTGTTGAAAGAAATGGCTGCAACATTCTTCTCGGAGCCGATCAGATGGATCAGATGGATCATACGGATCAGATGGATGATGGATCAGATAAACGCGGCGCAGGTACTGCTGCTGCTACTGCTGCTACTGCTGCTACTGCTGCTACTGCTACTACTGCTATTATTACTATTACTATTACTATTGCTACTACTACTATTACTACCGTATAGTACTACTATTAGTACTCTACTGCTACTACTACTACTGCTACCACTACTGCTACTATTACCGGTACTACTACTTACTACAGTATCGCGTAAAGATTGGCACTTCCGGAAGCCCGCGAGATCGCAGAATGTGCTGTGGTGGCGTGGTTGTTGACATCTATCCGCAACGATCCCGCGCAGCGCACCACTGGGGCGGTACTCTACTCTTTACCATCATAGGTAGTACTCATCCTACAGACGCTTCGGCGTTTCCTTCTCGGAAACGATTTGCAGGTGCCAGGTGCATGTTTCATCCCACGCAGTGACGCAGATCACTGACGACCCGCCCGCCGCAGGCCGCGCTTATTCTCCATCGGGAAGCTGCCAACCGTCGCACAATTTGCACCTTCTTCTGGAGCCCAGGAAGAAGGGGGGGCATCCAACCATCCAACCAACCAACCAACAGCTCCCCCGGCTCCTCCCCGAGGCAGAAAACCAAGTCATTAGCATGGGTTCCGCCCGAATAACAATACAACATAACACAACGTCGCCAATAGGATTGTTGGATTGGGGGCGTGAGATGGGAATGTGCAACTTGCAATGGACACGACATATCTCGCCTAACAGCTGTGGAACACTGCAACTGGGGAGGGAGGGGGGCTGTTTCTGTTCTTGTTTGTGTTCCTGTTTCTGTTCCTGATAACCACGCCAACTAACTACTACTTCTGACCACCAACTACTTCTAACTACTAACTACTAACTACTATTACATAGGTATCTATAGTAATACTTGCCTACCTATACCAACGACCCCCTATTCCGGTAGCGAAGAGAGAGGGAGACACTCGAGAAGGACATCAAGGGAGGGAGAAATAAACGGCAACTACCGCTGTTCCGTCTCGGTGGCAGAAGGCTTGCTTGCTGCCGGGAGTTGATTAGCTAGTGCAGGCCGGAAAGGAGAGCCAATTCCAGTTGCAGTAACGAGGTGGGGGGCTTTCCCTTTCCGCAGGCCCAAAGGTGATGGAGTACGGTAGGAAGCATACCCAGAGTAGAACGCACGTCGCATAGTGGTCTGCGGCTATACCGAACGTGTCCGGTCGAGCAACCCAGAGCAAGAATATACGGTAGACTAGGTAGATATGATACGGTACCCTTGCAACTGCTGCCAGCCGTCCGTCCGTCCTTCCGTTTCCAACCGACTTCTTCACCACACGCCTAGAGTAGAGAGAGTACCGCCGACTGTACAGAGCTAGCGCCAGCTGACGACTTTCGGCGTCAGTCTTCGAATGAGTAGTGTGGGGGATCGCATAGTAAGAGACGCGGACTCCAGTCTTGGCCCCTGCTCACCGCTACCACCACCACCACCACCACCACCATCACCATCACCACCACCACCACCACCACCACCACCACCACCACCACCACCACCATCACCATCGCCACCACTAACACCGCAGCCCCCATACCCGGTGGGAAAGGGCCAGACAGCGATTACCGATTGGGGAGCAACAAGGTGTCCTAGGCCAGTTGCGTCTGTAATAATCATACGTGCATATTTCAATTCCGCCACCGTTGGGTTTGTGCGGTTGAGTGCCGCGTGCAGAGTACCTAGGATCAAGTTAACTGCCTACATCGACGCGGGGGAAGTGTCCGTTTCTTCCCTTTGAAACCCTCGCCCACTCCCCTGGGCCAGACTTCGCGGAGCTCCGGGGGGTCACCCGCCAGTGCCCGCAATCACGCCGGCCGTATGGGCTAGGTAGGTACAGTACCTACCATAGGTTTGCGTGACTTCCAGCACGACGGTTGCTCGTCTTGCACGTGTGGAGTAGGCACTGCATGTGGAGCGGACGCACGGATCCTCTCGTGAGCCGAGTAGGGACAGTGCTTGCAAGTTCATGGTCCTGGGAGACACCCGGAAACCCACACGGTGGCTGCGTACAACTCCGTCCCTTCGGCTAAGTGTCCCCCCTCCACCTCAGGTGTTGTCTGCTACACGGCATAGAAGCATACCGGTGCTGGGAGCCATTGGATACTGCACGCCTATCAGCTTGCAGCAGCCGCAGCAAGTGGAGTACCGACGCTCTCGAACAGTGCTCCCACCTTCCTTTTGTTGTTAAATGACTACGAAGAGCTCAAGCGCCATCCAATCTCTTCCGCTGCCATGTCAGCAACCCCCCTCCAAAGCAAAAAAAGCTCGGGCTCCTCCTCTCCAACTTCGCATATTAATATTTCATCCCTCCTCCCACGTTTTTACACTCGGTCTTCACTTCCCACCAAGGAAACCTTCACTCCCACGTGTCTTTTGCCTACCTTTTCTGTTTTCTGTTTTCTGTTTTCTGTTTCCGTCACAGCACCGTGAGTGAGTGAAGCCGCGCAACCATGCTTCTCTCAGGCCTTCTTTCGAATCCTCTGTTCTATCCGGTAGCCCTGGTGGTCTCTGCAGTTTCCTGGGTGGTGTATCAGCGCGTGTACTCACCGTATGCTGGCATTCCCGGCCCGTTTTGGGCGTCCATCACCCGGTTCTGGTATCTCCAACGGATCAATGCCGAGGACATGCACCGGTACACGAAGGCGCTGCACAAGAAATACGGTATGTCATGATGCCCTCCGCATGTGGGAATGATCGATCACTCCGTATCCAAAGCTGACACTCCGCTCAGGTCCCCTCGTCAGGATTGCCCCCAATGAGGTCTCCGTCTCCGACCCCGCCGCCATGAAGGCAATCTATGCCATCAACGCAGGTTACACCAAGGTTCGTACCTTTCTCACTGCGTAATGTCGGGGCGAGAATCCAAGCTGTCGGTACTGGCCGCTGGAACCCCCACCATGCGGAGTCAGTGCCGAGGGCATGGAGAAGCGAATGACTGCAGTCTCCAGGGGGAGGAGGGCGTGTTTCGATATGACTTACCCACTGACACCGCTCACAGACCGACTTTTACCCCACACAAGCTCCCAACCTCTGTATGTTCCCCCCGAAAGTGATCTCTGGATTTGGTTGCAGTCCGCTGACGGTTCTGGCCGCTTGCAGCCCCCCATGGCGATTCCTTCACCCAGCTCGACGAGAAGAAGCACAGCTTCCGGCGCCGCATGATCCAAAACATCTTTTCCATGTCCTCAATCTTGGAGTCGGAGCAGTACATCGACAACGCCACCAATGCTTTCTTCACCGTTCTGGATGAGTTCGCCGAGAACGGAAAGTCCATCGACATGGGCGAATACCTGCAGTGGTACGTAGCAATCTTCACTGCCGACCAATCTCCTTACTAACGCGGAATGTGCGATAGGTATGCTATGGACGTCATCGGCGAGCTCTTCTTCGGCCGCATGTTCGGTTTCATCAACGAGCGCCGCGACGTCGGCGGCTACATCGGAGCCGTCGACATCATCCTTCCCCACGCCATCCGCATGGGTGTTCTCTACAACTGGATGCGTCCCTTCCAGGTTCTCCTGCTGCCCTTCTCTGCTTCTCTCCGTCACGGACTCAAGGTTTTCAACTCTCTTGCCGCCGAGAGCAAGCGTCTCGTAGATGAGCGCAAGGGCAACAAGTCCACCCGGACGGACATGCTGGCAAAGCTGCTCAAGGTTGCCGACGAGAAGGCGCCCGATTTCGACATCACCGACGTGTACACCGAGTCCTACACCGCCATCTTCGCCGGCGGCGACACCACAGCCATCGCCATGCGCACCGCCCTGTACCACCTCTCCAAGAACCCCTCGGCCAAGTCCAAGCTGCAAGCCGAAATCGACGCCGCCCAGGCGGAAGGCCGGCTCAGCGCCAACATCACCTACGCCGAGGCCCTCAAGCTCCCCTACCTCGTCGCCGTCATCAAGGAGTCGATGCGCGTGCACCCCTCGATCGCACTGACCTTTCCCCGACACGTACCTACCGGCGGCCGCGAGATCTGCGGACACTTCTTTACCGAGGGCTGCCGAGTGGGTGTGAACCCGTACGTGCTGCACTACGACGCGAGCATATTCGGCAAGGACGCGGAGGACTTCAACCCTGACCGCTGGTTCCGCGACGAGGCCGCCAATATGGACCGCTACATGTTTCAGTTTGGATCCGGTGCCAGGACTTGCATCGGAAGGAACATCGCTATGGCTGAGATCCACCGCTTCATCCCACAGTTCTTTAGACAGTTCGATATTCAGCTCACAAACCCCGAGAAGGAGTGGGTCGAGCACAACACCTGGTTCGTCAAGCAGACCGGCATCGAGGCCAGGCTGACGAAGCGGAACGTTGCGGTTTAAACTTTCTTTCGTTCATTCGTTCATTCATTCAATCATTTCTATTGCATTGCCTCCACTTCTTTTTTTCTTCTTTCCCTTTATAAAAATTATTTTATTTCTGTGCATTCTTTTACATACATCTTCCGGGTTTCTTTTCCTTTTCTTTTCCCTTTATTTTTTTTTGTTCGACCTCGACGGTTTTCTCTTTGCCACTATCCTTCACTCCATGGTTTAAGTTGCTCCGGTCTTCAGGGGGGGTTTCAAGTTTTTTTCTTCCTCCAAATCTTTCAATTTATCCTTACTTACTCTATGTAAGTTGAAAATAAAGAGAGTGTGTGGGTGTGTATAGTACTAGTATCTAACTGTAGATATGTGTGTGCATTGCGGCGTGTGTGCGTGTGCGTATCATACGTGTCTGTATTCATGTGTGAGTGTATTCGTGAGAAAAATGTGTGTGTGTGGTTATTCGCCTCACCATACAAGCATCGTATTGTAGTGTCCATCGCATTGCAGTGCCGCCCGCTGCCGCCCCCTAGTTGTAGCCAGACTTCAGGTCAAAATAAGGTATCCCAACGCGGGCGGCCATTAGTCCATTAGTTTGGCATCGTTAATTCGTTCGTTCCCGCGTCGAGACACACCGGGGCCTTGGCATGTCAAGAAGCGGCCCGAGCCCTGTTTCGTCTCCTGGCTCTCCCTGCTGCTCAGCCCTTGTTGGTGTGGGGGATGGAAAAAAGAAGAAAAAAAGAATAGGGGTAATCAAAGTGCGGTGGTTTGCTAGCTCGGTGGTTTCGCCCGCTAGAAAGGAAGGATTTTTATTGGCCTTTGCAAAGCCACCGATCCCACCGAACCCACCACCGAGCTAAGGAAGCCTCACTAGATAAAAGATGGTTAGAATTTTTGGTGTCGGCTCGGCGGCGGTGTGTATAAAAGAAACTCTGCTCTGTCCTTTGAAGTTTGTACTGAGGGGGAACGAAACAACGCCACAGGGCGGGGTGTAATCGTACGGCGCCACACACCAAAAGTCGTTACCACCACAGCTGGCATTCTTGGTGCCGTAGATGGTCACGACTTCTTCTTTTGTCCAACCCTCAGTACAAAATACTCCGTAGTACTGCCTCAATGCCTTGTACATAGAAGAGAGCACGGGTATTGCAACGCCTAAGCACATTACATTTGAGAATCGAACAGCGACTTGGTGGTAGTGACGATTCGGAGGAGATTTTTTTTTTTGCATGTCGTCGCAGACTAGTGATCGCGACAAACCCACCGACAAACCCAACTGGGGGAATCAAAGTGTCTTCGTCCTCATTGGCCAAAATCAGCACGCTAAAAAGCCACTGAGCTAGCAAACCACCGCACTTTGATTACCCCTAATGGGAAATGCTTGGCGGGCTGACTGGCCAGAGGTCTAGGACCGTGCACCGCTGCGCGGCGTTCTCGCTCTCGCCTATGGAGTGCTAGTACTAGCAGTTACTTACTAGCAGTTACGGCCAGCGAAGAGGCTGGGAGGGGATGGGGGAAGGGAAGGGAATGGAAAGGGAAAAGGAAAAGGGGATTTGTTGTTTTATTTTCTTTTCTGGAACCAACTTTATGTTCCAATCAGTTCTAACTTCTCCGGCCGAGGTAGCTATATTACTACTTTTATACGTAGTCTCCGGAACGATAGAGTAGCAATAGCGTGTGTAATGCTATACTCAATGCCGGTATGCCGGTACTTTCCATCTCCTCCTCCTCCCGCTTCTGCTTTTGCTTCTGCCTCCGCTTCTTCTGCCTCCGCTTCTGCTTCGGCTTCTGCTTCGGAGGAAAGGGGAGAATAAGCGTTTCGTTTCCTGCCAACTAACCCGGTAACTACTTCCAACTAACTAATTGCAACTAACTGCCAACTAACTACCAACAAGCGCAAATTACATTCCCACTGTCCCGGGTTGCTTCCTATCATACACAGACAGACAAGCAAACATAATAAGCAAACATAATAGGTACCTACTCTACATTATATGACAAGTGTGCCGAGCCACTGCGTCGCGAAACGAGACGAGGCTGATAGCGGCACGGGCTGTCAGTCAGTGTTTAATTTGATTGAAGGGCGGCCAGAACTGCGGAAGCCGTTGGCGTTGGTGTTGGCGCTTGGGGGGAACGGGATGGGAAGGGGAGATGTGCGGCGAGAACTGCGGAAGCCAATGGCGTTGGCGTTGGGGAGCAGGTGCGCAGATGCCCGATTTTCGAAATCGCGATGTTGCTCTGGCTACTAAAAGGTGCTAGGCGTGATAGCTCGAGCCTCGGCCACGTCGAAGCGGCCCAGCGGGTGCCAGCTACGGTGCGTAGACCGCGATCGGTTGTGCCGTAAATAAGAAGCCTAAATTTCCTCCCCACGACCTATGGAGGTATTCTATAGAATAGTGGAGTACTATGTAGTAGTAGAGCAGTATAGGTAGTATAGGTAGTATGTATAGGTACTCTACTCTAGTAGAGGTGGATAGCAGGTCAGGCTGGCGCGCGGATATCTAATGGCTAGTAGTAGTAGTACGATAACTAGCAGGTAGTTGGATCTCATTAAATTCGAGTGCAAATTCAAGTTTAAATTCGAGTGCAATGGAGAATCCGATGGGAGCGGGTTGGCAATTGGCAATTCGCATTCATTCCAACTTCTCCCGCTGGCTTCCCGACCTGGCTTTTGCTACTAATAGTAGGTACTCTACTCTATGTAGCACGGTTTTATTTGCACTTCAGTTCAGTTCACTTCACGTCGCCAAACTTCACTTCACTTCACTTTACTTTATTTGCGCTTCACTTTCCCATGCCATTGTTACTACACGAATCGGCAATTACCGCGGGATGATCTGCAGCGCACACCGCAGACCCGCAGACCCGCAAGCTGCAGCCACTCCTCCATCCATCCATCCAGCGCCGCGATTGCGACTGCGATTCCGACTGCGGGGGGAAACTCATCCGCATCGTTTCTGCGTGCTGCTGTGGTTGGCTCTGTGGAAGTTCGGCTCTCCAGAGTCCACATTTGCATGTCTCGCCACCACCCAGTGCCCACAGCTCGTGTTGGTTGGCTTGCTGGGGCTGGCTTGCTGGGGCTGGCCTGGCTGTGTCGAATTGTTTCAGTTTGGTTTCCCCTCGGCGCTGCTGATTGGGTAGATAGCTAGGTACTAGTAATTGGCGTTCTGTGGCACTCGACCGGTGGAAGGTATCGGATGTGTGGTCGCGAAACGGGCCCCCCGGCGAGACCGGCGAGACCGGTCGGTCGGGTCGGAGGGGGAGGGGTGGATACTTGGGTTCTCTAGGTAGATACCTAGCTGCTGACTGCTGACTGACTGACTAAAGGTCGTGAGAGTTCCAGAATCCAGACAAGATCTTGTGAAAGCGCCCGATCGCGATACGGTATCCACCTCGCTACACACATACGGTGCCTACATAGGCTAGATACCTTCCTGTGCATACCTATAATATTGCCCCCCAAACGTGAACTGCTGGTGTGGATGCATGACGAAGCCTGGACGGACACCCGGTGGAGTCTGGGAAACGAAGTGGACTGCTAGTAAGGCACTGAATGGCGGTTGGTAACTACCAGCTAGTATCTGAAGAAATTCCTAGAGCATGAAGATATCTACTGGAGAGAGGTCCGCGTGATGGAGCACTCTCGAGTCAAGAGTTTAATTTATAGTACTCTACATACTCTAGGGGCGCCGATGCATCGCAGCGAGACTCTCGCGGTTGGGTGGAACTTTTGGGGGCGCCGAAGGCACGAGTATCATGGGCATACGCACTGTCGCTTGGCGGCGAGCTGGGAGTATCTAGAATGTGGTGGTGGTGGTGGTGGCTGGACGTGAGCTTGAGATGCGTCCGACGGAGCTGCTCGCAGAGCTTGAACCATCTGCCTACCTGCCTACACAGATGCTGTAGTATCAATTGTGGATCCGAAACTTGAGTTCAGGTCGCGTCAGGTATTTTGCGCCAGCCGCCACGGAAATTCACCGGTGGGTAGCGCGCACCGCGCGGTCTCGTGGCGGTCTCTCGGCGATGAACCGCGATGCGCTGATGCGATGCGAGCGATGCGAGCGAAACGCACCCAATGGGCAGACTAGTTACTGGTACTCTGGAGATCGAGAGTCTCTCCAACCACCCCTGGGCATCGGTGCTCTATGATCGATGTGCACTTGGTCCGGAGTCCGGCTGTGCAGTGGATCGTCGTCTTGGTGGTGGTGCGGGAGCTGCGCTTGAGTGGCGATACACATACCTACGAGACGTTAGTTATCTTGTTTTTGAGGGGTGGGTGCATGGTGAGACTGCTCTTCCGTCTTCCGATCGTTGCGAGGCGGGGCTAGGTGGTTATTCAATATCTGGTGGTACACAGTTAGTGGCCAAAGAATCGAACCGAGTTTTCATGTGTGATTCGATGTTGCTATGTGCGCGCTCGGCATTCGCCCATCTTGGAAGTTGTACCATAGTTTGTTATTTTGCAGGCACCGGTAGGTAAGTATTGGACTATGGGCTCCCGTCTTCGAGTCCTAGGTAGTAGGTGCTCAATAATACCACCTCTAAATCCTCTTCTCCCCGCCGGCAAGATACTGTAACTAGTGACTGAAGAAATAACGAAAGCGACTCGCCGGAAGATACTCACGATACGGTAGGCACGTAGGTGGTCTCTTTCGATCACTCACACCGAACCACCGGTCACGAGCTCACTGCACGCATCGCACCCGCTGTTAGAAAGGCTGCATGCGAAATAAATTGAAGATCTCTCTCTCTCTCTCATCGCACCCGCCGAAGCTCAAGTAGTTTGTGCGTGGGAGCGTCAAGAAAGCTCGAGTAGGTACTGCGGAGCCCAAGACCCCTCGGGAGTCTAAAAAAGAATGGCAACTACTAGTAGGAGTAACTACATCGCATCGCCACGGTGAAAAAATCCGTGTTTCTGGTATGATAATGTAACCCAATACGACAGCAATATCCGTCGGGCGAGAACAGCGCCTGCCCTACCCCTCTCGAACTAACTATATTACAGCATAGCACGGTACCGGCCGAGACCGCTACGAACCAGAACCAGTACGGAGTCGTGCGCACCGGCTGTACCTATTCCAAGCCGTTCCACTCCAAGTTCATGGCCGATCACTGGGAATATGCTTGACCACGAATGTACCCACGCATCGCGAGTCCACTAGCCACTCAACTACTACTAGTAGAGACCGATACAGCTACATAAGCTGCCCAGGGGGCTTAGCATCACTCGCGGCGAACGGATGCCGCGTGGGGAGTGATAGTTTGTGACTCGTGAGGTTCAATCTGCATGCGCGACATATCACTCGGCATTTTGCGAGGTCGAGAATCAAGATAGCCTTGGGCTACTGAATCTTCCCAATCCCTACCAAGTTTCTTGGTGCTCTCCTAAATAGTAGTACCGAGCCGAAGCGGAGGGTGGCGGACGGCACATCGGGCCGCGTGTTGAAAGGCGTGTTGGACTACCTACCTAGGATACCGGCGTGAAAAGTTGAAACGGAATGTCACAGTGTGTGTATTGCTATAATAGTATAGTATCTACAGGTTTCATGCAATCAATGCTTAAACAAAAACAAAAACAAGAAACTGAACCTATATATGTACATATGTACTGACGATAGCATGGGAAGTCGAAGAGATTTAATAGAGATTGCTAGCCTTCTGTTTTCATTAATACCTGTAGTTGCTCAGTCTCCACTTCGCTTCCAGCCGCGGGGTGGTGCGAGCATTGCCGTGGAATTATATTTATAGACAGTCACTCGGGAAACATAATTCGTAACTGAAAACGCTTGGAAAAGAAGCAGCGGATGATTTATTAGCACTGTACTCTACAGTATCAGATGAGACTTGTATATCCTCTGCACACTTGTCGAGCAAGACGCTGCCGGGGGTACCGGTGCGGATTATGTAGGATTGTAACTTTCCAAGGTTCCATCCACGCAATGAGGCATGACAACCCGCACCGACACAGAACCAACACTATCAATCTATCATAATGACAACTAGCTCAGCTCCGCCCTTGGTAGCATTTGAATTACTCAATCACCCCCCAATGAAAGAATGTTGTACCTATGCTCACTGTGCGCTCTGTATAATACCTTGGCCCGGCAGCCTCTCGAATCATCCACTACGAACAAACAATCGCCTTGTACTAGTACATAGCCGCAGTAGCTCTTCGTGTGCCTCGTCGCCGTATGTACGCACTGGGGGTTCTCAAAGGTGGAATCCAAGATCCTATTGTGTAAAAAGCGCAGTGTTTTCTGATGGTTGCCCGTCCACTGCAACTCGGCCTTTCCCGATGCCCCCGAGTCCACGGATGAGTTGCCGAAGAACTATCAACCCCTTCTTTTCATATCCAGGCAGGATTCTTGTTCCCGACGTTCCGTTCCACTTCCAGTGATCATCCGGGGAGAGTCAAGCCTTGCTCGGAGTTGGACGTCCGGTTCGATGATGTAATCGGTGCGGCGGTCTCTATTTCCAGAAATTTTCTCGGCTCGGTCTCTTAGTACTCTCTGTGAAGACCGCATTTCCGCCCGTGTACCATAGAGCGCTTCTTACGGATAAGTGCTCTTCTCTGTCTAAGCTAGCTGCGATCATCTACTCCTCTGCGAAAGATGAACCGGAGCTCGAGCGTTCGGAGGCCCTTCACCAGTTATCACCCGACGACGGGAACACCACACCGTCGACACCAAGTCTGGGAGCTCACTATATAGTATATAGTACCAAATGGAAGGCGTGGAAGACGGGGTTTCAACATCGAGCCAGTGATCTGGACCGTAGACAGAAAACGGGCAAAAAATTACGCCGCAACACCGGTAGTCTATAGCAGATGGGCTGACAGGCGAGTACATACCGTCAAACAGAACAAAAAAACCAGGGGACTCACTCATGACTCAGAGCCGAGCCGAGTCGAGCAAGCTTGTCTCACTGCCGGTAGGTACATCGCTTGTCTTGACCGACGGATAGCAATAGGTATGCCAATATCTTTAAGTTCCGTTCCGTTCTGTTTCGGTTGACCGCAAGGTGTGAAGTGGAAGTTGTGTTCACTGTTCGTTTGTTCTCCGTGCATAGTCGCGGCCCTGCAGCAGCACAGGAAGAGGCTGTGGCTGTAGTTGTATACTGCCTTCCGTCTCGGCATTGCTAGCACTAGAATAGGAACTTTGGGGTGTCGCATCCGCCTTTGTAGATAGCTGGGCCTTGCGACATCGGCGACCTGTGAATCTACGGTGGATTGGTTCATCGGTGATCGGATAGCGGTCAGTAACTAGTGGTGTGTACTGTGCGGCTGAGTGTGCTGCGGTCCAGAACGGCTCCTCCTCCTCACCCTTGCCGTGTCATGTCTCGGAGTCCGACTGTAAGTACTATTATAGGTACTTAGGGAGGTATGATCTAGCAGCGCGCAAGCAAGCTAAGGAAGTATGTATGTAAGTGAATCCTTATGCGATGCGGACTGGATATATAAATGTGATATCTCCTTCCTCGGTGAGGAGGGATGTGGACATATATCGACGGGCGTCCAAACAAACGCCATGAGTGCATCCACGTCGGCACGGGCGGAAGGGGGGGCAAAAATGCACTCGGCCCTGAGTGGCCGGAGAATTTATTTTTCATGGCTGCAACGCAACGCAACGTACATGACGGGGGATCGAGATCTTCCTCGATGCCGGGTTCTGCAGCCGTGGCGTCCGTGGGGAGCGACTGCCACCACCTCGAACAGTTATATACTCTAGTTAGTGGTGAGTTATTGTTCGGGCCTTTTTTCCTCCACGATAGGCTGCCAAATCTGTAAATTTCCCACTTGAGCACAACTGGCTCGGCAGGACGGACAAAAGGAGCGTACGTGGACCATCTGCCCGCCTGTCTGGACTCTGGCTTGCTTACTTGCTTTTGCCCAGAGTAGAAGATCTTCGAACTCCAACAACAGACAGACAGATGGCCAGCCCAGCCCGTGCCATGTGCTGCATTGCATGGCTGGATGGCGTAGGTACATAAAACGGCAAAAAAAAAGTCGATGGTGAAAGTCAGCCCCATGAATTGAACATGCGACGATAAGGTGTTTTTACAAATAATTTCCACTGTTCGCCAGTGATGGAATTCGAGATGTGTCAATACAAATGCGATAAATTGAATTGAAGGTTAATTAGAGTATAATCCCGGCCAATAACGGTCCCGAGGCTTGAGGGCAGCGGGGGCTGTCATGAGCCTCGCTAATTCTCGTCTTGGCGCTTACCCACCACTAGCTGCTGCCTCCCCCGCACCACCCACCATGACCACCCGGGCCTCCATTCCATTCCCGAAAGCCATTCTCGTCTTCCAGCTACCTACGCGACAACGACAGCCAGCAACTCTCGATCACTCAACCGCACCACAGCACAGCAAAAAAAAAAAGAGCAAGAAAAAGAAGAAAAATACAGAACGCCATGTCTGCCCCCGAACCCAAGAACTTTGATCCCAAGACGCCGGTTAGCCTCAACCCGCCCAAGGACGACCCAATCTCTCTTGAGGAGCTTGCGACCGCAGACGGTAAACTCCCATTCTCTCTCCACCGGCTTGTCGTAGCCCATCATCGCTTCGTTCCTTCCAGACTTACCATCGGCCGGCTGGCGCGCCGGCCAGTCGCTATCTAAAGCTTGTCCACTGCTGCTGCGTTGACAGGTGACTGACCGGGGAAACATATACAGGATCCGACCCCAATAAGGTCTGGGTAGCCATCAAGGTGAGTCAAGCAGTCATTCAGCCGCACATTTCTCGACGACTCTCAGGCTGACTGGAGTGTTTTGGAATAGGGCGTAGTTTTCGACGTCTCGGGCAACAAGAGCTATCTCCCCGGAGGATCTTACAACGGTACGGAAAAGCGCAACGCAGCCCTGCCCTCGTCTGCGAGAGAGATCACAAAGCTCACGCCCGATTAGTGTTTGCCGGTAAAGATGCATCCCGCGGCCTGGCGAAGTCCTCGGTGAAGCAGGAGGATGCCGTGCCCCAGTGGAACGACCTCGGACCCAAAGAGAAGCAGGTTTTGGAAGATTGGTAACTACTATCCCGCCGACCGACTTGACTTGACTTGGCCGGCACGGAGCTGACGGGTTTCGCAACGCAACAGGTTCACTTTCTTCAGCAAGCGCTACAACGTCTTGGGGAAGGTTCCTCAGTACGCCAACCTGTAGTCGGTAGTGGATGGTCGGAACAGAAAGCGAGCGGAGAGTGGCGATTGCACTGGCGCAAACACTGAGATGGGTCATGAGGATATCTAGTCGTAGCCCAGGTAGTAGTGGGACGCGGGACAGAGACTTGAATGGAAATAACTATACCTTCCTACACACCTGGGTGCTTGATTGGACTGCCACGGATCGAGCACGATGCCTTTGTTCAACCCTCTCCTCATCCTCATGTCTGATGTATATTGCGTGAGACCCCTCCAGCGAACGCGCGTGTTACAGCCCACCACCACCACCACCACCACCTCCACCCACAACATCAAAAGCAAAACGGTAAACGGTAGATAGTAGTCTCCTAGGTAGTAGTACTCCGAGCTCGTACAAACCACAAACCACAGAATCCCCAGGTTATTCAACATACAGCACAGGCGGGCGCAGGCGGGCGCAGACTGCATATAAGTAAGTAAGAAGTACATATCTGCACAACCCCGTATGATGTACATATCTAACCGCTCCCCTCACTCGACACTGGTTCCATCCCCGATGCGGGTAGAACCCCATTCGTTCTCGAGCATACCGTATCACGAGTCGGAAAGGAAGGGAGGGAGGGAGGGAGATCTTATTAGTAGATCAGGATCCAGCCATTCGGCTCCGTACTACTCAGAGCTTTTCTCCACCAGGCGAATGCTCTGGTACTACCGGTACTTGTCGAGACTCGATGGTCCATGGGGTTCCCATACTGCACCAGGAACGAATCCAACCAGCCACAGTTCCGACAGCACAGCTACTTACCTGGATACTCGATTATCACCCGCACGCGGGCATAAATTTGCGTTGGACAGTACCTACCGAATTACCTAAGTAATTGGCGGACAGTGACTCCCCCTCCGGAAGCAAAAGTCCGCCGCCACCGTCCATCTGCAATGCAATGTGGCGTTTAGACAATTATACAGCTGGTCGTTGGGTGGTGGAATACAAATTGCAACAACCTTGGCGCTCCAGCCTCCATGTGGATTGCGGATGAGATGCGTTGCGATATTTGGTTAGTTCCGTGTTGTTGTACGTGTTGTACCCGTGGCAAGAGATGTGCGTATCGATCAGGCAGAAATCTGAAGAGCGCACTGCACGCCGCAGATGCCTTGCGGTACCTCTCAATACTACATACACGGCAAATAACTCCGCTCCCCACAAATACATACACACACATATACACAGGTCAGAATCGGGGTACGGCCGAAATGTTAGGTAGCCTATATAGATAGACCTGGTAGAGTACTCCACCCGCTACCGCTACGTACTGCAGGTCGGAAACTTCATACTTCACACACTGAGGGCTGAGCGAGCTGCAGTCAGAGATTCGTCACTCAGAGACTCGGAGCATGTACCAATGTACCATCCATCCAATTCCCGCCTTATGTACCCAAGTATCCAAGTAGTGCGTAGTTGGTAGTCCACCGGAGTACTCGACTCCATATATCTGCAATCCACCGCTCGTCGCCGCCAGCGGCCAGTAGTAGGTAATCAAGTAGAGTACCTACTCCGTACCAACCGCACCCGTGCGCCCGCCTCCACTCAACAGAGAGAGAAAACCCCCATCCAGTCATCTGCCGTCGTCCGCCTCGCACACACATACACAAATATTACACACACACACATGCATGCACCCACCCCACCCCCGCACCCCAGCACTTACCCTAGCACACACCCTCGCCGGTTCCACCGGCAGCCTAATCGCGCCTACCGGCGACTCAAACGTCGACCGGCGTTCCACGGCGCTACCACACGCCTTTCGCCTCCGTCTTCGGATGGCCACGACCACGCGCGGGACGCACATGAGAAATTTCGAACCGGGCCGGCAAGGAACGAGGAACGAGTCGTTATCTCGAGACTTAACTATGTAGCCCGATGGCAGGGGGACGTGCGGAATCCAGCAGATTTCTGGGGCGGGGGGCCCGATGGCTAGGTTCAACGTTTTTACTGTGCAGTACACTGGTTGCGGGGGGTGGTGATAACCCGGAATCGGAGTAAGCTGTGCGCTGTACGCTGTGCTTCTCCGAAGCTGGAGAAGTGTAGAGTACTTGCCAGTTGTGCGCCAAGTACTATCTACTCAGCTACAGATCTGGAGACGAGATGATGCGCTTTTTGGTCGGGTGGCGATGGGGGATATGTGATATCGAATCTTCACAGACAATGGTGCGGTCGAGGAGATCGTAACCCGTGGTCGGCTATCCTGGAATAGCTGTGAGAGACGGGCGGAGTGAGGAGCGGAGCGAACTTTCCTTTTATCATAGGTAGCTTTGTTTCCTTAGTGCGCTCTGCACACATCTTCAGGGAAAGGCCAGAGGCCAGAGGGCAGGGGAAGCGCACGTCGGGCCGCTGGACGAGAGTCGGGTTGGACAGTCAGTGGATGGGAAACGGAGTGCGTACTATATATTGCCACGAACAAGATTGGTCGGTCGTAAGTGAGCAATCAATAATCTTTAAACCAACAAAAATACGGTGTGGCGGAACGATGGAAGAGTTGTTGGGAAGAGGGGGAGCTGTCGGCGAGAGGAGGAAGTGGAGGAGAAGTTGTTGGCCAGAGGAGAGAGTGAAGGAGACTCCTGTCGGCGGGAGAAATCGAATGTGGTTAGTAGTGGGCATCCACATTGGTGGGCTCCAACGTTGGCGGCCATGGCGGGGGTTTCTTCCTCTTCTTGGTCTTCCGATCTTCTTCTTCTTCTCCTTCTTCTTCTCTCTCGATAATCCTCTATACTGTAGACGATCAACCCCTATCTCCTCTTTCTTCTGTGTACTCTCCTCTCGATTCGCCTCCGGCCTGGAGAGGTGTTGGCAAAAGAGCCGTCTGCAAAAACGGTACGCACAGCTGATCTGACGGATTCTCAAAAAGTCGAGTCGTCGCCGGTATCTAAGCTGGGACGAAAGCAAAAGCACTATCGAAAAAGCAAGCAACCACGTCTTCGGAATTCTGCCCCGTCGAGAACCTAATTCAACCTCACATCGGTCGTCAGCCGGCCAGGCTGGGTTCGCACCTGCAGCGCTATTCGTCTCCCCGCCAGAGGGAAAAAACAATTTACGAAACCACCGCCGCCGGTATCTAACCAAAGCCACTTCCCCCCTCCTCCCCATCAATGAGCCGCGAATCATGGAAGCCCATCACAATAACAGTATCAACAGCAACATCAACAGCAACATCAACAGCAACATCAACAGCAACATCGACGGAAAAATTTAGCCAACGGCGTGATCCGTCTGGATTTTCGGTATACATGCAACTAGCCGAACCGGTCCTGCGCCGCCTGTCTCTCCCCCCTCCTCCCGACACATACTCACCCACCGCAGCCATGCATGTGCCTCTACGCCTTCACTCCTCTCCCGGCACCAGCTCGAGGACGATTCGATTCGCGCGGCGGACGAGTCACGGCAGCGCAGTGCGGACCGTACATACATTCGTACATACATTACATACATTTGTACATACATCACATACCATACATACGTGCAAGTGGCCATGGGCATGTTGTGACACGTGCACTCCGATGGGTGAGCGATGCGATGTACTGTATCTACGTATGCAGTGAGACCGATGAGGCAGAAAAATCCATGAGTTTTGAAATTTCAAAGGGGGCCGAAGTGGCGGACACTGTTGGTGGCAGGAAAGTGCTGACCCATTAACCGGTAAATACATGTTATGACTATGATAGTTATCAAAGTGCTTGGTTATTCGCTGAAAAAATTACGCGGAAAAAAATGAGCGTACAACAATAACAACAAAAAAACCTAAAGCAATATCGCAGACTAAGCAACCTGGTACGCCTATTCCTCCTCCTTCTCCTCCTCCCCCTCTTCCTCCTCCCCCTCTTCCTCCTCCTGCCCCCCCTCCTCGTGCTCCCCTTCATAGGCCATCAACAGATTACCAACCATACACAACAAGAACCCTCTGACAGAAATCAAAAGCCTTCGACCAACCCCAGAAAAAAAGGATGCCAGGATAGGATGGGATGCCTACAGATAGGCAGAACGCAGCATGCACGGAAGCACAGTAAATGCGGTTTCGATTCCGGTCGGCAAGGGTGGGGAGGGGCGGGAGAGGGGAAGGGAAAGAATGGGTATTCAAACTTCTGGCTCTGGCTGATAAGGCCGGCTGCATAAGCGGCGGATGGTAGTAGGCTGACAGACCAACTTTCAGGAATGAAAGCGGCGGACCTGCCCCTCACACGTGAAAGACGAGAAAAGAAGATATCAAAAAATTGAATACAGGAAAAGAAGATTCAAGAACATGAAATACGCGGACAGAAAACGCTACCGGTAAATACAGACAAAAAGCCCCCCCCCCCACACCCAAGATCATGATGTCAACACCTTTAGCAGTGACCCCGCAGGAAGAGAAGATGAAAGAGAATCAAAAAACAACCGACACCTCCCAGCAGATGATTTCACCCCGTCAACCCCCTCCTCTCCCTCCCCCTCCCCGCGGGAACTTGAAGATACTAGAGATCGCCACAGTGGGGGCACTTCTGGCCTTGGACGATCCGCTCGCGCTTGGTGGTCTGGACGCCGAAGCACTGGTGAAACGGGTCATTTCTCGCGAAATGGCAGTAACCGATCAACCGGCGAACTGCGTGCCCACAAGCGGTGTATGTGATCTTTTCGAAGTTGCACATTACTGTTTTTTTTCTCGTGCGGCGGCGTATGCTAGTTTCCTCTCCTCTTCTTTTTATTCCGAGGTTTTCGTCCGGTTCGTATGGGAGCGAACAAGGTTTTTTTTTTCTTTTTTTCTTCTCTCGTCCGTCCGAAAGGAGGAGCTCTCCAAGCTATGTTTTTCGCTCTTTTTTTTATGTGTGTGTAGAGGGGATCGCCAGGTGTTTTTCGTTGGGTGTGTTGGATATGTACCCCCCGGATTTTGGTGAAAGCCCGTTGGTTCGGAGGTTTTTTTTTCTTGCTGGGGTGGTGAGACGTGCAGCGAGACGGGAAGAAAAAACGGCTCGACGGAACGGGCCGAAGAAAAAGAGGCGAGAGGCGAGATCAAATGCCGTTTCTGGGGTTTAACGCTCAAGCAACCCCTGAACAGACAACGGTAGCTAACTCGAACTTGAACCGGAGGAAGGAGGGGGTCTCGAAGATTGGGCCCACAATGAGGAGGAGGAGAGGGTGACGGTGGAAAAGAGAAACCGCTGAGATTGTTTCCGGGAAAGGGAGAAGAACAACAACGTTAATTATCCTGTGGATGAAGATCGACTGGAGATGTTGAGGATTGCAACGGTTGAGGGGGGATCGATATAACGGACCGACTGGAGGAGGAGGAAGAGGAGGGGACTGGATGATTTAAATACCCCGTTCAGTTCTGAGCTTGATATAGGGCACGAATGGAGGTGGCCACTGACCGGTGGTCTCTGGACGTAAAAAGACTTCCGAGCGCGAACAACAACAATGACAGAGGGAAGGGAATACGATCGATAAGAGTTGATCTCTGGGACAGACCTGCACTGCATGACGCCTTTACTCCCCATCCCCCCTCCATACACACCCACCCATCATCGTAGAGACGAGGAGGGAGGCTGGTGGTGGCCGGGGGGAATATGCACTGTTGTGTCCATGAGCATGAAGCCCCGTAATCCCATCACGCCTAACCTGATAGCCCAGTGCAATGACAGGCCACAGAGACACGGCGGGACACACAAACACACCCCACACTAAGAAGGAAAGAAAAGAAAAGGAAAGGAAAGGAAAAAAAGACAGATAATTTGGGAAAACTGGCGCTGGATCCGGAACAAGTCACTTGCAGTCGGCTGAGTCAAAGCTAGGGCGCTGGGCGGCGCTGCGGCGTTCGGCTTTGCAATTGGGCCTTCGGTCTGCATGGCCCACTGATAGCCAACATGATGCATCCAGTCACATTTCATCCCCAACCAGATGAGCCGGAACCCCAAAGTTGGAGTTTGTCCAAGCGGAAGACGTGGTGCGGTGCGGTGTGAATCGCCGGATTGCCGGCAGCCGCCGCCGCCCAACACGTCCCATCCGCACTGGTGACCGCACCTTCAAGATGAACCACATGGCCGGGGGCGAGCGAGCAAACATACACACCCTGTTGCTGCTGTCTTTCATACTCTTTTCTGCAAATGGCTGTTTTCAGCTTCGGAGATGTTTTTTATGTGAAGGAGGGAACGGGGGAGGGAACGAAGGAGGGAGGGGGGAAGTGATGTTTGCAACTTCGTACCTTGGCGGAGAGAAACAAAAGGTATGAGGCCATAAGCCCGTCACTGTCGACAATCATTGTGCCGCCGTGTACGCACGCAGTCCAACCGTTGGGAATAACCGTTAGACGTTTGACTGCTTGCTCTGGCACATGGATAGAACAAGAACCGGGTACCTACCACCACCATCACCACCACAACACAGCAAGAGGACAGTTGCAGAAGTAAGGATGGGAGGGAGGGAGGGAGGATACATTGCGTGTAAACCACGTACGAGAGAGTCAAACACAATGGTTACGCAACACACCTACCATTCGGATACTCTAGACCCGGGGCCGGAGACATCCATGGTCTGGATATCACCAGAATTGCATCGAAACGAAAAAGCTTCAAGCGTGAGCTCACGCATATACGCAGCCAGTGATCGCCGCTAACTACTGGAGTAGGCGGGGCGGAACAAACATCACGACGCCTGCAGAGGCGGCTATTCTTGGGACTGCGGCTGCAGCATTGGATGCTAGGTCAAGTTGGTTCTTTGTGTTCGATCCTCACGCTCACGCCTGCAAATCTCTGATTTTTGCACCCGCGCGCGCAGCGTGCCTAACTCATCTCTGCCCCCCATCTTCCAGTGGAACCGGCCACGATGGTCCGGTGAAAGCCTGGGGGGAGAGGTTTGCGGGAGCGGCAGACGGATGATAACATCCCCGGATGCCAATCGCCGTCAAACCTTTTTATATTACCTGTTTATTGAGAGGATTAGTATCCTTCGGAACGAGTAGGTAGGGCTGGGCGGGCTCGCCAGCTGCCCGTCTACATCTCACTTTTTGACTTTCGACAAGCCTTTTGTTTTCTCTTCTGTTTCATCCGGTAAATGGATACGCCAGGTTCTGGACATGTAGGTATTGTATGTATCACAGATGAGAAGGAGAAGGGAGGAAACGAAGATGCAGATATACGCACATGATTGACTGGCCGGAACCGGCTTCTCCCCGGCAGAACGATAGAGTTTGCTCGCTGAAGCAGGTGGCCTCCGGGTCTTGCTCGACTTCTCGCTACCAGTGGAGCCATGTCGAGACAGAGTCGTCCGTCGATCGTGACGGGAGGGAGACGTAGGCGGTGGCTACCAACCAGCTCAGATCCTCTGCCCTCTCCCTCCTCCGGATGGCACATATCACCACACGTGACGGCACTTGTACGTATTTACCTGTACCGTTTCCCATATCTTTGGCTCATCGTACGGCGAGACGAGTGAGTCCAACATATGATCTCACATTCGATATACTGGCTTACGGGATGAAAAGAAAAGTGTGAGCACCTGGTCGGTCAATCCGGTCTTTTCCCCTCGCAGCGATCCAACGCGCAGCAGCGTGGACGAACGATCGATGCCGCCGGCCATGACTCCATGTTAGCGTATGCTTATTTCGGTATGGAATGGCCCAGCTGACTCTAATCGCGTCCTGGCCAATACCAGAAAGTCAGTCGCACTCCAGAGCCACCCGGGGAGCTCAGCGTCACCACCGACAAGAGAATGATCCAGGCCGAGAACTACCCGCCACAAACGAACGATAATGCGAATGTCCAGCCCGCCAATGAGCTGGGATCTGTTGCGTTGCGGCCCAACGCAAGGCTACGGTGCACATCCATAGGAGTTACCCTAACCTCCAACTTTCCCGGGCTTTAATCCCACCTCACTCCACATTCACTCGCCGGTCCACCAAACAAGTCGACTGCAGCAGCAAAACCCCGCTCACCCAGTCACACTTCCGCCCCCTCCCCCCTCCTCCACGAACCATACCTGGCTACCGATCAAATTTCCGAAGTGCCCACGTGGGGGCAAAAATCATTTTCGCCTTCCACAGCTTCCGCTCTCTTCGAATCGCTTTCAATCCCGCTTTCGCCAGAGTCTTCGCTGCCGGAATACGATTGATACTCCCTTCAATTCGCGCCACCGTACCACTCACTCTTCGGGACGACGGACGGACAGTGGCCAAGTAGCTAGGCGGATACATATGCAGTCAAGCTTGCAACGTATGCATAGTACGGTACTTGTACGGACTTTGTGGTGCATCGAGTCGTTGGTCGAGTACGGTAGGTGCATACATTATGTACGTACATACCTACTTCTCACCTACATACATACATACACACACACATCCGCCCACCCACCACCCATCCGCCCCTAAGATTGCGGCGTACGCGGGACAACGTTACTCCACGCGCCACTGCCGCCGGCCACCACAGGTCCACAGCTTTTCGCCATGCACATCCATCCATCGCACCAGATAAGATCCCCCCAGTGGAAAACTACCGTCATCGGATGTCTGTATGTCACATCGGGTGTCTCCCATCCCCGCGCAGTCACCATCGGTTACGCGTGGTCACGGGACATGCATTGACGATTAGCTGGATGGATGGATAGATGGATGGATTGATGGATGGGCGATCAAGATGAACGGAGGGATAAGCGAATGATAACGAACCACCGTCGTCGTCGTCTTCCGTTGTCGCCGCTGTCGTGGGGCCGAAAGACAGCGGCTTGCGGTAGATTGCAGGCCAGCCGGCCGGCCCAGTGCACCAGCCATGAGCCCCGCGGTGGTGGTCCCGGCCCCAACAACGGCAGAATGTCACGGGCGGAGTATCGAGCGATACACAACAACGACAATTAGTCGGACATGAAAACCGAAAACTACCTACTTGTGAGTTTCCGTTCCCGCAGCGAGCGGGCGGGCGGGCGAGCACACACCCTGTGGAATGGTAGAGCGGAGGCATCATCGGAAGGCAACATGCGCTATTCTGGGGTAAAGCAGCCATCCTGTCGGTAGATTAGTATAGTATGCAGCAGTACGGACGCACCACGGGACGGACTGGGTAAGGACTTGCCTGATGGTGGCGCCGGCGGCGGTGCTGCTGGTGGTGGTCGTGGTGGTGATGGTATTGGTGGTGGTATTGGTCGTCGTCGTCGTCGGTTGTGCTGGTGCTGGTGCTGGGTGCTGGTGGCATCAAACGGCATCAGGCAGAAACAGGAAGCAGACGTATGTAATTAGGTAGCATGTAGCCCCATTGTTTCCTTTCCCACGCCGCACCGTGCAATCCCCCGCCCACCAGCAAAACGAAAAAGTACATAAAAGAAAAATACTCCGGGGAAGTGGCAATCCGGTGCGAGTGCGAGCTGTGAGCTCTAAGCTGTGAGACGTCAGGTGTAAGGGATCGGACGCACCCTTCCACCCAAAAGAAACCACCCTGCTGGCTGCACACGTGAATCTACTATGATCTAGAAGTTTAGCTAGGTATGTAATTGTAGATTGCTCTGCGCAACAGATGGGTACACGGGGATCTGTGCCCCCATGGACTCCTGGACTCCTGGACTACTGGACTACTGGACTCCTGGAGGCGTGTTTCGTTTGTACTCTGTACATACATGGGCTTTTAGGATCGGTAGTGATACGGATGTGAAATCGTAAGCCCAGCAGAGAGTGGCTGCGCTAGGCTTTGCTGAGCTGGGTTTTGCTGGGATGGCGTACGTAGTATGTACATATCAGTCATTTGAATCGGAGTCGTGGAACTGAAAGAACAACAGCCACACTACGTTGCTCACTGATAACTACTTACCCAGGTACGCCTGATTTTCCCCGGTGACTGATTGAGCACTGGAGAACTGGAGAACTGGAGCACTGAAGCACTAGCGTACTGCGCCTGGAGAACATAGTAAACGGAAAATGAATCTCGTGCAGCTTCGAAAGATCTTGATTCTTCGGATGATATCATCCGGTCGATCAAGTGGACGATCGAGAGGAAGATTAAGTGGGCGATCGTCCCTTTCGCGAACTACCGAGTAATGATGCTAGTGACGATGCTAGTGCTCATGCTCGACAATCGGCCAAAGAGGCTGTGACGATCGGCCAAAGAAGCAGAAGCAGAAGTAGAAGAGCCCAGCGGCTCAGCGGCTATCTAGATCGGTGGAGTGACATCTAGATTCTAGAGTATGTTCGCCTTATAAAGCTGAAGACTGCCTCGAATCTGCTTCCCCCCCTCCCCTCATCTGTACGACGACGATATTTCACCGGGACCGGGTGAAGGCCAGGGCCGAGTGAGATATGATGTTCTGGATCTCCCACAGCTACAAGTCTACAATTAGGTACATGAAAATCCCCCCTTGGGCCTTTTCAAGTTCCAAGCTCCGGCATCTTCTTGTTTGTCTCTGTGGGATTGAATCGGATTGGAACACCTCGAGCTCAAGCAACGGAGAAACGATGGGGAGAGAATATGGAGAGAACATGGGAAGAACCATATTCGTGAATACTACACACACATGGCATAGCATGGCAATCTACCTATTCTGGCCATCTTCACCGACTAACTCACCAAACCAACTCAGCCGACCAGTTGCCACTGCATCCAAATTCATTTTATGTACATTCTATGTACATAAGTACCCACCCTTGTGTTCCCGACCGGCTCCGAACCCGCGGCAAGGGGGAAGGGGGGGCTGTCACGCTTCACAATTGTAATATACTAATCCGAGACGAAAACCCATCCGTGGTGATGCACAAGCTTTACGATGGATCTCGCTGATAAACGAGGCTCGCACACGCACGACGCAGGGCAAAATCACAAACCGAGGATGGCTGATGCTGCAGATCCACCCACGATATCCGTGTACTCCATACTAAGCAGTACGACCACGGAGCTATGTATGTACCAACTAGTATCTATGTAACGATGACAGGAAGTGGTTCGATGCGATGCAATGTAATGTGTAATGTGCAATCGGAGGAAGGGAGGGAGGGAGTGAGTGATCACGGTCCAGCAATCATCCAGCAATCGTCCGCCGACCGTTGAGCGAGGCGAGACGAGAACCCTTCCCTCTCGCCGAGACGCGGTTCCTCCCTTTCTGGGTAATCGTATCCGCGGTCCACGCTTCCGACTGACTGAGATTCGCCATCCCCCTCACATATGTACCTATGTACACAAATTCTTCACGTGTCTGACGGCGCCTGGGAATACTAGATGGAAGGATGGCGTGATGCATCCCCCATAGAACGTGATCCCGATCCGGAGTACTGCTGCCGTCTTCAGCAAAAGCAAAGCAAAGTGTTTGTGGCGTATGTAGCGTGTGTAGCAAGAGGAAGTGCCTACCTGTCTGCCTGCCGGCCGGTCCGGCGAGTCGGGTCGTATGTGTGTATGTATGAATGATATAGATAGGTATCGAGCGGGGGAAGGCCGCTGTATGTACCATATGCCATATATGTACAACCCACCGACTCGGATGCATATATGATAGGTGCCGAGTTGGCGTGCCACTTACCTACTACCTAGTAGGCACCTAGTAGGCACGTTCAAAACCTAGGCTCCAGCAGCACATCACCAGACCTCACCGGATATCCCAGCGCGGAAGAGAGCATTTGACATTGTGGCCACCGGAAGGCAGGGACTCGGGGGGGGAGGGGCGGACAGTAGGCATAGTAACGTCGCTTGGGTACGTACATACATACGCTGGGAAAATACACGCGGCGGCAGCAGCCTCTCGGTTAACGGATCATACCAACACCCGCCAGAGGAGCTACGGGACCAAAAACAAAAGCGAGTGATACCGGTATGAAAAATAAGGTTCCCGGCCATTTTCACGTAGTGTGATCAACTGCGTTTTTCCGCCGCAATGTGTGCTCCGTGGTGCAGCCACCGTCGAGTGATCGCGTGTTGACCGAGCGAGGGCTGATGGCTGATGGCGGGCGGAAAGCGCATCGAGCGGGCGGGCGGGCGCGGATGTCCGTCTCCGATCGATCATTGCGCAGTGGTTGAGCTTGCAACTGAAGTTGTACCGTTGTCCTAGTATGCTCATTGTCCCCTGCGGCATCTGGATTACATATTTTCGCATATGCGTTATGAATTCATAAGGGTGATAGAACCCGTAGTTTTGAATAAGGCTTATCCGACGCTTATATCATGCTTGTAAGGAAGTCGGGCATGTGGCGCTCTAATAATTTTCTGTCTCAGGCTGACATATGTACCTATCACATAATGCCTCACAAAACCTGCCAGTTTCACAGGTATTATTGTATGCCGGGGCTATGCATGCCAATAATGACTACATAGGCCTGAGGAAAGTCTTGAGGCTTACAAAGTGAGAAGGCCGATTTAAGGCTGACATAGTGATACTGCTATTGTCTTACACGCAAGTTCCTTTGGGCCGAGGCGAACTATTGTCAAGTCATTGCAATCCTCCATTCCCACTAATTCAAATGCTACCAAGTGCAGAGCTGAGCTAGTTGTCATAATGGTAGGTAGTGTTGGTTCCGTGTTGGTGCGGGTTGTCATTGCGTAGATGGAACCCTTGGAAAGTTACAATCCTACATAATCCGCGCCAACACCCACGGCAGCGTGTGATTCCACAAGTGTACAGAAAAGATACAAGCCTCATCTACACATGCCTGCTCGTAGAGAGTTCATCATGAAAAACAAGCAAACGTGCTGGCCACCATCTCACGTTTGTAGCTATTCCGCGCTGTGGAAATGTGTTCATAGTTGCTCACTCGTACGCCGAGTGACACCGTTTGATGTTAAACATATGTCGACACCTTGGAATTGTGGGACGTCTTTTGGGAAGACGTCTTGGCGACGGTATTCGACCTCTGGACGTGGACCAGAGGAGGGTACTAACGCCAAGACGCTCGACTTGTGGACTGACGGGGTGTTGCCGGGATGGGCTCCTTTTTTGCACAACACCTTTGCTTTGTTTTGACTCTGACTTGTTACCTTTGACGATGGCCTGGCGGTGCCGGCGCGGTAACCTGGGGCGCTAGCGTCAATGGGGGTCTCGAAATGGCTTAGTCTGTCGGCCAATATTCGCCGCACCGATGTATTTAATCGGGGGTGTGCCCCCCTCACTTTTCTTAGGCTGCCGCTTATTGGTTCTCTTTTCTGACCGTTTACTTTCTAAGGACTAGTCCTGCCCTGTGATTCCTCCTAGTGATTCCTTGAGTGTGCCACTACTCTAAGTGTCTTATTAGACTCTCTCTTTATTACCCTAAACTCGCCCCTCTCTTTTCCTCTGTAACCTGCCTTGCGTACCCGTGACCACAACCCCGCCACGTACAGGTCGGCTGAGGCCCCTCTGGCCCTGGCCCCCCTCATCTGGTGCGCCAAACCCGGAAGCTCGTTCTCAAGCCTCGTCAACTTCAGTCTGATCCAATAACTCGCGAATTATGTCATCGACGTCTGAATTGGTTTGTCAAGATCTAACCTCGTGTTCTACTGACTATCACGTGACTTGAAGTGTGCACAACGGGCACCAACGAGCAACACGACGGAAGGTACGCAAGGTAGGAATTGGTTGGAAACCAGGCTAGGGCTAGGTAATCCACCCTGCGGTGAGCCTTATTACGACCAGCAACTACGAAACCTACGAAACTACGAGGCCGCAGCCCAGATCCTCCGACGGAGACATCAATTGCTTGCCAGACCTGACGCAATATCTTCCACGGAAGAACCTGACGATTCATCCGAAACCACCACCGATACAGACACAACGGCGTCTACATCGAACTTCCGCAACGGAGGACTACCGACTCCAGGAGACGAAGTTCCTGAGAATCAAGTTCTCACGATGACTACTAGAACTAACCCCCCTCCTGCAGGGCCCCCGCAAGTCCAGAACGTTGTCTCCAATATGCTGTCAACCTCAAGCATCCACTCGACTTGCCGATTTGCTCCCGTTGGATGGCCTCCTGACGGGGAAGGAAAAAATAAGAAGTATAACTTGGTTACTACCCCCCCCCCCCCCAAGTTATATGCGGAGGTTTTCTTCCTTTGCTGTATGAGCCTGTGACAGCAAAGGTCTCTCCTCCTGGCCATGCGTGTGTGTGAGAGACATGCATGGCCAAGGCCCCACCTCTCCGAAATCGGGGGAAATACGGGTCACGGTTTTGGACGAGCAAACAAAAAAACCAAAGAAGTATAACTGGGCTACTGTCCCCCCCAAGTTATACGCGTGTAACGTGGTTTACTACCCCCACGTTATACGCGGAGGTTTTCTTCCTTTTAAAGGTTTTTCCTCCTGCCATGCATGGGAGGCATGCATGGCCTTTGGCCAAAATGTTGTTGTTCTGGCCGCTGTGCGAGAGGATGACATCGGCTTTCCTCCTGACCATGTGTGAGAGACATTGTGACGGAGCGATGGAGGACTCATGTTGGCGGGAGCAGATGAATGTGGTTAGTAGTGGTGAGAACTATGTAACTTTGGTGCCGTGGCTGGGTTGAATGTGTGATGTGTGGGTCCAGTACAATGCTAATAAATTATCAGCTGCTTCTTTTCCAAGCGTTGAGTGCTCCGAGTGACTGTCTATGAATATAATTCCAAGGCCGGTTCGCACCTCCTCGGATGGGTGTGAAGTGGAGACTAACTACAGGTATCAATGGAAACGGAAGGCGAGATATCTCTATTCAATCTCTTGACTTCCCCATGCTATCCATCCAGCACTGCTGGGTTGGAGCTTAGATATTCCTTCGTATTCCAGCGAATCTAGTTAGGTACTTCGTGTATTGCCATCCATTCCCCACGTTTCGTTGGTGAGCATTTCGGTCTGGAACTCACTCACCTACCTCACTTGTCGAATTCGTATTTAAATTTGTCAGTGCCATGATTGATTTGCCTTTTTTTATTTTCGGTTCGTTTTGGTTCACATTTGGGAGGGAAGGGGGGTGCCTGTAGGCTTTATGTACCGTATCAAGTGCGCACAAAACGTACCGCACGCACCCCTGGTCCCGGCAAGGCAAGACGGCAGGCGGGATGCGGGAAGAATAGCTATGTAGGTAGTGAGCGGCACAGCTACACATTATGCAGGCCGATTATCGCGTGGTTCACCGTTCGAATGCGTGGCAGCCACGATTAGTATTACTGATTAGAGCGTTATAGTACATACTACATACTGCCAATTGGATATACCTAGTATGTATGGGAATTTCGTTCACCGGGATGGTAATACGGGGATTGGCCCTTGAGTAGATAGCGACTGCAACGCGTGAGAGGCAACTGCAAAAGCTTGGCTGGCTGTAAAAGTAGGGTAGTCAGGTAGAGACTGGCTGTGATTTGACCGCCGTCGAGATCTGGCGGGAGATTGGATGTCAAACGTTGGTGAGCGGCGGTGGCGAGGCGCACGCACGCACAGCATGTACCCTGATTGTACATACTATCGCTCTGCACTGGGCAGATCGCCACAGGACCGACCATAAACCTACGATCTTTGTGATCATAGGGAGTTGTGCCATGTACCTTCCGGCTGGGGAGATTGGTGCTTAAGCTCTTACTCGAGTACCTACTTGAATGTATCAGCCACTCAGATACCGGTACTCGAATACCTCAGCGCCACTTACTACTATTACTTAGCGCCAAAAGTTGATTGAATATTCCTACCACGAGTGCTCCCCCATGACGCGCCGCCGATACTCTACCCAAGTACCTACCGCTGCACAAAGTTCAAAGTTCAAACCGCGACTGCGCACTCAATCGTTATCCAATTGAGTCAAGCAGATGCAGGTAATTGCAATGGTATGCAATGGTATGCAATGGTATGTGTATGTGTAGTTTCCAAGTCCGCCGCCTCTATGAGCCCGGAGAATCGAGAACCTGTAACCGGCAGCCTACTATTCTTGTCACTTAAACCTCATCGCCTGCTACTACATACTCCATACTCCTTCTCTACATACATGCCAAACTTTAGACGCCCAGAGATGTTAGCCTGGAGATGTCAGCCCCCAGACGTCAGCGCGAATAAAGTTCCGCGGCGAACGGCGGGTGGTGGGCTCCGGGGCGAGTACCCTTCGGAGCGAGTGCCGCCTGGGGCGAGCAAACTTCGGACCGAGAAGTCTGTATCTACCTATATAAAGAGAGACCTCGCTGCGTTACTGCTGTTTCTGGTATTGCTGATGTTGCTGTATCGGATTGATTACGGTATCTCTGTCCGTCTCCCATATCTCTACTATCTAGTACATAGATCTACCACCACCACTCGCTCACAGGTTTTTATCCAAGTAACAATTGACAATTGACTCCCGAGTCTTGAGTCTCTATTCGCCGCGCTACCTACTATAGCTCAAGCTCAAGCGATACAGGCATAGAGCGTACATAGAGCGTACATAGAGCGTAAGACTCTCAACCTTAGTTAAGGCTGCGGGGTTTCTAGCATATATAACCTCCGCGTGTGGGGATAGCTCCAATATCTTCTTTTAGCTCGGCAGACGTTTTTATTTTACCCGAGTGATGGTTATCACCTGACCACATGGGTGGGTGTAGACTCTAGAGTGAATGTTCGTTGTGAAGGCCTATGTACCCAGCCCTTGAAGGGAAGTTGGAATCTGCACCGACTGGTGGCTACATACGGGCTTTCGTGTCGCCGAGTTGCCCTACTCAATCGCAAGCTCATTACTAGCTACTAGGTAGAGTAAAGACGACCTCCCCCTCCCGCCTCCCTCCCTCCTCCCCTCACCCCCGAGTCCAATCCACGAGTCCAATCCACGAGTCCAATCCACGAGTCCAATCCACGAGTCCAATCCACTCACCCACTCACACAGAAATCTACCAGGAAGCCTCACTCACGATGATCCACAGACCCACAGCCCCGTTATGTAACATTTGCACGTAGAGCAGAGGTCATGTAAACTCGTCCATCTACCCACGCACCCGTCCACGCACCCGTCCACGCACCCGTCCACGCACCCGTCCACGCACCCGTCCACGCACCCGTCCACGCACCTGTCCACCCCCCCCCGTGCTCGCCCCTACCTCGCTACCCCCTACCCCGCTATTCCCCCACTACCCCCGCCCCCGACCCTGCCCCCGTCCCCGCCTCAATCTCACTCTCCCCCTCCCCCTTCTGCTTCCTCCTCCTCCTGCCATTGCCATTTGCGCCAGGCACAACACCCCCCAATCCCTCAGCAACCCACCTCGTAACCAACCCCGCGCGCTCCGTCGAGACAGGATATTCGCCATGCCCCATACCGCCCGACTCCGGCGGATTCCCCGCGGTCTCCTCGAACTCAAGGGTGCAGCGCTTCACGACCTCGCCCCAGTCCGCGCGGGCGGGGGAGCGCGCAGCCAGGAACACCGGGTATCCGTCCGCGATCCGTGTCAGCCGCGTGACCATGCCGACGTAGCGGCCCAGCTCCTTGTGAGGCGTGGCGAGTAACAGGTGGCAGATCAGCGTGCTGTAGAGCGCGTCGGTCAGCAAAGGGTGGTACGTTAGTGCTTCGGCGTCCGAGGGCGGGGGGAGCGTGAACGGCGGGGACTGGAAGAGCGCCGCGATGGCGTGGATGGGGACGTCGGTGCCGGCTTTGGAGGAGGAGGAGGTGGTGGAGGACGACGACGAGATCGACGACGAGGAAGCGTTCGAGATCGGGATCAGTGCGGTGGACGTCGGCGCCCCGGGGGTGTACTCGAAGCCCGAGAGGAAGCGCGAGTAGTCGCGTAAGGCGCGCTTTGCGTAGGTGCGCACGAGTTTCCGCGGCTCCGCCTCGGTGGTGGTGGCGAGCACCGTTTCCACGCTCTGGCACGCAACGCTCAGCCATGTCCCCGCGCGGTGGAACAGTAGCTGGCCCTCGAGCGAACTAGGCATTTCCTCATCAGCCATCCTCCCGCCGCGCTCGACGACGGGGACGACATCGTGCCGCCGCTCCCCCAGCGCCAGCGCTTTCGTCAGGTCCGCCGCGGCGCCCAAAAAGTCATCCTTAAAGACCCGCGTCACCGCGCGCGTGCGCATGGGCGCGCCCTCCGCCGGCCGCTCGGAGATGACATGGTCCAGCGGTGCCAGACTCGTGCACTTGGCCAGCATGCGACTCGGGATCTTCTCGTGGAAGAAATGCACATACTTCGCATCAGCATTCCCCGGCTCCCTAGCCAGCACCAGACTCGCCACGTCCTCCAGCGAGCTCGCGCTCTGCATCGTCGCCACGCTCGCCGCAATCTCATCGAGCTTGTACGCCTTCGCGAGTTTCTGCGTGGCGAGCTCCCGCATGCGATACTTCCGCTCCCTACTCAGCCTTGGTGCGGGGGCTCCGCCAATGCCCAGTAGCAGATGATGATCCTTGGGGGATAGGGAGCTAGCGACGCCGCTTGCGGCGCGCACGGCCAGCGTCGTCGCCTCGTCGACGTGGCGGCGGATCTTGACGAGATCGAAGAACACGGCGGGATCGATGGGCCGCGGCCGCGGCGCGGCGAAGTTGCTGTACGCGAGCGACTCGAGGACTTCCGGCGGCAGCTGCAGCCACGGCCCGTGGAACGAACTGATGTACCGCCAATGCCTGCGCGCGCACGTCGCGTCAGTATCTACGAGCCCCTCCCCCCAAAGAACAGATTGTCCCGACGGAGCTGGAGAAACAACAACAGGAACAACAGGAGGAGGCTACTTGTTGCGGCATATGATAAGCGCGCTGACCGCTTCTTTCTCTTTCTCTTTGCCGCCGCCGCCGTCCTTTGCCGCCGCCGCGGGCGTGTTCTTTTCCCCCGCCGCCGCCGCCCCAGACGCCGCAGTCTCGCTGCCGCTCCGCTCCGCCTGCGCTTCCGCCATCTTGGCCAATTTCTCCTTTCGCGACTTGGACCGAGTCATTCTCGTGTTCCTGTTCGTGTTCCTGTTCGTGGTCCTATTCGTGGTTGGTGAGTTCGGTGCGGTGGCGGTGGTGGTGGTGGTGGTGGTGGTGATGGTGGTGGGGCGGAGGGAGGGGGGAAAGCAAAGAAGAATGCAACTCAGTCAGTGCCCGAAGTGAAGTGTTGCTTTGCTTTGCCTGCGTTGCTTGCTTCGATGGATGGAAGGAAGGATGGATGGGGGGGCGATAACGAGGGGTGGTGATTGGCCCCGATGTGCCTGTTGCAGTGCTGGTACTAGTACTCGTACAGTGCTGCTGCAGTGCTTGCTGCTGCTGCCGCTAAAAACTTGAGTTTATGCATGCTAAAATACAACCCACCGTCGGCGCCCACAACCACCACCACTGCGATGCCAGCCCTAATACGACATGGCATGGCATGGCCAAAGTAGCCGACGGAAAGCGTGCGAGCGACCGACCGAGCGATTGCGGGTGCTGGGCGCCGGGAACTGGGAGCACAGACCATAGACCATAGACCATAGACACTCGGAGATACTTACCGTACTCTAGGGTAGGTACGGTAGACGATGGACGATGGGACGATGGGCATCGAAGACGAGCAGAATGTGCTTCGGAATCTGCTAGGTATATCTACTCGTACAATCCGCCAGCTTCCCGGTCCTTCATAACTTCACACATTCTCTCCATCTTCTCCGCGTCTTCTGGACCAGTACCGTACCGATCATATCATCGGTATGTAGCGCTTTCATTACCGAGTATCTAGTCCCAACCTACAATCATCCTCTCCATCCTCAGCATCCCTCAGCATCCTCTCCCATACTATCGTCACACTCCCGCCCATCCAGCACCCAAGTACAATCATACAACCAGAAAACGAAAAACAGTAGCAACACATGAGTATAATAGTAACAGACAAACAAAAACAACACCCAGCGGGTGTAAGCCAATTATCGAACCGAGCCAAAAAACACATCAAAACATAAACACTCAGAACTTGAAATCAAAATCATACAACGCCGATGATGTTGAACGAGAACGGAAAAGTGCAAAACAATGACAACAAATACCCTCCCCCCGGTTCCCGCAGCTCGCTTAAAGAAAAGAAAATGACCCTCTCTCGCTCTCTCTCTCTCTCCCTCCCCCCCCCCCCCCCCCCTCTCTCTCTCTCTCTCGACACTCGGCTCGCACAATAGGATAGGCAGGTTTGCCGGCTCGTGCCTCCCCCCTCGCCCGCTCCCCTGGTATGAATTGTCAGTCGGCCTCTTCGTTCGGCCTCTTCGGTATCCCGGACAGGATAGGACAGGACAGATCGTAACGGGCCGGAACAGTCGGTCTCTAAGAGTGGTAACGTATGTAAATCGATCGACGTCGAGTGACTAGCACCCCCAGCCAGTATCCGCAGTGTCCCCCGTGTCCCCCAACCAGTGCCCCCCGTAGCCCCCAGTGTCCCCAGTGTCCCAGTATCCCCAGTATCCCCAGTCCCAAGTGTCCCAAGTGACTATGATATACAGTAGGTAGAAGAGTATGCCTCGTAGATATCGCACAAGCCATTGCACAAGCCAAGCCGAGTATGTATAGCAGCATGCAACCAATCCAAGTGTCCAACAAAGAGCAAGCAAGCAAGGCTGACTCGGTTTAGCCGACGACGACACCTCCCCACTGCCACTGCCACTCCCACTCCCACTCCCACTCCCACCACCTAAAATGTCATGCATATGCAACCAACAATTGCAACTCCGTACCGTATCACCCCTCCACATCCACAACCACATCCCACATCCCATCCACATCCCCCTCCACATCCACAACCAAACTAAACCCAAGGGAACCCACGTTTCCCCCTCATCTATAAAAACTCCCAACCAGACCAGGCCAGATCAGACCAGACCAGACCAGCAAGAGCGAGAGAAAAAAAACCGCAAAAAACAACGAAGGTCCGGGGAATAAAAAACACAAGAAACACTGCAGCAATCAATCAATCAATCCCCACCTCCGAGAGAGACGGTATATTTCGAAATCGATTCGAATTCCCCCCCCAGAGATATGCAGCAGAAAAAACGAACGTATTAAGGTGGGCGCTTCCGTACAGACACAACAACACAACGCAACACAACCACAACAACACAACACTTCCATCCTCTCCAGCCAGCCAGCACCCCCACCCAACTCCTCCCACAACGTCTTCATCATCACAGCCCACTTTTGAGGATTTCAGCGAGGTCATCGTCCATATATCGGAACACTGTGTCGGCCGAGGTCCATACCGCCGGGGGAATCAACATCAGGATTCTGCCGTATGTTATTACTTTACTCCTAAGAAATATATTTGCCGATGAGAACAATTGCATCCCGAATGGGGTGTAATAACCGGGAAGGATTCGATCTCGGGAAAGCCGGAGGCTCATACCTTCTTCCGCTTCTTCTTCTTCTGTTTGTTTGGGTCGCCGGGCCAGTTTCCACCGCCGACGGATGCACCACTACCATTCCCACCGCCCGGACCATTGCCGGCGGTACCTCCGGATTCGTCTTCCTCTTCGTATCCCTCGTAGGATCCGTCGTGATAACTCCGTTTCTTGTTCTTGCGTTCGGGCCGAATGAGCTCACTCGGGCCCGGTCCTCCGGAAGCCGTGGAGGCATTGCCGGGAGTGGTGGAGCCATTGTGTTGTGGAGTTCCAACCGACATTTGTGGCGAGCGCGCGCTCTCAATCCGCTTGCGGGGCATCTCCTCGTCGAGCCCAAGAACTGTGGCATCGAACTGTGGAAACAACGCCGACCAGTCAGCATACATGACTGGTTGGTCGACCCGGTGCAATCCATCCATTCTCTTCTCAGGGGGAGGGGGTATTTCATTCCGGCGTCACAGCGGGAGATATATGAGGGGAAGCAAAGCTTACCCTTGGTATATCACCTTTCGTGATATTCGCCAATCCCCTCCTCACTTTCGCCATGTCGAAACCGCGGCTCATCTCCTTGCCCATCACGTGTTGCAGCCTCCATTCCTCATCGGGGTAGAACGCGAGCATCTGCAGCTTATTTTCCGCAGGATCGAGCGAAGATTGATCGTAGTATTGGCCCAACTGTGTTGGCTTCGCGACCACCTCGTTCTTGCCCGATAATGTAGCGATGTGCCCCTTGTAACTCTTCCGGAGCTTATTCTTCTTCCCCGTGGCGTCGAAGCGCGCCACTTTGTCCGCGATCGTTTGGAGGCCATACAGTTGAATGAGATTCTCGGTCGGATCGGGATACGATTTCTCATACACTGGGGGAATGTTAACCGTCGCTTTTCTTTTTGCCTTTTCCCTTTACCTTTGAATTGACATGTGAAGTGAAGGGTGTTGGGGGAACAAACTTTTCTGGCAGACAAGATGATATGGGGAGCAATCAGGGTTAGTAATCAGCTCTTGGATCTGCTGCATCGAGGGCGATGCGGCCATCATGTCGTCGGTCGAACTGCCAGCGTGCCGAAGATTCGCGGGAGGCGATCGTCGCTCGGCTTCGAACGAGCCGTATGTTCTCCGTCGCTTGTTGGGGTTGCTATCCCCGAAACCGTCGTCGATAAAAGAATCGATCTCCATGTCCTCGTGGGTCGAGTTCGCGCTGGTACTAGACGGCGTGAGGAGCGAGCTGGCAGTGGACGTGGTCTGTATTACAGGACGGCCGATGGAGGATGGCGGTGTCGATACGTTCGAAAACGACTGGCTGGTGTGGTAATGGTTGTTGTTGCTGTTGTTGTTATTGTTGAACTTGTCGGTCGTCATCGCGTTTGTCGGAGCATGGCCGGAGGACATGAAGGACGACGGGGGGGATTGAGGCGTGGGTTGATCCGGAGGAGCGGGGATCGCGTTTTTGTTCTGCGAGTAGGGAGTGAAGGTTGTCATACGCGACGACGGAGTCGGGGGAGGCGTCTGGGAGGCGGATGTAGGACCGATTTTGGCGACGGTACGGGGACGGCGGAAAGTGCGAGACTTTCCAGCGTCAAGCTTGCGGAGTGTGTTGGGGTGCGAGGAAGGCGAGCCGCAAGCAGGATAAAAGCCGACGGGGGTGGAGGAGTTCGCTTACGGGGGTGGTGGTGGTAGTGGTGGTGGATCGGGTTGAAGTTCGTGTGTTGTGTGTCGGAGGTCAAGATGAAGAGGACGTAAGGTTGAGGTCGGGGGACGGAACTCAAGCCGGGGTGGATATCGGGGAAAGCAGTAGTGGCTTGGTTGGTTGGTTGGCTTGGGGGGTTGTAGTCGTGGGTGTGCGGTAAGTGGAGGAGGTAGCGGGTGGGTATTCCGAGTTTGGGATGTACTATAACGTTGAGCCGCTGTCGTTTGTCGGTGCTGCTGCTGCTGCTTCTGCTGCAGACAATGATGATGATGCTGATGCTGATGATGTTGTCGTTGTTATTGTTGATGCAGTTCGTCAGAGGAGCGGCGCGGCGGAGTGCAGGAGAAGAAGAAGTAGTAGAAGAAGAAGAAGTCTAAGTGAGTGTAGGGAGAAAGTGTCGTCAACGAGCGAGGCGATTCCTGCGAAGCAAAGCAAGGCCAAGTGATGCCGATGGCGATGATGATGATGAAGATGAACGCACGACACGGAGACAGACGCACGACACACCACACAACACAACACAGCACACACACTCACGCTCTCACACTCACACTCACACTCACACTCACACTCACTCACACACCTCACCCGCCCTATTCTTTCTCTCTTTCTCGCTCGCCGACTTTCAAAGAGAAAACCTGGAGATGAAGCGGCTTTTCCGACCCAAGGAATAAAACGCGGTGTCGCCTCGTCGCTACGCGATCGAATCAAACACTACGATGTAGCTCTCTCGCAACCCGACGACCCTGACCGGCCGACCGACGGAGTGTATCGTGCCGAAAGAGTCTTCTATTTCCTGCTCCCGTCTGTCGTTGATACCTGATGCGATGGGTAGTTTCTGCTGGCGATCACCGCTTTCTCTCTCTCTCTCTCTCTCTTTCTCTCTTTCTCCTTGCTCGTTGAGGCTCTTTTTGCGACCGACCGACCGACCGAACCGATCGTCCCCACTTTTGTTCTGCGCGCGGCAATGTCCGTCCCTATTCCCACTTTCCCAGATTGCCGCTAATCGAGCAGTGGTAGTGGTTGGAGATATATAGATATTGCGATCGGTGGTCGTTGAAGCTCGTTAGATCTTTCTCTCCGTGTTCCTCTCTGCTTTCTCCGGGGGGGAAGAAGGGTGTGCGGTGGTGGTGGTGAGTGATGTGTCGGTTAGGTATGTAAGGGAAGCAGAGGAACAGAGTAGGGTTGGTCGTGATCCGGGGGTTGGGCGTCTTAGCGCGAACGCAAAAAGCCGGACGGGGCGTGAAGTCGACGGCCGACGGCTAAAGAGTGCGATGGATGGATGGATGGGGGATGGAGGTAACTATCGGGTGGCGCTCGTCGTTCGTTCGTCGTGCGGCGGTCGATGGACGGGAGACGGGGGGTAGCTGGTAGGTATTGTTCGTAGGCGGCTCCTGAGGGTGGTGAATGGGGAATGTGCAGGTGAAGGAGAATGGGGGATGCGAATGTGAATGTGTGTGCGTGTGGTGGGTGGAGGTGGGAGGTGGGCGGGCGTGGGCGCTGGGTTGTGTCCGGGGAGTTGGCGGTATCACCTTCTAGGGTGTGTGGTAGGGTGGTGGAGGTGGAGGTGGGCAACCACCACCTACGGAGCGTGTGGAAGAGACAGACAGACACTCCTACCTACCACACTCCTACCGCCGTCTATGGAGGCCTAGCCTGCTGTCTCTTCTCTCTCCGACCTGTGCCTGGCTGGCTGGTGTTGGTCCTGGAGAAGTTGGAGGGGAAGAGTGTGGCGGTGCTCGAACAGCGCCTCACACCTTGTCAAGAGACATCTTCCTCTTTCTTGTGCCCTCCTTCTCATTCTCATCCTCTCCCACTGCCTCTGTTGGTCCTTTCTAATATGAATCTACTCTACCGTCCTTTCCTCCTATGCTCACCCACCCGTTCACGATCCCCGCCTCGTCCCATAACCATCGTCACCCACTCTTCTTTTCTTTGCTATTCACCCTCCTTTCCTCCTCCTCCTCCAGCTCCTCCAGCCTTCGTTCTCCATCCACCTTCAAGTTGTAACCGTCAGCACCCACCACCACCACACCCACCAGCACCACCACCACCTCCACCCAAAAAAAACAAGCAATTAAATCTTCATGTACCCACAGCCACTACTACATCCACCACCACACACACAGGCAGACCGACAGACGCACACACAGGCAGATCGACAGACGCACACACACTCCAACACAGACGCAGGGTGACGAACGAAAATGCAGAGAAATGCAAAGAAATGCAGAAATTTTTTCCCCTTTCAATTGACAGCCAGACAACCAGCCAGACAACCAGACAGACAAGCAGGCAGACAGGCAGTCTAAGACAGGCTCTTCTCTTCCCCTCTTTCTCCATCACTCGTCGCACGCAAGAAAGAAAAAGTTATCGAACCACACATGCGGCCCATCCATCCCTCTATGGAGGGAGGGGCAGGAGGAGTTGGAGGGAGGGAGACATGCGACCCGACCTCGACCAATGGCGGTTGGATGAGGTTAGATACTCTGCCTGCGTAACTATAATGGTGACTTTTTTTTTCTCTCTCTCTTTCTCTTCTTCTTCGCAACGGCATGGCATGGCATGTACCCACTCTGCGGTACGTACATGCTCTGCGGTACGTACATGCTCTGCGGTACTCTGCGGTATGTATGCTGAGGAAACCACTCTACGCGTGGTACTGCTGCTGCTGCTGCTACTGCTGCATCATGCGTAGGTAGTCTGGGTACTCTACAAATGCACGGAGCGACCGAGATGGTAAGATACTAAAGGTAGAGAAAGCAGGCGGGCAAACAAACGATCCGCAGCAGAAAGAAAAGTTTTTTTCGACAGCAGAAAAGAATTTGCACTTGGAATGGCCGATACTTGCAGGTTTTTCTCGAGGTTGCAGTTCCTTCTTACTCAAGCATCGATCCAACTGCTCACTTTCCACTCAAGCAGGCCACTGCAGCCTGCAACTTGACGTTTCCCACAGGGCCACCACCTGGACCACCACCACCACTGCCACCACCACCTACGCGATGCGCGACCTCTACTCTAGCTCCAGCTCTGCATGCGGATGCTCTCTACTCTACCTACCGTATGCCAGCGGATATCTTCAGTATCTATGCAGAGCACGGTATGTACAGAGAGTAGAGTATGTAGAGTGGGGTATGTAGAGTAGACCAGTACTCTACTTCGCAAACCATCATCAGCCCATCCCGCCCCCGTCCTCCGTCTCAGCCCGAATCCCGAATCCCGGGGCTCGGTCGAGGTGGAGGTCGGCAGTACCCGGCATCCGAGATTAGTAGTGTTACTAGACCATACCGGAAACCGCACTTTCCCCAGAGTTCACGTTAGGTACCTTGAGTATGGTGTGCGCGTGTCGGAAAGTAAGTACTCTACATAGTGAAGTAAGTGCACTTGCAACGTTAACGTTGACGGGACGTTGAAGCGGGACGGTAGAAGTTGGATTTTACACAGAAGAAGGGGTTTTGGGGGGGTTTTGTTGCTTCGTGAACTCGCATACAGCCTAGAGTACTCTGGAATAGAGCAGGGTAGAGTACGGTAGGTAGAGTACCTACCTGATGCCTGACTCTGGCGAGATGCACTGCCTGTCTGCCGTGCAGAAGAAGAAGAAGAAAAAGGGCGGTTCTTGTTTGGTACATGGTTCCTCGTCATTCACGTGCTGCCCCTCATCCTGGGAACTTGGAACTTGGAACTTCAAACTTGGAAGCACTGCCAAGATGAATCGGAGTCAGGAGAGGGAAGGAGGAAAGAAGAGTGATGCATTATGATCAGGGTAGGATCGTGTCGGAGCCTTGGAAGGTGTCCTTCGAGCGTCAACACTCCAGTATTAGGTATGAATTGCTGGGAAAAAGTCGCCGGCTTGGAGCAGCCGAATCCGCAAAGTAGACAATCTACATAGAAAATATGTTTTGAAGAAAGAATTGAGTGTACACTGTGGATGGGTCCTGTGGTTACCTATTCGACCTCAATAGCACGGAAGTATGTGCCTATTGTAACTACGAGTCATAGAGTGCTTCCTCAGGTTTCGAAAAAGTGACTCCCAGTCTCCCACCTGGCACCAAGAGAAAGTGCGGAGAAGCATCCTTCAAATTCCCATCCCTGACTCCCCACTGAATCCCCAGGCCCCACTGCCGCCCCAGCTGCTCAGCTAGGTACTATTAATAGTCCGCCTCCTCCATCTCGATTCTCCAGTTCACCGTTCCACGATCCGGCGGCCTTGGCGCGTCTAACCACCGTGACCAGTAGTTATGACCAGGTACGGAACCTAGCTGCGTCACGTCTCCCAGCATAGCTCGTCCCAGCCTGCCATATCGCAGCTCCCACCGAGCTTCGCGCAACACCATACCTACTACCCAGTAGTTCACCACCACCATCGCCACCACCACCACCGCAACGCAAACAACAATGGGCTCCGACGACGAATACGGCGCCTTCCCGGACGAAGCGTTCACGGCCGCACTCGAAGCCGCCGAGCGCACGCATCGCGCCGCACCTCCACCCCCACCCCCACCACCCGCAAAAGCCGCCGCCGCCCCACCAGCACCAGCACCAGCACCTGCACCTGCACCAGCAGCAGCAGCAGCTCCACCAGCAGCAGCTCCACAGCCTGCGCAACAACCACCAGCAAAACCCGCCGCACCAGTGCAACCAGTCCCGCGCAAAGTCGGCGGCAGCGGCAAAGGCTCCGCGATAATCGTGTCACCGCGGCAGGTAGCGCTCCCCTCCCCCTCCCCCCTCGCCGCCGCCGTCGCCGCCGTACTAACCCCACCTGCTCCCCAGAAAGGCAACCCGCTGCTATCCCACATCCGCGCCTGCTCCTGGGAATACGGCCCGTCGACCCTATCCGCCGACTACCTCCTAGGCGCGTCCACGGCAGCACTATTCCTATCACTAAAGTACCACAAGCTGCACCCAGACTACATCCACACGCGTCTGTCCTCCCTCGGCGTGAACCACAGCCTCCGCATCCTCCTCGTGCTCGTCGACATCCCCACCCACGCCGACTCTCTCCGCGTCCTAACCAAGACCTGCCTCCTCTCGGGCGCGTCCCTTCTGTTATCCTGGAGCGCCTCCGAGTCCGCGCGCTACCTGGAGCTATTCAAGACGCAGGAGCACACTGCGCCGACCGCGATCCGCGAGAAGGTCGCGGCGGATTATGGCACGCGGCTGGTGGAGATGTTTACAAAGGTGCGGGGGGTTAATAAGACCGACGCGGTTACGCTGGTGTCGACGTTTGGGAGTGTGAGAAGAGCGGTTAATGCAAGACCCGAAGAGGTCATTATGATCTCTGGCTGGGGGCAGCAGAAGGTTGCCAGGCTCGAGAGGGCGGTCGGGGAGGGGTTCGTGGTCGGGAAGAGGAAGCTGCAAGGGGGGGAAAAGGCGGGGAAGAGGGTGGTGATGCCCGCCTCGGAGGCGGATGGTGTCGCGGCGAGGTTGGGGATTGCGTCGGCCGCTGCGACGGCCGTGAGGGCGCAGGTGCCCGAGGCGTGGGTCATTGAGGACGACGCGGATGCGCTGGCGGCGGTGGCGGAGTTTGAGGCTGCGGAGGAGGCGGCGAGGTCGAGGGTGAGGGTGAGTGTGAGTGTCGTCAGGGGAGCGTCGAGTCGGCCGGAGAAGGGGAAGGAGAAGGAGAAGGAGGATGTAGATGTAGATGTAGATGTGCTGGAGGAGGATGGTGTTGGCGTGGGAATCATGGAGGCGCTGGCAAAGATGAGGGAGAAGAACATTTAAACCAATTGAGCTGAATTGAGAGGTCGGTCCGCCATTCTAGTGGTAGATTTGCTAGCTAAGTAGATGTCTGATGGAGATTCATACTCCTGACAGGCAAGGTACACGTCCCTCGTGAGAAACCGTTCCATGAGGCAATGAAGCTTCTCCCATCGTAAAAAAGGGCTCAATCCATAGAGATTCATTCGCTCAAGCGTGCTATGTGCTAATTGCGTAGAAGAAATTATAAGAGAACTACTAGTAATAATGTAGTATTTCGTGCAAAAACAAGTACTTTTCTCCGCGTCCATTAACCATCTTCCGCAACCCAGCATCATGAATCATGAAGCATCAATCCCCCACAATCATCATCTCACGAATACCAGTCAAGCCACAATCATCATCTCACGAATACCAACTCAAGCCACAAACGTGCACGCACATCACATCACGCACAAAAAAACCACAGATCGCGAGCAAACAAAACAACGAAAAAAAAAAGATGATGGGTGGAAGAGTAAAAAAAAAGCGCACTGTGAAAATCCAACGGAAGCCACAACAATGACAATCCCAGTGCGCAAAAAAAAAGCCCCCCCCTCCCCAAAATTTAAGCTAACTCCTCCTAAGGTACTAGCCCATAGAACTCATCGTCCTCGGAGCCATATGCGCTCTTCTCACCTCCGCCTGCTTCCTTACCGTCTCCGTTCTTGATCTCTAGGGCCACGTACTCCTTCGCTGCCGGGACGGGCTCTGGTGTCGGCGCCACGATCTGAGTCGGCTCGAGTACTGCTCCGGGGACTTTCCACGACCTGGCAGCCTCCAGATTTGCAATGATGACCTTTGAATGCTGTTCACCGAGCAGATGGTTAGCCATCTCCGTCTCCGCCACTACGGCCTTGCAGATCTTGCACGTCCACAGCTTCTGGATCGGCTTGGGGCGTTGCATGACTTCGATGACCTTGTTGCGATGCGCAGCTCTGGACCGGTGAAATCCGCTCCCGAGATGGGCCTCCCTGTTTTGCGCATCAACCGAAACCTGGCAGATGTCGCAGCTCCACCTCTGGGGCATCGCGGGAGTGTAGTTGGACGCGGGGTAGGGAAGATTTGCCGTGTAACTGCGTGGCTGGATAAACTGGGACTGCCATTGTTCGGTAGATGGGTACCATTGGCGTTGGAAACAGGACTTTTGCTGCATTGGTTTCATCCATTCCTGCTTGGCGGGACTCCAAAGCTTCGGAGATCCATGGGGGTGATACTCCGTAGGTGATGGAGTTGTTTTTAGGTGTTCTGCACGCGTACCCGGAGTTGGTGCGGGACCACCACTCGGAGAAAACTGGGCCGGCTTCGGGGACCAGGGCTGCTGTAATAATGGGTAAGTCTGCTGTTGGTAGTAGTTCATTTGCTGGTTAGGGAACTCTAGTTGCTGGGGTGAGATTCGTGCGTGATGGAAAAGGAACGACGGCTGTGGACATGGGCCTGCTGGCGGGGCCTGCTGACCATAATGAAGACCGATAGGATAGTTTTCAGTGCGATATTGATCCTCCTGCTGTCTCAGGGGCACCTCCCGCCGGAGAAGCGTGGGAGTCGGTGGCAGCGATGGGAAACCGTGATACTCGTGCACCGATGGCTGCTGGGAGTAATACCCACCGTAGGTATGAGTCTGACTTCTAGTATGTCCATGTGACCGATTCGTTGATTTTAAATCATTCTGCCCTCCATTTGTGTCACTGTTCTGTCTAGCGACCTTCTGAGTGTGCATTATGGAAGCCAGATGGATATCCTTGTGGTCAAAGATGTACTTGCAGACATCGCAATAGAAACCTTCTCGAGAAGGCTTGTTGACATGACCACTATTCAACGGCGGTGGTACTTCGATATTCGTCGAAAGGGTGGACATTGATGTTCCTTGAGGCAGAGTATCCGGATTTCCCCGTTGACAAACAGAGTGAGCCGGGCCAAACGGGTCCCTGCTGGTTAAAGTCTCTCGTGGAAACTTGGAAAGCCTGCCAGGGTCGCTTCGCGGTGGTGGGGGTTGTTTTGGCAAGAGGCCCAGCGAGAGTTGGAGTTGGATTTGACGCCGAACAGCTTTGAAATGTTGAGCCCCATTCTCGTGGGGAACCTTGCCGCGTAGAAACATGGTGCGATTGCACGGTTCGCACCACCAGTGTTCTGGTTCAGTTGATTTACCACTGCTCGGTTGCTCATCTTTCTTCTTCGTATTCTTGGTGTCGTGTAGACGTTCGGATAGCGGTTGCCCTTCCCTCGATTCGTGGGGTCTGCCTGTCGGCCCACGGGGTTGATCTCGTGTTTGCTGGTGTCGTCCCCGTTTTCCGCGAGGCTGACCTTTCGATCCTTGAGACCCACCTCTCGATCCTTGAGACCCACCTCTCGATCCTTGAGACCCACCTCTCGATCCTTGAGACCCACCCCTCGATCCTTGAGACTGATCTCTCTTTTCCACAAACCTCCTTCTCGCTGACGTGAGTTGTTCCTGCTGTGGTCTTCTCTGGTCGGTCCTCATGGTACTCGTCATCTGGTTGAATGGCTGGCGCACATCCATAGACTGTGTGGCTTTGGGCGACATCTCGACGCTGACACGGTTTTGTCCCTGGTTTAGTTTTTACTTGGTCAGCTTTATCCACTAAACTTCTGGGGACACGTCTTTAGGTTTGCACTACCTTAGTGTCCTTCTCAACAGAAGGAATGCTCCCTTCCTGCTGCGGTTTATCTATGCCTGAGAGCTCATCGGTCTTCTTGAGTTCTGGAAGGAGGTCCTTGTGTGACGAAATCTCAGGAATCTTCTCAGAAATCTCTTTGGATTCCCGAGCCTCAAGAAGTTTCTGAATCTTCTCGATGACGTTCTTGGTAGGATCCTCGATTTTGGCAGAATGTTGGGCTGCTGGAGGTAGGTCCAAATTGGGATCTGCAGAGTCAAGAAGCTTCTCAAACGTTTTCTTTATCTTCTTAGACTTGTCGTACTTCTCAAGAACCAAAGAAAGTTCTTGTGGTTGTATATTCTGAGACAGCGTCGCGACTCCACTAGGCTCTTCAAACGCTGGAGGCTGACATTCGGACTGCGAAGGCGCCGGCTTTCTCTCGATCTCCGACTCACTCTCCTTCTTCACCTTCTGGTCATCGGGTATTCCATTCTCCGTTTTCTGCAGGTCTTCACTCACTTTCTCCATCGCTGGTCTGTTGTGTGGACTCTCGAAATTTTTCGGTTTCGCCTCTCTAGGGGGTTGCTTCTCGCTGAAGACGGGGCGTGTACTAACGAGGGGTACGGCATTGGGGGGTTGTTCAGTGGCCGGTTGCGGCTCCTCTGCTATGGAAAGCTCCCCGATGTTTGTTGACTGCCCGGGTACTGTAGGCGGTTGTTGGGGTTGCGAAGACACCTTCTGCTTCCTCTTGCTCGGCCTCTTTCTCCTATGTCTGCCAGACGGCTCGTATTCTGAAGGAGACTCATTGGAACGCAGTGGCTGAGAAAGCCAATTGCTGCTACCGGACCGCTCTCTTTCTGCCTGCAGTTCCCCAGGCATCGTGAGGTCGGTAGTCGTCCCGGTCTTGTCCTCCTGTGCATGCATTGTATTCGCTCCGCTGAGTTTGAACCTCTTACCCTTGTCGTTCCTCCTCCTGCCGGTCGACGGTGCAGCCACCTGGGCGTCCTCTCGTCCCTGCTGCTGTCGTTTCCTAGCCTCTTCCAGCCTTCTCTGAGTTGCTTCTATCCTTCTGTCGTTCTCTGCTACCCTGCTCAAATGCGCGTTGCTGGCAAGATGTGCTTCCTGCTGATTCGGGTTGAAGTGGTAGTTGCACACATTACACTTCCATCGAGGATGCTTGGCAGAGTTAGAGCAACGAGTGATTTCAGGTCGGCGCCCGTCGGTATGCGCACTTGAACCCGTCGGAGCTACAGCGGGTGGGGCAGAACCGATAGAGGTAGGATCGCTGGCGTTTGCTTGATGGACCCCTTCGTTCTTGTCGGGGGCACGGGAAGGAGAGGTAGATGACATGATGAGATTGTATAAGGGGTGAAAAGTGAAAGGAGATAGTGAGGTAGGAAGCGAAGATGTGAAGAGAGTGAGTGTGGTGTTGTGGTGGTTGTGGGTGTGATTGAAGATGTGTTGCGAGGTGAAGGTGGAGTAGGACGAGGTAGCTAATGAACGGGGGTCGACGAGAAGCGAGTGATACGAGTGGCGCTTGCCCTGTCTCTCGTCTTACCGTGTGCTGCCTTTGTTTTTTGGTCTGATGCGTCATCCCGCTGCCAGCGGCCAAATTCATGCACGTGATGTATTCTCACTCGCAGTTCCACATGGTCGGCTGCTCAAGTACGATTTTTTATACACTGATGGAAATGGTGTATGTTGCCATGATCTAAATACACCGCAAGCAATTGATGAAGAAAGAAAGCAACCATAACGGTGAGGATGATCTTTTTTGTGCTGGCGGAGTAAAACGTGTTGGCCGTGGGCTTACGAAAGAGAAGAATGGTGACAAGCAATCATAGCAACTTAAAAATGAACCAAGAGCTAGAAGAGACTGTTTGATGCTAGACCTTTGATACAGTCATAATTGTGCGCATGATCGTGACAGGTGAATATCCCGTTTGCAAAACATTTACTGTAAAAGGACGATTATTGGAGTTATGGTGTTGATGTCCACTCGAATTTACCAACGGTTCTGCGCGATCCGGCCAGCTTCACCCTGCAGATATGTAACGAATCCTATTGCCCTGATTGACTCCATGCGCATGCGTAATCCGAATTGAACGTCATGATAAAGTTTGGAACAAGCCGATTTCCAGCAGCCCTGTCATCTTAGTCGTTTTGCCAGGGGCTGCGGCGCGCGCAGATCATCTTCACCCCACATCTCGGACTTCGGACATTCCCCACCCCCACCCCCACCCTCGCAACAGCCCTCACAGACCATGCAATCGCTCCCGATCCTCCGCGACGCCCTGCGAGCCCATTTCGCGTCGCACACACCGTGCCAATTCCCGCGCGGAGCCTTCGCGGCGCTCATCCCGGCCAACAAAACCTGGTTCTCCGCCACGGGCGCCCTCAATCTCGACTTCTTCCAACGCACGCTGTCGGAGCGGGATCTCGCGACCCGCATCACCGTCGAGTCGAGCACATCCACGACGTTCGAGCGCGTCTCCGTCCCGTTCGAGCTCCTGCTGCACTACCTCTCCTTGCCAGAACTGCCACCGGGCCTGCCAGAACTCTACCTCGCGCAGACACCGCTGCTGGAGCTGATCCCCGCGCTGAAGGAGTCGATACCTACCCCCGCTATCGTCGAGGAAACGGGAAGAGGCGATGTATACGCTACGAACTTGTGGCTGGGCCGCTGCGAGAGCATAAACACCCCGCTACACAAGGACCCGAATCCAAACCTGTTTGTGCAGATAGCAGGGAGAAAGCGTGTCAGGATGTTTTCGCCGGCGGTGGGGAAGAAGTTGATTGGCAGCGATGTGGCAAGGTTTAGGACTGAGGAGGATATGATGCTAGGAGAGGCCCGGAAGAGACTTGAGGAGGTCGTGTGGGGTGCTCATGATGGCCAGGATGAGGCGTATGAAGTTGAGGTCGGCCCGGGTGATGGCTGCTTCATCCCGACGGGATGGTGGCACGCGGTGAAGGGTGTGGGCAGTGGCGTGGGTGCGAGCGTTAACTGGTGGTTTCGGTAGTGCCGTCGTAGTGATATCGATACACCAACACCAAGCGGCTGATACTCGTTGTCGTGATTAGACCTCCGGAAGTCTGCAGAAGACTCACAATCCTGAAGGCCCTGTATGACGTATCTGTGGGGACGGCAATAGCCTCTCCGACGAACCGTACGATTAGTCTATGACGCTGGATCTGAGTACCTATATCCTACTTCAGAGTATCACCCCTCGGATCGAATAAGCATGTATACCTATTCAGGGCGTTTCCAGCCCAACGAGAAGCAAAAAAACAACCGTATGTATCATAAATATGGCTGGACGGTTGGACGGCACTCCATGTCGCCTGCGATTACGGGGTGAATGATAGGATAACGAGATTACTATTGGAGCACAGCGCAGGGGTAAAGGCAACCAATCAAGAGGGCTGGACGCCACTTCATACCGCCTGCCATTTTGAATTGGATGAGAAGGTACTGAGACCTCTACCGTACTGAGAACCCCGCTCTCTGCCCACAATCTCCGCTTTTTGACCTGCCACCCCCCTTCTTCCGTTGTCCCCGTGCAGCGGAACCCGCACTGGTGACTGGCCTTCTTACGCGAGCTCTCCTCTTCTAGTGCGGCGGTGGCCCATCGGCAGTATGTAGCACCCCTGGAATGGATCACCGTCGGGATCGCGACGGGATCCTCACCGCCTTCGGCTTCCCCCCCGGGTGACCGGCGGGAAGTAAAACCCCGCTTCTTCCGGTTTCGCTTGGTATCCCATCCCACTCGGGACATGTGTAGAGTACACAGCGCCTGGAGCTGTACGCTTGTTTCCCTGCAGATCATAACACGCATGATCGATTAGGTGATGACCGAGTGACACACAAGACCGAGTCGGGTGATCGAGTCGGAATTTTGCTTGTCTGGCTCTTCTTGGATCGAATACTGTGTTCTAGTGGCCGTATAGAATCACCTTTCAGATGTATATGTGGATGCATATGGCCTTGACCGCTGGACTCCTGATGCCATCACACCTGTTGCTTCCATCTGGCAATCACAGGTTGTAGATGCTCGGCTGCGGCTCGCATAAATATTGGGCTGCGCCGCTGCAGATGCTGGATCGACTGTGCTCCTACGGATATCCGGCTGTTACCTACTCTACTATAGTTACCACTGGCTGTCGATCGACGTCTGCGTGGGTGGGCGCCAAGTGCGAGGGGGAAAACAAGGCATGCGTAACACAGGTCGAAATCGTGCAGAGTTCGCGTAGGTACACTTTTTTCCTTATACTTCGGGTATCTACACATAAAGGGTCCACAGGGCCATAGATATCTGATCGGTAGGAATATTTAAGCACTTAGGAGTTGGTTATGTACTTACCTTCGGCATTTCCTATATGTACTAGGTATGTAGTCTGCAGAATACCAGTAAAATCGTGACCACTGTGACCTCAGCCTTCGGGACCGGATCGTCAGAAGCTCAGACGCTAATTTTAACTCCATGTGCGCTAACTAGTTCTTTCCCTGCGCAACTGGCCAGGTGGGAGCTGAGGAGTGGCAGCACGTGGGGGCTACCGCCGTAATCGAACACTTCCTCTCCACCACACCGTCCGGCCTTCCTTACTCATCTACAAATCGTTCGAACTGTTCAAAGCAGCGCCAAAGGACCTGAAGGGCCTCCATGGGGAAGTCTGTCGACTGTAACACTTCCTCAAGGAGACGGCTGCTTTGCTCACTAGAAACAACAAGCGCTTTCGATAATCTACCACCAGCTCCACCACCGCCACCACCGCCGCCGCAGTTCGTTCCATCGTCACTAGCGAAACCGTACGGCGTTGCATGCTCCTTCGGACTAAAACTGACAGAACACCAGTCGTTGCCATGGCAGCGCCAGTGGAGCGTTCCCACTGCGCCACTACGCAGTCCGATAGTTCACTCTTTGGACCCAACACAGAGAGCTCGGACGGAAACGTCTTCTCGGAGAATGGAAACGTCTGTGAGACCTTTAGGGAGCAAATCCGTGGTGTGCAGAGATATATCAAGAACTCGCCCACGGGGGTCATGAGAAGCGTGTATCCCAAGCAAGACGTCTGCCGAGTCTTGACCTATAATGCCGTTCGGTCACTCCTGCACTGTGCATGCCACCGCTGCCGCGGCATTCTTTCTCCCGCCGCCACGGAGCAAGACATCGCCACGATCTTCAGCGAATACCGGCTGATCCTCGCCATCCTCCTGGAAATGGACCGTCTCTACCTTATCCATAGCTTTGTCGAGAATAAGTACACCGACGAGAGGGCACTGGCTCGGCCGCTCGAGAAGAGTGAACTGGAGCGCATCGTCGATCAGATTTATACCAAACTGCAGATCCGCGATAAGTACTTTGCGAGGAATTTCCACCACCGGAAGCAGTACGAGTTCCTTCTGCCGAATATCTCGACATTGGCGGGAACGGACGTGGATGGCATCGAATCCGTCAACATCAACCAAGCTCTACCGATTCACCTGACCAGCCAACTCGGCCGGGGCGGATACGGCGCGGTCTACCGCGCCTCGCTTTTCGAGGGCTACCACGACCTCTCGACCACGGACGGCCATGTCGCCGTCAAGATCATCAGCATTCCCTCTGGCGGCGGCAGCGGGGCGGAGCTCGGATCCTGCGGCAGCAGCGGCGACTGCTGCAGCGGCGGGCCGGAATGGGACGACCAAGACTACGGCGCGGAGACGCGGCTCAACCGGCGGTTCCAGCACGCGAACATTGTGCCGATGCTCGCATCGCTCTGCTACGGCCCCGAGCTCGTGTCCTTCTACCCGATTGCGCGGATGTCCCTGCACGCGCTCATGGGAGAGCCGGCGCCCACGTTCCCACACGACACCACCGCACGGATAGTGGGGCAGGTGGCAGATCTCTTCTCCGCGCTGGATCGCATACATACCGGAGACAAGCACGGCGTCGGGTACCACCTCGATATCAAGCCGGCCAACATCCTGGTGCGCAACGATCACAGCTTCGCACTGACCGATCTCGGGATGGGGCACTTCAAGGCGTGCTGGGCGCCAGCACAACCACAATCACAGGACCGCTCCCTCTCCACGATCCGCATGCGCCCGTTCAGCGAGTACGCCGGGCCCGAGATGGCCGGGAAGTGGATCCATCGGTCATTCGACATCTGGCCAATGGGCTGCGTATTCCTCGAGCTGCTCGTGTGGCACGCCGAGGGCAGCGCGGGCGTCGCCGAGTTTCGCCGCGCGAGGGAGGAGAAAAAGGCCTGCCGCATTGTTGCGTACTTCCACGAGGACGGCGAGGTGAAGAATGTGGTTCGGGAGAAGGTGGTGGAGCTCGAGGAGCGAATGCATGATGATCATGTGTTCCGAGGCGCGCTCGGAGTCGTTAAGCGCTTGCTTAATCCCGATGAGGCGCAGCGCCCTACTGCCCGCGAAGCGGAGGGGTTGATCCGTACTCTCCTCCGGGACCACAAGGACAGTGGCCGTGATGTTCGGACGGTCCCCTCCAAACAACACGGCAAGAGCCTCCTGCGGGATTACCGCAACGAGGAGTTGGTCCAGCGCCGCAAGCTCCCGGTCCGCGGCTACGCCACCTACATCTTATCCACGATCTGGCTGTCGCTGAAGCCGCCGGGGGCCGGGTTCAGAGTTGGCCTGGGCGTCGGTGTCAGCGTCGGTGTTGCGGCGACAGCGATGATCAGAAAGTCGTGGAAGTGATCCGCTCGCTGCTTCGTTGGTGCCCGCAGGCTGCGGTTTATAAAGGGCCAACCTTCCGCCGGCCTTATTACAGACCTGAGACCAATCGACTAGAAGCCGGCAGACAGAAGAGATGGGGAAGCGAGGGATATGGTGCTGCTGCTCTGCTCTTGGTCTCGAGCTTGGATATCTACAGGGGCCGGCGTTGGTGTTGACGTAGAATTCTCTAATGAAATGAAATGGAAGCGTGAATTTTGTGTGTACATATGGAAATCGACTAGAAATCACCCGGGCTGAGGTCTGGGAATGAACACTTTCCCGACAGTTTTCTAGATCCGGGGGTGGGGGTGGGTGGGATGCGGAGAAGAAATCGGAAGCACGTGGAATCGGCATACAAAACGGCGACTAGAGGTGGTCTTGGAAGGTCTCAAGTATTTGTGTCTGCTATGTACCAGAGTGGCGGAGTCTTAGCCGGAGAAAAATTCAGAAGATTTTGAAATTTGTGGCCGGTCCGTCGCTGAGGTATGATTTATATAGCTGATATACATTCTAAATCCAAACAACTCATCCTCTCCTTCTTTATACGCCAACTCCCGTATGTGCTATATCCGTCTATTCCGGCTTCCTCGCTGTCACCACATAACTAAAGTGGCGTCCATCAGTTTTCCGACGTTCAAGGGAGCGGGGAGAGATGGGGAGAGAGAAGAGATACTTACTGCAGATGATAAGCATGCACGCGTTTATCCCAGACATCCTTCCTCGCGGCCTCACAGAGCTCCTTGACTTCATCGGGCTTGAAGTTATGGTACCTCGTAAACAGGGCCATGCCGAACGCCTCGAAGGCGACGTTCGACAGTCCCAGCAGGGACCAATAACCCAGCTCCTTCAGTTTCTCGTCCTGCGCCCACGGAGCCCACGGCAACTTCTTGACAGCGATCTTGACGTCGACGAAGCCGGCGCCCTGCAGGAGCCGGCCCATCCGGGGCGCAATATCCGAGAACCCGGCAGTCAGCGCGGCTTCGGAGATGAGGCTCATGTAACGGTACAGCGCAAGCCCGGGCCGGTACGTGCCGTCGTCCGAGTACAGCGTGTAGTCGTGTTCGGCGAGCTCCACATAGCCGCCGGGTTTGGTGTGGCTTTTGCAGGTCCGGTCAGACGGGTGTTCGCGGAATCGATGAGCAAGGGGTAGACTCACCGGAATAGCTGTGATGCATATAGATCCCAGTCTTTTATCGATTGTGCTAAATGCCGGCTGTGGATGAAGTCGAAGTGGTCCTATTACTGATGTATGGTATCAGTACCCGTCCAGAAATGGGTTTTGTGCGTAGATTGTGCTGCCGTGTCGTGCAATGGATCGGATAACTGACTGGTGGGTACGTCCATTCGCTTTCGGCGTCATCTATCTCGAACATGCAGTTCTAAACAATCATCATCAGCAATCGCGATTGCAATATTCGATGCTTCGGACCGGAAGTCATACTTCTGGCACCCTATTCGAAAATCGTCAATCGTTTCTGCTTTTTGCCAATCATGGCCACCTAGTTGTCTTTCTACAGCCCAAATGTCGCGGAGTCCGGATCACATACCACTCAGGCTGAATTGGGGACAGGTCTGTTCCGATAACCGTTGCTTCCGTGTAGGCACTATGTTGCAGCCAGTCAGTCGGTGGTGCCGTTCCTCATACGATATCATCATCGACCGAGGAAAACTGACTCTGCCATCTCGATAGCCCAGATACCCGTGCCGGTACCGACATCCAGGATGCGTTTCGGACTCTCGATGGGCGCCAGACAGAGCTTGCCATCGAGGAGGACCAGGTACAGGTGGTGGATCTATGTGGTATGGATGTAGCGCTGGTGAGCATAGGCCACTCGAACTCCAAAAACAGAACGCACTGAAGACAAACAGCGTCAAGTCTACCCGCCACACAACGTTTCGTTAGCAGTTTTGGTCTCGCAGTATGTACTCGAGCCGGCGTACATACCGGTCCTTCTCTGCCTTCGATACATGTCAGCGGACGAACAGACAATTCGTAACCAGGCCTCCTATGATACATACTTCATCGTTGGGCAAGACATAGGCTCCATCTTTGTAGCGATGGTATGTTCGGCCTATGGATTTTCATTTTCCCGCCCATCAACCTCGGCACTTGGTGACCCTGCTCGTATCGAATCATGCTCACCGTTTTCGCAGCGAAACTCGAAAACCGAAGACGTGACCGAGAAGGTCTCGCTGCTTGCGTGTAAGCCGATGACTAGTAGACGTCTTGGATCGCATTACATACTTCATGTCATAGTCGTTCGAATCCGTGTCGTACTGCGGAACCATCAACACGACATCTGCCGATAAACACACCCACGGAAAGGGTCGCACGGAGTACATACAAGGGCAGGGTCTGCGGCTATGGGCGTAAGATGGGCTTCAGGATGGCTTTCGAGCGAACTCTCCGAGCTCTTGGGGTCGTCCGACATGATTCCGACAGCGTGGGATTGGGATTCCGGAAGATACGTGTACAGTTCGAGGAGGGAGGGAGGGAGAGAAGAATGATCAGCTCGCAGGGTGTAGGCCAGTATTTAATTATTGCACTCCGAGATACTCTGTTGTTCCCTCGGTTCCCAGAGCAGGGATCGGCGCAGTAGAGGCTTCAGGGAATTCTGGGCTTCAAACGGAAGGGAAGGGATGGGAATGGAAGGGATGGGTATGGGTATCATGTAAGTAAGCAGTATATACTCTATCATATGGCAATAGTGATCGTCTTGCAAGGTCTAGTAGGCGTCTATGATATTACCGGGGCCTGCCTATCATGTGTGCCCGCTTCTCACACTCGCTCCTCGCTACCGGAGCCGATGCCTTGGGGGCGGAAGAGAATGGGGCATCGATCGTATGTAGGTATCGGATCTCACATACAGCGAATAGCGAAGACTTCAGCCGGTAGACTTGAACTACTTCTTACCTACTACGACCACACCCCCCGCCCCCGCAGACCGGAAGGCCAGGCCCTTGTCCCGGCAGAGCGGTTCCTCACAAGCCCATAGTTACAGTCTCCGCGGCGAGTGGAGCATGGAAGAGGACGAGAAGCTTCGAAGAGGGGGTGCGGCGTGATTTGCGTACCATAGATCGATCTACTGTAGTTACCCCGGAATCTAGTTTACGCCGCTCTCCACACTCCACACTCGACGCCCCAAGCCCGTGGCGCTCCCTGTACTCAACTTGGTGCATAACATTCGCAAAAGCCGCTGCTGGGACGTCGCCAGCCGCAGGCAAGCGAGTGAGACCGAGACGCGGACCGGCGACCGAACCGTGCAGCACGCCCGACGATGCCGGGCTCATGTGCCAACGATCTTCGGCGCGGCGCAGACTACCGGTAAACTAGCATCTGCCTAACCACGCACATGCATCTTGTTGCCGCACATGATGGGCACGTTCTCCGGCCAGAAACCGAGGTCAAAGCCTTCAACGATACTCAACATATCGAGATGAATACGGCACGATGTCTCAGCCGCCGATGAGGGTACGTGCTGTCCTCTAGTTACTCTAAATGCCTACCGGTACTCGGTTACTTGCATGCAGGCTGTCGGCGATACAGGCGCTGATCTGGAAGGACAGCCCGAGCCTCGCGTGTGAACCCGGAATTCAGCCTCGCTCACAAAGCCGGCCGACGGCGGGCCTAAGTGAGTACTTTTTACCTACAGTAGCAAAAAAAACTGGGGAGAATTGATACCGTAGCAGCAATTAACACGCCATTTATTTTCATGTTGATATATGATCAATACTAGTGACCACTGGGTTACCGTGTTTACAAGTCTGCTGGATCAATACGGTGTCGATTTTATGTACCAGCCTTTTTGGTACCGTACATACTGACCTAAGCACTTGCACCTATTTGCTCGAGTACTGCCGTAGGTATCATACCACTCCTCCTTGTATGCACTCTCAGGTGCAAGATCATGCACAACCATCCGACAGTTCCGATTTTGCGGATGCGTGAGACATTACCCAGCAGTTATATAGAATACCAGCATTCCACTATGTAGAGCATGTGCATGTCAATCTAGCTGATACATATAAGACACAGCTTTCGTGTCAGCCGTGACAGACCCAGAGAGTCAGAGACGTCTAACGGCGACATACCGCATCTGTATGTACAACCAATATCACCCACCGCGTGCACAGTTGTTTTTTCCGTCATCGTGGTTTCGGGTTCGCATTTCGCACTTCGCAGTTCTCACTTCGGCAGTACCAGCCTAGTTGGGCGTGCAGATTCCAGGAGTGGGCATTCCCGCCGGCTCCGCTGCAAGGATCGGTATCTACATAGAGTGCTATATCACATGCCGGGTATAAGATTATCATAAGTCGATCATCGATGCCTCCGAGAGTTCGAGCACATCTCTGGAGCCTGCCTTGTGCACCAGCGGCAAGCCTTTCTTCTATATGGTCCTTCCGAGTACCGTATGCACCTATTCGAGTCTCGAGGGTGGTAGGTACATGATGGGAACGTTCATCGGACATCATCCCACAGTCCACACCCCTCTCCGGATCGATCGGAGCTGTCCTAGGCTCCTTCGATACGGTATGCTGGCGCCATTGAGAGGCGCGATGTGTAGTGGGATCGCACGTACGTCGTCCGATATAGTAGACGTCATCGCCGCCGTATGTGGACAATGCGTCTGGAGGCTGAAGAACGGCCCCTTCCCCCTTCTCCCTTCTTCATCACCATCATCTTCTTCTCCTTTCTATCATCATTATTATCATCATCATCATCCAAATAAAAGATCAACCCGATCAACTTCTCTTTCCTCTACCTATGTGTGGTTTCCTCTAGATCCCGCCTCTCGTCCGGGGGGGTGTTGGTCAACGAACCGCTCGCAAAACTGTGTTCACAGAGACCGCTCCTGACCTTCTCGTGGACGGTGGCCCACATTACCAAGAACCCAGCGGCCGTTCGCACGACTACTAGCTTCATCACAAGCTTCGCCGCGAACAACTCCCACTGCAACACTGGTTGTAGTAGGTAGCAATACCGCCTCAGGTGAGCTCCGACCCCGTTCCCTCCGTTCCGTTCTCACTATTGCCGACCGGAAACTCACCAACAGCAGCTACAGATACAGCTGCAGCACCACTTCAAAATATGTTCACAGAGACCACCTCTGGTCCTTACCTTCTCGTGGCCCATACCACTCATGGTACTGGTCCTGACGATTACTGCTCGAAAACTGCTGACAGCGGCCAAGTCCACAGCTATGGCCTCGCAGCTCGCCTTCACAAGCCGCACCGGAGACAGCATCTACGATTGCGGCTGACCACGAATGGATGCCTCGCGAATATGAAGGCAACAGTGCGACGACGTCTGAATCCAGCGACAAATAAGATGGAGACATCCTACCTACGAAAGGACCAGACCCCTGTCTTCATCCAACGCGCGTGCATGAAGTGCGAGAAGAAAGGCTACGAAAGGTGGCACTTCGACTTCGATTGCAGGCAAGACCCGGCACTGAAGGTATACGTCGTCGACTACGTCAACACGATACACGGCAGCGACATCTACGGTTGCGGCTGGCCGCGAACGGATGCCGCAACATCTTGCATTCCACGCTACCACCAGTTCAGTGTTCTATAGTCGTGCGCTACAGCCTACAGGATGCATTCAATGTTGAATGTGTGCTAAGATGCCGGGGTGGAGGCCGGAGGGAGTTGGGAAGGGAGGATGAGGAAGCGGGAGAGCGGGAGAGCAGGAGAGCAGGAGGTGGAGGAGGAGCATGAGGTGGAGGAGGAGCATGAGGTGGAGGAGGAGCAGGAGGTGGAGTAGCAGGATGAGGAGCAGGAGCAGGGGGGAATACGCTTGTTTCACGCAGGACGCATATTAATATCGTATCGGGGCATAAAAACATGTATTTTGACCTTATTGATACGATATCACTAGCATATTTTTTTACCCCCACTTGACTATACAGTACGTACAATGAAAAGCATAAGCGAACCCGTCCTCTTCTTACTTATCTTCTGGAAATCCAATAGTTACCCTTACCCGCCACGGGTCCGGCTAGGTACATCACCGGTCGTGATGGACGCCGAGGGAAACACAGCACAAGCTTAGACTGCTTCGTGGTACTAAGCTCCCAGTGCCCACTGGGGAGCCAAGTGGACTGATGGGTGTTGATTCTGAGCTCTCCCTCGATGATCCCGTATCCCTCGGCGGGCGGGCGAGTGGGCGGGCCAGCACGCCTCTCGCAACATCCGACCTCTAGCCACGGACCACGGATCACAGACCACGGAAAGAAACGAGAGTGCATACGTACGCAGGATCTGTCACGACTAGTGTGGACAGCCTGGACAGCTTGTATAGTCTAGATAGGCCCTGCTGGAGACGGTGCGACAAGTAACAAGTTGCAACCGAGACGTCCGAGACGTCCGAGCGGGAAGAGAGACAGCCTATGTGTTGTACAGTCGGTGAGTAGCCGAGAGAAGGAGAAAGAGCGCGCTGAGGTTGAGGTTGGGGGACCGGGATCGAGACCGGGATCGAGCCCGGGGACTGGGGTCACTCCCGTTGTTTCTCCCCGCACGCTCTCCTTTGGGGTATAGCTTGATGGAGAGGTAGGGGGCGGGCCCGAGGCCGAGTGAGGATTGAGGAGCGGACTTCTTCTTAGTTCACTCTACTTGTAGCTATGAGTCTCTGGGAAAGGCCAGGGCGGACCCCGGAGGGCAGCGGAGGGCAGTAGAAGCTACAATGCCACATCAGGCCGCGTGGCGGACGCCGGAAGTTGGGTTGGACGGTAAATTGTGGATTAGGAGACGGAGTGTGTACCGTAGGTATTGCCATGATCCGGATATGTCGCAAGCAAGCAATTAATGATTAAACAGGAGAAAACAAAGGTATGTTGGAAACATGGTAAAGCGGCGGTACCTAGGGGAGAGAAGAGCCGCACCTGGAGGAGTCGTCCGACAATACCCATGTCCCGATGGATGCAAATTTGCGGCACGAGATTCCCGTGCAGATCCCGTCGGTGCAGCTGCGGCGTACATAGCAATACCGATATGCACATACGGTATCTTCCGCCACCGGGATCTTGATTCTTGACCTCTGTTGACGAGGGCGTGCCAGTCTGGCTGTTTGAGCTCTATCCCGCTCACCCGCTCGCCCGCTCCACATGATGGTCACTCACGTTCGATCATGCAGGTATTTACCAGCGAAAAACAGATATATTTCCTCCACGACGACCGAAGCTAACTACCCAAGCAAGTTGCAACCACATCAAAGTACATAACGACCGCCTTCCACCCCTCCGTCCCGCATACCCTCACCACCAAGACCGCCCTCCCGCCTACCACCACCACCCAACCACATCATTCACACACGCTCTCCCTCCCTCTCGCCGCGCTAAAACTTCGGCGGCACAAACCCCGCATTCCCCCTTCCGATCCACGCATTGACCAATTTAACGACGTGCTCCCACAGCTCGACCGAGATGCCCGCCCACACCCAGCCATTATCGTCCAGCTCCAGCGTGATATCGTCCGACCAGTTGACAGTGTTGGACGAGCTCGGCTCCGGCACGGGGTCGCGGGTGCTCGTGGCGGTCGCGGTAGGTCGGTAGCTCGTCTCGAGCGTGGTGTGCGACTGCGTGCCCGCGCAGCCGTGCGGCGTCCACCACCGCGGACAGCCAGGCGCGTCTGGGAGGGCGGAGAATAAAGGCCGCCCGATCTCTACTGCGGCGGAGGCGACACCGGCGGTCGTTAGCACGCTGAGGAGGACGGGAAGGAGGCGCATCTTTGGTGATGCGTGGAGGGACGAGTGAGAGATTGTGTATATATATATGTGTGTGTGTGTGTGTCTGTGTGCGTGCTGCTGCGGAGATGGAGTCGATCAATCGATGTGGACGGTGGGCGGCGGGTATTTATCGACGAAGTTACGCGGGAGTAGACGCCTGATATCTTGGACTGTGGATATTCTGTCGTGTGTACCTACAGTGTACTCGGTCCAGAGCATCTCGTCGGGCTATGCTGCAACCAACTTGGCCTCGTGAGTGGTGAGCGGCGAGAGTTCCGTTTTCCAGGGAAACATGTTCTCTCGGATCAGGCGAACCATCGCTCGGCGTGTCTTCGTCCTACTGCGATACCAGTTCAAGTTGTTCAACCGGCGTGATTCGTATGCCGACTACCTATGCCCCAGCGAACAGAGTATGCAAGGCGGTGATGTCGATATTGGCTGGCCAGTCCTCCAAGCAAATCACAATTGGGGGGTCACAATCGGGGTCAATTGGCGTACGTACGGTTGGGAGCCGCGGCTCCCGTTACGCGGGATCTAACTAGGTACACCGGTGGCGCTTGATAGCTTCGGATAGGCGCTTAGTGGGGAGTGCGTCTACTACTAATAGTAGTTGTCAAGTAAGAGGCGGCGTCAACCACGAGTTTAGCTGTTCAACAGGCAGAACTAACTACATATTAGGCGTACGAATAACCGCTAGACGGAGTGTAGTATACAAACAAATGACCAGCACGCAGCTACCTACTGCGCGGAACTCCAGCAGCTCGGCGAGACTCCGCTTGGGTTTCGATATCACCCACATACACTACCTACGTACATACCTAGCCGTGAATCCATCGTGGCTATGCTAGCTATCTAACTATCTCTCCAGTCGTCCACCTAGGAACCACTCCAATTACCGCGCGGGCTCTCCTCCGCGAGGCAGGACACGATGACGGCCTGAACCCGTACAACATATCTACCGGTATTATGTCTCCCATCTGGTCACGGCGGGTCGGGCGCGACTCGTGCGTGCGGTTCGAAGTCAAGTCGGGTTGGCTATGTGCTATAGCATGTACTGGATATGTATGTACGATTCTTCGTGTGAAATACATTGCCAAGGTATCGCGTATGGGTGCGGGAGATCGTCCGCTGAAGTTTGGACTGATCCTCGGCGTCTTTGTTTTTTGTGATGTTCGCATTCAGCCTATCTGGAGTAGATTAGAGTAGAGTCTGGGCTGTGGTGGCATATCATTCCTTCGTTCTTGTTTACAGTCAAGACTCAAGAGAACCGGCTCAGTGTGGTAGGTAGCCTCGTCCCCCAGTCCCCCAGTCCACCAGGAGATGTGAAGATGTAGAGCGCACTAAGGAGAGAGGCGTACCAAGAAAAGCTCTACGTACAGATGTAACGACGCCGGCCGCCTTAACTCCTCCACCGTCCCCGCCACTCGCCGATCTGCCTCCGTTCACTTCACTATGTCCGCTTGTTTCGTTTAGCCATACCCCCTCACATTTACCCCATAACTATTCCATAGTTGTGGCAGCCGCCCAGTCAGCAGGTGCAATTTTCAAACCACCGACTCGCTGTAGAATTGCAACAGGTGAGGCGGTATGATCCAACTCTTCCAGTCTTCCGCGCAAGCCATTCCAGGGCTTGCGTCAGCCCAAATAAGGTTAAAATGCCGATTCACTCGTGGACGGAGCTCGAAGTTCGAACACGCACGCACAGGCTCAAAGCAGCCGGCTGGGTTATATATAGGCGTCCGACGGGCTCGTCTCCGCTACTCTAACCCAGTGTTAACTATCCAGTGTTACCATGGCTTCTATGGCAATTTGCAAAGCGCAGCTTCGAAGTAACTAGCCGGCTAGAACTTGAGTTATCGGTTCTACTAGAATATATAGTAGGTTGAGGACATAGGCGTCCCACGGGCTCGTCTCCGCTACCCAGTGTTACCATGGCTTCTACATAGAGTATGTCGCCCCCGCTTCGGCCGGCCCGGTCGAGCGCCGTCTCGCTGCCGCTGGTAAGTTCTGGTCTCGAGTCTCGACCGCGGACTACGCATACCTAATATAGGTAGTTGGGGCTGGGGGATTTTTGTTGTCGCTATGTACTCTATCCTTATTCTCATAGATTCGAAGCTCTCTTGTCTTCGCAAGACCGCGAGTCCGAAGCCCCGCACCCAACTCGCGCGGGAGACTGTATGATGCTGCAAAATTATCGCGACAGCTGGTGTAAAACGTCAGGAACGACTGCGATGTTGGTACCCGTATTCTGCGCTAGGTGCTGACTGGTTGTTACTGTTAGTCAGTTGGAGTGTTGGACCTGGTAAATCCGAAAACGGCGCTGATCAGGGTCAGACTTACCGGTAAGCTAACCTACGGTTTATCTACCCAGCTGAAAGTAAATCGTCCGCTGAGTTTACAAGATCGAGCCACCACATGATACTTCTTCACGAGTGACGAATAAACTGTCTGTCCGGCTCTGAAGAACGCTGGAGAATCGTCGGCCTCCGGCTCGGGTGTAGGCACTCAACCTATTGATGACATGATCCCACCGCCTACTTCCGCTTCACAGTCCAGAGTCCAGAGTCCAAACAACCCTGAATAGTTACCTCATATCTGCCCTTTAGTCATCCCGGTCTCGCTCTCCTGGGCGCAGTGGGCGGTCATTCATCCAGGTACCCAGAGCGGCACTGCGGCATAGCCAAGTCGTCGATCAGCGCAGTGCGAGCGGGAGCTTCGGGAGCTTCGGAATAATATCTACTCTAGGTGTCTAGGTGTCTGGGCACTTCCAGAAGCCCGTGTAAAGTAGGTAAGCCGCCGAGAACCACGGTCCACCGCGGGACTGGGCGAGAGAGAGAATAGAATGACCGCGCCGCGCCGCGTACGAAAGTGTTACTATAACTATCACGAACGAGATGCCGAAACATCAATCGAGGAACACGACGGAAGCTGGGTACCTACGGCACTCTAGACGCGACATCTCCGCCTCCACCAACGCATCGCGTCCCGCTATGTATGAGTACTATACATGCCGGCCCGCACGCACTAGCGATTTAGGGGGAAGGGGGGGAGGGAGTTTGGGACGGGAGGGGTCAAATTACATACAAGTCAAAAACACCTGGTACCCTCCATACCTACTGCAGCGATAGATTGACTTCTCCACTCTGTCCTCGCTCAACAACCACACCTCACCACCTCACCTCACCACCACCGTCACCACCACCACCGCCGCCCACCACCACGCTCGCTCGCCCACTCGCCCGTCGCGATGCCCTCCCCGCGCCGCACCAAAGCCCTCCTCGTCGCGCTGATGTCGGTTCTGGGGCTGACGTTGTTCCTAACATACTACACCTCATCCTCGCAGAGCCCATACATGCGTACACTACGTTCCGTGACCTCACCGGGGGGGCGGCTTTCTTCCTCTTCGGAGCCTGTCGTGCCCGCCTTGCCCGCAGCGGTATACCCCGAAGCGCGCGCGGAGATCTTCACGCTGCTGGAGGCTAACGCCGTCGTCGTGTTCTCGAAGAGCTACTGCCCCTACTCGAAGAAGGCCAAGGCCCTGCTGCTCGACAAGTACAGCATCGTGCCTGCGCCGTACGTTGTAGAGCTCGATTTGAGAGATAATGGCGCCCAGTTGCAGGCGGAGCTAGAGGTGGTTACGGGAAGGGGGACGGTGCCGGTTGGTTTTCCCTATGCGAATGCGCGTGTGAAGGGTGGAGGGTGAAGGGTGGATGGTGGATAAGGGCTAATGGTTAATGGGGGCGCGGCAGAATGTATTGGTCAACGGGAAGAGCATCGGCGGCGGCGACGACGTGGAACAGCTGGATACCGACGGGACGTTGAAGGGTACATTGCTAAGGCTGGGTGGGGAGAGGATCACACAGGTCTCCTTGCAATCGCAGGCGCAATAGCATCGAGGGCTTTTGGACGCGGATAATGTTGGCTTTGGATAAGGATGGCTCGCGCCGGGATGTCAATGTGGGGATATCTACCTAGGTACGGATGCTGGGCACAAAATGGGATACGGTACATAGGTAGGGCGTTCGGGTTTGGAACAGATACTTCTTTGGATACCTGCCATCTACATGCTGTGGAGAATAAAGAGTTCCTTCTTCGCGGGCTCTACTATGTATAGCTAGTGCTTCGCTAGGGGATGTTCGCGAGATCGATAAGTATCGCGATGCGGACAAGCAAAACGCTCCAAAACAGAAACCACATCACAGCTCGCACAGTGTGAATGGCCTCTGACGGCCATCAGAGCACCCGCAAGCCATTTCGTCGTCCATGGCAGGTCACTCGACGCCACCCATTCCTGCAGATTTTCGGCGACGAGTTCTGCCGTTGTCCTTCCTTCCCAATTCATCACCGCGCGCTGGCTACATTCGAAGCCTCGTGGGGCCGATGAGGCTGTTTATACGATTTCATGCAGTTTAGAATGCTGTATGTATGTATGTGCAATCAACGTCAGCGATGCGAGTCATCCGCACCGCACCGCGCTGCGCTGCTCAGTAGAGAAGGTGGACGGTGGATCGCGGGTACATAATGTATTGTACTTTACGCGTTATCTATCGCAGATGAAGATGGATGGCATTTCTCTCCCTTTGCGTCAGATGAAAACGGTCGAGACGAGACCCCAAGTTACGACTCGGTTTCGTCGTCCCGATTATCTGGATTTCGCGATCGCGGAAAATGACGGCGATCGAGTGCCCCATCGATGTCCCGAAACGTTTCGATTGCGGCAAGTTCCGGAAACGGTTTGCACGTGGATGGGGGTAAATGGGAAGGGGGTGGGTGGGTGGCGGGAGCGAGCGAGCGAGGGAGGGGGGTGGGTGGGCTTAGCATGACGATACCTCGATGGCAGCAGCGGTGGTCGTTGAGGCCAGAATCCAGGTAAACTAACCAAGCAACCAACAACAACTCAGCCCCGTCCAGACCGAAGCGAAGACGAAGAATAACCTACCTTCCCCGAGACGAGACAACGCACTCAGCCGCACATCATCCACTACCCACGACTATCTACCCCGCTACCGTCCATTCCCCTCGAGCTCCGGCGTTCGTAGTGTCGTCGCTCGCCCAGATGGTCGCTCAGTCCGACCCGCTGCCCTCGCCCGACATCCTGGTGGAGACGGCCACCACGCCTCCACGAGACCACGCGTCCAATAAGAAGGAGGAGCTGCACGGCGGCCATGTCGAGGAGCGGGAGGGAAAGGAGGACGGAGAGGAGAGAAAGGACGAGGGCGTGGACCTGACCGTGTCTTTGATCACGTCGGTAGAGGCTGAAACACCGACATCGGACGAGGTGGGGAAGCTCCCCAGCAACGCGGACGGCCCCGCGTCGTCATCTCCGGACGAGGATTGGGATGCCATCCGCACTCCACCTCCAGCTCTACGGGAAGACGCAAACACAGACTCGGAGTTGTCGGCTTTAGCTTCAACCCTCGCCATCGCGCCTCCCCCTGCCAACGCTGACTTGACGCCGAGTGTTGTCGAACCGGATGATTTCCGCCCCCCAACACCGGTAAAGGACCCAACTCTGAAGCCCTTGGTCGCATCTCCACCTCCTCCTTCTCCGCCGCCGAAAGATGTGCCGCCGAAGGATCTACCCCCCAAGGACCTACCTCGGAAAAGCTCTCTATTGTCCGAAGTTTCTCCCAATGGCCGCATCTACCTCGACCAGCCGCCCGTCACGCCGCATCCTAGCCGACCGAGCTCGCCTCTGCCCGGGCTGAGTGTGGCGTTCGGGGGTGCCACCACCGCAGGCAAGTCACAGCCGTCATCTGACGACGAAAACGATGGGACGCAATCGGTGATCCACGATCTGTTCGAGAAGAGCCATCGCGCATCGATGTCGGGAGAGCAGCTACAGCGCATCCCATCGGTCTCGTCAGTGAGCTCTCCAATGATCGCATCGCCGCCTCTACACCCTCCGCGAAGCTCCTCGTTATCGGCAGAATCCGGGAACGAGCCGGATTATTCGCCTCCACCACCAGCTGCAGAAGGCAGTGAGCTATCCGAGAAGTCGCCGCTTGCACAGACACATTCAGGCCGCAGCATAAGCAGTATATCCGGCAACAAAGCCACACCGCACCGACCCCCGCCGCCCGATGAGGATCTACCGTTCGACTTCCACCGGTTCTTATCGCAATTACGGCACCGCTCAGCCGACCCAGTCGCGAAATTTCTCCGGAGCTTCTTGCAGGAGTTCGCGAAGAAGCAGTGGATGGTGCACGAGCAGGTCAAGATCATCCGTGATTTCCTGACCTTCATATATGCCAAGATGGATCTGTGCGAGGTGTGGCGCGAGGTCGGCGACGGCGAGATGGACAACGCAATGGAAGGCATGGAGAAGCTCGTCATGAACCGCCTGTACACGCAGACGTTCTCGCCAGAGATCCCGCTCCACGACGGGAAGGCGCGCTTCGACGAACGGTTCCCCGGCAGACGGGGTCAGCACCAGGAGGATGTCGAGAGGGATAGTATCCTCGCGCAGAAGGTGCGGATATACTCGTGGGTGCGCGAGGAACACCTTGATATTGGAGATACCGTCAGCGGCGAGGGCGGTAGACGGTTTCTGGATCTGGCGGTCAAGGAGATGCTCAAGATGGGCAGCTATAGAGCGCCGAGGGACAAGGTGATCTGTGTTCTCAACTGCTGCAAAGTGATCTTTGGTCCGTCCTTCCATACTTACCGGCTTCCGGGACATGGCGAACTGACGCTTGTGCCACAGGGTTGTTGCGACACTCGAAGAGCGAGGAGAGTGCGGACAAGTTTGTGCCACTCCTGATCTACGTCGTGCTACGCGCGAACCCGGAGCACTTGGTCAGCAATGTGCAGTACATATTGCGGTTCCGAAACCCGGACAAGCTCTCGGGCGAGGCGGGCTACTACCTCAGTTCCCTGGTATGAGGAAACGGCTCGGTGCGGTGCGGTATCGCATGGTGGAGCTGACACTCGGGACCGCTATAGATGGGCGCGATCCAATTCATCGAGAACCTCGACCGCGCCTCCCTCACAATCTCCGCCGAAGAATTCGAGCGCAACGTCGAAGCCGCGGTGGCCGAGATAGCCGAGCGCCCGCCGCCTCCGTCGCCACCGCCAAAGCCGCGCAGATCCACAGAGCAGCGCGACACCCGGCCCTCACGGGAAAACACCGACCCCGAAGGCGCCGGCGAGGAGAAGGCGGCCGTTGCAGGCCTCCTGCGCACCCTGCAGAAGCCCCTGACCACCATCGGCCGCATCTTCACCGACGACGGGTCGTCCTCGTCCCACGGCGGCGGGCCCGCGGTAACCCCGCAGCCCGGGAACACCCCGCGACACTCGCCGAACCCGGATCCGGACGACGCACTGCTCACCGCCGTCGGCGGACGGCGCCACCAGCAAAACTCCCGCAGGAGATTGGACGGGGGCAACGCGAGACTCTCTGCCGAGGAGGCGGCGGCACGACAGGCTAGCGCTGAAACTGAAGAGGCTGCGAGAATTGGCAGAATGGAGTATGAGCACGTCGTTGAAACGCTCATGCGCATGTTCCCGGACCTCGATAGGGACGTCGTGTGTGACGTCGTCAATATGAAGAAGGGACAGTGAGTTTTCCTCTTTTTTCCCCGCACTGTTCGTGGTAGGGCGTATGCTGATGTCCATAAATAGGGTCGGCGCGGCAGTGGATGCGTGTTTGGCTTTGTGCACTTCTTGAATTCTGGAATCGAGTACTTTAGTTATCACTATTCGCTACAGCTGCTGCTGCTACTACTACTACTACTACTACTACTACTACTACTACTACTACTACTACTACTACTACTACTACTACTACCACTACTACTACTATTACTACTACTACTAATGAAACCTTTGAGAACATATATCGACTTCTCCTTCCGCTTCCGCTTCTGCTTTGTCCGCTGGTTTGTTAGGTGTGTTAGGTTTGTTAGGTAGGTGGTGGATCGATGGATTTGCTTTCCTGGTGGGGGGAGTGTTTCGTAGCATATCGTATCGCATCTTCGTGTTTGTGCAGTTGCAGTCTGGACTCTGTAGTTACTTGTTGCTCGTCATTTGTTTCCGTTGTTGTTTTTGCATCTGTTTTTGCATCTGTTTGAACATTGGCATCTGTTTGCGTGGGGACGAGGGCGGGAGAGAATGTATGTACTTGGTCGGTATAGGTAGTAGAGGTAAGGATCTTTCGGAAATGGATTGGTTATGACGAATGGACGCAGGATGTGGGGCAGTCGTAGGCAGTTAGCATAGGTACTCTATGCGAAACAGCCATTCGCGCTGTGCAGTGTGCATCCTCCTCCAGTAGTAATGGTGGTGGTGATATGTACCCCAACAGCAGCTGCAGGAGTATGCGATGCAATGTGATGATACGTATGATATGCGATGCGGTGATGTGCGATGCGATGAGGCATTCTGGGGTATTGATGAGGATGGGATGGGATGATGTTTCCCCGTACCTCTCCATCTATCCATCCGTCTCTATGTCGCTCAACGCCCCAACCGGCCCCGTTCCGGCACAGACCAGTCGGATCTTGTGACGCAGCGCATCACCGCTCAGCACAGCAGCGCACCACCACTGGCTCCAATTTTCCCAATTTCGTTGCGAGCTTTTGCTAAGCTGACTAGCGCGTTCCGGGTCCGTGCGTGGGTGAGTAGAAAGTCTGCGGAGACCGACCGGGCAGGCAGGGCAGGGGGAGCGAAGGGATGGAGCGAGGGCCATGGAGGGATGGAGCGATGGGGTAAGGGAGCGAAAGAGGGATGAGCGAAGGAAGGAGGGAGGGATGGAGCGCTGCTCCTTCTTCCTTCTTTCTTTCTTTCTTTCTTTCCTTCTCTGATCTGATCTTCTTCTGCATACTCACTCATCTACCTAAATTCGACTGCCCGTTGTTCGAGCCGTTGCTATTGCTGAGGAATTCGTGATTCGCTACCTACCTATCCCATCTATCGAGAGAGACACACAAGACACGGACACGGACGAGACAAGACCAGACCAGACAAGACAAGACAATACCCAGTTACGAGACACACCCAGTAGACCAGCAAACCAACCGACCTACCAACATCGACGAAGGAAGAAAATAAACCCCTTTGTTTTTTCTTCTCGCTGCTCTCGTTACATACGAGTTGTGGGGGATTACTATTACTGCCGCTACTACTGCTACTACTACTACTTACCTCCACCTACGTACGATTACCCCTGACCGCGGCCACCCTCGCGATTCGACACGATTCGACACGACACGATCCTGGCGCCGCAGAGCATCGCAGCGTAAGGCACTGAAAGGAGGGTGAGCTACAGTACCGTACCTTCTCCACTACCTGGATCCAGGAAAGAAAGAAGGGGTATCTACAGTATATCGAACGGAGGAAATCCACCACTCTTCCACGCCCTCAACCACCGCCCTCAACCACACCCACCCACGCACCCACACGATGAACACCACCACGACGACAACGGAGATGCTCTCACCGCCGTCGCCGCCGCGGTCCCGCGCGCGGTCACCGCACCGGCACTCCCACCAGACCTCGGGGCGCCCACGGCGCGAGGGCGGCTCCCGTCGACGCTCCGCACCGAACCACATCCTGACGCCGGGGTCGACAGCCGCGTCCTCGCCCGAGGTGATCACGTCGCTCGTCGACCAGCTATCGAAGCTGCAGCCGTCGCCGCTGCACAATCCGTTCCTGTACGGGTCTTTGGCGCCGCGCGAGGAGATCGTGGATGCCGCCATGGCGTCCGACGACGAGACTGGCGGGTACCTCCACCCCGACGATGCCGCCATGGCGCCCGTGGTACGCACGTCGAAGCCCCCCAGTGGCTTCTCGACTCATACCAAGAATGAGAGTCTGTCGCATTCGAGGAGGAGTAGTCATCACTCTGGCATCAGTGTCGGGACGAAGGGTGGCGTCGATATTCCGTCGTATGTAAGGACGTATATGAACCGTGGGCCAGACCATGAGCGGCGGCAGAGCAGGGATTCGAATGTTAGCGGGCAGAGCGGGGATAAGAGCGGAAGTGGAAGGTTGAGTGTTGTTTCGTCGAGGGAGAGGATGCGGAATGCCGAGGGGAAACGGCCGGTGGCGAGGGCGAGTGCCGGCGGAAAGGATATTCCCCAGCGGAGCTCGAGCTATGGAAAGGGGAGCGACAACCCTCGCTCGCAGCAGGCGAACTTTCCCGACGCCATTGTGACCACCGCGGCGCCGATCTACAAGAGTCCGATCGGCTCCCCGAATTTTCCGACGACGGCGGAATTCGACGATAGCGAGGCGGCGCCACCACCTCCGGATTTGGCCAAGTACCGGGAGGAGCTGAAGGGAAAGCGCGGATCCAAGGGTTTTCCGACACGATCGGAGAGCCTGCCATCGGGCAAGATCTCGAAGAGACACAGTGCTGATGCGAAGGTGAAGGGTACGGTGCTAGACGGGTTCGCGAAGCGCAAGAGTGACAGTCAGTATGTGCCACCGCATGGATACATCCACATGACCACGACCACGACCACGACAACCCCGCCACGCCCCTCGTTCCAGGGTAGCACTGCGGACACTCTGCAGCAGGAGCGGCCCGGCTCGGCAGACTCGATCGATGATGCCGTCGACGCGTACCTCTGTTCGCCGCGATTGAGCCAGAAGATCCGGATGCCCACTACCGGCCGGACCATTTCCTTCAGCGAGGTGGGGGATCCGCAAGGATTCGCCGTGTTCGTGTGTGTGGGGATGGGGTTGACACGGTACGTCACGGCGTTCTACGACGAGCTCGCGCTCACTCTTGGACTGCGTTTGATCACGCCTGATCGTCCCGGCGTCGGAGAGTCGGATTCGATAGACGAGAACGAGCGCGCGGTTCTGAACTGGCCCGACGATGTCCTCTACATCTGCCAGTCGCTCAAGATCACCAAGTTCTCGATTCTCGCGCATTCTGCCGGCGCGATCTACGCGCTCGCCACCGCGCTCAGAATGCCCGGCCACATCAGAGGCAAGATCCACCTCCTGGCACCGTGGATCCCCCCGAGCCAAATGGAAAGCGTCATCGCCACCGACGAGAACAAAGGCGAGCGGCCGGGCAGCATTCCAACAAGCCAACGCATCCTCCGAGCACTCCCCACACCCTTCCTCAAAGCCGCCAACTCCCCGTTCATGTCCGCCACATCCAGCTCCCTGACCACGTCCCTCCCGCGCAACAGCGCCCGCCGCACGAAGCGCCGCGCCGCCGCCGCCGCCGCCCCACAAAAAATCGTCGACCCATCCGCCGCCAAGGACCGGCCAACCCTAACAACAAACCACCAGCCCAGCGGTAACGGCACCGACCCGCCCGGCGACGACGCGGCCAGCCCCCCAGCACCGGAAGACATCGAGGCCAGTCTCCTCCTCGCGGCGATCACCGCCGCCCAGGAGAAAGAGCGCCAATCCTCATACGACGAGCGGCTCACATGCGCCATCTGGACGCTGTCGACGCGCAACGCCAACCCCGCCGTCGACCTGCTCGTGTGCCTCGAGCGCAACCGGCCCGTCGGGTTCATGTACGTCGACATCACGCGCGAGGTGGTGATCCACCACGGCGCGAAGGACGCGCGCGTCCCGGTCGACAACGTGCGCTGGCTCGGGAAGACGATGCGGCGCTGCGAGGTCCGCGTGCTGCCCACCGAGGGCCACGGACTCATGGCCAGCGCTAGCGTCATGGGCGGCGTCCTCGAGGAGATCGCGCAAGAGTGGAGGGACTGGAGGAAGGTTGTCGAGGGTCGCCGCGTCGAGGGAGGCCCAGGCGGCAGGGAGAGGAGGTGGGCTGATTAATTCTTTTTGCTTCTTCTCTTTCTCGTCTCTTCTTCTGCTTCTGCTTCTCTGATTCTTCTTCTTCTACTTCTACTTCTTCTTATTGGACTGCTCGTTTTCTTATGCGGATTTTACTAGGGTTATGGACGATCTTGAACTTGAACTTGAACTTGGACTTTCTTCTGTGGACCGCCGCTGCTGAGATGGTCGGTGGTCGGTGGTCGGTGGGGGTGAACACTTGTTGTAGTGGCTCGTTAGTAGAGCATATGTGCGTTGTACCTCTGTACCTTATTTCTCTTCCGTTCCGTTCCTTCCGTTACTTTTCTTTGATTTTGCGAGCGAGCTTACCTTACCTTAACCTTTTTTTCGTTCTTTTCTTTTTCTTGCGAGATGTGTGTGCTGATCATTCATTATAGTGATACTTACTTGTAGTTGTAGTAGGCAGGCAGGCGGGTGGGCTGGCTGTTGATGGGGTGGGGGGTTGATGGGGGGTGTCTCGACGGGCGAGCGGGCGGGATGATGGGGGTACTTGGTTGGCTGGGTGGGATGTAGTCGTAGAGCGGAGGAAGGCCGAGCAGAGCGCTGACTCGGCGGGATGCGTGAGGAATGGATGGATGACGATTCGATTGAGGGTTCAAACTTCATGGGGCCTTGATGGAGTCCGAGCTTCAGTGACGTTGCTATATCTGGTGAAATCGTGGTGGACGTGGGTGGCGCTGGACCAGCTCCAGACCATCCGCGGAAGGCATGGGCTTATCAGAAGTAAATGTGCGATTGATGTGCGGTTGATGCGACAACTTCACTTCACTTCTCCGCCGAACGCGGAGTGACGGATATACTCTGCATGTGTGCGAGCGCCGGGTACCCTTCTTGGGTCTTTCGCCCAACGAAAAGCCAATAAAAAAGTGAAGGCCAGCGCCGGCGCCGTCCCAGGCCGACCGCGGCAGTGGCCACATCACTGCATACTAAGCATACCGTCGTGCTTACACAGCAGCAGCAGCAGTGCAGCACGCCGCCACCGCGCAACACCCCCAAACCGACTGACTGCCTGCCCGTGATAGCGATTGAGAACCGAATTGGTCAAACTACAATTTCACTTAAAGGGTGGCGGGGTGGCAGATCATGGGTTCTCACTCGATACAGTAGGTACCCTTCACTTTTTTTCGAATCCGCGGCCTGCCGTGGACGCTGGTGGGGTGGAGGGCAGGGAAAGTCACATCGGGCCGCTCGGTGCAAGCCGGGTTAGACAGTGGCGTGCAAAGGGGGGGGGGGGGGGGGGGGGGGGGCGGGTGAACGGGGTGATATTGCCATGATCTAGCTAAATCGCATGCAATCAATGATTAAACAAAAAAAAGCCGTGGACGCTGGAAAGCGCGAAGAGATGTTGAAGATTCAAGAGGTATGGACAGTGGAAAGGCTTCGGCGGCCATCCGGACGAGGGGGAGTGGGAGAACCGCCGCATCGGTACATATGCGTACGGCAGAGCGAACTGGAGGTGAAAGCACGGCGAAGCGTGTGAACATACCTAGTGCTTATGAATAAGCGTATGTACCCGTCGAGTTTCCAATACTCCCGACCAGCACCCCCAACACTGACCAGTAGCGGTACGAACGGCAAACCATCAACCAGACACGAGACACGAGAGCCCCTCATCGAACGATATCCAGTTTGCTCGGAGGAGTCAGCTGGGAATCTGAGAGATCTGGGAGAGAATCGCGAGCGAACCCGGGTTGGGGAGGAGTCGATGTCGGATAGGTTGAATCGTGTAGCCCTCGACTTGCTGGAGGCGACGAACGTGGTACGGTAGAACGGCTGCAACGGCAGCGGTAGGGGATGCGGGGGGAGGGGGCAGGTCCACAGCGGGAGGCGGACGAAGAATGAAGAAGAGCAGTGGCAATGGCGTTGTTTCTCCCAGATCCAGCGGCGGAGAGGAGATGAGAGGTAGAGAGATGAGAGGCAGGGAATCACTGTCGCACCGCGCCGAGCTCACTGTCGCACCGAGCTGAGCTGAGCTCTGTGCCCCACACGTGGCCAAACACGGGATGTACCGTGTCCGTGTCTGGGCATCGCCAGAACCCTAGAGGTCTCACGCAACAAAAGATGATTGGAAAAAAAGAAGCAACCCCCCTGTCTGCCCCGGACGAGCGAGCGCAAGCACGGATCATTCGCGGACGAGAGGTGCACCCCGGAGGGGGGGCAATGGGCAACTTCCGCGGAAACTGACGTGCGGCATGGCGTTGCCTAAGCCGGCGAGTCCGCGAGGGAGAGAAGAGGCTGGCTAGGGAAGAGACCAGTGATCGCCGGGGAGGAGGGCGAGACCGCTGCGGACACGGTGCAGCTGTTGGTTGTGGTTGTCGGCCTGTGGCTATGAGTCTATCGTTCTGCAAAGATTCCTAGAATACTGGTCAGGGATTGGGAGGGCTCGGTGGGAGGAAGCTGCAGGAGTAGGAGCAGAGGATGATTCCCCCATGCCCGTTGCCTTCGTTATTTCCACAAACTCTGGCTGTGAGTCCCATCGAATCAACGTTTGACGACCATGCGGAGCAGGAACCGGACAATTATGTGGAGTAGTGCACATATCGCCACCATCAAGCTACACCGTACGCGATTAACGAAGAAACGGGGTGGATAGATGTCAGGCCATGCCCATTACCTAGTAGCGGTAGGATTCCATTGATCAAACGGTTCGCTGTTGATGAGTTAGTAGAGGGAGTACTCATCTACCAACTCGTTGCTCATCGCCTCGCCTGACTGGCAGACTCCGGGGAAAGACTCAAGAGGAATCGGAATGCATGCTGAGTTGCTCGTGGCAGCTGCCAGTGATGTGATGGCATACCGTAGGTACCGGTACGTGACGCCAAAAGACGTGACCACCAAAGAAGTGACGACTGCAGGAATATGACGACAACGACGTAGCAGCCGTGACTCGTGACGACACAGCGAGGCGAACGGACGGTATTTACCGCCCGCCGCCCACAGTGGTTTCTCCGCTCGATCAATCTACTGCTCACTCCGTTTCACCCGTGCCCTAGGTACTGCAGCAACCTCTGGACCGGAGTACTCGTGCTCTCGAAATCAATACTGACACTATGCGCAAAGAAGTAGCCCAGCGGAGGAGGTGGATGAGGCGGAGGCCAACCAGCCAGGACAGACATCCATAAAGACAGACAGACATCCGAAGTAACAAGCCGACGACGTGAGTCGTGACCACGGTTATGCCCAGTATCAACGGTTGTGCAGCACATCTGCACTTTACGATTTGCGAATGTTTGACATTTTGGTGATTGTTTGCACACCGTGACACCATCCACGATCCAGCCCCATCCACGATTCCAGCCCCATCCACGATTCCAGCCCCATCTGCGCGCCCCACCCACCCACTCACCCCACTCACCCACCCATCTAGAGCACTCGGTTGGTTGCCTACCCGCTGCAGGCAGCCTGTATGTACAGTATAGAGATCCGAAGCTTCAAGCTTTTGCGAGGTGGCCACTCCCGGGGGTGAGGGGGGGTGGTGGGGGCGTAAAGCTCTTTGCCTCCTGTTCCATCGCTGAAGCAGGATGAGTCTTTGAAGGATTTATTGTGCACTCCAGAGTCCACCCAACCGGATCATGCGCACGCAAGCACCCAAAGTAAGTACTCGAGTACGCCAGGTTACCTGGAATTAGGAATTAAAGGTATTACCCACCCGCACTTGAGTAAGTGCATACCGTAGTTTGTGATGCGTCGAATCTCGATCGCATTGCGAATGTGGTGGTGGCGCACGGCGTCAGGCGTTTTTCTTTTCTCCGGGATGCAGGGCTGCGGAAGAACGGGACCGGGGAGATACCTAGACTGCTGGTATAGGTACATACTGCATCACTCGGTCGACGACCGATATTCGTTGCCGGCCGCGGAAAATTGATTATTGAGCAGGTACATACGGGTGGAGTAGAGGAGGTGAAGCTGAAGCTGGTAGGAGTGGCAAAGGGGCGAACTTTGCGGCGCGGAGTAGCGAGCGAGCGGATATGGGGGGGACTGGGAGAGCTGGGCACACCAAGCCGAGCCGAACCGAGTGCGCGGGTTCACTGGCAGCCGACGCAACTCAAGGGTTGGTGCATCGATACGATACCCACAGAGCAGCTGCAGCTGTATCTGTATCTGCATCTGCTGGGCGCGGATTGTTGCATTTCCGACGTAGGTATCCCAAAGCACCGAATGGTAGGTACATCTTGGTGTGACAGGTGTGACAGCGGGTGGCGTCGGGTAGCGGCGTTACTAATGAGTGGACGATGAGTGGCTTCGAGTACACAGTCAAGTGCACATGCGTTTAAATTCCCGCTAAGGGAACTCCGGAGCGACTGGTCACGATTCGATCACGATTCGGATCCCCTAGAGAACGGGAGAGACGGGATGGTGGAGAACTGGGTTGGGTCCGGTAGATTGAAGACTCTGGGTGAGACGTTGAGACGTTGAGACGTTGAGATAAGCCTGGAGTAAAGAGTAAAAGAGCGGAGTTTCCTGTGGCTCTCTCAGGCCGCGGAACCCAGAGACGCTGGGTTGGTTGTGGACACGGAACACCGTATGTAGCCTGTTCGAATCCGGATATACAGGCTGGCCCATCGATGCTAGTAGAGAGACTTTTAGAGCAATCGAAGATGATCCACCGGCACCGGCACAACAGCTAGCTGATGTTAGTGTTAGTGTTCCGCCGTCCTGTCATTCGTGGGGTACACGCTTGCTGAATCGGCGATAACTATCCGCCCTCCACTCCGTAGAACTCTCTTCTAGCTACCAGTAGCGATGACGGATCGGAGATGCGGTTTACTACCGTATGTACGCTTAGCCTCGGCCAAAAGATCGCAGACTAGAAGGCTTCACACCACTACCATTGTAGTGTCACGGAAGCGCTACTGGTATCATTCACTCCCTGCTGTCTTGACTCTTTCCCCCCCGCAGCGATAGCGAACCTTGGGTGTGGTAGGTAGTTCTCCACGGTAGTAGGTATGTACCGGTATTCTGTAGTTGTGTTCCGTAGATATACGTACCCCCTCCCTCCAAGACACCTTCACCAAAGAATAATGACCTCGTACATACACACATACCAACCGTCCACTCCACCGTCCCAGTCTCTCTTCTGATCGAGTGATGTCCCATGTGTACGCATCTACTCTACCATATCGACCATTCCCAAAGTAGCCATGCCATGCCACATCTTCATACCAGGCCACACCAAACCAAACCAAACCATACCAAACCATGCCACACCAAACCACACCAAACCATGCAACACATGCCGCACGCATGTCACCACCACGTGGAAAACAAATTAAAACCTAAACTCCGCCCTGGGTGCGGCGGCCTGCGCAGTGCACACGGATTTCCCGCGGACCAGTGCTGTCGATAAGAAATCCTGAAGGGGGGGCAGGGGGTAGGGGGAAGCTGCGTCGGGAGACTGCTGACAGGGGGCCGGGGCGACGACGGCGGCGGCGCGGCGTGGAATGCAACGTACATATCCTACATATCCTACATACATGCGGATGGATATGCGGATGGATTTGTAAAACACTGCGGTTTCATATTTCAAGAACTCTGAACTTTGAAGCTGCACTGCGCTGGTGACTGCAGTGGATTACGCTGGACGTTTCCGGTTCCATGGACGGACTTGCGAGATAGAGCGAGAGAGAGAGAGAGCGAGAGACAGTGGGTCTCGGACCAGGTAGGTAGTTGTTACCGTACTCTAGATACTCTACTTACGACTGACTGACTGACTCCGGTCGCGTCACGAGGGAGGCGCGGATATCACACTCACACACAAAACCGAATGTGGCAAACGCACACGCACACGCACACACGCACACGCCATCGAGTGGGATGGGATGGATCAAGTGGGATCAAGTGGAATCACAGTGGGATCGAGGCGATCCCAATGCAGCTGTCTAGCTGTCTGGCTGTCAGTAGCTGCTCTGCGGCAGTTAACTGGTATTCTCTGCTCAGCTCTAGAGTAGAGTACAGCGGAAATCCATCACAATTCGTGAATCGCCCCCAGTCGGAGATGTGACGCAATCGCGCCGCCATTCGTTCGCCGCCGCCCGCACGCGTGTAGAGTACTGTAGAGTTCTCTAGAGTACGTGAACTGAACGGAACTGAACCAAAGCTCGGGTCGCGTTTAGAGCTTACCTCCCAGCACCAGTGCACCACCACTAACGACCACCAGTACTACCACTACGACCACCATCACCACCACCACGTCCACCACCACCACCACCACCACCACACCTGCTGGGCCTGTATGCCTTCCCTCCCACCCTCGCCCTCATCCCCGTCCATTCCATTGGGCGTAGAACGAGTAGTTCCACCCGGATGTGAGATGTGAAGTAGTGGTGGGGCACCCCCGGGGGGAGGGAGGGGGGCACGGGCCACGTCCGAACGATTTCAATGACGCTCCTGCTTGCAGCATGCGAACGAGCTCGGCGGCGTGTGTCGCCCCGCGGAAAGTGCGGGGGACGCAGAGCGCGGTGCTTGGTGCTTGGGATGAATCATATCGCGGTTCACTTTTCTGGAAGGAAAGGAAAATGTCTGAGACGGAAGGACAGGACAGGAGAGGAGAGGAGAGGACAGGAGAGTGGCAAAACCACCAGCGAGCCAGACAGCCAGCCAGACAGCCATTAGACCCGACATTTTTTTTTCTTTCTTATTTCTCTCTCCCCCGAACACACAGCCAAGAGAAAAAAAAATAATGTAAACTGCGACTGCGACTCCCTCGGTCAGAACTCGACTCAACATCCTCCTCGCACGACCACCCCCCGCCTCCCTCGGAAACTCAATCTCCCGCTGCCGCATTTTCTCACCTACCCTCCTCCGATCTTACCACCTATTCACTACACCTCGCCTTGCCGTCCTCCATCCATCATACTGTTTCCCTCCCTCCCCAAGGCTCCAGGAACCTCAATACGCATCGCGGATCCAGGAAATTCACGAACCGTTAACTACCTACGAACCGGCGTTGCCCAATATCCATACACCCCCTTCGACATTGGCTTCGGCGGTTGTCTCGCCCCCTTATCCCGCCTAGATCGGCCGGGACATCTACCTTAACCAATGAGTGGCGATCACCCGTTGGAAAGCCTGGCGCATCAACACCACCACCACCAACAGCAGCAACAACATCAGCAACAACAGCAACACCAGCAGCAACACCAGCAGCAGCAACAACATCAACAATTCCCCCAGATCGACCCAAGAATCCATTTCACCCCCTTACAGGCCCGAGGAGAATCCCCATCACTACGGTTAGGTGATGGTGGAGGTGGAGGTGGTGGTGGTGACGGAGGTGGTGGTGGTGGAGATGGAGGTGGTGGCGGCATGAATGATGTTCGAGCCGGCTCAGCCCTGAAGAGGAGCCAATCCCCGGCCAATGCGGACGCCCTGATACTGCTGCCGGGGGTGGCACAGACGCGCAAGCCGGTTGGCTCTCGGAGGCCGTTCCAGCGGCGACGGAGGAGTAGAGCCTGTGATGCTTGCAGAGCTCGGAAGACCAAGGTGGGTATGGCAACTTTTGGTTGGGGAGCGGAGAGGAATTGGTGGAATTGAACGGGAATGGAAGCTTACGGGAGCCCGGGAATAGTGTGATACGCCCGACGAAGGTCCTTGCTCGGCTTGCACGCTGGCCAGTCTGGTTTGCAAATTCTCGGAAGGGGGTGAAGATCGGAGACGAGCTGGGCCTGCGAGGTACTGAATTATCCCCTTGTGTGAAGTAAATATTGCTGATGTGGTATATCCAGGCGAATACGGACGCTAGAAGCTCAAGTCCAGGATCTTACAAAGAAACTCCAAGATGCGGAAGCTATGCTCGGCGGTTCGGGTGCAACACTTTCACATATAGCACTCCAGAGGCCATTAGAGAAGCGTTCGCCGTCGTCGAGTCCCCAGTTCAGCTCTTCGTCGGTAGCAGGCTCCACCGCAGGCAATGGACTGCATCCAGACCCCAATTCTGAACATATGCACAACGAATGGTGGAGGCAATCCAGTGATTCGGGCGTTCCGGCTACAGCCGACCGCTATCGTGGAGGAATGCAATTTAATTCACAAGGTCGGAATCCTCTTCCGATCAACAACCCCCACGAGGGGGAAGTGATGCCACGTTCGTCTCGGGGCGTGTTCGATTCCAATCCGCAGTTCATCTCATCATACAAGACATATCTGCGAGACCTCGGTTATCCTAATACCGACTATGCCTCACCACAATCTCATGGCTCCCAGTCTGCACCGCGGGTACCGTTGCTGTCTGAGTATCCATCGATTGCGAGTGCCACACTACCGCTGGACCTCCGTGTATTGATGCCGCCGAAACCCATCGCTGACCGGCTATGTGAGGTATTCCGCCGGACCATCCAGAACTATACCCCGCTCTTCGTCTGGCCTTTGTTTCGGGAGGAGAAGTATGAGCGTGCATACACGGAGCCAATGTGGGAGGAAGACAGCGGCATCGTGAAGGGTATCTTTTGTATTGTACAGATGATGCTTGCGGTGGCGAGCCAGATGGCAGAAGACACGGAGGAGCTTATGGAGGTGTCGGGACGGGGGGATACACAGGAACGGTCGGTGCTCCGTTCGATTGTCTGGTGGTGAATTGGGCGCTAACGCGCCAATTAGAACCGGCTGGAAGTTCTTTCATTTGGCGAGAAAGTATGCGGACCTGAACAGTCCTACCTATACGGCAGATGACGCAATGTGTAAGCCCTTCCGATTGACTCGCAAAGTGCATTCTGCTGACGAGATGGATAGTTCTTCTGTTGATGTCGATGTATTTGGACAATGCATCCCTCCCTTCGCCTTGCTGGATGATAACTGGATCGATGGCACGGGTATGCCAAGACGTTGTGCTGGATCGGATCCCCCAGCCAAATAATCTGTATACAGAGCAGCAACTCGAGTCCCGCCGACGCCTGTTCTGGGCCGCATACATCCAGGAACGGAAAGCCTGCCTCAAGAAGTCCCGGGGCATGGTTCTCCACGACTCTGATATCGAAATCCCTCTCCCTAAAGCTCTGGATGATGAAGACAAGATTGCTTCGTGCACGGTCGACCCGGACGATAAAGAGACCTTCTGCTCCTCTCACAATATGGAGGATTCCCTGCAGGTGATGATTGCACAGATTCACGTCAGCAATCTCTGCAGCACGCTCATCAATCTTACTCTCCACGACAACGGCGAAATGCGCGATCAGCACCGGGTGCAGGATTTGGATGAGAAGCTCAAGAGGGCCTGGGAGCGTTTTCCTCCGCACATGACCAATCTTCAGAATTTTGCGCCGCTCGAGATTGGAGCCCTACGACGTAATTGTCCCTACCGTTGCCCTGGTAGCTATCGCTAATGAGAATGCAGCCCTCTTCTTCCTCCAATACTGTCGTCTCCTCCTGTATCGATACTTCACCGAGCCAGAGCTGAACCCAGACTTCCGAAGCTTCTGTCTAGCGCAATCCCTGCAGGTATCGAAGATCACATCACATCTGCTCTTCCGAGCCACGCGGCATGAAGGATTCGACAAGTATTTCGGTCTTCGTACCGAGGAACTGGTGTATCTGCAGACATTCCGGGCAGCGGTGATCCTACTGTTGGGACACTGCTCGCATGAACCCTCACTACGCTGCGTTTTGCGGGACGAGGTCGAAGTCTGCAAGCGGGCCCTTCGATCCATCGCTACATGTCACACCCTTGGCCGAAAATTGCTAGACGTATTCGAGGGCTTCGCGAGGACATTCGGATACGAGAGTAATCCGATGCAGCTCCCGCCACCTCAGCCTGGAGCCCTTCCTCCTCCACATTCCGAAAATACGCCTCCTGCTCCTCCGCCGGTGGTGATCAAGCAGGAGAACTCACAACTCACGCCCACCTCCGTGCCGCAACAGCAGCAGCAGCTGGATTTCCCGCAATGGGAATTTCAGGCGCCCAGCTACTCTCACGCAGCGAACACGCCCACCACCACGGCCCCACGGACAGGAGCGGGGGGACAGCAACAGAATATCTTTGGGACACAGTACGCGCCAGCTGAATGGGCGGATCCGACAAGTTCTTCGATCCACGCGTCGGCCAGCGACTTCCGTTTCCCGAGCTTTGGCGAGCTAGGAGGACATGACATACCGCCGCTAGGGGCCGGGCCCAGGGAACGTACCGAGAGCATTGGGGATCTCAGGGTTGATTGGGATGCGATGCAGCAGGCTCTGCACTTTGGGGATGCAACGACTACTACTACTGGCGGCGGCAGTGCGAGCGGTAGTGGTGGCGGCTCGGGTGCTGGAAGTGGAGTTGCTGGTGCTGCTGGTGCTGGAGCGGGTGCAGGTGCTGGTGCTGCTGGTCCCCCTGGCGCTGGTGGCGGCGCCACCACTGCGACAGAGGGGTTTTGGAATGTTTAGGTGTGCAGATTACTGTAATTGCGATCGGCTGGACGGGACTGGACTATTTACTGGGCGTTCTTGTTTTTCTTTCTCCTCTTCTTTCTTTTTTTTACCATTTCTTTCTTCGTTTCGCGCGTTCGTGGTTTGGTTGGTTGGACCGGCTGCTAGAGGCACTCGTTTTTGGACACTGGAGTCCGGGATTTTTCTTTTTTTTTCCGATCTGTTTTCTACGTGACTTCATAATGCCGTTTTTAGTTACGAGACCCACATAACTCTACGATCTTTTAATGCTATTCACCCACCTTCCTTCCTTTCTTTCTTCCTCTCTCTTGTTCTTGTTCCGGTGTTGAAGATTTTGTGAGTGAGTGAGTGAGTGAAGCCCGCATCCGCCGTCCACCTCCGGCGGGGATCCGGTGGGAGGGGATAGGAGGGGACGGGGGACGGGGGCATAAATCCTACGTTACCCTGACCCCGTTAGCTCGAGGGGAAAATCTACATACTCTAGAGTTAGGTGGAGTGGCTGCATGGGTGGGTGCATGCACGGGGCTTCTAGAATATTCCGCCGCCCACCGCTCCACTTCAGTTCAGAGTTCAGCCATCCACACATCTACAGCGTTTTTTACCTGCATATGCAGACTGCAGACGCCAGTGCGGACGCCACCAACTAGGTTTGTATGTATGAAAGACACCCCCGAATCTGAACCTGTCCGTTACCGTGCCCCACAGGGTAGGCCGATACGGCGGAGTTCGCGCTTTCCAACACGTTAACCACTGGGTAGATACAGGGTAGAGTACAGGGTGGAGTGGAGGATGTCGCCACGTGGATACTAGAGTCCTCAAGTGGGTTGTGCTCTATGTGGGTTGTGAGTGGACACTGGATCATAAGTGGCGGATTAACTTTTGGTACCGGGGGGTATGGGGGGCACTGGGAGGGGGGGCCCAGTGGGTCGGGTCTCTGTCCGCCTGTCTGTGTCTCTGCCTGTCTGTTTGGTACGCGCGCGTGCCCGTCTGGGTATCTTTCCGGCGTTTGCTGGGGTACCCAACCCACGTAACCTGCCCACCCGATCAATTGGCACGGGAGGGAGGGAGTATGCGAAAGATGCGTGTGAGATGGGGGCGACGGATGGATGCTGCTGACGAATCGAGGGTGGGGTCCGTTGTCGTTGCCGTGGGTGTGACGGGTGCCGTGGGTGCCGTGGTTGCGGTGGGTGCGGTGGGTGGTGGAGATACCCGAGTGCGAGTGCGACGGTTATGGCGGCGGCGATGAGAGGTTGCGAGGAACGGGGAAGGACGGCAGGCTGGGAGGGGGAGGGGCCGTGATCAGTGGCGACCGGCGGCGAGGAGGCGGGGAGGTGAGGAGGGGCGGTGATACGTAGTCGCTCGGCGGCGGAGGGAGAGAGGGGAAGCAGGTACAATGTACCGGTACTTACTCTAGGCGAGTGATATTTCGGGGGGCGCAGGATGAAAACATGTCAAGTATTCAAGTATTCTCCCACTGTGCTACCGATGTACGAGATTCTCCCACGATGGCAATATGAGGTGATTGTGTATCTATCTTCACTCTTCTCGGCTTCGTTCATCTTGACTTCACTGGCAATAGGCCTACTACAAACGGGCCAGCTTCGCTTCAAACGAACGACTCCAGTAAATCTACTCATCCACAGCGCCTACAGTACTGCTTCCACTAAAAATGCCATGATCTCGATAGCATGTAAGCGATCATAAGCCTACTTCCCGTCCTTGTCCATAGTGTGCTACCGTAGTCGAACGTCGCAGCGCTTGGACCGGCAAGCCAGCCCCACTCACCCACCCATGCGCGCGCGCACTCGGCAGTTGCAATTCTGCACTCCCTTCCCTCGCGCTTGCCTCGCGCGGCTGGTCCCGTCCCTGGTCCCGTCCCGTCCCATCCCATCCCTCGCGTGCCAGACATTCAGATCCCACCCAGACTCCAAAGACCAACTAGTCGCGGGAGGCGGGAGGGCGGGAGGGCGGGAGGGCGGAGTTGATGGATCTTCCGAGCTGCTGTGTCTGGCATGGGCATGGGCATGACATGCGCTTTGAGCCCATCACGTATGTACTGGTACTGGTACCATGAATCAACAATAGGGTCTGGGTTTGGGTCTGGGTTTGGGTCTGGGTTTGGGTCTCGGGTAGCTGTACGGCTGCTGCAGTCGGCGAGATAACCATTTGCAAGGACATGGTCATGAACAAGGACATGGGTGGGCGCTGGGAATTAACGAGCACTGACGATGCGCGCTGCCGGGCTGTCGGCGATATCGAGATTCGACGCACGAGTGCGCTGCGCCCTGCCGGACAAAAGTGCTGGATATCGGCACATGGGTGTCCTACAAGGCTGGCGAGGCTGCGGTGCGTCGTCCGTGGCGCTGAGACTGGAGCCGGCGTCTCCTCCTCTCTTCTACCGAAGCAGATGGGATGGATGGATGTCGCGTCCGGCCTGTTCGTCAGTACGTGTGATATGTTCCAGAGATTCGCGAGATGTGGAAAAACACATGTGTATGAGCGGGAGATGGAACCGAACCGAATCGATTGCTTCTGCGCCTTCTCCCGTCGCCCCACCGCGCAGCTCACCCCCTCCTCCCCTCCCAAAACCCCTTCCCATAGCTAACCAGCAACTCCTCACCCTTCCTAACCTCTTTACTCCCGACATAAATCGCGACCCTAGCCTGCCCTTCCCCCTCCCCCTTGTCTCCCGTCCTCCTATCCCCAAACTCCACATTCGGCCTCTCCCTAACGCCTCTATAATCATTAACGAACCTACCCTCATTCCCGCATCCCGCCGCGTCGACCGCAACGCCGCTCTCGCGGTCCAGGCTGATATCGTAGTCGCTGTTTGGATCGCTCTCGCCCGCCGTGTGGTACACGCCGAGGTAGTCGAGCACCCACGAGCGCGCGGCGAGCGTGCGCGTCGCGAAGAGGCCTGACTGGCCGCATGCGGGGTGGGAGGGGGTAGTGATCGGCTTGATACGGACTAGGGCTGATGGTGAGGAGGTGGGTGTGGGCGTGTGGAGGTTCAGCGAGGCGATGGTGGGGGAAGTGGGACGGCGGGTGAGCACGGGACTGAGGAGGGGGGCAGTCAGGTACGGGAGTGTGGACGGCCAGTTGGTGGGCTTCGGCTTGGATTTGGCGGTGGGCGCCATTGGAGCGGTGGTAGTGGAGTGCGGAGGCGGGCGGGCGGGTAGGTGGTTGGGTGGGTGCGCCGGTGCGCCGGTGCGGATGAGGCGGACGGGATCGGGGCTAATTTGGTTGCCGCGTGCTAGTTTAGGAGGGTGCGGAATGCGGTACTTGCCGCTGCCTAATATAACTAGTCGCAGATCGATTAGATCGTGTGACGTAATGGATGGCCGCCCATGCTCGCAGAGTTCATCTGTGCTTCGGACTTCCCAAGACTCTCGCCATCTGTATTGGTGGTCACATCTACAGCAGCCGTCGGCACCAATTTCGAGTGGTACTCTGAATTCTAGGTCTGTCCCTTCGGGCTTGTCCAGCCAGAGTCAGCGACATTATGCTACCAATCCCGTGACCATTCATTAGCAGCATCTACGGCATGTAGAGGCTCTCCTCCTGTCAGATTTATGACTTCGTTTTCTAATTGATTTGGGACACTGATCCGACAGCATTCTAGTGGCGATAATGAAAGCATCCGGAGTCTTCAATCGAAGCACTGCGGCAAAAATATCGGACAACGAGCGCGCGTTTGCCCGCAGGTTCTCCGCTCCTTACCGGAAGACACCTGAGGATACCTATCTTGTCGAAAATCGCCATGCTGCCCAACCGACGTCGAGCATCCATCCTCTCGAACGCGCCCCTCCCAGAATTACGATAGCTCATTGTGCTCTAGATATGGTAGCTACCCGGGCGATGCGATCAGACCGGTCGACCCGCCGATGGTCACTGATTTTGCCTGTGCTGCCGAGCAATCTCGACGTCCACAACACTACAATTTCCGATCCATCAGATCGAGTAAACTGATGCGGCATTACCTTCCATCCAAGACCATCCGTCACTTTTTCTTTTTGCGTTGAGATGCACGGTCGCCATTGAAACCTGTCATTGATACCTGCCATTGATACCTGCCATTGATACCTGCCCTTCAATTGTTCGGCAGTACGGGCTAATTGAGCATTGTTTGGAAGACCGGTTAGGTAGGTAGCTCGTTCAGTTGGCTGGTTGGTGGTCAGTGAGCGGTCGGTGATGGGTCGGCCAGTTAGCTGGTCGATGTGCCCCCCCGTAGCCGCAGGCGGCGACCAAAGCGGGAGCATATATTGCCATGTTGCGAAATGATTCGCGGGTCGGGGAGCGGTGAGGAATAGGTACGAATGCAAGGAGGAGGAGATCTCTGGGCCCAGCTACTGGTGGATGAGCGATTGGCTGGCTTTGCATTATACCTACCGAATTTCTTTTGCTCCGGCTCCATCAATTCGATAGGTATCTCCGGGATGGGGTCCGCTGCTCTCGTTCCCAATGCACATATAATACATACATATCCCTCGGATCGAACTGCTCGCTCCTCGGAAATACATCTCCATCGCAGCCCACCACCACCACCACCACCACCACCACCACGAGGATGCGCCTAGATCTAAGATCGCCCACGACCACCTGGCACCTACCAGATTTACTTGGATTCGCATATCTACATACCTATTTATTTTGGCCCCCACACCCACAATTATATATCTGCAGGATCTACTGTATAGTAGCGATACCAATCGGAAAAGTCCGCTGACGCTGACGCTGACACGGGGCCGAACGGCTACGGTACGGTACTCCACTTACCTACATACATGCTTCGGTTTCGGCACCACACATCAGGAAAAAAAAATTCTCTATGAACGGAGTCGGCGTCGCTCATAAAACGTGCGACGTTCGGCGCGTCGAGTGAGTTGAAAGCGTGTGAACTGACCCATGCCACCGTCTTCCCTGTGAACGACGTCAGCTGGGGTGGGTGTTCGAACGTTCGTTGGAACGCTGTTGGGAGAAACATCATACCTAGAAATCAGTGGGAGTTTTGTGTTATTCATTGCTTGCATGTGGCCTATCTGGACAATGGTATGTAGTATTTACACCCCGTCCGCTCCCACAACTTTCCCCCAGCCTCGCCCTTGACTGGCCCGTTGCCACAACTCTTCCCCAGCCTCGCTCCCGCTCCCTGGTCTCTTCCGCGACCTCAGAATGTTCCCTCAACTGTTCCCCGGCCTCGGCCTACCTCGCCCTTGACCGGCCCGTTCCCACAACTGTTCCCCAGCCTCGCCCTTGACTACCTATTCCAACAATTCTTCCACGGCCTTGCCGTGCCCCCTAGACTCTTTCCCAGCCTCGCCCAGCCTAGCCCTCAGCCAGCCCGTTCCCTCGGCTCCTCCGCGCCCCCGCCGTGCTGCCGGGGCTCTTCGCCGGCCTCGCCGGCCTCGCCCTCGACTAGCCCGTTCCCAAAACTCTTCCCCAGCCTCGCCCTCCTCAACTAGCTGTTCGAACAACTCTTCCGCGGCCTCGCCTGGCTCCCTCGACTATTCCCCGGCCTTGCCGTGCTCCCTGGACACTTCCCCAGCCTCGCACTTGACCGGCCCGTTCACACGACTCTTCCCCAGCCTCGCCCTTGACCAGCCGTTCCCTCAACTCCTCCTCTCTCCCAACACCTCCGCTCCCCCAACACCTCCGCTCCCTTGACTCTGACATGCGGTCAACTCGTCCGTGCCGTCGTCGGGCCGTCAATTCAACTGTTTCATGCCCTCAACTCTTCCGTGCCCTGTCTTTCCCCGCCACTTGACTCTTCCGCTCCCTGACTAGGCCACTCTGTCGAAACCTCTGTGCGTTCACCTCTTCCGTTCCTTGACTCATTGGTACGGTCAACGTGTCCGTTCCGTCAACTCATAGATGGTGTCATCTCGTCGCTGCCGATAAATAGTAGGTTGGGGACACCGGCGCGCGACATTGCTCTGGTATGATAGGTGATAGACGAATATGGTTCTTGCCACACGTGACAGTAGGCTGCTAGGCTTTGGACCGCGCCATGCTGACGTCACCCAACGCATCGGGTAAAAAGGTAGGACGGGCGAATACTCCACTGGAAGCACCGCGAATGCGATCTGTCTCTTCTCTTCCTCGCCCTTCCTGTCCCGACCGAATAGCGCCTCTTCGCCCGTTTCCTCGTCCTGCTCGTCCTGCTCGTCCTGCTCGTCCTGCTCGTCCTGCTCGTCCTGCTCGTCCTGCTCGTCCTGCTCGTCCTGCTCGTCCTGCTCGTCCTGCTCGTCCTGCTCGTCCTGCTCGTCCTGCTCGTCCTGCTCGTCCTGCTCGTCCTGCTCGTCCTGCTCGTCCTGCTCGTCCTGCTCGTCCTGCTCGTCCTGCTCGTCCTGCTCGTCCTGCTCGTCCTGCTCGTCCTGCTCGTCCTGCTCGTCCGCTGAAATACGCAGGAAATATTGCCTACTCGTAAACACCGTGCACAGTAGGAATTTCTGGATGGTTGACTACTCCAACGAGAGGCAGCGCAGACGGTTTTCGGTGTCTCCAATCATACATGAAATAGACTGGGTATTGGTCGTTCATACTGGTAATGACTGGGCATTGGTCGTTCATACTGGAAATGACTGGTCATTGGTCGTTCACACTGGAGATGACAGGCATTCATAATATGCAATAGCGCCTTAGCATTCCCAGCGTTACCAGAGTCAGGAACGTCTACACGCCCCCAACGGATAATTTTTTTCCTGATGCAGATCCCCTGCATCACCAACTAGAAGCTATGCCAATCGCGAGTCGCGGTAAGAAGACTCGCCGTGGACTCTCGACTGTTGTGCAATCCGAGATGGTGGGGACTTCCGGTGCGCAGGATAGATTTCTGCCAGAGTGGAAGATGGGGTTGGCGACGATGAGACTCGTGGCGTCCTGTGGTCAACTTGAGGCCTAGGCTCGGGGAAGTGGGGGCGGAGGGGAGACCCGGGACGGCTGAAATCGGTGAACGTCGCTTCTATGCTAGTGTTCCATGCTCTCTGGAGTCTGTAGATATGTGGAGTATGTACCGACTCGCAGCTCCGAAAAGTCTGCGAACCCCGCACCCCCTGCAATCTGTGGCTCAGCCGCTTCTCGACCAATGGAACAGCAGCTGAGCCACGGATTGCAGCAGTGACGCACAAAGATTTCCCGGCGCCGTGACTGCGAGTACATGCAGTGCAGGCAACAGCCCATCGGCGCCAGCCCGGGCTATCGGATCAGCCCACCAGCCCCAGCCCAGCCCATGGGCTTTTCGGGCTGTTGCCTGCACTGAGTACATGTCCGATAGTTGTGTCTCGCCCCGGCTTCTCAAGCTCATGCCTGGTTCGAAATGCCAATGGAAGAGCAACGTTCCTGTATCGGTGAAACGCGACCGAGTGGTGAGGATTGCTGTATGGCAGATTGAGTGACGCGGCGACACTTCTGGCATCTGCTCCTCTATATTTTCTTCATTTTTTATGTTTCGTGATTAGTGTTTCATGATTCCCCATTCTCCATTCGAGAATGGACCTTGGTCTCATGACAGTTCCAAAACACTGGTGCACGCCGTTTTCTGTTCCAGGTGCCCACCATTGCACATTCGCCCTAAGGCGTCCCGACGGGACTCCCAGACACCTGTTCGCCGAATCCGGCAAGGCCGCCAGACGAATAGAATAGAGTCAAATGAACGTCGCACAATGCATACTTACCGTGCTCCTCCGCTCCGGACGAATCGCTCGCCTCGTCCCTCCTGCTCATCCTGATTTCTCCCCCCTTTCCATCCTCCTTGGGTACAGTCCTGCCGACGTCCCTACTTCACACTGCTCAGGAAGTCCAACGTAAGTATTTAGCTACATAGGCTTCAATTCTTCAGCCAAAAAGCTCGGATAACTACAGTAGCTGCAAGTGGACATGCATGTCCTTCTCATCCTTGCAGCTTATCTAGATCATGGACTCGTTTCCTCGCCACGTTGTAACCATGCGTTACTCAGCCTAAGTAGTGCGGCACCCCCCGGCATCGAGAAGAACCCCTAGACAAATGACAGGGGTAGAAATGTGACCCACCGACATCTACGTATGGCGGCGATAGGCGGCGACAGGCGGCCAGAGTCTTGTGCTCTTCTGGTGACTGTGAGCGGGCATAGTGCGCGAGTGCCGGACATGTTGCGCGAGCGCCCCACTCTGGACAGTATCGTCAAAGTACATAATTATTGGTAAACGACGGCGGGAGCGAGCGTGCTTGTGGTTCAAGCAGGACATCCAGAAGAGCATCAGGTAACCACGAGTAGAATATCTACAACACGGCATCGTTGTGGTAGTTGTGGTAGTTGTAGAACTTTGGGGCATAAGACGAACATGCCCGGCGCTCTTGCAGTCCGAACCTGAAGAGGAGTTGTCCCTGTACTTATTTTCGCACAACGATGGCCGCCTGTCGCCGCCGCCCATGATAAAGGTCTGTGCAAGGTTAAACTTCTAAATACACCTGTGATGGTATTCAGCCTTTTCCATTTTCAGCGAGTTCATGATTTGACATGCTGAAAAACCCCGAGTGATAAAGTGTGGACCAGTCTACAAAATTTCACGTTGAGGCACGCATGTATCTAAGTAAAAGCTGGTTGAATTGAAGGTACCTAGAACGTTACTTAGAAGAAGTCAAGAATACAATGGTAAAATCTAAACGTATCGAAGATCCCAACCATACCGCCATGTACTACCTATATTGAGCGACTGATAAGGAGTGGAATTAGTCTTCAAAATTTTACCTTGGGAACGCATGTAAATTAGCTGGTTGAATTGAAGATACCTAGAAGGTTATTGAGAAAGGGTAAGAAATACAAAGGTAAGATCTAAACGTATCGAAGATCCCTAACGATACCACACCGCCGTGTAGTGGGCGAGCTTCCTTACCAGTTCCTCATTCTGTTAGCAGAAACTCGTTTTGCCTACACACACATCACGTCACATTCCCACACGTTCTCTTCTTCCACTGAGCCTTTACTTTGGCGTGAGTTTTCCAGTGCTTTTGGAAGAAAAAAAATTGTTATTCATCTCATGGTCAGTCCTGCTATGAAAAAACAAAGAAAAAAAAGAAAAAACCCCTCTCACCACTATTGCTAAACACTAACCGCTGGCCGAAGCCAGGGCAGTGCTTCCTCAATGAGGAGTGGATGGGAGCTCCGAGAAGTCGAGCCAGCGGCGGTACGCTCGCCTGGTCTTTAGACCAGGACGAGCGGCCGTAGCGACCGTCGAGCCTGCTGGTCGAGGGCTTGCTGTTGCTAGTCGAGGGGCCGAAGCGGCCACGACTGCAGCGAACGAGCTCCGCACGAAAGACTCCCGGGCCTTCTCCACATCGGTGGCGTTGACGGCGGCAGCGGCGACGACGACGACGACGACAACTGTCTCGAGAGGAACAGGGATGGCGTCGTGCTCCGAAGTCGCACCGGTTTTGGTGGACATTGCGGTAGCGGGAAGCCCTGCTATGCCAGGAACCATAGCAAGTTCCGGTTGTCCAACGGGTTGAACAACCGGCTTCTGTCCGCCGCGATAGTATCCTCCCCTGGCCCAGCGCCCGGTCCGCTGCGCGAACGGCTTCTGGCGTGTGAGTCCCAGAGGCCGAGAAGTTCCGTTCAGCAATGAGGCCGACGGAAACTGTGCCAGGGCATCTTCAACATCCGGCTCTGGCAGAGCGAAGGGAGCACCCGGCGTTTCTGTGCGGCTAGCACCCCTTGCTCGCTTCGCCACGGGCTGGCTAGGCCCGTCGTGATGGTGAGCCGCCATCGTCTCGCGACGACGCTTTGCTCCCCGTCTAGCTATGGGGTCAGTAGCTGGTTCTGGGAGTGCAACGGCTGAAAGGCCGGTGTAGACGGCAATCTAGGAGTGGAAACTTACTTACGCTCTTCAGTGTAGGACTAGTAAACACCCGTGTGGCGAACACACGGTGTGTGGTCATTAGGCCAGCGCCACTTAATGTAAAGTCAATCGCCTGAGTAAAGTGTCGTGTTCCACCTCTGCCTGTATTCGGGTTTCGAGCTCTGGCAAGACTCAACTGCTCGGAATCCCTTTCCACACCATGTTCATCGCGATCTGCTGGACCGGCTTCTTCATTGTCCTTCAATGGTATATCCGGTCTCCAACATTACTCGCCGTTTATCAAAAGCAACACATATCTCAAAGGAAGATAAGAGAGCTTAATCCGGTGACGTGCCTCAATCCTCGATAACTTTCTTCGGGATTGCGATGGTGCAGAACGATATCGCGATGATCGAATTCCTCTTCTCCAAGACCAACAATCAAAACATCGATTTCATCGGCTGTTGGTCTATTGTAAGTTCTGGGATCCCGGTTCGTAATATCCAGCATGCGCAACTGCAAAGCAACAGGTTGCTCTGGGTTGTCAGTCAAGACTTCTCCAGCCGTACGCCAGGTCTGAATCAATGGATTATGCGCATAGAGCATGTCTGTCAGCTCCTGCAACACCTGAGCATCCACGGAATTGTCGTGAAAGACGCCAAGACGGTTTTCCAATTGCCAATCAAGATCGTGGGGATCATGAATGTAAATTTGTGCAAATCATAGTTGGACTCCCTGGGATGCGATCATTGGACCAATTCTGTGATGTAGGGCGCCTTTAATACGAAACTAAAAAATTCCACCGTCTCTGGGTCGAAAGGCATCTTCTTTGGTCCCGAGCGATGTCATGGAAAGCAAGTTGTTATAACGTCGGATACCTAAACGAAACGCCTTGGCCACTAAATAACAATTAGATCTACTTTGAAACTCTTAAGGTATAAGTAGAAACTTACTTGGCTCCATCGAGGTGAAATAATGCCAGAAACTTAGGGTTGAGCCACGGAAAACGCCACCGTAAAACGCCTCACCACTGCCCTTTATAGGTATAGATAGACAGATTGTGGCTTCATGACGACCCGCTGCAATCGCCACGGAGGAGGAACTTGCTGCCGGACATGGTGGAGGTATCCGAATGCGATTGTGGTTTCTGTTTTGTTGAGTTGGAGGAACAGAAAGGTAGATGTTGGAGAAGCAGAAGGTTGGAGGGTTGAAGAGAAAGAGAGAGAAAAGTGTTGGGTCGAAGCACATATGCTAGTGTTCCTGGTTGGGGAGAACCATAAAACAATTACCACTTTAGGGCTCCGCAGAGTCAATCGCCAGCTCCCTCTGATTCGACCCTCCACGAGTGATGTAGCAAGCCAGTGTGTTTGCTGAAACCGACATCCACCGGACTAGCCTACGATGATTCAAAACCCAACATTATCCCCATCTACATACGGACGGAATACTTACAGAAATCAATCGAGGAAGCTTTCGAGCGCAAGAGGATCAACTTGTATATCCAAAATACAACCACTTCGAATTGCTTCGAATTTTTTGTTTAATCATTGATTGCATGCGACCTATTTAGATCATGGCAATATCACCCCGTTCACCCCCCCCCGTTTCCACGCCACTGTCCAACCCTGCTTGCACCGAGCGGCCCGATGTGGCTTTCCCTGCTCTCCGCCCCGGCCTGTCCCAGAAAAGTAGATACACGGTAAAGACTGAAATGGGCCTGCATGCCCGCCCGTCCCTTCCCACCTCTCCTCATGACCTTCGCCATAGCCTAGATAGGCGGCATGCGAAATAAACTGAAGATCTCTCTCTCTCTCTCTCGAACCGTATGACGCGAATCATATGTCGCGATTGCTATGTAGGTGAAGTTCGTTGCCGTCTGTTACTTTACTACTGGTAATTGACACGGGGCTACAGGGTCCCTTCTTACCGCTCTCCACTGTAGGAAGTATTGTTGGCTTCGGTCAGACAGTACCGCAATCTGTTCTTCCTGTCATCGGTCGGTCTCTCATCAGATCATCATTATCTACATCATCACAAGCTTCTTATCAATTGATCACGTTTTTGTCCCTCACCCGTTCTTGGGTCGCTCACCAGCGGGAACTCGAAAAATCACTGCCGGTCTAATGGGCAAGCGTGGGAACGGTAATTATCGGATCAAGGACTACCAACGCGACACTCCTCCATGGCTATCAAGACAGCCTGCTACAGCCGTGTAAATCATTTTAATGTCTTGATAATTATCATTCTCACACTCGGCGTCAACGGTAGATGTTATGTAGATGTTTGTGCCGTAGCAGCCAAGACCGCCAAGGGCACTAACTTCGGAAGGTTCGGGTTGTTATCGTATGTTGGAGCAGAGGTTCAACTTTAACATCCGGCTAATTTGTCCGGAAGCTAAATTAGCCGCCTTTACGGGTAGTATTTACTTATGGAAGCAAAGCCAGTTTCCGACCGGGATTGAGCGCCATTTCATAAGGTTCATTATCCATTCCCTTTCTCGTCGTGCCGAAGTTCGAACTTCCTTCCTTCACTTCCTTCCTTCAGCAACATCAGCACAGGGCTTCGTCCCCGCGCCTGCGAACTTTGCGATACGGGTTTCGCATTGGCTCGAACTTATGTCGTTGGGGCTTCGTCCGGTACGGCACAGTGAACTGGAATCCAGAACCTGCGAGCGAAGCAAAACTAGCATCGGGAAAGACAATACGAGTGGCACGGGAGAGGGAAGAGAAGTTGAGTGGCGCCAGGGAGTTCTATGAATTGATTACTGTCTTCAGCTGTACTGGTCTCTTAACAGATTGCAGACGAACTGTTCACGTAATGGCCAACAGATAACGATCACCTCCCCGACACAACCGTCGTACATCCCACGATACGACGACCGTCGGGGCACACGTTTGGTGGTGGATCTAGGGAAACTTGAGGTTATGTACAAAGAGCATGGGCTTCGAAGGTCGAAGGGCAGTAGACGGTTAGGGCAATGGATATCAGATGGAGGGAGACTAGCAAGGCCGAGATTCGAAAGGAATAGGAACTAGTGATCGCATAAGTAGTCCCTTTAGCAGTTGTGAATGCTATCTAGGAGGAACTTGAGCATCCGACGTCTGGAGACTGGTACACGAATAACTCCACCGATATTCCCCGGGTGACTTTGATTCGTGCGGAGAGCAGGGACATGGGCGTTCTGGTGAATCCACGGAAAGGAGATGGGAGCAACGATTTAGCAAGGAGGATTAATTGCTGTCCTGTAAGCTGTTGGGGAGTCGGATGAAATGAGGGCTACCTGACATCTGTTACAATCCATCGCGCTTCATATAAACAGTAGTAGAGTAACTTCAACGGAACTGTTGAGCAAAGGGACTGGTATAGGCGTTTAACAATATCTTGAGACCGTCGCATTCGATGTTTGCGAAGTTTTAAGCGATCTTCTGGAAAAGTACTGATGTCGCCGTCGCCATTATCTATTTCCTGTCGAATCATTGTTTTCGCTCACAAACAAGATCGAAGCCTAAAATAGGTACCGTAGATGATCAGGGAGACCTCAACTTTCAAGGCTCAGACTCCAGAGCCTCAGACTCAGAGTCCCATAAAAGCCCCATCTGGTATCGGCGAGTCAGCGACATGGGTAAAACCACCACACACTGAGGTACGCTGGGTTAGGGCCAGCTTTATGCAACTCATGGTGCAAAAATATGTGAATGATATCCAGTGCAGAGAGAATATCGCTGGGCCCAAACCAACAACCTTTACCACTCCCGCTGGCAGCTTAAAAACTCTAAGAGTTGATCTGCTACGATTGGCTACACCGAGTTTCTTCCCCCACTAGGCGTGTGACGTATAGGTCGCACAGAGGAGATTGTTCCCGTTGTAGAAGAAGGATTCAGATGGTTTATCGATGCTGAGATGTGCGACGCCAAATGACGACCGGCCAGAAAACACAGAGCTCTACACAGTATACGAATCTTGACGTAGCTCAATATATCTTTAGAAATTCTATGTTGAATTGGTGATATGTCGATCGGCATCAATGATGATTGCTTTGTTTGTTGTGCCACAAGCGAAACGCTATCGAATTCTTCTTCACTTGCTTCACGCTACCTACCAACGCAAATCTTCCGCTATTAAGCTACAAGTACTGGATTATATGCGCCATACGTAGAGTAACGTCGGTACAAATCAGAACATAACAAACCGACTCTTTGTGGTTGATGCGACTTGTTTCTCAACCAGAATTTGCACATGCTGTCACTCATTTGAACTTCATCAGATAAGATAGTAGCGCTTCCGGATCACTGGATACGAAGAAATTAACAGTTCCGCTTCCCTATGATCGCACACAACCGAAGCGCCCCGATAACCGCTATCTAGATCTTGCCACGATAAAGAGAGTAACCGTGGTTGGACTAGTTTACATCTTGGGTTAATATGGACTTTTATGCCACAATCCTGGGGTGTAATTTCCGGAAGTTGTATGGGGTCACCTGGTCAGTGCGAATACGATGCAACTATCGCGTGGATAAAGAGCGTAGCGAAAAAAAACAGCAAGGTAACGTAGGGAGGTTGGGATTGATATTCGGAGTCATGGGAAAACCTTACTTCTCATCGCAAAGTTGAGATGAACCCCCGTGTCACCCGTTGTGGTACGTATAATCGCCTGTTCGCTATCACCGTATAGTGCTGCTTCAAATTCGATCATTTGCTCTTCCGTTCCACTCGCAATCCGGATGCCCTGGGCACCGTACCTATCGCCGTGCCTAACTTAACGGACCTCTGTGGCCTGGCGTCTTCCGGGAGCGGCAGCGCGGGCGGTGCGGGTGCGGGCTCCGGTGGTTAAAAAGCGCCGTCAGACGTCTGTAGGCAGCTTTTCTTGGAATCAGGGCTTAGAGTAAATACAAAGTACTTCAGTAATAAAAGCCAATTTATTAGTTATAGTATGAGAATTAACACCGCGTTTCGCCTCGCCACATTGGTTTCGTAAAACTAAGGCGTGGGTGCTACCCCGGAATTCACCCGTGGCCGACGGCGCGTGGTTCCTGCAGGAGTTGACGTTCCCCACTGTAGTGTAGGATCAAGTCTCCGCCTTGGCTGTGGGCATGCAGGAACGTTGTAGAGACATAAACCGTTCATGCAGCTGAGTGGAGCGAGTGCCTGACATTGACGGAACGCACATGTAGATAGGTCCTCGGCCGGCACGGACGGATGCGCCGGGAGGGAAACTTGATGGACCGGTGAGCCGCTGGGGCTGGCTATCTAGTAGGACCGCTCGGGCCTCGATCCTTCGGAGAATTATCATTTCCTTGTTGCATAGCTGCTCTATAGTAGTGGATAGGTACCCCGGATATCGTGAGATTTTATAACATCTCTCACCATCACGTAGTGGCGGAGTTCAAATTCTTCAGGATAGATTGCTTCGAACCTGGGCAGTGAACTCTCGGTGATACATACGTCCAGCATACCTGGATTTAACCTTAGAAAGTTACCATGGCAGACTTTTTTGTCGGTGTTCCTTCAGGAATGATGATAGAGTGCGCGGGACCACCTTTTGCCGGTATACAACGGCCCGTATATACACACCTATAGTAGGCAATCTATTCCTCCCCCTATTTTATCGGGATTTTCGGATGTTCCAGCGGGGAGTCAACCGGCGATGATAGTTATGAAGTGCAAAGTGATACTCAACGGAAAAAAAGAATAACAAACCAAGAATCCTACAGGCCTCGTCGAAGCTACCGACGAGGCTATGCCTCATAAGTCTCCGTAAAACACCGCGAAAACGCCACCGCCGCTCGCTAAACTTTTAGCCGGCTGTCATTCCCCGCGTGGGGTGAATCAGATGGCAGGGTCTGGATCCCTACGGTACAAACAAGCGCCGTACCCAACCCGCTCCTACGAGTTCCGATACTTGGTGGCTTGTCGGGATGTATTTCCCCGCGAAATTCGCAGTGCTACTACATGTGGCTTGGGCTACTCGTCTCTGATGGTTAGCCGACCAAAATTCTCCTTGGCGACTGGGCTGGGGACCGTCATATGGCCGAGCCTGACACAACTTGGCCTGCGGATGATGTCCATTGTCCAGAGCAAATCCGGGGGAAATCTAGTGTAGAGAGTTTCGTAACTGCTAGTAGCCTGAAGGCTACTGGCTGGTAGAGGTACGCTGAACGAATTAGGGGGAAGCAAAGGAATTTGATACGGGTGTGCAGATTGCAAGGACGCTGCAGAGTCGTTGCTATTCTTCCACAAGTCGCAGAGCCGTGCATCCAACCCGCAGTCTTCCCGGATTTTCTAGGCTTGCCGCACGACGCGCGCCCCCACTGCTCTGATTAAGGAAAGGTTGCGGATATTCAATGAGTTTCATCATGGGATGTCACCAACACGGCCATCGGTATTCCGCCACGCCGGGTTGGCCACGTAGGAAGCCGGGCCGGCCATGTACACTCGCCGGTCTCCATAAGAGCAAGACCTGGGCCATGTTGGCCGCCAGCCGGGTATTGAAAATGGTGAACGCTGCACGTGCCACTCACGTCCGTTGGACCGTAAGGCCACAATTACGGCTTCCCAGGCCGTCGAGCCGGCGTGACGTCTGTCGATCAAATTGACGATACCCACACAGTCGGTGTGTCCAGGGACAGTAGATCTAGTATCCGGGGTGGGAGGTTGGTGGATTTGCGTCCCCTGCATGCCATGCTAGATGCAGGCGGAGGCAAATGTTGCTGGGAATCAATGTCAGGGACCATCTTAGCTTGCCAGGGGCTGCGGAACACGCTGAACAGTCCCGCTCCACTTACCACCTCACTATGGTAGAACCAGATTGCCCATCTACGGGACCTCTCTCCAACAGGTGAGCGCCAACGAGGGCGGCGGCGGGATAGCATTTGGCCCATGGAGCTGGAGATATATAAACTGTTCCTCCTCCCCGCCAATGGTTTGAATCTTCATCCAACTCTTCCACTCACTCACTCACAGTCCAAGCAGTTCACTCCAGACAGACATTCATCATGCAGATCAGCGCCACCACTCTCATTTCGCTCTCCCTCCTCGCTGTTGCCTCGGCACAGAATGTTGGAACTCTGACCGCCGAGACCCACCCCAAGCTCACCTGGCAGAAGTGTGCCGCCGGCGGAACCTGCACCAACCAGGCCGGTTCCATCGTCCTCGATGCCAACTGGCGTTGGCTGCACACCAACAGTGGCTCCACCAACTGCTACACCGGTAGCGCTTGGGACGCCACTCTCTGTCCCGACCCAGTCACCTGCGCCACCAACTGCGCTGTCGATGGTGCCAACTACTCTGGCACCTACGGTATCACCACCAGCGGCAATGCGCTCACCGAGAAGTTCGTCACCAAGGCCAGCACCGGTACCAACGTCGGATCGCGTGTCTACCTCATGGACACCACCGACACCAAGTACGAGCTGTTCTACCTGAAGAACAAGGAGTTCACCTTCGATGTCGACGTCTCCAAGCTTGGCTGCGGTTTGAACGGTGCCCTCTACTTCGTCGAAATGGACGCCGATGGTGGTCTGTCCAAGTTCCCCACCAACAAGGCTGGTGCCAAGTACGGAACCGGTTACTGTGATGCTCAGTGCCCTCACGACATCAAGTTCATCAACGGAGAGGCCAACGTCATCGACTGGAACCCTTCGGCCACTGATGCCAACTCTGGCGGTGGTCGCTACGGAACCTGCTGTCCCGAGATGGACATCTGGGAGGCCAACTCGATCTCGAACGCCTACACTCCCCACCCCTGTACCACCGACGGACAGTACCGTTGCGACGGTACTGAGTGTGGTGATGGTGACGACCGTTACGCCGGTGTTTGCGACAAGGACGGATGTGACATCAACCCCTACCGCATGGGCAACCTCAACTTCTACGGACCTGGCTCCAGCAACACCCTGAACACCAACACCAAAATGACTGTCGTCACTCAGTTCGTCACCGCCGACGGCACTGACACCGGCACGCTCACCGAGATCCGCCGCAAGTGGGTCCAGAACGGTGTCGTCATCGACAACAAGACCGTCAACATTCCCGGTGTTACCGGCAACTCCATCACCGACAGCTTCTGTGCTGCCCAGAAGAGCGTCTTCGGCGACACCAACGACTACTCGATCAAGGGTGGTATGGCCGCTATGGGCGAGTCCCTTGGACGCGGTCACGTTCTGGTCATGAGCATCTGGGCCGATTACGCCGTCAACATGCTCTGGCTCGACAGCAACTGGCCTCTCGAGAAGCCCGCCACCGACCCCGGTGTCGCCCGTGGTACTTGCGCGACCACATCCGGCAACCCCGACGACGTCATCGCCGATGCCCCCGACTCCCAGGTCACCTACTCCAACATCCGCTTCGGCCCTATCGGCTCCACTTACGGCTCCACCACCACGACTCCTTCCGGCGTCTCCAGCGCCGCTCCGGCTGCCTCTTCCACCGCCGCCGCCGGTGGTACCATCGCCAAGTACTCGCAGTGTGGTGGTCTCAACTGGTCCGGCAGCGGAACTTGTGTCTCCGGAACCACCTGCTCCGTCATCAACGCCTACTACCACCAGTGCTTGTAAGTTAGTTTGCTCGGAGGCGAAGGGCTTAGATGATACGATAGGATGAGGTGGGATTTGATACGGGGATATTGGATTTGTTGGAAAAATGTATGTGTTGATGTTTGGATATGTTTCTGCATTATGTATGATTTGAAACTGTACTGTACGATGTTTCGTTACTACGCTATAAGGAATTGATATATTGATCAAGAAAGCATTCCATTGCGTGAATCATGTCTTGACGCTTTGAAGTGACTGAGCGATCATAAGCTGACACTGAGCTTGATCATGATCACGTTCTGGTGCGTCTAGTTAAACTGCCTTTATTAGATCCATCGTACCATTGACGCCACGCTGCAACGTTCATGAAATTTTGACAGTTCACGTTGAGGTCTCCCACACCAATTAGCCTTAGATTCTCGCTCCAAAACTCTGATGTAGGGATCGCCAACTCCCAGTATCCTTGCTGCTCACCCCTAAATAGCCTCCACACTAACTCTAATTCACCACAACCCTAAACCTGTCGGACCTGCAATCAATACGTCGTTAAGTGGACTACATATTGCCGTACCGCGATTACCATCGCAGTAATTTTCTGCCTCGCCGTCTTCAACTTGTTGCTGCTTCCGAGCGCGAGCTTCACCTTCGCTGCCCGTTGAAACTTCAGTCTCAATTTCCGAGTGATCAAGGTCGGTTTGGGAACTTCTTAGGCACGCTTATATAGGTAGTCTCGACTGACCAAGTCCACTTCGTTGGCCAGCTCTAGGCGTGGCGCCGTCGTCTTCTTCTAGCCTCGTATGAGACCGCCCTCAAGAAGAGGTGTGGATATGACGCTTTCTGGGGGTGATACCAGCCTGTTTGATGCTCAAGTACAGGCCGCGGGATCACCTACGAGACTATCACTTATCATGCTGGTGAACACATCGGTAAGAGACCCCTCCACTTCCTCTCACATCTTGATCCAACTAACAGATGATAGGTGTTGGCGGCAAGACGGGAGCAATCCGGGACCTTTACGCGTCCCCCGGCGGTCCGCTATTATCTCCAGCACGCGAACACGAGCCGTCTCTGGTGGATTGGGCAGAAGAACGATCTGAAGCGGAAGCTTGAGGATATTACCGGTCGGGATACGCAGTTTGCCGACATTTATGACTTCTTTAGGCCTGTGGAGTAGAAGAACGTTCCCTCGACTTTACACCGGATATGAAGGGCTTTCCTCGATCACTCCTAGTCAGTGAGGCAATGAGCATCTATGGTAGAGTAATGTGCTACGGATATACGCACGAAGTGAAGATAGGGGGGAAGCAAAAAAGGTAGAGAGATGGATATAATGATTAATCCGGGATAGAAACGTTTGGTAATTGATAGTCAATGCTTTCCAGCTCGTGAATCTGCCACCTGGTACCTATGGACCTTACTTTTTAGATTCGACATCTCTTTAACACTGCACTGAACTCACGATGCTATGCCACACTATGTAATGCTAGACTTATCTCCGGTAACATTCCTAGCCATTTCAAAGATTCTCGCTCAGGTCATATTGGCGGTGAGTAACGACTTTGCCCAACGTCGTTCACAACGCATTAGCATATTTCAATATCTCCGCCATGGAACGAAGTCCGGAACCCCGCCAGTTTCTACCTTGAGCCTCAATTCAAACAAATACGATCCAAATTCTTTCTATCCCCGGCTTCACTTATACTAGCATATCTACCCTCACCTCCCTCACCTCTACTAATATCACCCGAAAATTGACTGTACAACTCCACCATCATCACGTCTTTGCCTGCTCTTTGTCCTTTCCAACAATTTTACATCCTTTCCGGCGTGCTTCGAATTCTTTCTTCACATACTACCACTTCCTCGCCGTCGTCGATATCATCTTTCTACCCGTTTTCAAAATCACAGTCCTACTCCAACATGACGGAGAATACGCATAACGGTCACTCGCCACCCAATCCTGACCACTCAGCGACTTTCATGCCATTCCCATTCGATGAGGACACAAATCCAAGGGAAATCAGTTCCGTGGATACGATTGCGGACATAGATGTCCTGTCCTTCCAGGGGTCCCATACCCGGGAAGTCGTGGTCGGAATCCCGAACTGGCGCCGTCCGCCCCCGGGCCTCGTGCGACGCTACACCTCTTTGCTGCTCGGCTCACCACGCCAGCCATCATACGGTACGGATGACGCGCTGAACCTCCTCCACCCACTCCTGGAGGAGTTGCCAACTACATCGTCGCAGGACTTCCCGACTCTGTCGTCGTCGGACGCCCTAGACGACATCTCTGTCAACATCGCGAGGTACCACGAGTTCCAATCGCCGCCTTTCCCGCCTTTGTCGGACCAAGAGAGTAGAGACGAAGACTCAGCTCGCACTTCCAGCTCGACTGCAGTAGCTCATGAGTTTCGATTCCCGTTGCTTCCCCTCCGCCAAGACGAAGAGGATCCTGATAAAGACAGTGAACTTCATTCTGCGACCTCCACTCCGAACAGAGCCATCGATTTCTTACGTCTTCTTCCGTCTCTCCGTGAAGAAGATCTGAACCGCGGGTATACCGGTGCGAGCAACACTGTGGACATAGTTTTCGAGTTCTCATCCCCTCCTTTTTCGCCTCTCCAAGAGGATGAGGAAGAAAACGAGGACCTGGGGTCTTTACCTGCCTCTCTGCATAACGCCAACTCTCCACCAATGTTCGCAACTCTCAGGGGCAGACTCACCGCCAGCGCTTCTACTGCCCTTCAATTCCCCAACCGCGACGGAAACATCGTTAATAGGTCCGCGGGACATGTTGCCCCACCAGATTATGTCCCTCCTGCTGAAGGCAACCGCCGCGTGTTCCTTGGAATGCACATGCACATTCCCGCCTTCCATTTAGATCCGAGGCGTAGTCCTGCGGCTGCCGATCCGAGAGAAGTGACTATTGATCCACGAGATTCTATCTATCATAAGCATCGAATTTATCCGGATTATAACACGATGATCAAGAGTCAACCTACTGCCCAGAACTCACCTATCGGAGGTAGCTGTGGTTTTGCGGCCGAGAACTATCCTGGTGACGCACATGGAGGGTATTTTCGTCAAGAGATTAGGTTTGGCCATCATCCTGATCATCCTGGAGCGATCGTGAACTTCCGTCATCCGGGTCCGCCTGGATGGCGTCGCCAAGAAGGTCGACGGGTCCGCGACGGACGTGACACCAATCACGACGAGGAGAACGACGAGGGGCAGCCTCCTGGTGCTCCTGGATGCATGATTGAAGAAGATGAGTCAAATGCTAGGGAAGTATACGACGCTGATGGACGATTCACGGGTGGTGGACAGGCCAACGGAAACGTCACTGAGACTTCTACAATATCCACGATTTTTGAGATTGCCCAGCCCAAGCTCAGAGGAATCCTTAAGGTCCCGGCTATGCTCGCCAATCCCAAGACTCTCGGGCGCAAAGTGTCTTTCAGGACACCCCTGGAAGATATATTCATCATCCCTATGACTCCCGTTCCCATGACAACCTCGCCGAATATCCTGCCCCCATTTAAGTGGAAGAAGTCTTTGGATAGCAGGGTAGATCAGAGCTTTCCCGGTTCTAAAAATGCCTTCAGAACGTCGATCGGAGATCGACGCACGGCAGAGAATACCTTTACCGGATCCAAAATTACCAAAAGCATGAACGGTCCTGCAACAGCGACGGACACCTTCACCAACACCGGGTACAAGAAGAGCTGCTCACCACAGAAATTCTCCGGAATGCACCCGAAGGTCATCAAAGAACTTCAGAAGCTACTGTACAACCCGGCAGCGGTGAATCCTCTCTATGACCGGACCGTCGACCCCAACGCCCTCCAGGAAGCACTCGAATCCAACAAGCGACTCAAGGAGGAGAGGATCAAGGGGCCGGCGGTGGAACACTGGGGTCCAGAGTCAAGTGGCACTTCCCAGTCTATTAGGTGGGCTTGTGGAAGCTGTTAGGAGTGTAGAATCGCGAGGTTTGGCTTTTCGGCGGAAAGAGAGCTGGGTTTGCATCAAGCAGCCAAACTCTAAGAATCAGAACTGAGCTAGAACACAATGATATGACCCGGGCACCACGTTGTTTTACATGAATTGCCATTTAAACCATCTCATGTGAAGGCAGATAGCCGCTCAGAAGCAATGCAATGTGATTCGAGTGACCATTCTGAGGCGCAACGACCTACGACCCCCCACCGCAGCACATCTCTCTCTAGCTTCCCTTGCCATAACACTATTACCGTAGCTCTGCCGCCTTATTATTTGCGGCGGCCCTCTTACTTTCCGCCAGCTTAATAGCCGCGGTGGCTGTACCCGTCCCCGTCGTAGATGCCGCCACCCCACCACCACTACCGAAGCCGTTCGCCAGTGTTTGGGGATGCGTCTTGATCCGGCTGATAGCCGCCCATACGCCGACGAGCCCGGTGGATGTTTTCCTGACAGCCTGGCAGGATTCGAGGTGGCTGCAACCGCCATGCTGGAGGCGGGGAGCATTATGCAAGAGATATAGAGCACAGATGATGGGCTTTGAGAGGATGTTGAGAGCATTTGCGGGGGGTAGGTGCACGAATGTTGAGAGGTATGTGGGTGGTGGGTGATATCTGATCGTATGTCCTAAGTAATCTTCGTTGTACGGGTTCAAACAAAGTTCACATGCACCACAATGATACTGTGGCTGTCTTGTACAGAGGTCTTTACTTTAGGAAGTGGTGATGTTGGCTGAATCTCAGGCTCTCGGAAGCAACGGGTGAGAATTGTACGGAAGGTGGCTGATCATGAAATATGGCTCGCCCGGGGATAGAAGCGTCAAGCAAGACGGAGATCGAGGATAGTTTGACAAGTCATGAGAGGCTCTACTGGTTGTTTGTGGGGTCGAAGTGAACCCTAACACGAGGCAGATGAGTATTTCGGGTTAGCTGGTGGTGGCTTGGCAAGGCTGGCTCAAATGTTTCCAAGGCCACCAGCCCTTCAAAACACACCCTACTCTTCTCTCCTCCTACTCTTCTCTTCTTCTCTACTTCATCCTCTACTCACCTTACATCCCCATCTACTTCCTCAGCTACTCGACAAGAATCTCAGCAACCCCAAGTTCGCCAACCTCACCAATTTCATCTCCTGCTTCGGCTTCTTTTTTCTCCTGCGTCTGTTGTCTTCCGACCTCAGTCTCCCTTCCTACCTCCACATCTATTCCCCAATCCATTTCTTCTCTACTCCCCATTACACCGAAAGACAACACCATGAGCGTCACTTCGATGTCAAGTTCCAGTAGCTCGTCCTCGCCTGAATCGGACTGCGATTGGGACAGTCCCGATCCTACAAAACACTACTGGAGCAAGCATTTCGGATACTATGACGATAACAATAACTTCATTATCCTGCCCGGCGACCCTAAATCAGCTCCGCTTCCCGATGAACTTCCACCCAGGATCGGCGTCGACCATTCGGCAAAATACAACAGTGTCGAGGAGGTGGAGAGCTCGCTCAGCTCTGTTGGTAAGGTCTGCAACAGCAGTACTAGTTCCAGCGGCAGCAGCTTGTCCGATCCCCCGCACTACCAACACGGCAACTACAACCGTCCCTGCAGCACCCCCGACGTCAAGCACGGCAACTACAACCGTCCCTGCAGCAGTCCCGATCCAAAGGATCACAGCGACAACGACAGCAACGACAGCTCCGAAGCTACGGCTCACACTCAGAGGTCTTACAAAAACTCCGAGAATATCGACAACGCCATGGCTGCTATCGACCCTAACAACCCCGCCAGCAAGTATCACGCGGTTAACCACATCAGTCTGGACGTGCAGAACATCAACAATGCCATGAAGCGTATCGCCACCGAGTGTGCCGCCTTGATGGAGATAGAGGACGACAAGTGGGACAGATTTGAATACGTCGACTTGAAAGTCGCCAATAGGAGATGTTTTGCTGCCCGTGACTGGACACCTACTATCCCCAGGCCTGCCAAATTCCCCCCCAATATCGACACGTACGTCTTTCCCCAGTACTCTCTGCCTGCTCGCCCGATTACTCCGGTTCGAATCCATTCTCCCGAGCCCGAGCCCGAGTCCGAGCCTGAGTTCGAGTCCCGCAAGAGAAGTGGTCGCAACAGATACATACCCCGCTCTCCACCCAAGGATGCTCTCCCCCTTCCGCTCGGCCTTGCCGAGAAGATGATCGAGCTCCTTCGCATCGGTGCCTACATCGGTGCCTTTCCCACAACCATCGGAGAATACCGTCTTATCCAGCAGTACCGTGACGGCGGTGAGCGTGGTCGTATCCCACTGAGACCTCATCGATACACGCTTGATGCCTCGATGAAGAATTGGTATGACCAGCCGCTCTTGGTTGACGTCGAGACTATGGTGAAGTCTTGGGGATGGTGTGGAAAGGTTCCGGTGGTCTTAGCTGAGCTCGCTATAATGATCTCGACCTTGGCCGACATGAAGAGGCTCTTGGGCACCTATCATGACAAACGTAACGGCGTTAACACCGAAGTTTCGAGCCCTACCACCGAGAACGGATACGAGTCCGACGCCGAGAGTGACGGTGGCAAGGAAGGAGGAAAATACGGCTACAAGGAACGTGAGGTTTACAACTTCCAGAGAGACAGCCGCGGTCGTCTCCCCAAGGTCAACTACCCCAGGTTGGCAGACGGGGACCTTCGTACCCCTCGTGGCACGTACTATTCTGGTCAAGAGGAGGAACACAACGATGACGACAACTCGGCCGACGAGTACGAGCGCCACCTTGACCTGTACGGCGAGGAAGAAGACCCCGAGTTCAGGGAGTACTGCGCCAAGTACGAGCAGGACCCCAACGAGCAGGACCCCAACGAGGAGGACTCCAACGAGGAGGAAGACTCCGAGTACAAGGCGTACTGCGCCAAGTACGAGCAGGACTCTAACGAGGAGGAGTACCCCAAGTACACCTCGACTGTCGCCTCCGGCTCCACCCCTGACGCTTCTTACGGCAGCCAGTCCCGTAAGTACGAGGAGTCCTCTAACGAAGAGGATGTCGTCTACTGCATCAACGCGGAGAGGGACAGGGTGGTGGTGGTGGTGGCCTCCAAGGTCCACTCTGCGGTCTCGGCCGGTTGGATGCCCCTTGAAGAGGAGGAGATGAGAATGCTCCTGGCGGAGAGCCACGATGGAGAGTCGGTTCGCGACTAAGTGGGGACCCCCCCCCTCCTCTTTTCCCAACCTCCTACTAACCGCATCATCATATAGGCGACCGACACCATCAACGGCAACAATGGGGGGATTTTGTGTGCGGGGGAGAGGGAGGGGATTTCTTTTCGGGATTCTTTTTCCTTCTGCTGCTCAATAGATACGCCCGCCATGCCTTAGATTTTCTCGGGGGCCGAATTTTTTTCCTTCTTTTACTTTCATCATTGTACTTTTGTTCAATGTGTTTCTTTTGCTTTTTTTCTTCTCTGCTCTTGATGACAGCGATACTATCTCTGTTTCTGAAATGGTGTTTGTAAATGGGGGCGTTCACGGATGGATCTTGGATGGGATGGATGGATGAGACGGCGTTTATGGCAGTTACTTGGACGGCGTTTTAGGATTACTGGAGGGTGCTTACGGAGACGAGGAGAAGAGCGGTACGTAGTGCCGACTGTATTATAGAATTGAACTCATGATGACCTGTACTCTGTTGCTTTGAATCATCGTGAGAATACCACCATAGAAAGGTTGGATGAGTGGAGCATAGACGACCTGTAACACCATATTATTCAAGGACTACCATGTCCATTCCTTCTATCAACTATACGTCCTAGCTACTTCATTCAATTCCCTCCACAGTGGCCCTGTGGGGCACCGACAAGGATGAGGATAGTGCCATGCACAGGATATCACTCTTTGCTACCCACAACGATCAATGACGATTTCTGCAGTTCTGATGCATCAGGAACCGGGTGGGTGCTGGTCGGTGAGGATTGTGTCGCTATGTAGAGTACAAGACTCAGACACGGGAAAGAGAAAAAGGCAGTTCTGATGTGGACCTTGGGGTATGCACGTATATACCAATACGGTACCTGGAGCACGTCAACACCAGAACCCAACCGCAACCCCCCTCATCATGTCTCCTCTCTCCTCTCAGTCCAGCTTCCACAGGCCCAAGAACCTTACTTTCGTCACTCCCATCCACCGACACCCGCCCAGAACCATCCACCGCACCCAGAACCGCAACGAAAACCGAAAACCTTGCTGTCATCAGTCCGCCACCCACCGTACCGAGAACCATACGCCGGACCGAGAACCGCACCAGTTGCCGAGTGAGTGGGACCCTATCGGGTCTGAGTGGGACTTTATCGTTTGTTTTGATGTTGCTGTTTCTGTAATCCTTGCTCGTCTTGTTTTGTTTTGATCATCATCAAGAAAAACCTTGACTCCAATTGATGACGGCTTTGTTCCTCACCCGTTTTTGGGTCTCTCACCATCCTACTACTTTAGCACAAACCCCAAAGGCGGACCCTTTCCATCAGCTGGAGTGGACGATACGAACTCATGGCAGGCCATATTTTTTTTCAACACCTCATAGACCTCCGCTGAACACATCACGCAGCGAGGTCATAGAGAGAACACACGGCTTCCCGTCCGCTCAGCCCTAGTTAAGCAAGGTATCGCCAGGTTAGTACTGCAGTGTGTGATCATGCGGGAATCCCTGGTACCGTAGTTTCTGGTTTGCTTCGGAAACCTCCATTCCATCGCTTTGTGCCTGTGCCCGGAAACGTTCTAACGTCGATAGAGAGGCTCGGCGTCGCCTTTTATACATACCATGCACGCGTACATACATATATACGACGGAGCGAATCTCACCCCTGAGTTACGTCACTCATGCAGTTCGGTTATTTTAGCTTTACGCTCGGCCGACGTCCTCAGGCATCAGTCGAACCACATTCACAGGGTACGCCAATCCGGCGGACAACAAGCTCCACCCCCACCAACTTCAGAAAACCGAGTCTCCGGCCCAACACAGAAGATACATAATGTGCAGCCTGGCAGCGCGGTAGGCACGCACGACCGCGGTGGACGTATGCACAGAACTAACACCGACGATTGGCAGAGGTACAGAACTTTGACCGGACGAGGTGACCAGAGCTGTTTCTTTCGGTCGGAGTGTGTATGTACATACGTCGACTCCGCGCTGGATAACGACCACGAACATCCATAATCCATCCGTTTGCACCGATACTCGCAGTGCGCGACGGACGGCGGCCAGCACGCTATTCCTCCCTCCGTCGCCCGTATCGCCGCACCCACTCAACTCACCGTCCATGTTCCACCGCCGCCGCGATCCCTTCGCCGTCCTCACAGCTACCGTGCACCCTTTACGTACTACGCGCGACACGAGATGCCCACGTTACTTCGTGTGCACTGTGCTGCCGACTCTACAGTGGTTATGCAGGTTATGCAGTGTTCCGTCCCGCCGCCATCGACCGATCCCGTGTGTGTGTGTGTGCCCCTGTCGTGGAGCTTGGGGCAGTTAACAAAGTGAAGGGGAGGGGAGAGGAAGTGCGGGTGGGTGCGAAGCTGTAGGCTCTCCGGGCCGGTGGATGGGTGCATCGAGGGGTGCTCGAGTGCCAGCCAGGTACTTATTCCCCGGAAGGTGCGCCATGCGTTGACATCTGCGACTGCTCGGCTTGTCCATTCATAGACGCCGAACACAGCTAACTAGACGACAGTGACACCCCCCCCCCCCACCCGCCCCCACGCGATCGTAAGGTCGAAGCACCGAAGCATCGAGACCGGTCGTTCCAATCCACGTGGCTATCATAGTACCTGGCCAGGCTTCGTCTCCAGCGTCTGCTCGTTAGACCAGGCTCCCAGAAATTTGCAGATAAAAGGGCCGTGTACTTGCACTTGCACTTGCACTGCTATTTCCTCCGTCAACCGGGTGTGAGTGCGATTCCTGTCGAATCCTCGAATCCCAGAACACATCAATTCCGTCCGTCCGTACACATTCGCCCAGCAATCACCATCTGCTTACATATCGTCATCGCACAAACCCCCACCACCCCCCCACCCCCACCACCATAACAACAACATTAACGCGGCTCCTCACCCCTCCCGTCGATCAAACAACCGCATCCGCTACAACCCGCTACCGAGCCTTAGAAGAGAAGAAGAGAAGAAGAGAAGAAAATGTGCAACTACTACCGTCACGTCTACGCCTCTTGCGGACATACACGACTCGTCTTTGCAGAGCACTGCAAGGCCGGCGCACGGGTTCAACGGCCGTGTAAACAGCGCACCGTCTGGCAGACTATCGAGGTCAGTGGGGATTGTCGGCCATGCGGGGGGACGGAGGATGAGCTGGCGGACTGAGCGAGAGAGGGCACCGTCGGAGGGGCGGGGTGGGGGGAAGGGAGGGAGGGGCGCGGGGAGTTGGCGGGGTGGAATGGGGTGGAGAGTGACGGCACCACTGGTACTACTCTAGAGGTTGTGGGTTCTGGTGTTCGCTCGCTCGCAATTTCTCCCCTGTTTGTTTGTTCATCTCGGCGAACGTGGACCGTCCGCTGGTTCGTTGTACATAAGGCTTTCCAACCACCACCATAGCTACTCTAGTTCGTCCAATCACAAACTATGATTCGCTCCACGCCGCCGTCGACGATGACGGCAAGCTCCGGCAGATCTAATGCGCGCGTGTGTACTGGACTGGACTGGTCCAGCACGTCGCCATGGTCCAGGCACGCTGTGTGCGATAATGAATTGATGCCCTCTCGTGTACATACTGCCTATGCTCCTTCAACCCGCCTTATACCCCCACGCTCGAACTTCGACCGACCGACATCTGAAGCCAAGCACGGACCACGACACTGCCCTACTCCCGCGATAGACTACCAATCGGTTCCGTCCAGCACTCACTTTTTAGCTTTCCGTTTAGTCATCGATATCTGCTCGATGCATTCGCCCTTACGTAGATCATGGCAGTTACGAAATCTAGTGCAGTTTATTGTCGCATAACTACCGCCCGGCCTGTCTAGACTACCGCCGGCCTAGACAACGTCGACGACCAGCAATCGCGCGCCATGTCATAAACGATAAAATGCATGCAACGACATGACAGGACAGGACGGGACAGGACGTTAACTACCGGTAATCCGAAAGCCTAATCGTAATTATGCTTCCTACATACGAGCACCCCTATGTAGAAGCACCCCTATGTAGGAGCAAGCAAGCAAGTCAAGTCTCGTGAATCGCCTCTCATGCATATGCACCGCACAGGGCGTTGTATATGCCGACCAGTGATCGTGCGTGCACGGAATGCTCCAGGCATAGGGGGAATGCTTCCTTTCGCCTTCTTTTTCCTTTTCCTCTTGCCTTCGTCACTGTCCTGCCTTCTGCTTCTCCCGGTTTCGCAGCAAGCTTTTCGCCTGTGCAAGCCGACTTAGACGAGATCGCGAACGGGATTGAGGAGCCGTGCAAAGTTAGCGCCACGAGAATCGAGGAGGTTGGCAGCTGGGCCCTGGCTTCTTGGGCAAGGTCTCAAAATAGAAAATAGAACATGGAATCGAAGTTCGAAGCTCGAACATCATTAAAAAAAAGCACGAGCGAGAGAGAGAGAGAGACATGCTGGCGCATGCAGGGCGATCGTAAAAATTCCTGGTGACGTTGCAAGTTGCAACGTCGGACGTGTGGCCTTGGGTAGGTGCCGGACAACAATGGCGAAGAATGGCCGACTGGCCGACCACATAAACGTGGCGCTTCCTGTGGCGTCGATCGCGACGGGGGTGTCGGCGGCTGAAGGTTCGTCCCAACTCGGTTGCGGCTATGACTAGTAACTAGGACTATCGACGATGGTCAGTGCTCGTTGTCAACTGTCAACGAGGTGATGCTCACTGCTCAGAGACGGAGTACCGGTATCGCACGGCCGTGCTGCTGCTGCTGCTGAGGGTTTGTCCCCAACTCGGTTGCGGCTATGACTAGTACTATCGACGATGGCCAGTGCTCGCTGTCAACGATGTGGTCCTCAGAGACGGAGTATCGAATGGCTGTGCTGCTGGCCCGCGAAATATCGAATGGCTGTGCTGCCGGGCCACACCAACAAAACTAACCAAGCCATGAAGCCAGAAGCCAGACTAGAAGCGAAGGGTGTCGGACAACTCATCCTCCATCATCACCATCGTTCTCGCGCTTTCTTTCTTTGTTCGGTAGATCAGTGCAGTGTACCTAGAGTACATACCCTAGCTCGAGAGGGGCGCGCGCGCGGTTTCTTCCAGGAACCGGGGAATCCGCAACAGATAGGTACCTACTGCAGCTGTCATCGGAGGTCCATCTCGTTTTCGCCTTGCAGAATGATGGTCGTGAGATGTCTCGTTTTTCTTTTCCCAGCAGCTGTAGGTACTGTAGACAGTGGATGGGTTTCAATGCAAAGGAGGATGAGACGGTGGAATACCTAGGGCACATGGCGGATGTGGCTGGCATGGTGGGAGTGGTGGTGGTGGCGGTGGTGCTGAAGAATAGGTATGGTGGTGAAGAATGTGGTGGTGAAGAATGGTGGTGGTGGGGGGAGGTCAAGGTGGTTGGTGTGGCTCTGAGTTGTCAAGCAGCTCGCTGCAAAGCATCCAAAGCATGACATTAATACTTTCCAGAGACAGAGAGAGACGAATGTGTGAGAGAGAGTGTGTGTGCGAATGTGTGTGCAAGACATCTTTCGTGCGTGCCAATGTTCAGCCAGCCCTGGCCATGATGGCGCCCTCCCAGCCGGCCTTCCTCCACCTTCCACCTTCCTTCGATACGGTGGAGCTGCGAGTAGAGTCCAGCTGCTGAATTGCTGAACTGCCTGCTCGCGCACTTCTTCGCCCCAACCCGCACACGCAACCCATGCGTCGGAAATCATGCACTGCAGCCCCCGGACGCTGCTGCCGAGCGCAAAAACAAAGGCCTTGCAGTGCGCAACTGTCGATTCCTTCTTGCTCCTGCTCCTGCTCTTGCTCTTAATTCTCTCGTCCTCTATCGGCTTCTTCTTCTCTTCCTCTTCTTTCGTGCCACCTCGCTCAGCTGTGTCGACGCCCGCTTATTCGGTTCTTTAAAGTCTGATTTGCCTGCCATCTCCACGAGCGACGCCAAACCTGTCAACCATCCAGCCAACCACCACCGTTTACTGCCATAGCTGACCGCCGCGCCGTTACTAAGGTCACCGCCATCCAAGATCACCGCAGTCGCCGCATCCCCCCGTCAGACTCATCTCGCGTACTCTTCACCCCCCTCCCCCTCCCCCCCCACATTCCCCCCTCGCAGCTACCGCCGCTGTGCTCGCCCGCGCTCAATTCACCCTGGATGACTCGGTGACTGTGTCTGCGCCTGTGCCAGCGACCCCGTCGATAGTTACTCTACTAGCAGTAGCGACGAGACACGCCGTCACTCTCCAAACATCCCTCCCTCAATAGCTCCAGGCTCTCGACTGCCGATTGCAACGTCACTGGTCCCCCCTCCCCACCCCCGAAAGCTTGCGCAACGTGGCACAAGAGACTACGCAAACGTTTCACTTTTTTTTCTTCGCTCTCGCATCTCACTCTCCGTCTGTGGTAAGTTTCTCCATCTTTCTGTTGATCCGACACGAGTGACTTGCTCCCCTGTACTCCGCTCGTACCTTCGCGTATGGTTGTCTGCACCCCCAGCTAGGACTTTTTAAAGAAAAAAGGGTCTCGTTCTTGGTTCCTTGCTTTTTCCTCCCCCCAATTGAATACTGCGCGGCATATGCCTGAGCTTGTCTGACAGCAGGGCAGGCAGTGAGCTAGGTGCTTGCATTGCTACTTTTCTCGATCCTTGCGCCGCATCCGCCAATTCATCCATCCGTCCATCCCTTCTTCAGCCCAACTGAGCAACGAACAACGAACGGAAACCTTCCCTCCACCTACCGACGTCAAAACTCAATCCTCGCCGACAAACACTTCGCCTGCATTCGCAACACCACAGATCGTGAAGAAAACATGGTAGGATCCGACGTGGATCACAAGTACCTTGGCAAGTTCGCGAAGTCGACGTATCCTCTCAATCCAGCGCTCTCGGCCGGCCTCTACAGGCTCCTCGGCCTGTCGACGCTGCTGTCGCGGAAACTGCTGCGCGCCCGCAAACAACGCAAGCTCGATCCCACGCGCGCCACCAGGTCGTTCGATCTCTACCGACACATAATATGGATGGCGCGGGAGGGCCTCACGATGCTGCAGAACGACGTGCTGCCGGAGCTGGCACACTACAGGGGCGCGCGCTACTCATTCCTGAACGAGCTTCAGGTTCTCGCGCTCAAGATGAACGCCTCGTTCTTGCACATCTTTGTGCTGTTCGATCACACCTACCAGACGCAAACGGCGATGACCCCCGAGCTCTCGCCAAAGGCGCCCGTCAATCCGAGGAGCATGAGCGGCTACATCGTCCCCACCACCACCGCCGCGCTCTCGGCATACGCGTACATGGCGCCCACGATCGACGCCTTCAATCGCGCCGACATCACCGCGAACCGGCTACTACCCAGCTCGCACCCGCTGCGGCTTAGCGTCAAGCTCGAGTTCTCGGCGTTCACGTACGATTGCACGCGCGACTACGAGACCAGTCGGATGATCGCCAAGAAAGCGGTCGAAGAAGCGTTTTCGAGCATGGATCCTATGGACGACGAGAGTTTTGAGGACGCGATGGAAAGTGAGTTCCCCCCACCTCTCTCTCTCCGGTCCGTATACCGTAAGGAAGACTCTGAAGCTGAAAGGCCTGATTGAAGTGGTCGGCGCCTTGGGTGCGATGGCGAAACGGGGGTTACCGGCAACGCCGAGTCCCCAGCCACCGTCGCAACTACCACCACCTCCACCACAGCAACAACCACAGTCGCAGCCGCAGAGACAGAAATCGGTCAACCACCATCACAGCCATTCCGCGTCTTCGTCGACACCGCAGCGAACAAAGACCGTCAATCACGGCCACTCGTCTTCATCCTCCTCCAACCAGGTACCGCAACGGACGAAGACGGTCAGCCGCGGACAGACGAACGGGAATGCGAATGGAATCGCGAATGGGAATGGGGTCCCGAATGGGAGCGCGAATGGGAATGGATCGGCAAATGGGAGCGCAAAGTTGAATGGCTATGCGAATGGGTATGCCAATGGACACGCGAACGGACATGCGAACGGACACGCGAATGGGCAACCGAATGGGCAAACGAATGGCCACGCATACGTCAATGGGTATGCCCCGAATGGGCGCGCTAGATAGGATCACCCACGATTACGACAATGACGTAGGAGCACGCGACCACGAACTGGAGGGTTTGTAAGAGGGGGCAGTGGGGGGAGAGAGAGAGCACAACATTGAGGAGAGGTTATGCATCCGTGTCGACGATTTACCGCCCTGGGCAATCTTTTCATTTGTTTTCATTCCTAGGCGTCACTCTTCTTTTCTCCTTTTGTTTTCTTTCGTTTCTCAAACATTAGGCGGGCTTTTTTATTTATGTTTTCTTGGTGCTGGCTGGCGACGGGTTTCTATTTCTATTTTCTATTTTCTGGTATGCTTGCGGTTGCGGTATGCTTGCTGTATGCTTGCGGCATGCTTGTGGCGAAGGTTAGGATGTATGTATTGTATGATATTGATTGAGACCACACAAAGACGAGGAAAGACAAGGAACTTGAAGACTTGAGGACAGTGGACACCATGCTTGCTTGCTTGCTTGCTTCTGGAGTATCTATTGCCGCGATTATTGCCGCGATGATGCAGGGCAGTTGGGGCAGGCTCCAGTTACGAGTATGTAGCTGCTATGCGAGGTACTGGTCAATTACCGCGAGTCCCAGTACGAGTACTCTACCTACCTAGCCACCCGGAACAGGCATACCGAAGCGTCCGCCCTTCGAAGTTCGAAAGTTGAAATCACCCATCCATCCATCACCCATGCCATGACATGGCGTGTTGTGTTGTTGACAGGCATCAGCACAGGGGCTATTATCGAGACTCGTGTGGAGAGAAAAAATCAAAAAGTAACAGTGACTTCACCCAGGCTCGATCTGGGGACCTTGTGTGTGTTAGACACATGTGATAACCAACTACACCATGAAGCCTTTTATGCCGTGTACTGGATAATATGGTTCTCTATAGGGATGGGAGCGGTGCCAGTGCTGAGTAATGCTGAGTATGTGCGAAGAAGCAGCTTCCGAAGCGTGCCGGAAGGGATGGATGGATGGAGAGATGGAGAGATGGAGAGATGGAGAGATGGAGAGATGGAGGGATGGAGGGATGGAGAGGCAATGGAGCCGAAGTAAAGCGGTTGTTGATCCCGGTAATGCTCGTGCGGGCGGTATGCCGGTGCAGTCGGGACTCGGAAGGTCACGCATTTATTTCTGCGGGTTCACATTACAAATATCTAGCACGGCAGAGATCTGAAATTTTTAGAGTATCATACTCGTGGTCGTGGTCGTGGTCGTGGTCGTGGTTGTGGTTGTGGTTGTGGTTATGGCCATGCATAGTAGCCATGGCGTGCACGGATGGGCGGTTCTCAGTTTGGTGGATGGGCGTAAGGTTCTGGGTACGGTGGATGGCGGAGCAACGGCAGTATGGGTCTCGGTTCGGCGTAAGGTTCTCGGTACGGTGTGCGGTTCTCGGTATAGCATGTGGGTCTCGGTTCGGCGTAAGGTTCTGGGTGCGGTGTTCAGTTCACGGCATGGTGTGCGGTTCTCGGTCTGGTCTCACTCAGGTCTGGCTAAGTCCCGCTGGTTCGATGCACATCGGAGAACGCCATCTTTTTTGCTTGTGTCGGCCCGAGGCGGATGGGTAGGGGAAGTGGGGCGCCGCATCGGACTGGCCGGCACCGGGGCTTTCACCTAGACCGGCCAGGGCGGGCAGGAAAAGGAGTTCGTTAGTTCGCCATAGTCTAGATAGACTGCATGCGAAATAAAACAAGAATATCTCTCTCTCTCTCTCTCTCTCTCTCGGACAACGCCAAGCCACATCTGCTTCCGCGCCCCTCAAGGCTCAATGGGCTTAGTTGGTGATCCAAGGCTGAACCAATGAACAAAGAAACATGCCAGCCGGGCCGGCTATGTACCCGGAATATTAATAACCAGTGCTTTTCCAGCCGCCAGCCTGACAAGCAAAAGGAAGCCGTAGTTCATGGCCGAAACAAAGATCCTGGTAATGAGTAGCGCGGTTTAGGTTCTTGGAATGAATATTGAATGCGGACTGAGGATCTGAAGTGAGAGCCTTGCTGCTTTATCTGTTATGTGGGGGGGGGGGCTCAACATCGCACCAGCGGACGATCCCACCCCTCGTCCACCACTAAAGTAAGTCAACCCGCTGTAGCGGAGTGATGGATGAACTGCCGGCGAGAGGAAACGAATGTAGTTAGTGTGGATGGCAAGGGCAGCCGGCGGGGAGGGAGCGAACGTGAGAGACCTGCCCTCTCTTTCTCTCTCTCCCTCTCATCCTCGTCTACGCAATAGACGATCAACCCCTACCCCCTCTTTCCTCTGTGTGTGCTCTGATCTCACCCCCGCCGCCTGCCTGGAGGGCTCTTTGCAAAAGGGCCGTCTGCAAAACCGCCCTCACGCGTCTACGGCGGTCTCGAGCGTACAAACCGCAGTTATGGACCGCGGCTGCACCGGCGATCTTGTGTGTTCTGCATACGGGCAGCCTGCCTAGTTCAGGCACCCATACCAGCCGGCGGATCCAGCCTGCTACCGATATACCGATAGCCAACAGGTGACGTCGCCCTACCAGCCTGGCCATAGGGCTAGTTGTCCCTATATGCCAACCAAATAACCAGCCTTCCCGGAGCGTCAAGCAACGAGGCTACGAAACCCGACATTCATGGCTGTGCAAAAATTCACCAGTCCAGCCCATCGCCATCAGCGAAGGTCTGCTTGAAGGTCAGCTTCCCGAGAATGTTAAAGTTATGGCAATTGCTAATGAGGGGAAGTGTTGGTTTTATCACCCGGATACTTGCCTGTTTAGTACTTACGTGTAATGTCTCTTGGCGTTTGCGAAGCCTTCTTCACTGTTATCAGCTCTCTCATCCTTCTCCGTACTATTCGAACGACATACAACTGAAATGTGTTTCATAAGTACGGGCTAACACCTAATCCCTGCAGTTTATCGCGAGGCTACGACCTCCCCAGTGATTTCTCATGATGCGATCATTCGCGGTGGCGAGCGAGCCTTCCTCCTCTGTCGACTCATAGTTTGATCAAGCCTCAGACGGCAGTCAGCGAGGCAAACCTGAAGAGATTCCCCAGGAGGCCATGTTACGAACGAAGTGCGCAACCACGCACGCACCCCGCCTCTAGGACCTGAGGGTGGTGGTTTCCGTGGTCAGTCGTCCGTGAACACGTCGCTACGTGCTTGGAGCCTTGAGTTGGTATCATATCCTGACAGTTGATCTGCCATAGAAACAAACGTATATACCGTTCAGTCCAGCGCTTAACTTTGGCCTATGGCTGCGCATACCCACCTACATGCATCCCATAGATGGGCAGTATGCCGAACCAATTCCATGCATATCCTCAGCCGGCCGGGTCCGAACTCTCACACAGAAAGATGTTTCACCTCGTGTTCGACACTGCCACTGTGGGCCATCCATAGTCGGCGGCATGAACAACAGCCAGTGATGCCTGACGTTCGCCGCCTATCTGACCATATGGGTTTCCTTCACATGACGAAAGCGACTCTACGAAATCTTTGGCTGTTACACACAGCTGAATCCTACAGCCTCGTCGTCCTGATCCGGAATCAAACTGCAAACGGGCGAAGATGGCCGAGTTGCCATGTGAGCTAAATTGGTCAGAGCCCCTCGAACACATGACTCACCGTCTTCCTTCCACTCCATCTCTCCATCTCCACCTATGACTGATCCTACCACTAACACAAAGTTTAATGCTCCTTCGAGCGTGCCTACAGGCACGAGATGACTGTGACTGGTCCCGGCTGGTCAAGCGCGACGGGGCATACGCGACGAACGATGTGCGATGTGCGATGTCCTGCAGGCATCCCCCCAGCAACCCACAGGCGAGCCGCTGACGAACCATAGTAGTGGGAGGACTTTTAATGAAGGGATCCGATACGAGCTGTGCAAACCTAGAGACGAGGCTGCCACGCTGAAAAACGAGTGAGCACACATATAACACCCGCGGCACCACTGCCACAACATGAGTAATGGCAGTTGAAGTCTGGCGCACATCGCGCACACCGTGCGCACCGCCCACCATGCGCGTGCTGTAAGAAGCTTGATTGGTGGCAGTATATCCTGCGCGTGTGCTCAATAGACGTGACAGCCTTCTGGCACATCGCATTGGAGGTATATAAGATTCATAGATTCTTTCCCCCAGGAGCATCTCTATTCCGGTTCTAACTCCACTGCCTTCAGGAAAACCTCCCAGTTTCTCTAACCCCAATATCCACTATCCTCGCAAGTTGTCCTATAACCCGTCGACTACCCCTAGCATAATCAATATCCACTCTTCAGGCCCTCGAAAAGTACGAAATCTATCCGTCGTCAAACTTGAAATCCAGGGGTCAACAAACACTCGGCGTGATGCCATCTTCTTGCGACGGGATACGGAGGTCGATCAAGGGGGCAAAACTCGGCGAGAAGTTGGAGCGGCCACGCAAGCAAGGCAGTGTCCAGGTACACTGCCACAACAAGCTGATGGAGTTCTTCACTGCAGCTCGAATCAAGGAGTTGTTAAGTTGTGATTGTGCCCATTGTCCACCCGGGATCCCAACCGATGAGACAGTTCAGGAGATCCGAGGCGACCCTAGCAGTAGCAGGAACGGCGGACCAAGGACCACCGCCACCTACGTTGGAGTATTGGCTTTCCTGCTCATACAGATGATGGATATACGGCCCGTCTTCAAATTCATGGAAAAAGGGTACTCGGATCAAAAGCTGGCTGGATCCAGGGAGCTGGATTTTAACCCTCCTTCGGAATCCGGTGATAAACCCCCAATCTCCCAGTGGACATTCAACATTCTGGTCTCTGGGGAACCCGATGACACTGAGGAGACGACCGCAGACACGACCGAATACTCCAACTTCTTCAACTACTTCATCGTCAACCTTTGGTACGAAGATCGTTATAACCACCGGCATATCAACGAGAATCAGATTCTCCCCCTCAACATCATCAAGGAGGTCGGGAAGGGAGGCTACTCTGTGGTGTACAAAGCGCGATTGCTAAAGGGCTTCCACGATTTTGAAAAAGTCCAGGTATGACCATCATGTGCATATTAGCCGAGCTAAGTGCTGACTAGATACAGGGAGAAGGTTTTGTGGCCGTCAAGACTTACAGCGACCCTAGTCTCGTGGTGGCTGGCCAGGACTGTGCTAAGGAAATGCTCAATAATTCGAAATTTCTCCATCCTCGAGTGATATCTCTTCTAGCATCCCTCGACCATAAGGGCATCTTCATCCACATCTATCCGTTCGCCGAAGGTGGCAGTCTGCAGGAACTGTTTCGCAGAAACCCATCGGGGCCTTACCTTGACCATCATTTCACTTGGAGCCAGTTCATGGGGCTTCTCGAAGGTCTCAACCATATTCATACCGGCAGAGCCGATCGGCTGGGGTATCACTTTGATCTGGTGAGTATTCTTGAAGCCCTTCTATGAAAGCTTACTAATATTGTCCTGATAGAAACCACACAACATCATGATTTTCGGGGACTCTTTCTGGACTATCATCGACTTGGGATTGGCTCACTACAAGGAAAAGAAGGAGATGAACGCCGATCTATCCAAGACCGGAAGAAGAGCAGGAAGCGACGAGTGGGGCCCACCACAGTGGGAGAAAGTGGGGCGGGGATATGATGTGTGAGTGGAGTCATGTCGACCGCCTCTCTAGACTGGCCGGGTTGCTAATATTGATTTGCAGGTGGGCTTTGGGTTGCATTGGATGTGTGATTCTCGTCTGGCTTGCCAAAGGCGCGGCGGGTGTCGAGCAGTTTGCCAAAGACCGGAAAAATTACGATACAACCCACCACGGGGTGAGTGTCATCGGGTCCAGCTTCTACGGGAATAAGGTCCTCATCCCGGCGGTCGAGACACTACTGTCGGAATCCGAGGCGGTCGGAGGTCTTACAGGGATGGCGGCCGCGATATTGCGAAAAATGCTCAACTACGAAGCCGACGGCCGTGTGACGGCGAACGATGCTCGAGTGGGCTTGCAGGAAGCGTTGGAAGCCACGACACCGGTTGTTCCACCAATCCCGCCGAAATTTGCTACACTCACTCCCACGGTAAGCAGCTACAGAACTGTCCCACCCGTACCGACTATCTCTGACATAGAACATAGTACTCTGTGACTCCTCTCCAACGGGCCGGTGGCGTCAAGAACAGCTTGGAAGTGCCCGGCGAGGCTGGCCGTGCAGAGAAACGTGCGCGATATTGTAGGTCATGCCGTTCGATGAGGGAAAGAGAGTGTCGGATGCTAACAGTTACCAGCGATATCACAGGGGCGGTCCCCATACCAAATGGAGGATATCGTTATCCCGACACCAGCACAGATTGGCGGTGCCGAAGCAGCGGTTCCAATAGTGATCCAGGTTCGGTCACCATCGGCAGAGCCCGACCTCCGTCAAAGGGACGAGGCTTACGAGACTTCGAGCGAGGCTGGGGGCGATAGGCCTGCCGGTCCAGCATAGACGCGCTTTGAAGAAAGACCGCGTTTATGGTTCGGGGCCTCGGGATGATGCGGGGGTGGGGGGTGTTTCGGGGCGGGTGTGATGTGTGGTCTTTTTTTTTGTCTCCGCGCCGAATGGGAGGACTAGAAGGGTGTACTAATGTTTTGCGGGTTTTGGGTCTATGGGTTCTTTGAGTTCTTATGTAAGGATTTCTTTATGTCGCCTGTAGGGGCCTTTTATTGGTGGTATTTTGTCTATTCGGAGGTCGGGTTATCGGGTGGCATCGTTACTGCCAGAGAGCGTGATTTGCAGTCTGTTTCATTTTTGCGGGATTTCATGAGATCGGAGGTAGCTTGTGGGATTGAATGTACTCGTACTATTTTGAATATGTTTTTCGGATTGAATGATAAGTCTTCAAGTTCGAGGTCTACTATCATTGGCGACGTTTTGGTGTATCTGCCCCAACTTTAAAGTTGCTCGGAGACAGGTGAACTCCAGGGGGGAGAGCCCAGGCCAGGCACACCGCCAGGATCACGACGACCATGAACCAACAGAAAAAACAACAACGACGACAACCCGAGACAGTTGTCTCCTGACGAACGAGTTTTCTAACACAACTGAGCACGGATATGGGGAAGGAGGGCGCGATGGCCGGCGGCCCGGTGGAGGATCCTGGGAGGATCTCCTTTGTCAGGTTTTACTTTCTAGTTTACGCACCTGTTTCTGTTTTTGCTTTTGAAATTTGGTTGTTGTTTTTCCTTTCTATACCGGCTATAGACTTAACCAGGACTCCAAGCTGTCATATGAACAATGAATAATTCAAGTCACTCGTATGAGTTCGAGCGAACGATATTATCGAAAAGCAGTCCCGACTCCCGACTCCCGACTCCCGACTCCCGACTCCCTACGGCGGCCGGTCGCTTCCACGGACGAATCAGGATCTGCTGGGAATGTGACGAGAGTTGGAAAGACATCAAATGTGATGTGCAGCATACTTTGGTACATCAGGAAAAAAAAATCCGGCGGGCCTGAACTGCACATGGTGCGACATACTCATTGAATAGGCACGATGCCATGTGACTATAGCTGTCCATGTCTGACTGCAGCTCTCCAGGTGCTGCACACGGCGTAAAACTCTGACTAGATATGTAGACACGGTGCCTGGATTGATAGCTGTCCACGAGTGATCGCAGCTGTACACGCTGCTCCGCGCTTCTCCGGCAGCGCTTCACGATGCATCACTCTGTTCGCGAGTGGTTGTATATGCCTCGACGGTGGCAGCGACAAGCCTCAATAACGCCTCGCAGCGGCGATTCACCTCCAGCACCAGGTGGGTTTTCACTTTGCCGCCACTGGATATCTCCTCCCCAACTACCTTCCTCTCTCTCTATCTCTCTCTCTTCTTCCTCCCACACCATCCATCGGACGATCGATAATCAAAAACCCCCACCGATCAACAATTCTCTACTACAAACCGTTCGAACCCACAACCTCTACAATACAGTCAGCGACTGACTCAATGAGCACTACTATCAACCCCACAATGAAGACTATCGCCCCCGCCTCCGACGAGCAGATGGACATTGACATTGAGATGGTCATTGAGATGGGTATGGAGATGGGGACCGACATCGAGGAACACAAGAACTGCATGGGAGGTGGTGAGGAGGGCAAGGCGGAGGAAAATTTTATATGTGTGCGACGTTTATAAAATTCCATTCCGTTACTAAAATCGAACTAGTAAGGTTATGAGAGTTGCGCGAAGTCGCATTCATTTGAATGCCGACTCGTGGCGATAGTGCGACCAATATCAAACAACAGGATTAATCACATGATTACGCACCGAAATGTCATCGGGCATTGCTTTGGATATTCTACTCCTTTTCCTGCTGTAAATATTTCACCGTTTTTTGAGTATCTGTATTTAATAACTGCCGCCATACCGATAACCCCCCCTTCTTTTTTGCTACAGTAGGTATTCAGACCCACAGCACAGTAGTATTATACTTTCAAAATCGGAGTATGGACTAATCCGCTGGCGGCAGGTGCAAGTTGGGTCGCCGCAGTCTCCATAGGACTTGATAGGATCAAAGCTGAAGAATCGAGCAAGAACTGATGTCCGAAGGTGCTGGGTAGATTTGAATTTGCGAGGCTTCACAGATTCACAATTCGCGATTGAGGCTTGTGCCAGCAACTCTGTGAGAGTTATGAAGTACTGCAGTACCTAGGTAGAGATTGATAGGGCGGACAATTCCTACTATCTATACCTACTTATGTAGCATTGCATGGGTCGCCACTTGAGGAGCTAGGAATTGTGAGAAGTGAGAAGTGAGGTCGTGGACGGCGGTGGTGGTATATCAAGTTGGTTGTGCGGTCGATCCAATGCCCGCCACACGCTACACTGGTACAATAATATACCCGGCATCTAAACGACAAGGCTTACTATTCTGACCATCAAGCTTCGTGCCGCCTCATTGGCGAATAATCCAGATTCCACACCAATGAATCCGCAGTTACGAATCCTGTTCCCCCCAATGCCGCGCGTCGATCCCGCCGCTTCATCTCGTCCCTCCAGCCAATCCGTCAAGCCGGGTGCTACTCCGTGGCAGCCAGCCAGCCACTTGTTGCCGAGTCCTTCGTCGATCCCTTAAGTTGCCTACACTCATCAAGTCACCACAAACAACAGACTGGCCGAAGGAATTCCTCGAGCTTCTCACCCCACCCTACCTACCTATTCTGGCGATGATTGGGCAGATGTTGAAACATGCGCAACAGTCGGTCTGCCAGTGACCGGTGAGCGTGAATGCAGCGTTTGTTCCGTCGTCGGGTAACTATCTATGCGTGCTTATTTGGCTGCGGACTGGTATGGTCGGATTGCCAACGTTTCTGCCTAATTGTCAGTATTCTATTGTATGGTATGCGGCTCGTAGATTACGGCGGGGTTCACGGACTAGTATGCAGCGTGTTGCGGGAGGCTTTTCTACATGTTCGCCGTGGATTTGGCGATAGTTAACTCGGCCATTAGTTATTCTCGCTTCTCAGACTGTGGCCACCGCTACAAACGGTACTGGAGGTATAATTGGTCCATGTCGCCATCCCATCTGGTAGGTATTTAGAGTGGGTACTCGGGACGGCCGAATGGTCTACTATACGATGACTTTCCCCCTGTACCGTAATCCGAGATTAGATCTGTCATTGAAAGTTGAGATAACTGGCATTTTATAGTCGAGACTCGAGACAGCGGCTGAGTCGCTGAGCCCATAGATCTGTTTGGAGAAGCAGGAGGAGGGTACTCGGGCGGCCGAAAAGAATACCTCGCCCAGACTACCAATAGGGAGCACGTGGATCTCCGACGATGTTCGTTCAGCTCTGTGGTCGGCGCATTTCTCACGTCGGTGACGTGAAAACTCGCGCCCACCGCGGGATTGACGTGCCATGACTGCATGAGAGCATCGTCCAGCGCACAGGCCTCCTAAACTTGCTCGATCTAGGCATTCTTTGCATCGGCTCGTCGAAACCTCAGCCCACCCGCAATTACCCGGAGGCTCGGCTTCTGGCAAAGCTGCATTCCCACCAATACCGTAGTAATGGAGTGATCGCATACCAACCATGAGTCCCTCTGTGAGCTGGCCATGAAACACCTGGCCTGCCGTCTGCGGCCGGCCACGGCCCAGCCATCGTCAGATGCAACGCCACTCTCGGCTCTGGACCTGAGGACGCACACGAGGGAACCCGCCAACAAAAAGTGGGCTCAGCGCGTAGGAATCCGCCTCCATACTATGCACGATTGAAGCTCGCTGTTCGCCGCCAATTCGATTCGCGTTCTGGTCGACGAATGACTGAGTGAGGCTGTGAGACTGCGGAACCCGACATAGTGCGTTCCAAGGAATCGGATGCGACCGTCAGAAGTAAGGGAGTTTCGATACCCTCCAGCCAAACACGTTCGCTTCTCGAATCGCCCTCTCCCGAATCTGATTCTCGTTGACATAATCTTTCTCCGACAAGATGTCATTCCTCAAGACGTCCGTGGAGAGAGTTTGCCTCCGACACCCCCCACAGCCACCTGGATGTTTCGCGAATCCCTACCGACCGTGGGTAGCTGCAGGTGCACGGTGGCAATGTGCTGCTCCTCGCAGTGTCGTGGCTTCGTAAGGTTAGCTTCTCGTTGTCATGGTCGACGGGCCGCTCAATCGTGAATTCCTGGAAGTGCGGCGGACGGATTGATTTTCGACGATCACCTATTCACGAAACCGAAAAGAACCCCAGATTCCGCTCGCCAGAATCGACTGCAGGATAGGCACCCATGGGCCGGGGTAAAACATCAATTACCCACCTGCTTGACAAGTATGTCTGTCAAGAAAATAGCGCTCTCTCCTCCTCCCCCGACAATCGCCACAGCGTCATGTCCCATTCCCGCAGTCCCAGAGTCTCCTCCATCTTCTGTACCCCCCCCTCCCCCCCCCAACCATCTTCTCTCGCCTAGCCCGGCGCCGGATACCACACGCCGGTGATATGCCCTGCAAATCCATACCACAAAACTACCCTTAACTGTAGTTAACATTCAGATAATCACCCAAGTCGCAACTTGGATGACCTGAGGATTCGCGCCCGGCAGTTGGAACTGCCATCCCACACAACCGTTTTCCATATGCCTGGCAACCGGCCGCCCCCGTAAACAACCCTTCTCGTCGTCCCCCGCATCATTTTCCATCCGGTGATCCACGGAGCCACCAGTCGTATCGAAGCCCCTTATCTGTCGCCCGTCGTTTTCCCTCCTTCCCCGCCTATTCTTTTGCGCATTTTTTTTCCCACCACAGCCAGACTAAAATACTCAACATCGCCAGGCCTATGGTAATGGCAGTGAAAACGATCCACGTGACCGAAGTCGACCACGTCGGATCGCTAAAGCCCATCCCAAATATGCTCTGGCACATATCAACATCTTGGGTAAACGGTAGGGGGGAAAGGGTGATGACATACGGCTACGACGGATGGCGGCAGATAAAGCATACAGACGACCGTGATGACCTTCATCGACTTGGCATACACGGCTGCCTTCTCGGATAGCTGCAACATCAGGGTGTTTTCGTGGCGCGCATAGTTGTAGGGAATGATGGTGATGATGAGGGCGAAGAGGCTCTCGGCGCGCTGCAGTAGATTACTGACACGTACCTTGTGCTGGCTCAGCAGGATGTGAAGGTCCTCGAGGTCTTCGTCGTACTGCTTGTACTGGTCGTCGGTGATGTAGACATTGGTCTTTCTGCGGAAGGATTCTATGCCTCGTCGGAGAGAGGCGATATTGGCCTGGTTGACTTCGAGTGCGTGGATCATCGTTAGCAGCTCGATCTTGAATTTCTGTACGCGTTGCGTGTCAACGAGCTCTAGCTCTGAATCTTTGTGCGCTTTCAGGATTAGGTTCCCCGGCTTTGGCCGCCACAGGAACGCCCGTTTGTCCTTCGGAGCAGTCAGCCAGAGTGTTCCGGGAGTCGAAAATGGAGTTAAGTGGGCAGACCATCTTCCTCAGATCATCGTCTAATGCATTGATGTACGGCAGCCAACTCCGGGTTGCAATCTGCATGAATAAGATATGAATATCTAGATCATGGCGTCTTTCTCGCGGATGCATTGGATCGCTCGTGAACACATCCTTCAAGCGGGGTACGCATTCTCTGGGCGCAAGTACGGATATCCACGTGCTCGTCTTGGTTGCCGGCACATATTTGGAATAGAAGCCCATTTTCTTCCGCCTCCACGTGAAACTTTCGCCCTGGCCCTTCACGGCCTGATCAATATAGCGGAAGTTGTAACAGATCTCTGTTGTTCTGTAGCTCAGCCAATGAGGTCTCGCAAGGCAAGCATGGAAGCACAACAGATGAAGTGCACTTACCGAATGCTTCGGGAGTTTTGGTTGCGTTCATATATTTGTCCCTTTCCCAGGTGATCTCTTGCTGATAGACAGCATAGTCCTCATTCATCTCATCGCACTTATCCCCAAACAGATGCAGAATATCCAAGAAGGCGGGGAACACGTTCAGAGCCGTCAGAAGTTTCCGTTGGATCTCCAGCGAGATCAAGAGCGCCCCAAACGAATATTTGGGTTTCAGAAAGCTAAAAACACGCGGAAGATAAGGTTTTAGTCAATCTGTCTGCGCGAGCCATTCGAGGACGGAGATGAAAGTACGCACAAGAACATATGCTGACCGACAAGAGTGAGAGGCTCCACATGCTGACCGACGGCAGTGCGATCGATGCGTTTCTCGACATCGGCAGGCAAAACCTGCACAAAGCTGCTGTTCGAGCTTGAGTCGTCGTCCGGCGGACTATGATCCGCGTAGGCTCTGTCCGGGCCGGGCTCGAGGTACAAGGGTATCCCACTGTTACACGATGAGAGAACCGACCTCAATCCCCCCTCATCGCAAACCCTAGCGGTTGAAAATTGGGAGGTTATCGCTTGCGCACACAGTCAGCACGGAATCTATCTTTGCCATCGTTCATTCGTTCGCTAGCACTGTACCTACCGTCTCTTTCCTTGAAGTAATTGACTGCTACGACGTCGAATTGGGTGACGCTGCCGAAGATCTTCGTGCCGGCTTCATTCAGATCCTTTTTGCAGCGCTTCAGGTCGACGCTGATGGGATCGCGCCATGTCGGGCTGTTGAGAGGGTAGTGCTCTGAGTCGGCAAACGGATCGCGCTTAGGAGTTGTGCTGACGAAGTTCTGAGAACGAACCGCCGACGGGGCCATGTCGTGTGCGGGCACTGCACTGGTATATATCACGCTCGATGTTAAGATTGCAAGAATTGGTGATTTTCCTAGTGAGAGGGGCACACCTTATAGTCCTGCAGGCTACCGTATTAGGACTTTCACACCGGGAGTGTATTATCAGGCCCGCCTTAGGAGCACCGACACCATAACCCATTGCAGCAGCGCACGTCGACAACACACTGCGCCTAGTCTGGTCATACAATTCATACGATAGCGTGGGTGACCGGATCATCAAAATGCGGGACCTAAAAGAAAGGTGAAGAAAAAAAAAGTGTATTCCGCCATAGCCCGGGTGGGATTTGAATTAGAGTATTGATGTCGTCGTCGGAAGGTAGTGGAAATACATATGTGCTCCAATTTTGCGGCAGTGCCTGGAGAAACTACGGCATGCTGCTGCGGGTTCATCCTGCGGGGCGTTGTCGAGATAACATTTTTTTTTAACGATTCTGGTGCTGCAAAGTTTCACTCAGGGTCTCTAGGTGGCCATTGACCTTGCTGGCTTGCACCGCCCGATTAAGTATAAGCCTCTTCAACATACGGATTGTCTACGTAGGTTCGAACACGGTGGCGATTATTGGACTAAATACGCAGAGCCTCTGCCATAGGCACTGTGCCGGCCCGGATTCTCTCCAACAACAACTTCAATAAGAAACGGATTCGAAGATGTCGTAAATCCGTTTCGCACATCTTTTCTGTGTGAAGTCGATTATTAAAAGGCGACATAAAACCAGTACATATACGATTACAAGGTCCCAGGACTGGAGCAAACCCGCAAGAAAAATCGGCCGGCATCGGCAATATAGTTTGGAGTGTACGTGGCTCTTATGTACTACAGATCTAGCCACTGCTGGTGTAGATCCCCTCGCAAAGAGCATGCAACATTTCCTCAACGCATTAATTTCTTCCCGCGTTCCCGCGATCAATCAATTCATCTCTCTGCGGCCAGCTCTTGAGGAACTCCAAGGCTTCAACCAGCTCTGCACTCGTGGCACGGATCGTGAGATAATCGAGAGCCATACGTACGCGCAAGGTCGCGCCACCGGGGCAGGGCGATCGGAGGTCGTGGACGGGCCGTCACGGGCAGGTTTTCAGGAGGAGTCGCGGCGGGCGCACATTTAGAAAGGCGGAAATACAGCCGCGAAGTGTAAGGGGGGGGACTCGGGTGTTGATGTGTAGAATAGTCCTCAGTCGGTGGCCTTTTTTCATTCCGGGCCCTGTATGTAGGATATCCGTGCTCATATCGGTAACCCGAGACATCTGCCTATAGTCATCTCTATCTCCAGCCTGACTAACCCGTCATCTCGTCTGGAGCGGCCGCAAAAACGGACCGTATGACACCCTATCCACCGCCCCGCCGCACTGGGTGATCAGCCAACTTGGGTATCCAGTACCGCACAAAGCGACGCTAGATCTGCCATTGCCATTGATAGTAGACTTCCTCTTCTTCGTCTTTCCGTTTCGTCTTGCGATGAACATTCGGAGGCGGGAGAATTGTGGAGCGGAATGGGGTGGGTTAAGGAGGACGGCAGCGGTTGGAACGACACTTCAATGGAAGTTACTTCGGGACTTGAGAGTTCCCGGATTTATAGGTTTTTGGTGGAGTAAGGTAAATGTAGTATATAGACTTCACTCAAGAGCGGGGTAAATGTAGAAATCGTGACTTAGAATTCGGGTGCAGCGAATACCTTTGGAGAAGCAACCAAGGACTTGCATGATAATGCGTCATTTTGGTCAACCGATCCGTGCTGATGCGTCAGCAGTGTAGGAGCGGTGAGACACCAGCAGTAGAGTACATTTTGCAGGGGACACTGCACGCGACGATGTGTCTCTTTAAAGTTTATCTAAGCACAGGCCAATGCCATGGTGCCATATCGCCAGCCATCGTGCATATCACCAAACCGCACAACCAGCCTGGTTACGTGCCAAAGCCACGGCGCCACACAGGCGTAAAATATCCAGATAGCGCGGGTTTTTTTGTTACCAGATCGAAAGTGAACATGTACCGGTATAATGGTGATGGTAATAGTATAGTGATGAGTGGCGACGGTATGGACAAAGTGGTGACAAGCATTTTCGTGGATAGAGGGCGCCATGATGGACAGTACTTATCTATGAACGTGAATGTGAAGAATCATCACTCCACTAAGCCACACTCCACAGAAGTAACATGACAGCCACGTAGTATTGTCGTAAAATGTGACGGAAAAGCACAATGTAACGTAAAAACACAAGTCGAGACGGAGCAATTCTGGCCGAGCGGGCTGTTGGTTGTGGTGGCTGGTGATGCGGCTGGTGCCCGTCCAGCGGCCATATCACGGTCGAATACTGATTTTTGCCATCTTCCCCACCCCCACTGGAGTCCTTCCCTTTCCACGCGAGCCCTATGTACCGTGTCTACTCGTTCATGAGACATACGCGCTAAGACGTCTGAATGAGCCGGTATACTCTGAAGCGTTTCGAGTAGGTAGGTTCATCCCAATCCTCCAATCCTTCCCAATCCTCCAATCCTTCCCACGCCCCCCCATCCCCCCCGCTACATTTACTCGATGTCCGTGCCTTCACCCCATTTAATCGCAGCCGTGTGAATGACACCAGCTCTTGCGGTTTCCAAGTCACCCACCGGAGGTGGTGACGGTTTTTGTTTTTGGCATCACCGTTGGAGCACTAGATCTCACGCGGCGGTATCACCTGACACGCCTCGCGCTGCTGGCCTTTGTTTTTTTTAAAAAAAAATCAACATTGCATTTGAAATTAGTGCATCATGGCAGATTACAACGTATCTATTTCCACCCTAATGTTGGCACCGACAGCTCGCCACAAGCTCGATATCGGTTCTCTCTCCGCCCGGCCGACCCTCCCTGCTCAACCCTCCCCGCGAATCAACCGTCTACCTATATTAGAATAGTTGTTGATCCCATGTGTAGTGCCCGCGGCATTCGTTCTTCTTGTGTCTCTTCTTTACACAGCCGTAGCAGACAATGTCCTTTTCTGCTTGATTCCTAGAGCGTTTTCCGAGAATTTGCGTGCCCGTACCCCTGCCAGAGAAGCCTTTCCCATTATACTCGTAGCGATTGCCTTTCTTCACAAACAGTGCAACATCACTAGGTATCTTATGCTGCGCTCGCAGACTTGATTCGAATACCTCCAGTTGCTTTAGGGTATCCTCCGGGGGTTGCTCGGGTCCTCTGTAGTGATCGTTCTTGTCATCATAGGCACATCACTCGGAAACATGGGCCGGTCACTCGCAGTCCTAACCACTGATTGCGTGAAATCGCCCCTTATGCGAAGCAGATCGATATTCTAGGCAGGTGAGTTCCTCCCGTGATGCTCGAAGGTGCCTCCAGAATCGGATGCTCGGTGCCCGTGGTGGGTAGGTATCCTTGCCGCGGGGCGTAACGGGTGCCTCCACCGCCACGTGCAGGAACGAACCCGGCGGATATAGTGGGTAGGCCGCGTGATTAGCGCATTAGCCATCAGTCTTCCCGGCGCGCTTCATTGGATTGGCGATTTTGGATCTCGTGCTGGGCATCTGACTATGATGTGACTACCAAATACGGCTTGCACGAAATAAGGTGAACGCGAATCCCTCAACCGAACCAAACAAAAGCATGTATTGCAAATACAAGCTACGTACATCCTCTCTAGCCAAATTCATTCCTGAAGAAAAGTGCGTCACCACAGCCTGGCAAGCCCGAAAGGCAGGACGCGTAATGTGGGATAAGATATGACACGCAATGGGCATACGCAGTGTGCATACGCAATGTGGAAAGAGAAAGCTCGAGGATGGAAGACAGATGTGTTGTATTTAAACCGCCAATGTTGCCCGCTCTTTTCATATCTCTACCACGCAAGAAAGTCAATTCAATCCCTTGTTCTCCGTCTCTCTCTACCGCACATTCTGTCGATATGATCCAAACTTCCGCACCGCCCAAACAACAGTTCCTCCGCTGACCTGCCCTTCAGCGAAATACAAGCCCCTCGGCGCCATAAAGTCCCCACCAGCGATGTACCTTCCTCTTTCAGCCTGCCCTATCTATAAGGCTTTGATTATATCGGTATTACCTACTCTTCCGCTCAACCCATCGTCGGATTCCTCGAAGACTCCACATACTTCTCTCGATAGGGTGAGCCCCGCTCGACGTCCACCAGCCCAGAGTTTGTCCTGCACCAGATATGCGGCGGGGTTCTTGGCCACCACTTGAGCCGCGAGGTTCTTCGCCACCAGTTCAACCCCGCGCCTACCGGAGTCTCCGCCACCGTCACCCCCGTATTTTCGTCTCCTCCTCGTCCTCCTCCTGTGTTTTCGCTATCTACTTTGCCACCTCCTCCTTCCTCATCTCGTAAACATCTGTGCTCCCACCACAGCCAGAGGCCGATGGTCGACGCCGCCAGAATCACCGTGGCGCATATGAAGATCGCCCACATGATTGCGATGTCCCAGCTCGGATGGAAGAAGTCCATTCCGAAAACGCCCTGGTATATATATATGAGCATGCTGAGTGGACAGGTGGCAGGAAGGAGAATAGTAATAACATACGGCAATGACGGATGGCGGCAGATATAGCATGCACACGATGGTGATGACCTTCATTGATTTCGCGTACTGGGTGGCCTTTTCGGAGAGGCGGAACATCAGGGTGTTTTCACGGCGCGCAAAGATATATGGTATGATGGTGATGATGAGCGAGAAGAGGCTCTCGGCGCGCTGCAGGAGGTTCTTGACTCGCACCCGGTGCTGGCTCATCAGGATGTGCAGGTCCTCGAGATCTTCGTCGTACTGCTTGTAAAGGTCGTCAGTGATGTAGACTTTGGTCTTTCTGCGGAAGGATTCTATTCCCCGTCGGAGAGAGGCGATGTTGGCTAGGTTGACGTCGAGCGCGTGGATTATCGTCAGCAGCTCGATCTTGAATCTCTGCACCCGCTGCGTGTCCTCCAGCTCCAACTCGGAGTCCGAGTCTCTGTGCTCATTGGTGATAGTGCTCCCCGGTTTGGGCCGCCACATGTACGTCTTTTTGTCCTTGGGGCCAGTCAGCTACAAGTCTCGGGTCAACTACGGCGGAGAACAGGACATCGTACCAACTCTATCAGCTTCTTATCTAGATGGTTGATGAACGGCAGCCAGTCCTGGCTTGCAGTCTTCATTAACAGTAGGTGAATATCGATATGATGTCGCATTCCTCGCCTCCGCTTCGAATCGCTCGTAAACACTTCCTCCAAGCGCGGAATTGCCTCATCGGGCGGATACACGGGTATCCACGTGGTCGTGTTGGTCGCGGGCACAAACTTGGAATAGACACCCATCTTCCGCGTCGTCCAGATGAGCTCTTCGCCTTCAACATTCCCCTTCCGCTGGACTACATAGCGGAAGTTGTAGCATATCTCTGCGATTTCACAGCACCGTCAACGCGGGTTCACAAGCACACACAACACAAAACGATCGAGGGTAATATACCGAATGCTTCAGGAACACTGGGTGCGATCCAGGCCTCCTGCTCCTCCTCTCTCCAGACTATCTCTTGTCGGTAGACCGCATAATCCTCGTTAATCTCCTCGTGCTTCCTGCCAAACAGATGGAGGATATCCAGGAACGCGGGAAACACGTCCAGCGTCGTCAGCAGCTTCTGCTGTATGTCCTTCGACATCAGCAGCAGGCCGTACGAAATCCTCGGTTTGACAAAACTGCGCTTTCTTTTAGTCCCTCGATCCGCACGGATCGGACCGGGGGGGGGGGGGGGGGGGGGGATAAATACAAGAAGGTATGCGCGCCAGCCGGCGGAGATTCTGCGTGTGCACAGAGGGCAATTTCAGAGTCTTCGTCTCCGGACGACGATGCATATTCCGTGGAGCCGGTGGAGCCTGTGGAGCCACATCTCGCAGCGGCCAAGGCCAGTCCCCTCGTGCCACTCTGCGACGACGAATGAACTTCCGCCAGGCTCGCCTCGTCGGTCACCAGCCGCCTTTTCAATGTGAGTGTTTCTACCCCAACATCAACTATCAGCCCTGAAACATCCAGCATGCCGTCATGCATGCACGCGCAGATTTGATTAGCCGCCTGCCAGCCTGCAACCAACCCAGAACGAACGTTACATACCCTTCATCCCCGCACCACCACGCGGGTGTGAATAAACCACCGAAACAACGTCGATGCTAGTTTTCTCGCCTAGGACGCGGTCGCAATCGCTTTTCCAGCGGTCGTCGAACCGCCGGATGTCGATGCGCGCTGGATCGTGGCGTGTATTTGTATGTGTGTGCTGTTGCGGATACTTTTCGGCGCCTGCGAGGAAATACGGCACCGGCGCGGATGATTTGCTTCTGGGCCTGTAGATCTCCATCCCTGCTTCGCTGCAAGATGGATAGTGAATCTTTTGGGACTTGGGACTTGAGGAAGAACTGGCTCTGATAATGTCCGATGCGCGATGTGCGATGCGCGTTGTGCGGCACATCTTTCGACTTTATATACAACCGCCCCCCGTATCTGCACTACCTCAGCCGGAGGATCACAGGTGGAGCACTGTTAGTTACACTACACATCCTGAGAGATTGGTTCGACTGGCAATTATGCCCGTCTACACGAGGCTCAAAGCGACTTTTCACTGGAGCGATAGCGACTCCGCTGTTATAGGCCAGCGGTTGAGACCGTTAAATTCACCCCTCCCATGATACACCTAATATAAACTTCTGAAACACCCAGCACAGATCGAATAACACCTCCACCCAGGCCCACGGTCCTCCATTCAAGTACACCAGCACATTACATATTTTGTATCTCATCTATTTCGTCCTGTGACGGGGGAGCGGGGGCATCGATGTTCAGTGCACGTCCTGACCGAAAACCAAGCATCCAAGCACACCTGCCAGCCGGCTGAAGGGGAGGCTACATACCTGCGAGAGCCTCTCAGGAATGACGATACGCCAGTACGCCGCATCGACCTCCTTCAAACCGCCGCGTGCTTAGCATTCAGCTCAGCGCGGCACAAGGCTGTGGCTGTGTCTGTTGCGGCCAACGAACGAACGTACCTCTATACTCATCTCCTGCGGCGCGGCGTTGGGGAATCGCTGTCGTAGGAACTTGAGCAGTGCGTGGCGACTGATGTATCTATCCGAGTCGCACTCATCGTCATCATCAGCGAGCGGCCGTGATGTGATGGGATGCGAAGTTAGTGGGAAACGCATCGCAACGCATCGCAACGGAACGAACCTGGTGGGGAGGTCTTGCTGGTACATCGTCGAAGGCTTGGGCTTGGGTGCCGGGGGTTGTTTGCCCATTTTCGCATTTTTGCGATCGGTGAATGTAGGCAGCGAGTATTTAAGCTGCGAAGTGTGTCTGCTGCTAGGTATGCACAATAATAATCACACCGCCTGCAGGTTTCCTTCTCCTACATGGCTAAAGCCGACTCTTGCCGTTTGACTGCCGTGGTGTCGGCCTGGCGGTGTGGGGAACGGGACCCAGTAGGAAGCCGCTAGCAGCTCTAGCAATGGAGTGCATCTCCAGAGGAATCAAGTGCATCGGGCGCTGGCAGTCTTTTTGGTTTTTTCCCCGCGGTATGAGTAAGTAGGCCACTTTCCGAAGTATGATTTGTGAGCTGGGTGAGCTGTAGTGGAAGTGGAAAACAGGCGAAGTCCCAACGTTGTGAATCATTGGCCACAACACAAATCAACCTTTAGCGTGGCAGGCAGGGTGGCCAAGTCTCGATCGTTCCGTTTGAACCTTAAAAGAGTGACATCGTCGCGAACTGAGCTGAAGGGCGTGGGCTCGAAAACTGCGCCCCTAACGGAGCCCGTTGTGTGCTTGCTGAACAATGTTTCACCGGCCAGTGATTGCCCCCATGTGGCATGTACTAGGTAGGCAGGCTGAGCAAGGGGTCGGCCGACTGTATGTACTGCAAGTAGGTAACCTGTCGCGACCCGCCGCTTCTCCGCATCGAAAGAGCAGCGTCGGATATTGATGTCCTTCGATTTCCCGCTGGCTCCAAGCCGGCAGCATGCACGGAGGCAATGTTCGCGGTTCGTAGTTCGGGCGAGCAGGCTACTTCTCGACGTGGTGGTCATTCGGCTCTGAGTTGCAACACCTGAGCGGGCTTTATGGATGGGGGAGTTATGGGTCGTCGGGCTCAGCAGTTGTGCGTGTGTGTGCCGTGTGTGCCGTGTTCCTCTCTCTCGAGATAGAGAGATGTCTGCTGGTTGATCTAGGTTCGGTGTAGATGGGCTGAGCCTTCGGAGCCGGTGCCGCAACTCGATGATCGTGTCTGTCCTTCCGCTCGAGCGCGAACAAATTCGCCATCCAGCCCAGCTATCGTCATCACCATCCTGTCCCATAGAACCACACAAGTAGCTAATCCCATAGGGCGCTTCTCTCCCTCAGCTTGCTGTCTCCGTTGCTGTGTTCGCGTTGCAGGCTTGCAGCCAACCGCTTTTAAAAGCCTTTAGTTTTATCCGCATCTCGGGTTTGCAGCACGGCTGTGTTTGTGTGCAAAATGTGCAGCTGTGCCCATGTATGCTAGCTGACATAGCTGACATGATCGTCGCGGGTTGCTGGGGCTGGCAATTGGTCGCGGGGTAGTCAACTACTAGTGACTCGAATTCACCGCCGACCGGGTCCGATCACCGCTAACTACTCTAGGTAACAAAGGCGATCACCAGTCGTTGGACGTGGAGCCCCAGTCTTGTGACACGATGGGCGTTGAGTCTCTCCATCAGAATCATTGCGCACAGTGTTGTTCGTTTCTGATTGGATAACTACTCTAGATGGAGCAAGTTGGCATCGGTGATGAGCGAGTTGACTAGTCACATCCTGGAGATCATGGTGAGGCCTCTACATACTCCATGCAATGCTGTCATCACCACCGCGTGCGAAGAGCGCACAATCCCGTGTAAATTCGCAGGAATTTCCGAAGGCCTACTTGTTATCCAAGAACTTACACACATACCTCATACCCAGCTAACCAAGAGGTGAAACAAATCGTGGCTGTATGTGAACGCATGTAGAGCACATGTGCATGAGGCTCCAGGTGGGCTTCGCAGAGTTCGGTAGATAATGCATGTATCTAGTCTGTACTCTAGATATCGGACGATGGTGAGCACCGAGCACTGATAGGGGGCTGCGGGGTGGGCGTTTTCGTGATTAATGTAGGCTCCCCGGGATAACATTGAACGGAGGAACGCGATGCAATCGTCTTGCACTATCGACTAATCTACTCTCGAAGCACATTAGCCCTGGTAGGGGTATGTAACCGCAACTTGAATGCGCAGAAATACTGCGCAAACCGTCGAAACATCCCACCAAGTATGAAGATAACATGGTGGGACACCAACCCACCAACCAACCAATAATCAACTCTAGTACGCTCCTGCATACAGTATGTACCGAGCATGCCGACTCAAACTCAGCCTGCCGTGTAGTCGGTTGCGTACACGGCACACCGCCTCGCCTCGCCAGCCTGGCGACTAAACGCCATTGCCATTGCCATTTACAAACGCGGACCGCTGAGGTTTCTTTTCCCATTTAAATAGAGCCTACGGAGGAATCATCGCCAAATCCGATTGCGAATGAATCCAAGAAGCCGGAAACAATCATCGCAATCCTTCCTTCCTTGAGCAGCAACTTCACTACTTCGGCAAATCGACGCCAGGAAACAGATCCAAACCTAGTTTACACGCAATACCGAATGAGTAGCAGCTCCGCCGAAGTGATGATCGTTCAGGACCTTTCTGGCAGGTATGGTCATTCATCCCCCCATCACCCTCGCGTGAGAGCAGGAGTCAGCGGCCAAAAGCATCTCCCAGAGTCCCAGCGTGCACTTAGTTATCACAATATCTACTCCGCCCCATGTACTACCTATACTAACAAGTAGTGTGCTACAGGTACATCAAGAAGAACATTTTGCAAGACTTCATACAGGAGAAATGGAAGGGGCAGTCTTTCGGAGGCGAAATGATGTCCATCGAGGTCCGCACTCTGTGCTCTGCTTTTCCAAACCGAACCGGCTGAACGAACGGCGGGATAGTTATCATACTGATGGTCTGGCGTACGGTATGTAGGAGGTTACCGGGTACGGCACTAGCATATTTTGGAGGATCAAGGTGCCGTGTCGCCTTACAGAGGTCGGAATACCTGCCTGCCTGCGGCCTGCCGATGTACCCCAGAGTAGCTAACGGCGCGATCGGGTCTACAGCAGGAGATTATCACTCTTCAAGACCAGTCAAACCCGGAGTAATTAGCGACTCTGCGAGAAATAACTGCTGGGTGGTGGCTAGAATAGTACCGCTGGGGGAGGGCGGATAGGGAGGCAGATCGAAGCTGGTTGTGTTCGCTCATATGTGGGGGAGGGAGTTGATGACTGGGTTGGAAAAGAAAAGTAAGTTCTTGTTGGACGCCTACGGCAGTTGCTGCTCAGCCTGATCCTCGTGCATCTCGTCACGCGAATTAGTAGGCTCTACTATACTGTAGCCCCCACCAGAACTCTGTCCTGAGTGTGCGCGCACAGCGGGAATATAATTCCACTGCCTACCTGCCTGCTAGATACCTACATCCTACTCCCACCGATCGAACCAATCTTTCCGAGACTCTTCCGTCCGGTCTCGATTCATTGCATTCGGGCCCCACTACCAACTGCAATAATTCTTCCCCACATCCCATGTGCCCTTTTACATCCGAATCTGTCTGCGATTGCTGCGATAGCGACAGCAACATCGTCGCGTGCGAGTGCGCCGTCTTCGTCGAGCCCCCGCACACCAAACCTCCGACGACGACCATGACGTCCGACAGATGGCTCACGTACTTCGAGAATCACGCTTACGACGTCGATGCCGAATGGTACCATGCGCGACTGGTGAAGAAAGCAGCGCGGCTGCTCGGCGACGTGACGTCAATGACGGCAACATCGTGTAGTCGCATAGAAGGAGGTTAGTACCCGAGTACTCTATTTGGTAGTGGATCGGGGCACCCCCTCCCCCGGTACTCGCGAAACTCCGGGCCAGCCGACGCTTATATACTATCTACCGAACAAAAGGCCCAGCTAGCGGGGGATACTACACGAATAACATATCGACGGGAATGGGCAGCGGCGACGTTTCCACGGCCGTCAAACAGCTCCTGGACGCCGTCAAAGTCAGTAGTCTCCGACTCGTTCTCCGCGAGTGAAATGCTGCTCGCCGCCGTACCGTACTGACGAGTATGTATTGTACGTACAAGCCCACCAACCAGAACATATTCCTGTGAGTCATCGTCGCGGGAGTCTGCATCTATGCTCTTCCGGGGTAGGGGAACGTCGTGATCTGAGAAGAATCGATCGGTGATTAGGACCATCCAGCCGACCATCTCGTTCGCAAAACTTCCGATATGCTGGGAGATGCTCTGGCACTTGGTTTCTCGGCTCTCCATCTTCCCCGGGTTCCTCGATGTGCTGCACCTCTTTGGCGGAAAGACGGACGAGGTGAACGAGGATTATGCCGTGTATCGACAGCACTTTACGCCAGCAAGCGATGGTGGTTCCGATGGAGCCCGTGAGGAGACTTTCGGTATGTTGCGGGCTGGTCGGTCGCTCGCTCGTGCTGTACGTACGATAGCTGATGACGGAGGGGTTTCAGAACTGTGCTACAACTTCAAGTACGTCGAGCAGCGGCCGTCACACGCGGATGGCCACCACCCGATATGGACCACTCGCAAGATCGGCGTGTATGCGAAGCGCGAGCCAAAGGAATCCCGGACCACGTGGGTGCTGATCCAGCCCGGGCGCAAGAGCTACCTGGACCGGGTGACCAAGCGGCTGGGAAAGGCGGGAAAGGCGCACGCCCACGATCAAGAAATACACCTGCTCCTGATGAAGTCGGCGAGCCAGAACTGGACAGAGCATATCGACGCCCTGGACGTAGAGTTCCGAATGCTCGACACCAAGGTATTCATGTGGCGGCCGGGCGTGACAAATGCCCTCGTGGACGAATACCTCCAGTCCGGACTGGTCATGCCCGACAGCCAGAGGATACAGCACTACAAGGTGAAGCTCCACCAGCTCCTGCACGCGCTGGACATCAACTACGCCAACATCGAGTCTCTCCGGCGAGGGATGGAGGAGTTCCAGCGCCAAGGCAACTACACCAGCCGTGACGAACACCAAAAGTACGATCGGGAGCTGCAGGAACTCCTCTTCCAAACCATGCAACACAAAGTGCGGGTCATGCATCTCATCGAATGCGCACAAGGCCTTCTCTCGCTCGTCTGCACGCTCGTAAGTGACTCCATCATGGCAGCCGTGCGCATGGTGGGATCCGTCCGTTGAAACCGCTGGCCCCATAGATCCCGTACGTGTTCGCTCGCAAGGAAAACAGCCTGATGCTCAAGCTGTCGGAGAAAGCAACCGAGTACGCCAAGTCCATGAATATGATCACCATCATGTGCATGCTATACCTTCCGCCATCTCTCGTAGCCGTAAGCGACTCCCCTCCCCCTCCCCTCCCATCCTCTCCCCTCTTTCTCACGCGTGCTCTGTTCCAGGCAATCTTCGGTATGACGGACATTTTCCATACCCGCAGTTCCAGTCTCGGTCCGGTGATCGGGATGTTTGCCGCGGCAACAACCGGACTGTTCGCCCTGACGTTTACCGTTTGGGCGTTATGGGAGTACACGCGAAGGAACTTTTCTTCGCTACGGGATGAGGAAATGAACGTCACTGATTAACGTAGAAGTAGTACATACATAGTACATAATGGGAAAATACTTGAAGTCACTGGGTATTTCTGGCTTCTAACTACCGCGGGCCTACAGCCCGAAGGTAGACCGTCGAGCGGTATGTATTATACAAATATTTTTTGCCCACGATATAGTCGTTGATGCGCTCAAGGCGGAAGGTGGAAATATATCACGTAGATACATATCCCTTGCCCCCCCCCCCCACCCTGACCCCCGGATACTCCGGATACCCCAGTCGCTTTGATCCCGAGCGCAGTGCGCAGTGCTCCTGCACGCGCAGGGATGGACCCTAGTTATCTAACTAGTGCCAAACAACTGCCTGCACTACGCCACCTGCAAAGATATTGGCACACTGCGATGTAGTTACTCTACAATACACACGCTAGTATGTAGCACAATGCGTGCCTATGATGCACAGCGCACACCTATGTGGGATGCCTAGAGCAGTGACGTCGTGGCGCCTCCACCTCTCGAGGGAGGCGAAGCGCTGTGTCGACGTCGCTGACATCGAGGAGCGCCTAACGCCCACTGCCCCATCCCATGCATGTTGAAGCGGCGAAATGAAATCTACACAACTTGTTGGGATAGGAAACGGGCGTTCTCGTATCGCTATCGGCGTAGGTACTATATAGTGAAGGGGGGGGTAAAAAATACGCTTTTTCCGCATCGATACGGTTAAATACGTACTTTGACCGTACTAATACGCCTTTTGACCGTACCGATACGGAAAAAAGCGTATTTTTTACCCCCCCCCCCCCCCTCCCCCTTCACTATACAGTAGTTATGAAGGTCTTTCCATGATCTTTAGTTTTTTTTCTCTCGATACTTTCGGGTTGCTGTATCGGACCCGGTGGTTGAAAATGGGCCCCGTCCAATATTAATCCTTTGTCCTAGGATTTTATGTAGACGTCGTGGAGGGTTGGATGGGCGTCGAACTTTTAGAGTTTTCTTGGCGTAGTGGGAGGAGACGGGCAGCGGAGAAGCAGACTCTCTTGTGGTCCTTCTTTGTATACCGAGACACACACCAACCAATCAATCGATCGTTTGAAAACCAATCCATCAACACACGCATCGTGTCGGCTCCACGTCCAGGACGCTCAACTCTCCTCGGAATCACTGTCCCTCATCCTCAAGGGTCCACGCCGCTGGCCGCGGCGATAGATTTCGGGCTGTGTTGTGTCGACTGACGTCTCAACCGAACCTTCCTCAACAGGAGATTGCAAGCCATCGTGACGCTCGAAAACGGCCACTGCGGGGTTCCAAGTGAGCATCCTGACGGTTCCACAGAAGCTGCATCGTAGTCGTGATCGGCTTCGTAGGGCCACTCGCCGGGCATACGCATGGCGTGCTCGTGGGGTGGATCTTGGGAACGCTGCGTGAGGCAGCCAGGCACGGGTACGGATTCGGCCATGGAAAACGTTGGCGTGGTGCTGACGGTGACTGAGGATAACGGTTCGTCGCCGGTTCCTGGCGAAAAGGTGAACTCAACACTTGCTCCTGGATGTTCCATGCTGGGAAGCTTAACCGAGACGATGACTTCGTCGCCGATGCTTTGTGCTTGTGCTGGTAACGTCAGTAGTGGCCGCGGCGGAGAAGTTGCTATGAACTTACAGTGAAGCGGCTTGACGGGTCCCAGAACACCGCCCGGTACGGCTAACTGCGCCGACGCCGGCTGCTGTTTCAAATAATGTCAGTATCCAAACGTTGGTCCGAGGTAAAGCCGCTCCGGCGAGACTTGTACTTACACTTTGGAACCCTAGCGGCAGTTTTGGAACATCCAACGGCTCAACGCCCAGCACCTTCGCGAGCCGCTCCTCGGCCTCCTTTGCGGTAGGGCGAGCATCCACCTCGATGGACAGCATGTCCCTCAAGATCCCAGCAACGCCCTTTGAAAGATCATCCTCGTCGGATGCTTCCAACAGAAGCTTGTCGACCTCTTTGTGGAGCTGGGGGCCGCTAGGTGTCTCGCAGTAAAAGTTGTAGAGGATACTGGTCATCCCCATCTGCACAACCTCCTGCCTCCGGTCTTCTCTGAAATTCTCGACGCCGCGGGCCCCCTTTCTCAGCCATACAAGCGCGATACAACCCACGCAGCCGATCCCCCAGACATCGAACTTCCGCGTCACCTTCGTCTCTGGGCCCCCGAATTCCTGGCATCCGGGCCTCCTCGGCGTTGCAGATAGCATTCCGCTCTCGTTATTCTTGCGGTGTAACAGACCCAAGTCTGCGATCATCCACCTCCCCAACAGGACCAAGATATTCAATGTCTTGATATCGAAGTGATAGCCAAACTGGGTGGGCTGGCTGCAGTGGATGTAGTTGAGCGCCGACAATAACCCCATATATTGACGCCAAATCGACTTTGCTCCGTGGTCTTCCGGGCTGGGATCCTTTGCGAACAACCTCTGGAGATCGCCTTCGCAGAGGGAGTAGAAGTTCATGTACACGTCTCCGTGGGCAATCGACGCAAGGATCGGGTTGATGTGCGGGTGCTTGTTGTACACTACGTTATTGCGCCATTCTTTCTCCCAATCGGCTTCGGCATCGCTCACGACCGGATTCGTGTACCGCTTTAACGCAAAAAGTCCATCCTGCCACTGTTAGTCGCTTGCATTCGACAGTCGAAGGGAATATGGGTGACTAACCTTCACATCAACGAACTTGCAATAGCCGCCATCCAGCATCTTGGCCTGGTAAACGACGCCATACCCTCCTCCTCCTTTCCTTTCCATAATCTTGAGCGGCAACGTCTGCATGGAAAGAAACTTCTGCTGCCTTTCCGGGCCGTGGATGGTCGGCAGGAAAAACCGAAAGAAGTCGAACTCAATGTGAGCTGAGTACGTCTGACCATCCGATTCCGGAGACGAGAACAGTTCATCGAGTTGCTGGCGTTCGAGCGGATGTTCGTGAAGCCACTGATCTGAGTAGCTCTTCTCGACGAACCTGTGGATGAGGTCCATGCGCTCGACGAAGCAAAGGAACGCAAGAACGACAAGATACGTTTCCCCTTCCTCATATCCGATTCCGCGCACACCACGTATGATGTTTTCGTCAAAGGCCGGACTCTGACGCGAAGCGCATCCTCGGAAGACACCGCACTTGCAGCCGGCCAACTCTCGAAGCCGCTGGCCGTCGTCGGCTTCGAAGAGATCTTGCACCCTTTGGCGCGGAAACGACTCGTCCGGCCTCTGCGTATCGCATCTACTCAGAGGCGTCATACAGCGCCGCAGTGCCTCCCTCGTGCTTTGGCACATGGCTTGGAAAGCGTCTCGCTGCAGTGCCGCTGGGTGTCTCGTTTTGATGTTGCGAATGTGAGAGCGCCGGAATGCGTAAGGAGGCGGGCGGAGGACCGTTTTATGTGTCGATGATGGCCGTTCGAGAGTCTGGTACGAGGCTCGAGGGCGTTCGCTTTGAAAGGACTCGGTCGGTGTCTCGAAGGCTCGAGGGGTGTTTCGTCAGTGGTTCAATTTGTTTCGCGTCGATGAAGAGCTGTATGGGTGTATTGCGGATCGTAGCTCCTGGCTGGTCTCAGTGTTGAGGTTGGTATGGTCTGGCAGAATTACGAGCTCAGGAGCTCGGTTTAGTGGCCAAGCAAGTACATAGCCACACAGATTTCGCCGTGCCGTCATCGGGATCGACGTACGGCTGGCTAGACAGTTATACTTAAAATATGCCCAAGGCGCGTTCTTATTGTCGGGTAGCGGTAGCGACGGGCTGCAGGGTACACGCGTATTCAGGGCTGGCGCGCACCGCGGTGAGCCAGTACGAAGCTCCCTATTGGAAGAGACTCCGGGGTAGAACACTGGGTGCATAGGGATGACTCATCAGGTGCGATATCAGTAGCGTAAATCTGGAGGAGGCAGAGGGCTAGTGAGAGGACGGCGTGTCGCGGGTGTCCTGAGGCCGTCGGATGTGCACAGTTGTCGAGGATTGTTCACAGAAGTGTGTGGGCGGGGCTGTTATTATCAGTTTTTACTAGCTCAGTCTAATATCCTCGATGCGTGCCTAGAGCTCCGCCTTGAAAATTCCAGCTATGTGCGGATAGAGTCTGCCGATAGGTTCCAGCCATCAGCCTCGATTACGCCTCACACCCTGAGATCCTACTCCAACTGCTACCTTCCGCTTTTGTTTCCGTTGTTGATAGTAATTACACAAGCTGAGACTTCTCTCGCTTATCATCAGCCGAAACGATGGCCGACATGCGGGGTTAGTCGAAACAGACGATCAACAGGCGCTCTCAAAGCTCCAGCTTCACCCTCTGCAACCCGGGGTCTCGAGACGCTTATCTGGACCTCTACTTACACTGAACAATCCGGCATGGCTTGGATATCACAATTAAAGGGAAGTCCATTTGGACATCCTCTTTCCAAAGCTGTGCTCTTGGTCATGTAGGTAACTGACCTTGGGGTATTTTTATGGGGCATTTTCAGAGGGGATATCAGACCCGGTGTGCTTTACTTCGTATGCTGTGCTTAGCCATGTTCGTTTGTATTCGGCCAGGCAGTTGAACCCGCGCAAGTAGTGCCGGACCCCGTGCCGGCGCCGATCCTGAGTGATCTCCCATGATTTCAGCCTGGTCGATCTCCCATTTTGTGGAGGCAACAGCGCCCTAAAGACCCCCCTCGCCTCATCGTATATTCTTCCCTAAGATCACCAGGATAGTTCCTCACTTCCCTACTCGTTGGATCGTGATTGTGTGCATACTCAGCCTTCGGCAATAAAAGGTTGAGATTCTTTTGCTCCATCAATGCAAGAACCTCCATAGTATTTATGAAAGCCTAACTACTCGGGTTTTTTCGTGAGCGAAAGTGAAAAGTGGCTGACTAGGTTGCAGTGGCTGGTTCGCGCTCCGGAGTGTCAAGCAGGCCGACTTCATCTTACCGGACCCGGCCACTAACGGTACCAACTACATACTGATTCAAATGGCCAACTTGGAGCCTATGAAATCCCCTTAATTGACGTAAATGGACCTTTACCCTACTAGCCACCCGTATTCAAGTCATGCAGCCTGAATTCTACGTGAGGTTCCCATTTCCACAACGCGATGTGGGTGGATTGACGGAGAGCGTCCGCGTCTGCTGCGTTACATGGCACCGAGGTTGATATAAAGTTACCGACGGGCAGACTACCTGCGCACGGCCTTCTAGTTAAGCGAATTCTTGCTTGGGGCTGCGCATCTTGGTGGTTTTGATGATCAGGGTTCTTGGGTAACTAACAGTTGCACTTGGCTAGCCAGTTAGCCTGCCGTGAAGCGTGCTGGACCAGACCAACGGGTTTACTCCCATTACCGGTTGACATTGGGCGGCTCAGCTGGTGCTCACCGGGGCATCCGAATTTCCTCCCTATCAACGTCCTGTAGATTCAGGTCGACGTCGCGGTGTGCCTTGGGAGTGAGTACCATCCAAAGGTGCTAACGACCACGACGAACTTCTGTCATCTACTAGGTAGGTTCCAACTTCCCCCCGCCCCCCGCCCCCACCGACGTCGATGTCAGACCAGCACTGCCCCCGCGCGTTTGCTCCAAGCCCGCCCGCCCACGGAGCCGATACCCACCCCTACATACACCATGGGACCAGCAATCCATCGCGCCATCGATCCTGAAACCAGTACGTCGACGCGTACGGTAACGTAGTTACTTCTGATCGGGACACGGCATTTGAAGATAAACGCGCGTGGGACAGGCAAACGCGTAGGCACGGTCCACCGCTGTTCTTTTTTTCTCTCCTTTTTTTTGGAAGGGGATGCTACATACGTACGTGGTGCGAAATCGATTCTTCGCGACTCCATTCCACATAGTCGGGGGAAAAAAGATGGACTGTCGGCGTGGTCCGAAACGGTGAGAAAAAGGGGGAGGGTTCGTGGCAACTCGTGGAATGGCCGGTATTTCGCGCAATGAAATGTGTGCGCCCGGTTTGCATATCCATCGGATCCATCGGGTGACGGTTTAGTGGCTGGCCATTGCATTGGTACCACGTCCCTCTCTCTCACACACACACACGCGTGAGTTCTCATCCCCCCCCCCTGAGAGCTCACTCGATTCGGCCCAGATGGTCGTAGTCAGAGGCAGAGTTCGCTGGCCGTGGGCCCTACCTACCGCCGGGTGCACACCTGAAAACTAATGTTGTCATAGCCTACATATGGTAAATACTCGTAGATCGGTCTCCATACATACATGTAATCATTGAAGAAGCGAATAACTGTGATCTAATTGTTTATGGACAATTCTACGGAACACCAACGGTATTGGAGCGACTGCCCGGGCAAGCTCGTGGCGTGAGTTATGGCCCATGGGGAAACGTGTGTTTGAGGGGCAGCTCTTTCGTGTGATACAGTGCCGTGGCCGACACCAAAATCGCCAGCCACAAAACTACACCTCAGCTGGATACGAATTTTGCACAAACGAACCAAAGAGAATGACTAGATTAGTGAGTGGCCGATGTGGCTATGGCTGTGGCGCCCAGCTGGCGACGTCAATATCGGACGAGCTAAAATTAGGATGCACACACCGAAGAAGTCCTAGCGGAAGAAGTTTGAGCTTCGGATGATTCTGTCGGAGATACCGACCAAAATTCGAATCAACGGAAAATGTAGAGAGTTGTAAGTACGATGTCGAGGCTCAAGGGGATAATCATTGATCACGGCTCTCTCCGTCATCTACTGTGGCATCTTCATGGTACATACCGGTAGTACAGTATGTGCCCCTCCTCACCAGCCGCCTCAGGCTGCCAGCGGCAGGCCCGTAAGGCTCCGTAAGGCGTCGTCCGGCGAAGCGAAGTCGACGGCATGGGCCCGTGGGATAAGGCTCTAGAGCAAGCAGCGGCAGCAGCGAGGCGAGACGAGGCGCACTTCTCCACAAAGACCGCTTGTGCCAACGTTGCGCGGTACGTCTACTACCGGTACGGTAGTATAGGTAAGTAGTACCGCGACTCAGATCCACATGTACATACGTCGCCGGCTGCTCCCAGTCCAGTCCCCGAGGATGCTCGACTCCGTCCCTGCGTCTCGGATCGGACATGTCTGCACCCTGCCCTGCGCAAGTGACTGCTCCGGCGAGCGGATTTTCCGAACCCATGTCCGAAATTCATACGCTATGGGCCAAAGGTCCCGGAGAAGACGAGGGCAGGGATGCCGGAAGCTGTTTACCTCCGAAGCAGGAAACTCCAGAAAAGTCGTTCGACTCCTGAGCCCTAGGGCGTATGTTGGCCGTGCCGTCTCGGGTGCCACGGGCTGTTGTCGATGCGTTGGGATTGGATCGAACATCGCTACAAAGTACATACTGGCCACCGCCGGGGACGCTGGGATTTAGTTTTTCCTAGGTACTTCTACTGTGGAATCCTCTTTTCTGTTTCCCTTGATGTTCTGTATCTATGCAAATAGATCTTAGCATTTGGTGGTGGAGGTGGATGAAGGGTAGGACAAGGAGGAGGGGCACCCGGTCGAGACTTTTCCTTAGAGTAGACATTGTTCATTTCGCGCGAACTTTCCCTCCCCTCTCCGAGAAATACAGTAGTGGTAGTAAATGGCCATGAACTAATGATTCCGAGAGACTCCAGTAATAGACTATTAGGTATTGTATTTTTACAAAGGTAGAACTATATGAAAAGATCGGTGCTCGAGCGCTTCTATGCACCATATTTACATAATTTACACACACCAAGTAAAAGGCAAACCAAACATCCCAGATCCCCACGTTCCACGTTCATCTTCCACACAACAGTGCTTGCTGAGTCCTATCCCCAGCCTCTCTTCTTGTCCTCCCAAATCCCCGGCCCCTTGGTCTCCCATATCCCAACTCATAGCCCCAGTCCTCCCCGATCAGGCGCCAACGCTGGTTGGCCACTGCCCCAGGTTCCAGTTTCCGATCCCGACTTTCAGACACCAAATCCCCAACCCTGAATCCCACCAGCCACAATCCCATGATCTTAGACGTCCATTCTCCCGTCGTCGTGGTAGACGCAGTATTATACCGATAACCTCCCGCCAGCGACGGAGCATGTATGTAGCCACATACTTTCCCACCCGTCCTCCGTGTAATCGAATCGCCAGTCGTTCTGTCGCAGTATTTCCCGATGTCGAGTATATCTTTGCATCACGTCGAACAGTTGCTGATTATCGATGACGGCCTCGAGGAGGTTTTGACGCTCTCGCTGCAAGAAGAGAATGTTCCTTGAGATAGTAGGCCGTGATAGGTTGGGCTCTTACTTCTCCGTCGGCGTGTCGTGCTTCGCCGTTGGATTTCCTTAATCTCGTCCTGAGGCAGAAGATTGTTAGTGTCCGATTTTAATCCAGCACACCGGAATACCCCATGGGGATCCTCTAATTGGGTTATTTACCTCGGTGAGAAGTCTCGGCACCCTG